TCATTTGAGGCTCATGCTCGCCTCACTCGGTTCCCGCCGAGCTTCGTATGGCTCCGAAGCCTCCTTATCGGCCCCGCCTTAGTGGTGGTTGGTCGGCGATTCATGCTTGGTGTGGTTTGGCGGCATTTGCCTGCCTGAGACCTCCTCCTCTCCTCTTCTGTTCTTGCTGGTCGCTCTGACCGGTCTGCATAATGGTGATACCCGGTTGGACGAAGCTTTCCCATTTTTATCCGCCTCGGTTTTGCTTTCTTTGAGCGTTAGTCGGGTGGCTCTGACCTAACTGGCCGGGTCGTGCCCGGTTTGCCTGGGAGCCGCTCTAGACTCGCCGTCCACCAACACAGACACGCGCATCCTCGGGATCCATTTCCCTCGTGATCTTCTCCATCACGATATCTCATCCTATCCCCTTTTTGAGTTGTCATTACTCACGCAGCCTTAATCTCCCGCCTACCTTCGGAATTAGCCTCCCCTAACGCCTGGTGACCTCCCTATCAAGCTCCAACCTTATATCCCCCATCAGCCGGCTCAAGTGTAGCTGGCACCTTGCGCCCGCCCCGCCCTTACAGTTACAAACCTGTCCTACTACTGGAAGCCCAGATTGCAACTATTCCCGACATTGTCTTCAAACATATTTATTTTTGCTCTTCATCGCCGCCGATCAACATGGATGCTTATTCTATATGCTACACTAGTCCTTCCAGACGCAACTCTTCCAGGATCTACCAGGATCTCAGATCAATTCGCCTGGCCAGCCTGGCCGATCTGGACCAGGGCCAACTCTTGAAGAAATTCGCTACGATGGAGGGGCTTAAGCAGGTACGAAAGACCACCATGGCGCCCTAGTGAATGCCTTGTCTGAGACCAGCTCTATGACTAGGTGTAGTGTTGCGGCACATATCTCCTCGTGGCTGATATCCGTTATCCTTCTCCGCCACCAAGATACATTTGTGTTACGTCGCTGACTTGATTTGGCAGCGAACCAAGGGCGATCTTGGCTCAAAACCACACGTCGCCGTGGTTGGCGCTGGAATGTCTGGCTTGCGATGCGCAGATATCCTCCTACAGTATGGCTTCAACGTCACCGTCATCGAGGCCCGGAACCGCGTTGGAGGCCGTATGCATCAGGAGACGCTTCCCAATGGACACTTGGTAGATCTCGGCCCCAACTGGATTCATGGCACAACAGACAACCCTATGCTGGACCTTGCCAAGCAGACAAACACGGCAGTTGGCAGTTGGGACACCGGGTCCTACATATTTGATCAAGCTGGCGACCTTTTCAGGATCGAGGAGGGAGAGGCATATTCTACTATGATGTGGGACATCATCCAAGAAGCCTTCAAGCACTCAAATAAGTCATACAAGGACATTCACCACGACGAGAGTCTGCATGACTTTTTCCTCGGGAAATCTGTCGAGAAGATCCCCGATACCGAGGAGGACTACGAGAAGAGGCGGAAAATTCTCATGCAGATGTCTGAACTGTGGGGTGCGTTTATCGGAAGTCCAGTTTTCTCTCAAAGCCTAAAATACTTCTGGCTGGAGGAGTGCATTGAGGGAGGTGAGCAAAAGTTACCATGCAAGATTTCTGGAGGTCGTTGCTAATATTTTGCAGAAAATTTGTTCTGCGCGGGAACCTACAAGAAAGTTCTGGATACCATCGCAAAGCCAGTTCTAGAGGGTGCTAAGATCAAATTCCAGACCAAGGTCGAGAGGATATCCTATCGCATGGATCCCGAAGAGAAGGTCAAGATCCAGGTGGAGGGTGGACAGACGCTGGAATTCGACGATGTCGTCGTCACAACTCCCCTCGGATGGCTAAAACGAAATCTCGATGCATTTGAGCCTGCACTTCCAGCTCGCATGACCAAGGCGATCGAATCTATTAGCTACGGTTGCCTGGAGAAGGTATTTCGTGTTGATATATACTGAATACCACTGTACTAATTCACTATGCAGGTATACATCAGCTTCCCAAGGGCGTTCTGGCTTGCACCCAAGGGCGAAGACAGAAAGGTCCAAGGGTTTGTACAATGGTTATCACCCAACTATGCTCCTGAATCAAATCCAGAGCAATGGAACCAAGAAATTGTCGATCTTGCTAGCCTCTCGCCGGAAACCTCACATCCCACTCTCCTCTTCTATACCTACGGCGATCAATCGGAGTACATTACCAGCAAAGTAGCGGGACTAGCGAGTAAGGAGAAGGACGGATTCCTTCTGAACTTCTTCAAGCCCTACTACTCTCGCCTACCTCACTACTCGGAAAGCGATTCCGACTGCAAGCCGACTGCTTTTTTGGCCACAGACTGGCTCCATGACGAACTTGCGGGTTTCGGCAGCTACAGCAACTTCCAGGTCGGCTTGGAGAATGGGGACGATGATATCCGGACGATGCGAGAGGGTCTGCCGAATCAAGGCTTGTGGATGGCAGGAGAGCACACGGCGCCGTTTGTAGGCCTAGGAACCGCCACTGGAGCCTACTGGAGCGGCGAGTCAGTGGGCAGGAGGATAGCCGAGTCTTATGGGCGGACGAAGCGGAGGAGTCTCGGACTAGAGAATCTTTAAAGTAGCCTTGGCTACTAGCTATCAACGAGTTCCCATCACGGGATGGTAGACAATCTCTTCTCATAGAGCCCATTGCCAATAGATTCAGACAAGGGCCACAAAGCCACAAAGATGAGATACCTGGTTTGAGCCGTCATTGGTAGATGCTTGGCTTGTGGATGTAGATGCTCGCGTGAGCCGGCGTTTGTGATGGACTAACTTCATTTGGAACTACCCACACGCGGTTCCTGATGGATGTGGAAGCTTGTCTTTCTTGTCTTGCACCTATTAGGTGAAAGAAAGCACGGGAATAGGACGACAGGGTGTCTTGAAGGGCCCACTGCTCTCACCAAACCGCCAGGGTTGCAAGATGGCGAACCGAAGCGGAGGGCATAACTTACCTAGCTCAACGACTCAAGATGGATGGGAACAAGGTACCCATGGCTCGACCAATAAGGCAGTGGAACTGGCGGGTAACTAACCGCTGGCCCTCTGAACCGTGCTCATACCCTTGCAACGCAATGCTCTTGTCCGGTACTGTACTGCCAAGCGCATGAAAGGGTGGTGTCGTGCCCATGACGTTTATCAGGGATCCGTTATCGATAGACGGCGCCCACTGAGAGCGCGATGTACGGGTCAAACGATGCTAGACGGCCGCGCGCCCGCCCTGAAGAGGCAAGACTTGGGGGCCCGCACGTCACCGCAGCCGCTAAATCACCATGCGCGGACCCCTGGAGGCGAGTCACGAGCCTATGCTTATAGCGGTCCTAGCGCTGGGCCTCCAGCGCATCACCCGCCGCTTGAGCAGCCTAGAACGTCCGCTGAGTCCCCCAAAGCCCCCTCGTCCACGGGCTCCACGGGGCGCTCCACTTGGACCGCGTTACGCCGCCTCAGCCATCCATGCCGTACTGGCCGGTGACCCGACCCTTTGGGAACCTCGACAACCTTGGGGACCTTTACTTCCATCAAACAAACAACTTTATCTTCGGTCCTGAGCGGTCGCAGCCACAGCCGCTTTATACTCCTCTCTTCCCACCCTTTCTCCTATACCCTGTTAGCCCTCGAACCCTTTCAGCCAACCTGCCTGGACTGTCCATGGCCTTCCGTTCCCTCTAATCATGCCCTACGGCCCCGCATCTGGCCGGGGGTCTACTGATAGCACGCCGACGCCGGCTCTGCCTAGAGGTTAACACCGTCGACTACAAACAACTCGAGCCGCTGACCGTCTCTTCTTTCATCTCCCGTCTCCCTGATCTTCACACTCGGCTGCGAGGGCAGCCATCGCCGCCGCCTCTCCCTCCGACCCGAGACCCGAGACCCTCGACTCCGTCGGCACCATGGCCATGTTCTTTCAGTCGTTCCAGAGCTCCTCTATGCCCAAGAGGCTGCTCCGGTATGCCTTGTCTAGGCTGGAGCTCCTCGACGCTGAGGCGCTCGACATGGAGAACCTGGACCTTGCGCTGGGCAGGAATACGGTGTTCGAGTTTCGCGATGTTGGGATCAAGCTCAAGGTAGGCAGCCACTGGGCCCGACGATATGTTGATAACGCTGACACCCAGCGCAGAAGCTTGAGAAGCTGCTTCAGCTCCCGGCCACGTTTAGGCTGCAAAAGGCCAAAGTCCTTCTCCTCCGAGTCACCGTCCCGATGGACTTTTACACGAGCCCCATAACCGTCGAGATCGATGGCGTTGATATCGCCCTACAAGTTCTGGGAGCTGGGCCCAAGTCGAGTCGCACGCCCGGGACTAAGACGCCCGAAGATACCGCTGTGGTACCCAATACAGTTGACCTTGCACAATCCTTCCTCGAGACACAACCATCATCGGAACGCCGGAAGCTCGAAGATGCCCTGGCCGCTGAGACCCAGGACCTCGGTGCCTCGGTTACGATGAGCGACGATGGAAGCGAGGAGGAGTCGTCGCTGGGAACGGGCCAGCCGCTTTCACTGCCCGCCTTCCTGGCAGACTTCCTACAAGGCATAGTCGACCGTATGCAGGTCAGGATAAAGGGCATCACCTTCCAGCTGGATGTTGAAGTGCCTGTCGAACCCAACTCACCAACCACCGAACTAGTGTCGTTTCAGATCGCTCTCGAAGACATCGATGTCGAAGGCGTCACTGCTCACTCACAAGAACAGGATGGATCACCCACCATCGTGCACAAAGAAGGCAAGCGTCACATATCACTGTCTAATGTTCGAGCATACCTCATCTCTGAAGCGAACGTATTTTCCGCGCTGGCGCGATCTCCATCGATGACATCCCCTTCTGCCGCCTCCTCCCCAGTCATGACGAGGAATCCTCCCTCCCGTCAGGCTACTACTCTATCGCAAGATAGCTTCCATGACGAGCCTATGGCGTCATCACAAGAGAGCTTTAGGCAGCGCTTTGATAACCCCGACGATGCTTCCGAACCCGATTACCCTCTTGGCGATAGCGAGGAGGCGCTCGCCATCCCTTATGAATTTTCCGATGCTGCAGATGACGAATTCGACGATAACCCAGCCACTCCTAGAGCCTCTATGTACCATGACTTTAATCACCCGGCTCTTGAGGACTCTATTGAGGATATTGAGGAATCGCTCGATGACCCTATCGATGAGCCTCTGTTTCACTCAACGATGGGTCCCACTGACCACACTTCATACTCGGCGGCATTTGAGGAGGAGAGAGAGAGGCCGCAGTGGGCAAGCATCGAACAAGAAGCCAGATCGGCCCCGTCACTGGATTTTCCATACCGTCCAGCTTACACTGACGCATTGAGGCCGCCCTCACCCGATCAACCTCTGGGGCGCTCTACCTCATCCAAAGGTAGCTTTGGGCTTGACTCGACCGGGGATCTCGCCGAGTCTCATGTGTACACGCATGAAGAAGCCGAGAGCATGTACATGAGCGCATTTTCTCAGAATGACCCCCAAGCCTCTGCGGCTTTATCTCCGGCTGCGTCACAGCATACTCTCCCACCGCCCGATTCAATTGCAGAGCTAGCAAGGTCAACGACAGAAGAAGTCAATCCAATTCTGGACGAAGTCAAATCAATTCCGGAAGAAGTGAAACCAACTCTGGAGAAGTCAATTCCGGAGGAAGTCAAGCCAACGATGGAGGGAGTGCAGCCCTCGCCACAGGAAGTGAAATCGACCACGGATGAAGTGATTCCAACTACCGAGGAGGCAAAGCCGGCACCGGAAGTGGAGCAACAGAAAGAAGAAGACTTGGTCCCTGTGGTCAAACCGCAGACACCTCGACCAGTTATGCCTGGTGGTTGGGAAGATGACGCGGATGACTCCCCTCCGCAGAATCCTGTCGATTCATCAATTTCAACGGATAGCTCACCTCAGACTCCTGGAAAGACTGATCCGCAAGCTGAATCTTCGGACAGCGACTCATCTTCACCTGCCTTCTCTAGGGCTTGCATTGCTGACCTGGACCCGGAGCGCCCACACACACCAGTGAAACAACAGGACGATGTGCCTACACCAAAGGGCCCAACCCGACTCGTCAAGGAGATCTTCAATCTCAAGACCATATCAATCTACGTACCATCTCAGCATCAACACATTCACGTTCATGCTGCATCAGCCGAGTCGGTAGCCCAGCTGTCCCAATCTCTTGGACGATCAGTGTACCCCCAGGCACCAGGTGCATTTTCAATTCATGGGGCCGCACCTACACTGCCACAGAGCCCTCCAGCGTCGAGTGCAGGTGTCGATAACACGCTTGAGGTAGCTCTCTCTCCCATCAGCATCAATTTCGACACTTCTCTTGGTTTCCTGCTTGCGATGGTCGTCGGCAAGTTGCTTGAAGCTGTTAAGGACAACAAACCACCTGCCACCTCACAAGATGGCAAGCAACAGGAACCAGCAAAGAAGGCTCTGGATGTCCAAATAGCACTTGAAGAGATCAAACTCAACTTTCTCAACAGGCTAGGTGGAGTTTCAGATACACCCGAGCGTTACTTGGACCCAACGGCATTTATTTTCGATGAGGAGGTGCTCTTGAGCACAACCCTTCAGAATCTAACCATATCGATGTCCCCTACCGAAATTGCGTCAAGGAGGACAAGTCGAGATCAGTCAACGTCCCAACCGGCTACTTTAACCAAGATAGACGTGCAAAAATTCCGCTTTGGCTATGCGGACGATGATATTGTCTCTTTCGACAGTGGCAGGCCAATGAGTACGTCAGTCAGGGACACCTTCCTATCTTCCGGTACAGACATTGGTATCAAGATTGTTCAGTCGGGCGATAACATCAAAACCGATATTGAAACGCTACCCCTTGTAGTCCAGGTCGACTTGCAGCGACTAGATGAGACGTTCAGCTGGTTTGGCGGATTAAGCAGCTTCCTGAACATGAGCACTTCCATCGCGTCGAGTCCTTCGCCCACCCCAAAGCCAGCAGTAGCACCTCAGCAGAAGCCTCGAGGTGTCCGCTTTGATACACCAATTGACCCTGGTGACAAGTCTGCCGCTTCCGAAAACAAGGTAAACCTCAGGATTGGAGGTGCCTTGGTGGAGCTTGTTGGAAGGGACTGCAGTGTTGCGGCTGAATCAACTGCTATCAAATTGGTCAGTCGAGAGGAGGGGATTGGTATGGCTTGCAGCGTGATGCGAGTTTCCGGGCCATTCCTAAAGAACTCTCAAGCCGATCCCGCGATCAGCACTGAGATCAGCGGCGTTCGAATGGACTTCTTAATGGCGCCTCAAGATAAAGACCTAGAGAGGCTTCTTGAACTCATTATCCCCACTAAGGTCAAGTTTGATCACGGAAATGATGAAATCATGGTAGACACACTCTTGCGTCAGAGAAGGAAGGGTTCTGTTCTGAGGGCCTCCGTTGATGCGGTCAATGTTCGTGTTCAGAATATGGCCCAGCTCTCGGTACTTCCAAATCTCGGGGAAGAAATCGCAAAGCTCTCGACAGTCGCCAAATACCTACCTGAGGACGATAGACCAGGGCTCTTGACCCTGGGGAAAATCCAGAAGGTGGGAGTGAGTCTGGATTTTGGAGGCAAGCTTGGACATTTGGGCGCCGAAATCAGCGACTTTAATGTTGGGCACATCTCGATGCCGTCTCTTGTTGCCATTGCGATCCACGGTATTTCTGTCAAGCGAAATAAATCCGAGGAATTGGTTGGCAGTTCGACATACGCCTTCCCAGAGATCTCATCCCGAGGACCTGTCATCATGGCTAGGATGATTGGAGACGAGATTGAGCCTGTCATCAAGTTGAAGATGCAGGATCTGAACATCGAGTACCGAGTTCACACTATCATGGATCTGTTGGACCTGGGCGAAGACGCAACTCCGCAAGATTTCGAAGCTAGCCTCGCTGCATCCGTCGCAAGCCTCGGAGATCAAGCACACCATGCTCTGGCAAGACAACCGAGTTCCCCTGGATCTGAGAAGACGAAGGCTGGGAAGCCAATGACTTTGGATGTCGGCTTCCGAGACTGTTTGCTTGGCTTGAATCCCTTGGGACAGCCTTCGAAGATGGTCATTGCACTAACCGATGCGCACCTTGTTGCTGTGCTCCCCAAGGATGTCGACACCAATGCCGTTCTGAACATCAACAAGGCCTCCATTCTACTCATCGATGATGTTTCTCAGCTTACGGAGAATGATTTGCCCGTCACCCAACGACCTCGTGCATCCTCCTCGACCTCTCGGCAAGTGGCAAACATGTGCGCACGGGGCTATGTGGACATTTGCTACATCTCTTCCGCGAAGGCAGTTGTAGACATCACAGCTGGTGAAGATGGAGAGAAACGGGTCAACGTCGAACTCAGGGACGATCTTCTAGTCTTAGAAACCTGCGCAGATTCTACACAGACACTCATCTCGCTAGCCAACGCTCTGAAACCACCAACGCCGCCCAGCAAGGAGAACAAGTACCGAACCAACGTGATCCCTGTCCAGGATCTCCTCGCTTCCATTTCTGCCGAGGCCTTCGGGAAGCCGGAAGGAGAGTATGATTTCGATCAAGACTTTGCTGGTGCCCAAGAATTAGCGGGTAGTGGTTCGGATGTCGACTTCGCCACCGACAGTCCATTGCAGATCGAGTCACAATTCTATGAGGATGAACCAGTTACAGAGGAACTTTTCGATGCCACGAGCAGCTCGCTTCTGTCCCATGGAACGACGATGAAAGATACCAATGAGGGTGTTTTATTGACTGGTTTTGATCCTTCGTCAACAAGCCAGAGCCAAGACTCGGACGACATAGATGACCTGGTCATTCATGAAGACTACTATGACCGCGACTCCTCAAAGGACGGCAAAGCCAAGGTGTGGAACTCGAACAAGAATACTTACGATAGAGCACCTGCGGATCTTGTAAAGCGCAGCCCCTTGAGTGTGTCTGTTCGAGATGTCCACGTCATTTGGAATCTCTTCGATGGCTATGACTGGTCGCATACACGAGATGTAATCACCAAGGCTGTCCAGGATGTGGAAACCAAGGCATACGAGCGCCAAGCACGATCTGGGCAGGCTCACGTGTATGAAGAGGAACTAGAGGACGAAGAGGCCATTGGGGACTTCCTCTTCAACTCTATCTACATCGGCATCCCAGCAAACCGTGATCCCCAAGAACTATCCCGGGCGATTAACGAGGGCCTCAATGACAATGCAACCGAGACTGAATCCGTCGCGACCACGGCATTTACGGCAACGACGAACCGAACCGTACGCTCCCGACAGTCGAGATCAAAGCGACTCAGGCTCAAGCGCAGCAAACACCATAAAATCACATTTGAACTCCAGGGAGTGAATGTGGATTTGATTGCATTCCCGCCTGATTCTGGAGAAACTATGAGCAGCATCGATGTGAGGGTGAACAACTTGGACGTTTTTGACCACGTCCCAACCTCGACCTGGAAGAAGTTTGCAACATACGACCAGGATATGGGAGAACGTGAAATGGGCACCAGCATGGTTCATCTTGAGCTTCTGAACGTCAAGCCACAACCAAGTCTCGAGGCGTCTGAGATTGTCCTACGGGCGACTCTGCTACCTTTGAGACTGCACGTTGATCAGGATGCTCTGGATTTCATCACTCGGTTCTTTGAGTTCAAAGACGACAATGTGCCTGTTCACTCCTCTCCAAGCGACGTACCATTCCTCCAACGTGCCGAAGTCAACGATGTGCCCGTTAAGCTCGACTTCAAGCCAAAGCGGGTGGATTATGCGGGTCTTCGCTCCGGACACACGACCGAGTTCATGAACTTTATTGTGTTGGAGGAATCTCGGCTGGTCCTGAGGCACGTCATCATCTACGGTGTTTCTGGCTTTGACCGGCTCGGCAAGACGCTGAATGACATCTGGACGCCAGAAGTTAAGGCCAACCAGCTTCCCGGTGTTCTAGCCGGTTTGGCCCCAGTACGCTCGATCGTCAATGTCAGCAGTGGCTTTAAGGATTTGGTCGAGATTCCGCTCCGTGAATACAAGAAGGACGGCCGGGTGATCCGCAGCATTTCAAAGGGCGCCGCAGCCTTCGCACGCACGACGGGCACCGAGATTGTCAAACTAGGTGCCAAGCTCGCCGTCGGAACCCAGTATGCCCTGCAGGGAGCCGAGGGCATGCTCTCCGAACAACAACAGCCTGAGGGCTCGTGGGAGGATGACGACCTCGATCCGGAAGACAAGAAGCAAATATCGCTGTACGCCGACCAGCCCACGGGTGTTATCTCCGGTATTCGAGGCGGGTACCGCTCCCTAACCCGCGATGTGAACTTGGCTCGCGATGCCATCATCGCCGTGCCAGGAGAAGTCATGGGGAGCCAGTCAGCCGGTGGAGCAGCCAGGGCAGTGTTGAGGCGTGCACCGACCATCATCTTCAGACCGGCCGTTGGTGTCACAAAGGCCATTGGACAGACCCTAATGGGAGCAACGAATTCTATCGATCCTAACAATCGGCGGAGGATTGAGGAGGTAAGCATTGATTGTTCTTCGATTTTGCACTTGACCCTTTACTCACAACTTGACAGAAATACAAGAAACACTAAACGCAACGACGAGACCCAAGAGGATCTCACTCACAACAATCCTTTTTCAAGAGGATGGATGCTTTCCACGACACGAATATACAACGAAGCACCAGCGTTACGGCTTACACATACAATTTTCGGTCTCTATTGGCTGGATCTTTTTCTTACACGTCCATTTTCTTGCACAGATAGCGGGTTTAGGTTGGGGCATCCGTTGCTTTAAGAATACAGTCACGCACCCATCCATGATAGATTGGCGAAAATGCAACGCCTCTTGATTACGTTATGTACATGCAGAGGCTTTGGAGACGGTATGTACGGGATGTTTTTCTAGTCAGGAGTTGGATTTCAGGGGCAGAACGTGGCTATATTGAGGTCGGAATTTTGAGCGTTTCTTATTGTCAGAGGCACTTGGCAGGCAGATGTTTGTTTGTATAGATGATACCTACCAGAATGATACCAATATTATGCGCGGCGTCTCGCAAAGTAAAGTTGGCTATGCCCCCAATCTTCTCGTGTACGCTCATCTGCCGTGACCTGATTCTCGTCACCACCAACGCCTCGCTGCCCCCTTACAAAGAGTTACTGCTTCAGTATCGGTCGTTGATTCCCTTTTCCGTTTCCTGCGCCTTTCTCTCCCGGTTTGCATCAATCCACCACTTGTGCGACTCCTCCGTGCCGGTCCACTCCCCCTTATCGTCTATCTCGTCCCACGGCTTCGGGCTCAAGATGTAGTGGATGTTCTTGACCTGGTCGTCGCGCCAGATGGGATCGTGTACGCCCTTCCACCGCAGCGTCTTCAGCGCATTGTAGATGTAGGGCAGAGGCACCCAGCGGCCGCGGTACAGGTCGGACAGCAGCGACTGGTCGGCGAAGTCCATGTTGGCGGCATCGGCCTCCATGTGGGAGACGATCTGGTTGTACAGCTCGGCCGACGGGTTGACGACCTGCAGGCCGCCGTTCATGAAGCCCAGCGGCCCGACGGAAGGGTCGATACCCTCGGTCTGCGCAGCGTCGGGCGTCGCGTGCTGGAAGGTGAAGGCGCAGTTGGCCGGCACCCAATCCTTGGGATAGTGCGGCTTCTTGAGCGGGTTGCACACGCAAGCGTGGCCGGCGGCGAAGACACGGGTGCTATTCTCACGGGAGCCCGTCTCGCTGAGGGTCGGCGGGTCGAGATCGAGGTCCATCAGCTCGTCCATGTTGCGCAGCACGAGCATGTCGGAGTCGAGCTGGACGACGCGCGAGTACTCGGTCAGCGAGAAGGGCGTCAGCTTGCTCCAGCAGTCGTAGAAGCGCGGGTCGTTGGAGTAGTCGCGGCCCTTGGTGGGCAGCAGGTAGGGGATGTGCTGCGTGGCGATGCCGCGGGCGCGCAGGGCGGCGTGGCCTTCTTCGGGGAACGTGTCGGTGTAGAGGGCGACGAGCGGGTAGCGCGAGTTGACGCGCTGGAGGGAGTGGTGCAGCGTGAGGAGGCCGGAGAGATAGTCGAGGTTGGTGATGAGGGTTGTCCAGACTGCGGAGTGGATTAGCCAGATGCCATCAGACAAGCGTTGGGGAGTGTTGGTTACCCTTGTCTGAGTCGACGGCGCGTTTCCTCGTTTCTAATGCTGCCATTTTGTCCGTGTTCCTGGTGTTATTCGAGGATACGGGTTGGGGAGAGTCTGTCGAAGCTGTACAACCGAAGTGATGATGCCGTGAAGTTGCGCCAAGTGTCTAGTTCCGGGTGGGGGAGGGGTTGAACGCCGAACGAGGCCCGGAACAGAGGGGTCTCAGATGCTGAGCTTGCAACAGACGCGGGAAGAGCGATAAGGGATAGGGTGAAATAGAATAAAGAGGTTTTGTTCAATAAAAATTTAAAATAATTTTCTATTATTGAGCAATTGGTGTTGAGATCTTATGCGACGAAGCTCGATGGCGGGGCACATTGGCGAAGCTGTCATGACGCAATTGACAATTTTGCGATCCAAACCGAAAATACTAGTTAGTCTCGATCGCCGAACAGTGGAACATAGGTAGCTTCCCAGTCTCCAAAGCGCGGTACTTTTTTTTTCCTGGATTTATTTCTTTTCAAATTAATGCATACTGTTCCGTATTCCTAAGCATTGCTTTCATTATCTTTGACGGAGAGGGGCAGCATGTGGGCATTCGGTGAGGACCAGTCGACAAATCATGATTTAAAAGCAAATGCTTGCAAGCCAAGCTATCAAGCTCGCGTTATCGTGCTTCAGCCTCTCGATAAGGCAAGTCATAATCACCGGCCCGGTTTCCTGCAGTTTAAACGGAGTCGTGACCCAGGAGAGCGAGACCTGGGAGAAGATCAACAGCGTAGAGATGCAACACCGGCTTCTCAAGCTCCGGGTAATTCAGGAAACGGATCTCCCCGCCACATCCCAACTTGGACGCTCCATATGCTCATCAGACCCAATCGCAGAGGATTCGTGCTCTGGCGTGTTGTATCACAGGTGCATTTATTTATAACCCACCCTCCGGACTTGTCGCCGCGAATCGAAGGAGGGGGCCAGCAACAATAATCGGATCACCCGGCTTCCTAGTCTGCATGATGCGAGGGCAAAACAAAAACAGTCAGAGCATTGCATGTGAGACCTTGACGACTACGCAAGCGCAAGTGACGGCCTTCTTGATGCCACTGCTAGAGAGTGTCAGGGCGCATGGTGGAAGATACAGGGAGACAAGGTTAGCGGGTGGAGTGGCCCTCGAGACGGCGTCCAGCGAGATAATGCAAAGTCGAGGGTTGACGAAGCTCTACAATCCAGGGGCCAGATACCACCAGATACGCCCCAATCACGACGGGAGGAGACTGTACCTATACCATGGAGTACATGGAGTACTGCTGGACGGGATGGCACGAGCTGTCACGATGGTGGTGTCGACGGAGGAGGGGTAAGCGTACAAGACCGTACGAGGACTGTGTGCTCCTTTTGCCGGCCTTTCGTTTCGCAAGATTCGGGAACAAAAGAAGACTAGCAAAGATCTTCAATTCAGTCGGATGCGTCCCGGGGCCATTTGATTTGATTTGAAATGTGAGGCTGTCGGATGGTCCCGATGATGGGCAACTCAGAAGTATCGGTGGCCCTGCCGACGCTTGGTCGGTGAGGGTACGTACCTTTCTGTTGAGAACGGTCATTTTAGACAATACCCACGGTGAGCCGCATGCTTCACCTCGCCCTTGTCAGTACCAGGTCAAACTCGGTGAAGCGAGGCACGGCCGCACGGGGGGGCTGGTCAAACAAGCACAGTTCAACAGTTTCGTGACCCGTTTCCAAAACTTTCCAAAATAGCAACACGAAAAAGCTCCGTTGAAATTGGCCATTTCCTCGTGCCGCCTCAACGACCACCCCCGGCCTGGTTGCTGTCTGGTTGCTGTTCGCTGGGTGCTGGACCCGGCCCCCCGAGATATGCGTTTTCAGGCCGTGCTGGAATGGATCAGCCACCAACCGACTCAACAAGACAAGACACCAGCCAGCACAAACAACACGTGCTTCACCCCTGGACGGGCACTCGCACGCCCCCGGGCCGCTGCCGTACTACGTAGTACTATGTACGTAGTAGGCGGTGGGCGTCCCTGGTTGTGCTGCCCTCCCTGTGCAGGAGTACCGAAATCATGTACCTGGCTGGCAGCTACCGAGTGCTCACTACACCATCCGCAGCATTGAGCAATGACCCTCGAAGATGCCGACCACGGAGACGACAGTCGGACAAGATGGACGGTTCTCCGAAGATGGGCCTCGTAACTACGAAGAATTAATATCGGAATCAGAAGATGCTGCTCCTTCCTCTTTGCCGATATCGCCAGCAGCAGTCGGTCCCGGTGGCCCGCGGCAATGCTCAGCGGTGCCGACGGAAAAATCGAGAGACAGCATGTGTGCCTGGGACACAGAGGGCAGAGACTGGCGGCCAGCGCCCCCGGTCAAAAGGGGACTCCCGAGCAACCGAGATGGCGGGTTCCTGAGTCCCGTGGATGACAAGCCTTGGCCTGCCTGCGTTTCTCCTTGCTGCTGCGGACGTGGGGACCGAAGCCCGAAGGAAAGGGCCCTGTTCGGTGTTCGGTGTCACGGCTCGCCCTGGAGCTCGAGCTTGAATTCTGGGTTTGTGGGCGCTGCACACTGGCACAGCTCTCTTCCAGTAACCCCCAGCAATACCCCAGTGCCGTTCCGACAAGCGACTTTAGCTTGGTTGCCGCTTTTGGTGAGGGCGACCCAGGAAGACCCTAGAGGAACCCTTTGAAAGGTTGTCCCTGAGAAAGGCCGAGGGGGGGTGAGTTGCCGGTTTCACCTTGATTCATGTTCGAGTCTGGATGTCGTTGATTGCACGTCCCCTATCGTGGCTTAGCTGTGTTGTTTGAGTCCCATCCATCGAGCTTGAAGCGTCGACGGCAAATCTCACAGCTCAGCTAAGACACCCCCACCACGTTGACCAGATCTTCCGCCGTTCCCCTGCCGAGCCCAGATTGATCAGCAGAGAAACATGGGGGGGGAGAGGTGCATGTCGCTTAAAGCAGCGCTGCTCCACTTCGCAGTTGGCCCTCCATCCCTCTGAAGCTTTCTCAACGAGTTCCAATTCCAGTTCCCGTCCGCTCCCTTTTGCGATTTCCGACGGAGAGGGGCCCAAGAAAGGACGACGAGTGTGCCGTAGCAGGTACAGCGCAGTACGGCAGGCTTGTAACCTGCATTCAAAGGAAGCCCTTGGAGATGACGCCACCGCCATTCGTGCCCACAGACTCTCCTCGGAGGAACGTAGTGGATAGAACGATGGACAGCAGCGCACGTGGCGGTTTCTAGTTCCAAGTTTGTTTTGGCTGCCAAGGCTAGGGCCAGGACTGATGAGTCCCCGTGACACGTACGCTGAGGATGGAGAATGAGGCGAGGCCTCCTTGGGGATTCAGGGCTTGGGGATGTGGTCTGGAATCCCTTCAGCGCTGTTCACTCGGAGTGGAAACTGAGACACACCCACACGCCTTTCCTGTTTCCCCAGCGGGAACGGCAGTGCAAGGTGCAAGCTGGTGACAGGGCGGCGCCGCGGGTGAGGCGTCATGATTGGATCTCAACACGGCCCATGGCCTGGTTTCCCCGCCGCCATGGTGGTCTGTCAGTGGAGACGGCGCATGCATGGCGCGCGCGTTGCGTGTGTGCGTGAGCTTGTGCAGGTGTCGGTCAGAGAACATTGCGCGGTACGGGGAGCTTTGAGTGCATCGCGACGGACCCTCTTCCCTTCCAGCCCGGCCCTGTCCCGCGAGTGACGGGTGACCACCCTGAGCTGGAGCTGCTTTGTCCCCAGTGGGTGTGTACGAAGTACATAGTAGTACCAGGTCGAGCTCGGGGGGGCGGACCGCCAGCGGTGGTAGCAATTGTGTAATAGCGAGGAGGAGGAAGTCCGGAGTTTGAATAGTGTAGATGTGTAGAGTCACACCCTCTCTTCCCCTTGCCCTTCCCCTTCCCCCCCATCCATAGCCCATCCCCATTATGCCATTGTCTAAGGTAGGTAGCACTGCACGCCCTGAGTTGTAGTCGTACGAACATCTATATCTAGAGCTCCCAGTCTGTCCCGTCCCTCCTGTTTCCCCTCCATCTTATCCCCCCCATATCATCCCCATACCAACCTCGCCCTCACTCATCTTAACTCTGTCTCTTCTTATCTGCTGCCATTCCCAACGCAGCCCACCCGGACCTTCCATCCCTCAACATCCAATTCTCCCCCCCCCCCCAACCGCCTCCATTGTCTAGGAACCAATTCCGTGACTCTTATCAGCATCTCGTCTTCCGGGTCGCCTGATTGCCATTGTCCAGCCGTCACCGCTGCTGCATACACATATAAGCTCGGCCCCCCAGCCAAGTCTCGTAGTCCTCTTCTACACACAAACCAAACCAAGCCACACCACATCCATCACAATGTCGAGAATCACCGCTCCCGCCTCAAAACTGTCCCGCGCCATCTTGGACTCCCAGCGCAGCTCTGGCGCGGTCCTGATGCCCAAGTACGACGAGCTCCTGCGCACCCGCCGCGCCGACGAGGTATGTTTTACTGCAATGGGATAGACTTCAACTTCAATCCCATTACTCTCCCACCATCATGAACGTCTTGACTAACCATTTCCCAGTCTCGTCACATCACCACCACCCACCGCCCCACCCCTCAACCCTCCATCGCCAACCGCGCCCGGCCTCTGATGCAGGGCTTCCACTCATCCACGCCCAGCCAGACTCCCTCCGCCCACCTCGACGCAACGGTGCTCCCTCCGCTGCACCCGGTCCCGGTGTCTTCGGAGCCCCTTCCCCGCATGCCCCTCCTCCCGGACAACTACGGCGCCTACCACGCCTCGCTCTCCGACGCCGCCGACCTCAGCGCCCGCTTCCACGCCGGCGCCATCGTCGCCTCCGACCCGGACAACGTCGTCCCCGGTGCGCCCCTCGCCGCGGTTGAGGGCGTCACCATGGACGGCGTCGAGCTCAAGTTTGCCCACGAGCAGCCCCAGGATCAGGACCAAAGCACCCTCATCGTGGACCTGTGGCAGGGCATTGTCGACGATGTCATGGGCAGCCAGAAGAAGACCGCCTGATGGCCAGCTCCGCATCAATGGTCCGATATTGTCACGAAACGGGGGTGTTATACGAAGGTGACGGTCTTTTATGATAACCGACCTTGCTGGAATTAGGGATATAGCGTTGTAATTGCTTCCATGTTTGCGCCAGTGTTGCTGCTACGCACTCTAATAGTCTACCTGTGCTCCACTCGAGCTACGAATAGCCTTCATGATCTGGGCGAATCACAAAACTACAAATATTGAATGATTGTTCCAAGACAAACAAATGGCCAGAATCAATTTCCCACTCGGTGCTACCTAACATCTTGTGCCATGTGTTGTCTGGTTGTTTGGTGTGATAGTTGTTGTGTTGTATCTATGGTATCATCTCTCGTAACACCTCCCCATCCACCATGACTTTTTGTCCACTAGCTCAATTCCACCACCTCTCCCTCTCCATCTCTCGTTCTCAATCTCTCTTTTACTGTCGTACATACTTAATAACCAAACAAGATAGCCCATTCCATGTCCGCTCACCGCCTAAATCTCCACCCATTACAATCTGCCTTCACCTCTTCTTCATCGACGGCCGGGGCTTGCACTCGTCGTTTTGAACCGGGTGCAGCATGACCTTGATCGGATAGTTCTGTGTGTTGTGCTGGTAACCCTTGCTCCAGTCATAGCTGACGGCGTAGGCGAAGATGCTGCCGTTCTTGTTAAAGGTCGTGGACGTGATGCTACCACCCACGTTAGGGTAGCCTTTAAGACGGTGCTTAGCGTCCTTGTCCCAGAAGTGGAATGTGCCGTCGGAACCGGCCGTGCTGAAGGTGCCGTGGACGGGGTGGAAGGAGATGTCGTTAACGGCGTAGACGTTGGTGACGCTGTTGGCGGGAGGGTCGCGGTGACACTTGAAGGAGAAGTTGGAGCTGGACACGTTAGAGCCTGAGTGGGCATGCGGGCTAACTTTGGGGGCATCATACTTTGAATCCTTATCCTCCACGTACTGAATCGCGCATCGACCCTCGATACTACCGATGGCGAAGCCGGCCGAGTCGGTGAAGCAGCTCACCACCCTCGTCTGCCACTTCAGGGGGCTTTGGAGGGTCTTGTAGAACTTGGTCGGGTTCTTGAGGTCGATAACGTTGATGTAGCGGTCGGCCGTGCCGACAACGCAGAGGTTGTCCCGGACATCCATTGTGTAGACTCGCTCCTGGCACGTCACAGTCGCCGCGGGGCCCTGCTGTCGTAGATCCCAGTACTTGACCGTCTTGTCCCAGGATCCAGACACGACCATGGGTCCGCTGCCGCTGTCGAAGAAGCGGGCGGTTCGCACAGGCTGATCGTGCGTGCCGATGACGATATCCTGCTGCGAGGCGAGATCGCAGACCTTGATGTTCTTGTCGGCGCCGGCGGAGGCGATCTTCGTTCCATCCTGCATCTGGGGTTAGCACATCCTTCCGCAATCTGTGACCCTATCGCGTCCCCTAGAATAGAGAAGAAGTCTTACCTTGGAAAAGTCGACATTCAGGACGGGTTGGCTGTGTTCGTAGGCGTGGCGGCCTTGGCTCTGGCCATTCTGGGCAATCTCGTAGATGCGGACCTTGTTATCCCAGCTAGAGACGGCGAGGAAGTCGGGGCCGTTTGGCGCTGGGGAGAAGGCCAGGTCGGAGACGGCATCAGTGGGAGGGTCGGACAGGGCAACGTCCAACTTGAGATCGCCGACGGTATTGCTCGCCGATGCGGACGCGGCGCCTCCAAAGAGTCCCGACATTGTTGCGGTAGAGGCGAAGAAGGCAAATAGGGTGTGGCTGTTTTTTTTCGCGTCCTCAAGATGGGCGCGTACGACGGGGGGGCAATCGAAGACGGCGGGTTCGATGGTGAGATGGTCTCGCGAGTCGCAAGAGCACAGTTGTTATGGAGCGAGACTCAAGCCGGTCGTCGACGATGGATGCGCCGGTGCTTTGTAGCAGAGATAGTTGAACAGGCACGAAGGCAGCTGTCCCAGCCTTTCCAACACGAAGCTCGGATTGGCTGTTCCGCCGTCACCACGCGGTGAAAAAACGCCTAGGCGTACCCCTGCGCCTGCCTAAGGCCACTCCCCGCAGCCCCATCACAATAAAAATTCAAATCCGAGCTCCAGCTTTACCTTTTTCTTTCCTTCTTCACCACCCTCCTCGTTCAAAAAATCGCTATTCGGAGCTCACACACAGAGACGCTTGCTCCGGCAGCGTCTCGCTCCCTTCCATGCTCTGGGAGAAAGTCCCCGGACGTCTCTTTACCGAGAATGCGGAAACGCGCCGCCATAAAAGCACAGCGGCTGACCTCCGCGCCCAGGCCCTCTCCTTGCGCCGGCCCTGTCCACCGTTATATCCTCGCAACCAACCCAGCCTCGAAGCTTCTGCTCGGTTCCCTGGCCCTCATGGATGAAGATATGAGTCCGATCCAGGGTCTCGACGGTCCCTTGGAACTGGTGCGCGCGTGAGGGGAGGTGGGCAGCCGCTTGGTGCCTGCGAGTGTGGTGTCGGGCGCAGAGGATTTGTTGTCGAGGTTGATAGGTATGCGATTGCCCGGCGAAAGCTGGGTTACTCAATGGGGCTCATTCTTGACGCGAGGGGGGTGCCACCGTCGACCTTGCGGTGACGATTCCCTCTTTTTCACACTCTAAACTTCGCTGGAAGTTCCCTCGAGGGAATCGAAACTGTTTTCGAGACGGGGTTCAAGTTCACATGATGATGACCAATATTAGAGTCAAGCACTGAGGCAGGAAAAACTTGCCGATGCTGATAAACATATTTAAAATGTCAACTGAACAACTTGAATCCTGATTGTTTCTGTTTCAGATCCAGTCGTTAGTTATTATGGAGTCTTAGATAGATATTCTTGTTCCTTTGATGCAAACTTGACGTCCATGCCAACTCCCCAACACCGGGAGGTTCATCCCAGCTGCCTGTAGACTTGCAATATGATATGGTCTTTCGCCCATGTCATCTTTCAGGGAAAGTTCTGGGAAGTTCTTCTGCGTTGTTCTTGGAGGTCAGATAAAGGCGAGATCTCGAGTCATTCTCAGGCCATGCGAGATCGCAGTCACCCATAATCACCATCATTCGTCCTGGCTGTGTCTGGGAACCGATAGCAAGCTCTCCCCTTCTAGCATGGGTAAAGTCAACAATCCATGTCGTTCTGCAAGGCTTTGCTGGCGCTTGATATTGCGTACACTGTTCCCGGATCTATGGTTGGCAGAATATCTGTACGAATAGCCGATGCACCGGACCGAATCAAGGGTCACCAACCTATCCTCCAAAAGCCAGGCTTAACTTGTAGGTGACGCATACATCCGGCAATCAAACCAAGGGAATTAAATTTACCGCCACACTCCAGCCAGCCTCAGTAGCGTTGGTGATACCCCATGCCATCACTCGGATTGAACGCAATCGAACACCCCTTAACGACCCAACCCGAGAATGCTCGTCTTTGTTCACTAAATTTCCTGCGCTGTTCCTGGAACCCGAACACAATATCGAACATTCGGTAGTGGAAATGCAGCTTGGTATGTTCGCGAAACTACATCCGCACTTCTGTTAGGGCTCCCAGAGGCTGAGGCCAATGTAGTCTCCAACAACAGGCTCAAGCCCAGGTTGACACACATGTACGATGGGATAATGAGTCAGCCATTGCTTCTCCGTGAATACAAAATCTATCATTGAGGAAAACTGCTAAAGACGTTTGTCGGGCAAGAGGCCACCTCTCTGAGTGAATTAGGCGAAGATGGGGGCATGAGCAATCAGTCACTCCTCAGACGAGAATCCCTATTACAATACTGTGACCAAATCTCGATCTTATTGGCGCGTCGTGCGCTCGTGATTCTCGCACTGGTGGCGTTACAGAAGCCGGAATCGTTTTCCCCCGGGTTCGACGGCAATGCATGTGCACCTATAACAACACGAGGACAGTGATTCCAATCACAGGAACGTTGGAACCAAGCGGATCGGCAAGAACATTGTATGGTCCGGCTGATCTCAAAGGAGGTATCTGACCACGCAACATCCTCGCACGTCTCCAGTATGAGGGTTTCGTCTCAGTTGCAACAGTACCAGACGGACCATGGTATCATCGACCCAACCAACAAAAAGTAGGTAGAGGACGGCGTGGACATGCGAAGCTGAAGTCGGCGCGGTCTAACGATGTGGCTTGCTTGCTGCGGAACTCATGACGGAATGTCGCGAAGTATAAAACTCCCAAGTGTGCAACACCGTTCAACATATGGAGGCAGTATTATGTACTCTTCAGGTTTGACCTGGGCCCCTGTATCAGGTGGTTGGGGGGGATTCTGTCCTAGTTCTCAGGGCGCCCCAGTCACCCGTGAAGAAATCCCCCAAGTGTTTCGTTGTACGGTGGGTAGGGTCCCATTTTCGTCCCGACAGGCTAACACCCATATCTCGACGTCTAAAATAGCTCCGAATCATAGTTTATCGTGCAACTTCGCTCGCTTAAACACACACACGTCAGGAGTCGGAAGTCCGTCTCGGCATCGTCTTGTCACAGTCTCATCTTCGTCCAGAGTCGCCAGGCGAGCGTCCGGGACCACGGCACCGGCAGGGTAGCATTTCTACACGACGTTTGCTGGGCGGCGCAAAGACCTTTTGGCGACGCCTGCGCAACCGACCCTCGTCCGTCTTCCCCGCGATCGAATGCGGGCGATGGCCCCGAGGTACGCCCACCGCTGCATCATGGGCTTGCGGCAAGGAGCCGTTGCGCTGCGAGGGAGGTGGTGGCTGAGTGGGTGTGCGGATGGCCGAGGGGATTGGGCCGTGGAGAATCCTGGTCGTAGGGTTGGACTTCCGGAACGCGTCGACATGATCCGATGCGGGGATCCGGTGCCCTTGGGAAAGGTCCTTGCAGAAGGGAATTAGTAGAAGCGTGAAGAAGCGTGGACTGTCACCTCGTCAAGGGTGGCGACTGTCCTCTTTGCCTTGGCCTTTTGCAGCTTGACGTCTCTCGACAGTCCAGACGCAGGTGAGCAAGGATTCATTCATCGTGTCCCAGAGTCTAGATTTGACATATCAACACACTGACACAATAAACAACCTCTTCCGCCTTACCAGCCCTTCTGCCATTACGCGACTTGCTGAATCCGTAACATGAAAAGTTACCTATCCCATCGCGTCCCCGCCAATGAACCCGTCAACTCACCATCCTGGTGATCCTATCACAGAGCCGGCAAAATAGAGCAGCCAACCAACTGCGTCAGGGTCTCCAGCGTCTGTGCCACCTCCTCACAGCGCGCTCACTCGCCGGCCCCCAGGCACCGCAGCAGCCCCATAGGCCGGCCCCTGGCGCCGATGCAGGCGGTGGGCCCCCCACAGCAGGCGACCCACTGGCTCTCAGCGTCGCCCCGACAGCCCGGTCCAGCGCCACAGCTCGCCAGCCAGGCGAATTGCACCCGCGAGTCCACAGTCCACCAATTCTCGTCGACGCCGCCCCCCGGACTATTGCAATTGAGCTTCTGCGCGTGTCCGAATGAGGGTCACACGCCTTGTTCCGCTGCGACGACTAACGGGGCCGGGGAGCGTGCAGACGACGGCGCAGTTGGGGCTAACTTGCTAAGCGCAGGGGGCGCTTCGCCGTCACAACGTGGACGCAGGGTCCCCTTGGTCTTGGACTGACACTGAACTATCGCGCATCTCGCTCTCGGTTCTGCCTTTTACGCTTGGGGCTTGAGGGCTTGAGGGCTTGAGGGCTTGAGCGGGACGCAATGCGCCCCGGCCCTGTCACGTCGTCCCTTGGTTGGTGGCGCTGTTTCTCGTGGTGCCCCCCGGCTCGATCATAGGGCGATGAGGATGTGACGGTGGCGCTGGGGATGGACGCATGCTCAGATGAGGGTGCCGGAACGGGGTCCATGTATGGCGGGCTGCCATTTGCATGAAGAGGACTCGGTCACATTTTTCTTGCTTGGATTTGCTTCATTAAGGCTGTGCCTCTCGCTATTCCCTCGTCTTCGTGTTGGCTTGACCAGACTCACCTTATGTTGCGCCAACCCAGTCAACTCCACGTCCGCCCATCCTCCAACGACCAACAAGTAGCAGCTCGTTTCACCTCGTCTGTGGGTGACGACATCCCCAACAAACTTCCACTGTCCTTCAGCCTCTGTGTGTTTGTCCCTCTAATCGATCTCTCTCCGCCAAATCGACCGTCGTCGAGCCAATATCTCACCATGATCCTTCACCGCGTGCTCCTCTTCACTACAACGGCCCTCCTCGCCACCGCCGCTGCTACCAACGCAACCGACCTCGCAGCACTTGCGCAGTTCCAAGCAAGCCTCCCCAAGTGCGCCGTCAAGTGCCTCGCCGTCGGCGCAAAAGAGCACGGGTGTGAAACCACAGACGTCGAATGCCAGTGCAGCCAGCTCGAGTCCATCATCAAGACCACGTCGCCATGTCTCGTCAAGGCCGGTTGCGATCTTGACGAAATTTCCGGTATGTGAACCATACATTCTCCTCTCGGCATCTTTCCCATTCTCGTCACCTGCTTCACACATGTTCATCCTTCAACATCTGTCCCATCAACTCTCACTGACTTGTGGTCAAGACACGGCCAACCTCGTTGCCAAACTATGTGCCTCCCAAATCGCGAACCTCGTCGCCACCCAGACCACCGCGGCCGCCAAGGCAACAGCATCAACCGCTGCGGCAAATATTCTACCCCAGGACCTAGCCTGGGCTGGAACAGCAGCTGTATTGGCAGTTGTGGCCGCTGCACTATAGGGAGCGTTGTTGTCCACAACCGGCGGGCCAAAGGTTAATGGGATTCGAGTGTTTATATCGCAAGGCGTTAGATATCAGGATGGTTTGGGCGTTTCTCGCAGGGGGTTCTATTTTATGTAAGACGACAACATGACGTAAAATTCTTCATGCGCAATTCTATGTACATCATAAGCAGGTCTGCTATATAAATGGCATACTTAATATTAGAGGTTTGCCAACTCTCCGCAACATTACCCACGGGGTTTCCATGCCCCAATTCCGTCTTTGAACGCCATCTATCCGAGTCAGCACTGTCTTTTTCCATCTTCTTATCGTTCGTCTTCTCTTATTCCACCTCTTGGTCTAGATCTCTAGGGCCCAAACTTGCCCAACGCTCCGTTGTTGCCGCCATCAAAGACATCATGCAACTTCTCCAGCTCGTGGAAATTTGAAGCCAACTCCATACCCTTGCGGCGCTGCGCCTCGACTCGACGCCAATCCCACTCGCCCTCGACCGACAGATCAACATCCGACACATCCACAGACATGTCGCCCACCTGCTCCTCGCCGCTCATCCAGCCGCCGGGACGCTCTGGTAGCAGACCCGACTCGCCACCGAGGACGTAGGCTGGGTGCACAGTGAAGCGGCCGAGTTTGAAGACGTACTTGCTGATGGCCGTGGCGTAAATCTTCTTCTCCCAGCCGCCAGCAGGATCATTGGGTCCGCGCTTGCGAATCTTGGCGCAGCGGGCGTCGAGCCACTCAGTCGGCCGGGCAGCGTTCTTGGGGATGAAGTGGGTGACGATGTACAGCCACTTTCGGTCCCAGGAGAGCACGCGACTCCACATCTCGAATCCACTGTAGGCGGAGATCTCGCGCTTGAAGCTGCACTCGACGGCGCCGAGCATGATGCCGATGGGGCCCTTGACCGGGGCGCCCGTCTTCGGGTCCAGAACGATCTTGGTCTGCGAGTTGCGCGAGAGGGACGCCATGGAGGCACGGCCGAGGTACGAGACGAGGTGGGTTCGCGAGATATCAAGGTCGGCGAAGTAGGTCGAGTTGGACTTGTGCAGGTTGTAGTCGATCTCGAGGATAGGCGAGTGCGAGGGAGTGATGATGGGCTTGAAGAGCGCATTGGGGCCGTGTTTCGGGGACTTGCGCAACGACATGTGGTAGAAAATGGTGTAGAAGACGCGATACTGGCTTCATGTTAGCGATTGTGCGATATGGGAGACGGAGCTGCCGTAGCATACTTACGGTCCACGCGAATGGCATGTTCTTCCAGTTAAACAGGACAAACAGCAGCAACAGTATCCTCGAAGTGCGACCAGGACCCATTATGAATGACTTCATGAGGGGAATCCAGCTGACGCGCCAGGCGGCATATCCTATAGAGCCGACGGCGAGGGGCGCAACGACGGGCACTACGAGCGACAGCCCGGGCAGCTTCTTTGCGGCAGATGCCATGATGGATAGGAGTTCTCGCAACTATTCTCACTCCCTAACTTTGGCGCAAGGCTCGGTCTAATCGGAATTGTCGTCAGCGCCAGGATTGCGATATCCCAGTGAAGATCTCGAAAGATAAGATCAAGATTGCTTGCCAGAAGAGGGAGTGGAAGCCTGGTAGAATTCACTTACTTGGGTAGTCATCCACGAAACTCGGGCAACTCGCATCCTGGCCCGGTTAGTCAGCAATGCCGCTCTTGCTCAGGCTCTGATCACCCTGGCTCCGTGATGCTCAGACTTTAATCACCTCAACCCCCCTCCCTCCAATAGGATGCATGCGACCCCGTCTATTACAACTAATATCGCCTCGCACTTGCCCTGTCTCTCGTCGACTTTATGCGACCTTCGCCATAGTTGAAGATCCCATCACCGGCGCCAGGGGCGCAGTGATGAGTACTAGTTGGCTCATAAGCCCGGCTTCTAGCACCCTTCATTCTCTTGATACCTTAGGCCCTGATCGGCTCGCAAAATGTAGGAGTTGAGAGTGGATGCACAATATTGTTCAGCATTGGCACATCATGCTAGCATTTGCCTCTGACCATTTGCCGTTGCCTTACTTTCCGCTGCTGCCTCTGCTTAATTTGTTCCGATGATCGCAAGGCGACACCATGAACCTTGAAGACGCGACCGGAACGCATCCAAACATTCGAATTTGAGATTGCGACACTTGGGATGTTCGCACCGGATCTTTTCCCCACATTGCTCAGCCTGCTCGCGCCTGATCAAATGCTCGCCATCGAAATGATCGTTCATCACGGTTGGCCGACAATACGTAAAGGAGCGCTCCGCCAATGATAGCCGCTCGTCGCCAATGCAGTCTGGGCATTGTGCGCCGTGCATGAGAAGAGGGAAAGGACCAGAGCCGTGCTCAGCATTCGACTGCGGTAACTCAGTTTTGACTGGCGGGCAAATTTTGACTCTGTGCTGGATCCGATCGCGTTTGACCGTCTCTCTCTTATCGCAAAGGGAGACCATCAAGTCGATGACCTCAATCCTCCGTTGCACCAGGTCATCTTTAACCAGATTGTCAGGCTGGTAGCAAAGAATTCCCGCCAGTTTTGCCCGCTCCGGAATCGATACATTAATAATAGGCTCAATATACTCCTCTTCTTCTTCACCTCGCGCCTGTCTTACAATATCCCAGGTAGGGCGGTTATAGAAGTAATGCTCACAGTATTCCTTGACTACCTGCCTGTCGCGTTGGGCACGAATCTCATTGGTAAGCTGCCGGATCCTTTCCTCATCTGGGTGACCTTCGATTCGGTAGTGACCCTGCTTCAGGCGGGCCCGTTCTTCTTCAAGCTCAACGATCTCAGGATCCAGCGCCAGATTAGCCCACACTTCCTCAGGCACCATATCCGCTGTCGCCTGAGGGTCGCGCGTGAGACTGACATGTGCAAAGAGTCGGAAGAGCTGGCTTTCCTTCTCCTCCTCCAGGAAAGCATTCTGAATATCGAAGTTGGTAATCTCATTCAGGTACGCGTGATGAAAGGTGGCAAATTGGGGATCGTGGCGCATCATTTGGTCGCGTACAGCATCTGGTGCATCACCTGCAACATGAAATGGTTAGAATATTGTAAGAAGCCTTTCAAGTACCCGGGGGCCTGGGTGTGATCGCGTATAATATGAAACATACCATTAGCGGCATTCGAGGCGCCTCTTCTGGCGAATCTGGGAGTCCATCTCTTTTCATGCCCTGAGTCAAGACTTTCTGACCCATATCGTCATTGAGCTTGGAATAGAGCATAGCCTCGATTCCCGAGAGCGTAGTCCCTCGATATCGACGGAAAACGGGGATTTTGAGCATGGATTTCTTCCATCGGAGCGGCGTGCTTTGCTGGAACTTCGGCGGTTCCTTGTCGAATATCGATGTTGCATTTATTAAACTTGGCGAATCGAATGCTTTGTCGTGTAGAGCGAGGGAGAGGATGGTTGAAACGGCGCAAAAGATGAGCTTCCTCGTGGGTGAGAAATAGAAGATGGTCCTGTAGTGAAGGCGATTAGTTAACAGACTTTGAGTCGAGGCGAGTATAACAACATACGGCCTAGGTTTATTGTCTGCTCCCTTGTGATGAATGAATTTGATGGCCATGGCCGGGATACAACGTCCGGTGGCAGGGTGCCGCACAATCATCATCATGATATCCTCATAGCACAGGGCCTTGGGTCGCCCGCGGCCAACAGTCTCCTGAGATAGGAGGCTTTCAAGCAGTTGAGAGTCCTTATCAGGAGCCGATTCCTGTTGTTCAGGGTTTTCACTATTGTCGGTAGATGGTGGGGCCTCGACAACCTTTCGACCGAAAAGCTGCTCGACTAATCCGTCTTTTGGCTTCTTCCGTTCGCCATCCACAAGCTCAGCTGGTCGTGCACCGGTATAGCAAAGAAGTTGGTAGCAGCAGGTAAGCTGTATACGATGTCGTTCGCCAGGAAAAATGCTCGCATCATAAGCGATGTTGAAGGTTCAGATGACGAGAAGGTTATCGACGTTCAGAACCGGCTTGCCGTCAATGTTGGGCGGGCGGTGGCCAAAGCGAGGAATCAGAACATGCCTAGTCAACCGTAAGCCACATAGACGGTCTGCTATATATGGGGTCACAAGCTTTATCGCACTTTGTAAACCTCCTTGGCATCATTACGATCCATATACTGCCCATTTATGGTCGTATGCAGTTGTTGGAATTGCCGGATGTACTCTTCGCCTGTACCCCATGATTTTATCTTTGAGTTTTCGCAGATGTAAAGGAAGAAATCCTGCGTCGTCTGTCGCTTCAGATTCTTTATGGTCGCTTCCCAGTCCCCAACCTTGAGGTCTTCGCAGTATCTGCCAAGTCACCAGAATAAATTAGCACGAGCCTCTAGAGAATTCCGAGATATTTTATATGTATCCACTGCGCGACAGCTGTGCTTACCTCTTCCACTTTCTAAAGATCCCGCTGACATTGATCTCCGTTCCATGCGAGTATGTTGGCTTGATGAAGCGGACGTTGCTCAGCTGTGCTCTGTGAGCGGCATGCTGCTCAGCCGAGAGCTTCGGTTGCTGCTTCGCAGCTCGATTTTCTGCCTCTCGTGCAACAAATCCTTGAAGAAACGCGGCGTGGCTTTCCTGAATGAGGCTTGCAGTGGCTAGTCGGGTGCGTGAGGAGGTGATCACGTGGGACATCGTCTAGGCAGAGCATTTGCCGTCGGGAGACGCTCAAAACCTGCGATGGTGGAAACGTGCGATTATTCTGACAGAAATGAGTGTGTGAGGATGAACCGATAGAGGACGAGGAAGCGAAGTGAGCGAGCGCAAGGCGTAGAGGCCCTCGCGGCCCTTTAATGGGGGAGGCCATTCCGACCATTCCGACCATTCTTACCCCCGATGGCCACTTCTAGACGCTGGATGAGCACATTGTGGATAACAGGAAGCGCGAAGCAGGAAGATGGAAGACGAACGATGTCAGACCTGGGGGCTCTGATGGAGGGGACAAGAACTGCTTCGCTCGTTAGCTTGACACTAGAAGCTCGGGGATGACGCCTTACCTATGTTCGCCTCTTCGATCCGGTCGAGGATCCGCTGCAGCTCAGCGGCCCAAGTATAGTCCGAGGAAGTTCCTAATCTCCATTAGACGATAAGCATCGAGGCAACGTTCAGACACGCACCTAATCCGGACGCAAGCTTGTCGGTGCGCCTAGGGTCCAGCTCATGTACTAGCCGCGTACCCTGCACTGCATTAATAGGCACCAAGTTATTACACCAGGTTTTCAAACAGCTCGACCTAATCTGTGCGCTCTATCTTGCCCCAGAGCGCCCAAACCAGCTTCCATCGCCTCGTGCCGTAAGGCCGGGGTCGGAGCGAGCCTAACGAGATATCATCACTTAGCATTATAGCCTGGCTAGTACGGTATATAGATGCGTTACTCATATTACAAAAAGTAGTAATAATCTAGAAAATATCCTATACTGCTACTGTTAGATAGCTTGATATAACTATAAATGCGTATATGTATTATGTGTGTGTTTTTTTATATTACCTTAGTTAGGGGTATATATATCTCTTTTTTTCTTTTTTAGAATAGCTTGCTAGGCTTTTAGCAGGCCTGAGTTAAGTTCAGCTTAACTTTCTTCTATGTTATCAACCAACGTTGTCTGCCTGGAGCCTGGAGCCGGGCCGTATGCCAGGGTACTGGCACAGTATTGCCTTCTATGTCCGCAACTGTATACTGGCATAAGCAAGCAAGAGCCTGAAACGATGCCAAGCCCTTAGCTCAGGTTAATCACCCACTAGATCACCCTCTGCTCAGGTTAAAGCGGCGACAGCTCAGGCCCAGCGCCAGAAACGGATTGAGACTGCAAGAACTGTCGGGGGTGACTATTTAGGTAGTCTACCACGAAACCCAGGACGCCCGCGCCCCGGCCGGTTAGTTAGCACCGCCGCTCTTGCTCAGGTTTTAATCACCCTTGCTCAGTGAGCATCACCTTTAATCACCTCAACACCCGCTCCTCCGACAAGCTATTTATCTCGTCCAACTTCGTACCTGATCACACCCAACTTCTTCTCGTACTCTTAGCGACTCTTAGGGATCAGGTAGCTTGCCACTACTTAATTACCAGCTCTACACGACTCATAGATGGCTTAGCAATAATGCCAAAGAAGAAGAGCGCCTGAGACTTCTTTTGCTAGGGATGAGAGAAAGGCTCTAGCTATTGCACTGAATGCACTAAGAACTCTGTCATCTACAAGCAGGTCGATAACAAAATGTTACGGCAATATGACTGTAAAATCCGTTGTCCACCTTGTGGCCAAAGAAGCAAGCGACGCCTTACCTATGACAATGCCTGCGGACGGCCTGTTCCGCCTCCAGCGGTAGTTGTTCTTGACGCGGCCGCTGCCGATTATAGCTAATGTTGTTGATCCAGCCTGTTGATGAAGCACTGCTGTTGTTGACCCGTTCAACTTGTTGACTGGTGTGATAATTATAATCGTAGCTGCTGCGGTTATTGCTTTTGACCGCGGCTGCTGGTCTTTGCTTAAAGCGTTGCCCCTCCAGGGGCCTACGGCGCCGTAGCTAAGGGCATAGAGGGCATTCATAACATCGTATTACTATAAAGTGGGCACATTTCCTGTCAATTGAAGGGATTCAAGTCTTGACATTTTTCAGAAACCAGTTGCAAAACGATTTTCGATATTACATTCTGTTATTCTCGCTCGTATAGAAGCCCTGCTAGCAGCTGCGCCCCTCCTTCTTCCTGCACAGCGTCGCTTGATAATTGGCCTCTAGAATCAGTGTTCTAACCGTTATGGCGACACGCTCGCAGGACCAGCAGCTCGTTGCCGATATAGCGTCCACCACCGGACTTATTTCTTTATCATGCTCTCCCGGTCAGGGCCAGTGCCAATCCATTTTACCTATTTAATGTTAATATATTAAAATGTTTAAAACAACCCTCTAAATTATAATCTCACCTTGACTCTAATAAAGCTTTCAATGAACTAGCGATAACACTTATTAATACAGCCCCTTAATAATAATACGATTCTTACCTCGACATAGTCTTGCGCCTGCTTGGGAAGATCATCGAACGTCTTCACGTTCGTGGTCGGTCTCTTCCACCCCGGCATCTCGTGATAAACAACATGAGCTCGATCGAGAGTATCGGGATCCGAAGGGTACGAAACCAACTCCTACAAAATTAGTAAGTATCTGCTGGCAACTCTATAGGAGACATCTATTAACTCACCTCACCGGACTCAGGTTCCTTGTACGCCACAGCGATCTTAATCGTCTCGAATGTATCCAGCACGTCCAGCTTTAGAGGTGAAGGGAGTCAGCCACTGTCCGATTGAAAGGGCGAATAAAATTAGAGATTTTTAGTTACCTTAGTTAAGTTAAGTGCCGTATAATAATTGATAGCCATGCTATATCGAAGGACCACAAGATCTGTCAGATATATATTAGCAATACTGGAAGAATATACAAGACTGCAACAAGCGATTTCAAGTACCGAGCCTATGTGAATTAGCTGAGACTTCTTGTTACAAGACTTAAGTATCTGAGCAACTTACCAACCACAACGACGCCGTCGACCAGTGGACGTTCCCTTGACATAATTAGCAATGTTATAATAAGTTTAAAAGAGAGAGAAAAAGTACCCATTCTTTACCCAATTCCTGGAGTTTCGTGCCAACTCTGTTATATGTAATTAGCAAATAAACATATTTTGTAAGCTGAATGACTAACTCTCCAAGATCTTCAGTTTTGAAACTGCCCATCCCAACTCGGGTTGTATCTGTTTCTTATTAGTATATATAAGTAAACAAATAGGTGAAAAAGCCACCAGCGGCCGAAACTGGTTGGAATGATGTTGCTTTCAGCCAGCTGAATGTGTGTCGAGCGTACAGGATTTGATCACCCCGATCACTTCAGTGAGGCCGCGGGGATTAAGGTGCAACCCGCCAATAATGCCTGCCACGGTTGTGGTAGAACTTGTCACATATCTTGTTCACTGTTAATGGCTGACATCTGGTTGATATAGGTTTAGAATACATACGGATATGACCCAACGTCGAGATCTAGCATCAAGGCCTTTTGCTAAGGCGGACCGAGCAATGGCCCTGCGCAGGCACATTTGCTCAGGCCACCGAATAGATCAGCGCGGTACTTCGCTAAAGAAGAGAGCTCTTACGTTGGCACCCTCCACAAGAATGTTCATGTTGTTCTCTTGGGCAGACTGCATGAAGGGCACGGCATCGATCGCGAATCTAGCAAGCTTCGGACGATATTCTCTGAAACGGGCGATTTCGTCCTCAACGTCATATCTGGTTTGGCAATAGCGTCAGAATGGGCGGCATAATCTGCAATGAGCTGACTCTTACCTTAGCAAGTCCCCATATCTCTTGGCGAAGCCTGATGCAAGTCGCCGAAGTTTTGACTCAAACAGCTCAGTGTTGAAGACCTCTGCTAATCGAATACCACTTCGCTGTTGAGCACATTTTAGCGTTGTTTTATCGTCGCTTTGGTGTCGTCCTTACTGCAGCCTTTGTACTGTAACATGGGCCAATTCCACGACCTGTAGTTCCAATTTTATGCTCTAGAATGCGATATTAAAAGCTGTTAGAGAGTGTTTTGCGTACTTAGAGGACTGACTACTTACCTCCAAGCTCAACCTCTTCAAGGCCATCGACAGCAAGGTGAAGGTCCAAGTTGATATGAACTCGGTCCGAGACGAGAATGCGATCGTAAACTTGGGGGAGGCCTTTCTCATCAAGTTCCTTGAGCTCGCTGAAGAATGATGGGCTAAAGGAAGTCAACTTGCCAATCGATAGAATTGGAACCGGGGGGTCGCAGTTACTTACACATGGAAAACAACACCTGAACCAATCAAGTTCGTGCTAAAATGAGGAATCAGTCCTGCAAAGCTAAAGCAATGAATCGAATGAATTACCAATTCGGGTTGATGAGACCAGAAGGAAGAAGGTGGAAACTAGGCGAGTAAGCACTTTCTCCTAACTCTGACGGTGCGATGTGACTGCATACCTGTATGACACACCCTGGGTACTGTTCTAGAATTAGCAAGACCACTCTAATACGCCTACACAGATCCGTCTCGACTTACACAATTTGATGCCCTGCGTTGTGACCTCCGGCGGCTCGCGCACAGAGTTGCGCGTTAGTAGCAAGAATGTCGGTCAGCTTTCCTTTCTGTTGGTCACGCTCGTCAGAAGAAGTTCAATATTGCGTGTGGAGGCAGACAAACCCCTTCATCTCCTAGAAAAGCAGGTTCACGTTAGTACATATCCATGCCCCGGTGCTTAGCGATGACAGGGCTGTAAGTACCCCATTGAGAGCCGAGAATCACAGTGATCGGCATGTTTCGAGATTCGAGAAGGTGTCGAAGCAGAGAACAGCACAGTTAGAAAGTTGCGATGAGAGAAGATGGAGCTCTTGGACGATGGGGTAAAGAATAGAACTTTGTGCGGGGTTACCTCAAACCTAACCCTTGTTGGGTAATAAAGTGGGGCGTGCTTCGATTCGACTTCCGCCACGCTCGGATCAGAATTTTTCATGTGCCCCTCATAACCACTCGACCAATTAACGCGGCCAATGGCCCTGTATAACCCCCAAGAAATGTTCCAAGCACTTCCTGGAGGTCCAGGTACACGCAACGACTCCGCATCCTCCGGGGGTTCAGGGGCCCTGTTGGAAGCCGACTTTTTATTTCCATCTATATGCCCTCCATAATCAACAACGATTTTTGCTGACGATGCGTCCGAATGGAACATTGTAGAAGGCCACACGCAATTGAAATGTCAATAGGGGCAAAGAAGGGAAAGGAAACGCTAGGGGGGGGAAAAAGCGATTCGGGCTCTGACTCAGAGGGACATGTTCTTAGATGGTTTGCACGCGGACACGGCGTGCGAAATATGTTAGAAGACAGTAAGGTGCCGCCCGGTGTTTATGGATGCCTGGAGCCCCCGCAGTGGTTCAAATGATTTCGCAAACCTTTAGTTATGAGTCACCGCTTAGCCCCTTCTATCTAATGGTACCCCCCAACCCCAGCTTATTTTGGTACTGGACTCTCTGTCTTTCAGCCTCAACAACGTCCCTTCCTGGCAGCGCGCGCCTGTGGCGTCGTCATCAGGTTGTGTTGTGAGAGTGTGGCTTCCTTATCATCCGAAGCTCTCTCGTCCATCAAGAGTCGTTTGACAGCCTCTGGCCACTTGAGGGCTCGCGAGACTGTCACAACTGCAGCGCCGTGCATGTGGGTGCGTAGCGCTCCCTCCATCCTTAGTTGCCAAATCCTGGTACGGCCGACAGCACCAGGGACCAAAAATCAACGAATGCATGCTTTCCCCAAGCTAACATTTAATAGGGTAACTTCCCATCCTCGCCACTCTATATCTTCGAATATCGCGCTATGTCGTCAGCACCAGGACCCCACACAGGGATTCTGCGTGAGGAGAACCTCGTTCTCCAACAAATCTTCGGATACGGCGACCAACCAATGCATGCGGATCCAATCCCTCGAACCGGCTTGCCACTGCCAGGCTCATCTATCAAGGACATCCTCCTTGTGTCTGTAGATGTTGATACTGGAGGAGGCTATGAGGTTATCTCGCCAGACCAGAGCTTCCACGTCGGCATATCAATATTCGATACCCGCTACCTTACCAGCAATAGCTCGACCGATCCGCAGAAAGCTATTGCATCCTATCAATTCATCAATCGAGATACAAAACCCTGTAAACAAGCAGCGAAGCGCTTTTTGTTAGGTGCTACAGAAATACAAACGCTAACTGCCATCGCTGCAAAAATCTCGGCACTTACACAAGGCAGAGATTACATCTTGGTCGCCCATGGGGTAAATGAAGATCTCAAGTTCCTGAATAATATTGACGCAGGCATCGCTGTTAGGGCATGCTACATACTGGATACAGTGAAAGCCGCCCAATATACCCTACAGCTGCACTATCGGTATAGCCTGGAGAAGCTCCTCGACGCACTGAGCATACCTTACGATCATTTCCGGCTTCATGCTGCTGGGAATGATGCCTTCTTTGCCCTTAAGGGACTACTTATGATTGCCGCCCGCGACATATCCGCCAAACCCCACGCCTGGGCGCTTGGGAACCAGCAAATGATCGGTACACAAAGCTCAATTGCCACTATCCTCGAAGCTGTTGCTTGTACCCCGTATTCCCTACTGGCAGACAAGCCTCAGCAAACTCCAGTCCCAGAAAAACTGTCGAAATTGTCAATCGGCGCTAAGCGAAGACTTCGCGCGGAAAGAAAAGCAATCCGTCGAGCAAACCAAACTTTGGCAAGCACAAGTGAACTGGATCAAGATGTTAGCCATAGCCCTGATGGCACGTGATCGAATGATCTTGTTACCTAACTGTCATGTTGCGTCTCGAATGGCATCATCAAAGCCCCACCGAACAGATCACAGCGATGGGCCATATAGCCAGCGCCATTAGGTGAAGGAAGGAAAGGGCAGATAACTACCCGGCCTCGTCGGTTTAATCACAGGGCGAGGCTCGGTCTATGGCAGGCGTCATAGTCGTCTCCGAGAGATCCGGCCTCGATACCCAGCCGCTTGTCAGTTACTCGATTTGTCTCTTGTACGAACTTCTACAATCTTTGTGCCCAAAATAGCTCTACTTTATCAACTAACAAGGCCCATAGGCCTGAACCGCCAGCTATCGACGGAGGATTGTCTTGTGCCGCCACAAGAATCGTACAGCTCCCGATTTCGCGAGCATGGTGTTAAAGATGAGGCCGAGACTATCGGTCTTCAGACAGTTTACTAAGATGTTTTGATCTATTACGTCCCTAGGGAGGCAGTGCGTGAAGTTAGATATGGCAAGTTTCTTTTTTGACTGTAGATCCGGATCCCGCGCAGGGGTGCTATCGCGTGCCCGGGACCTGGAGCCGGGGCGGCATGCCAGGGGCACTACATAGTAAGAATAGGATGATTATTTATATCAACACTGTGCGGGCCTGAGACAATGCCAAGCACGCACTTACATACTTAGCTCAGGCTCTCATCACCCCTGCTCCCCTAGAGATCACCCTCTGCTCAGTTTAAGGCAGCGACAGCTCAGGCTCCACACTATAACGGATAGTTTTAACATGATCTAGCATAGGTTCCCAGCTCTCCTGTAGGTCCTTGTTGTATGTGCTGGGTAGGCCCTTCTGCGTCATCATGAACTTATCGTTATCGAGCCCGGCTCAGCCTTATCGGTGGGGGCTCGGCCGAAAGCTATTGGAGGCAGCGAATCGTTGGGGCCTCGGCGGCGCACTGGACGGAGTTGTCTTGCAGATCGGAGAATGGATTTCGTGGCAGTGTCTCGACGTCAAAAGGCCGATCGGAGTCTAAGAGACTTGGCGGGTGTTGAAGCTCGGCGGTAGGTGCTGTGTCTGGGTGGTTTACCCGGAGCTGGTGCACCAATGGCGTGGTACAGGCTGGCCGCTCCGGAACGAAAGACCAACAATGCTGGTACTACAGGGAGAAACATGCTCAACAAAAGGGAAAGGATCATGCCATTGGAACCAATGTGTTACGTCTTACGGAAAAGGAGCATCTAGTGATAGAAGCGAACATGCGTAGAAGTTGGCAACAAATGCAAAAAGAAAAGGATAATCGATGGAATTTAACCACCTAAATTGGACGAACAGGGAATCGAACCCTGGACCACTCCCAGATATTCAGACGAAACATGCTAAGGGAGTATTATACCACTAAACCATTCGCCCGGTTCTTGTTGTAGGATGTCGTCCTAATGAGGTATATTTGTGTCGGACGAGATAGAGCGGGGCAGTTGAGCTGTCGCACCCCACTACCATCGTCTCTCCCCTAAGTTACCCTGCATCCTTCAGTTGCTAGCGGTTCGGTGTTATACATGCCGAGATCTGTCTTTACTTTTTGTCAAGTGGTCGGTGACAATGGTTGAATGTTTGTGAATACATGGTTTTAAATTCATGGACTTGTGACTTTAGAGTAGATGAGTCGGTGGTTGTCTTCAGTTTTGTTTAAATTCTTCTATCCTCTACACAATTACAAAGACTTTTCAACCTCATCAACAGCGTCAAGCACCGGCTTCCAGTTGACCCATTCAACATCACCGCCAGGAATTCCCCCGAAGAGCGGCAGCCTCGTGCCGTCAACGTCGCCAAAGCCCCTCAACCTGCTGACGGCCTCCTTAATGCCGACAGTTCCATACCGCACCACAATCTCCTCCATCGAGCTGACCTTGAACTGCAGCAGGCGGCGCTCGGCCACCTCGGCGGGTGTGGGCTGGCTCTTGGCCGACAGCTCGTACAGGCGCACCAAAGTCTTGGGGAAGAAGCCCGCGGAGCCGTCGATGGCGCCAGAGATGCCTACGGACATTACGGGGAGCAGCTGCTGGCCCAGGCCGGTGAAGGCGTGGAAGTGGTCCGGGTCGATGGCTGGGTTGGCGCCGATCTGGGCGTGGTATGACACGTCGCCGTGCGACAGCTTGCAGCCCACGATATTGGGGTGCTTGGAGAGCGTGGCGTATGTGGAGGGGATGACCTTGACATTGTTTGAGACGCCGGGATAGTGGTAGCTAGACAGCCGTTTAGCGGACTTTGATCAGATATTCCAGGGCGCTCAACTTACATCATAACGGGGATGGGGCTCTGGTCAGCCACGGCCGTGAACCACCGGATGATGCCATCCTGCGTCGTCACAACGGCATTGTACCCCGGCACAAGACACAACCCCCACTGGGCGCCGGCCGCGTGCGCATCCTTGAGCTGCTCCACCGTCTCCTCCACGCTGTTCGTCGCCGTGCCCGCAATGATGGGGTAGTCCTTGAAGCCCTCCTTCTCCAGCGCGGCCTTGATGCCGCCGAGCACCTTGGTCCTGTCGCGCGGGTGCAGGTGCACCGCCTCTCCCGTGCTGCCCAGCGCCACGACGCCGCGTATGCCCGCTTTGGCTAGATACACGACGTGCGCGCCCTGGGTCTCGATGTCCAGCGGCGGGGTGGTGGCGTCGTAGTTGGCCGTCTTCTTGGCTGCGAAGAAGGTAGGCACAGGCACGTACATGCCCGCGGGCGGAGGGGCAGACATGGTGAATGAGGTTCTGGGAGTATTGACTAGGAGGAGGTAATGGAAACCGCGTAGAATAAGAACCGGACAGGATGGCGTAAAGGGCTGGGGCATATTACTACCACGGCAAGCATATAAGTACACAAGAGACATCGTGGGATTGTAAGCCGAGCTTCGGAGGCTCGGGACTTCGGGGTAGTTGGCAGCGACACTACCACGAATGGGCTTTACAAACTGACACAATCCGGTAAAGCGTGTGAGCCTGCCGTAATCAAGAACTGACAAAGCCCCAGATGCTACAAACGAGACCCACGGAGATTCCGGAGGACTTGGTTGGGCCATGCCAGGTCTCCGGAATTCCCAGTTCGCCTTGCTACGGCCCAAAGACGTAATGCGCCATCTAAATGGCCGAGAATGAGTTATTGAAGTAGTTTATTTCGCTTTGACAACCACTAGATTGAAGCTTCAACTGACATATGCAGGACCAGATACTGACGATAGCATGATCTCCTCATACACAAGTCTCGGAGACCCCGAGCTGTTTATTCAAACCTTTATATCCGATTCCTATACCCGTCTTGTGGTTCCCTACATGGTGACTCCTGCCGGTCATGCGGGATTCTACGTGTTGCTGCAACTGGTCAACTCCGACTTAGGACCGGCATTTAAATACCCGGTACCCGGTCAAGATATGGCCCTCGGATCGTCGTGAACTCATGGTTCATCGGATGACCTGGGTACCCTCAGCGGGCTCCAGAACCTTCCACTGGCAATCCAGGTTCTTATTCTCGTTGTGCTCCCTCAGCTTGGCAATGATCTTGCTAGCGATCTCCTCAAAATTGTGAGTGGCGAGGGCCAGAATGGTCGGGCCAGCGCCAGACAGGCAGACGCCTAGGAAACCGGGCTCAGTCTTGGGCGACATAGACTCGACGATCTCGGTGAGACCGGGAATGAGCACCTGTCGGTACGGCTGGTGAATCTTGTCCTGCATAGCCAGGTGGATGAGTTCTGGGTCAGGAGGGGACTGTCCCAAGGCAACGGGCAGCAGAGCAATTCGCTGCAAGTTGAATGTCTGCGTAGTTGCGTTAGGAGTCAAGCTGCAAATCATAGTCTCGCGATCTGAGACTTACCACATCAGCTCGAGGGTACTTCTCGGGGAGAACTCCACGGGCCTTGTGGGTGGCGACCTGGAAGTCGGGGATGATGGCCACGGCCTTGATCTCCTTGGCCCAGGGGAACTTGATGTGGTGACCGATTCCATGAGGAGGGTCCGGGGGCGTCTTGCCAGTGTCCTCACCACCGGCTGGCGCAGGAAGGACCTCGCTGAGGGGGATTTCTGTCCTCGCGACGTCCTCGGGGGTCAAGGGCTTGAGGTAGGTTCCGACAAACCCACCATACAGAGCAGCTCCGACATTGTCAGGATGTCTCTCTACAATCTGTGTTAGTTCCCCTTTGGGCTCACTCACGGACGGCATATTCACGCACCAATCATGAGGCAATAGTCGAAGAGTCGATCGACATCGAGCTCCTTGAGGCCACCGACCTCCTTTCCCAGGACGACACCAGCTACGACGGCAGCACCCGAGCTGCCGAGGCCGCGGCCGAGGGGGATGGGGTTCTTGATGTGGACATGGGTCTCGACGGGAAAATCACGCTGGCCGTGACAGCGGAGGACGTACAGCGCGACGCGCGTGATGAGGTTGACCTGGGGATCGAGGCTGATCTCGGGGGTGCCCTCGCCCTGGCCCTCGTAAGTGAGGCGGCAGTTCAGCGGGTGGTCCGACTTGGGCTTGGAGCGGTCGATGGTGACGTGCAGCTCGAGGTAGACGGAGAGGGCGAGGCCGATGACATCGAAGCCCGGGCCGATGTTGGCGCTGGAGCACGGCGTCTTGACAATGAAAGACTCCATGACTGTGGTTGAAACAGTAGGGAATCAATCACCCGGGGGGGCTAGGTCTGGGTCTGGATGAGTCGAGTTGGGTTTCGCGGCGGTCCAGAGAAGGCCAATGGCGCAATTGGGGCTAAGTCTCGAGATTCCCGGCTCCTTGGCTCCTTGGGAGAAGTTTGCGCAGCTGGCGACGACTCATCCTGGCCGAGATGCGACTCTAGCCGATGACGGAGCCCGCCAAAGCAAAGCCCTGGCGGGGTAAATTCGCTGGTGTGTGCCCCTCGTCTCTCGCGAGCAGGTGCGGCGGGGGTCGCTTTTGTACGCTGTCTCATTGGCCTAGAAGGGATTTTTCAAGTGCTAAATTCGGCAATGGCCAATGCTTTCTATCGGATGATCGGCCGGCACCTAAGTTATCTGCCAAGACGCTCGCGTTTGGCCGCCTGTGTCGGTCAAGAAGAACACTCGAATTTGATTGAAGGAACCAGATGCAGATTGTTTAAGACACGAGCATTAGAATAACAATTTATCCCTACCTACCCGTACGCGCCTCGCCGTTTCCGTCCTTTCTTTCCGTCTGACCTGTTGACCGCCGACGACGCGAAGTGGCTGACCCAAGCCACTGGTAGCACAACATGAACACGCTGCAGTGTGCCATGCGCACGCATGCGAGGGCGCCGGTCCGTCGGAACTCGCACGACTGTACGAAGACGCGATTGCAGTCCATGGACCACGAGTCGGACCCTTTCCCAAATTCTTGTCTACAGTGCACCAAGAGCTGCGTTGCTGGTGGAACTATTCGATGGGGTGACTTTTAGGCTCAAGTCGAGAATCTCCCCGTCTCCACAGCCACGACCGCAGGAATTGTTGAAGCACAAAGTGTGGATTGCCTGCCCGGAGATCGGTTTCATTGCAACAGCAATGTAATAAGGCTCTCTAAGAACACCCGGCTTGTCATTGCACGACAAGCGATGGAGCCCGATATCTAAATACTCCGTCCATGCTATTCGTCTGGGGCTACCGAGCCTAAAATTGTTACCTCTCCGAACAACGGCACTTCTGCTCCAGACGGGGCTGGAATGTCGCACAGTCCACCCGGTCCCAAAATAGAACTCTCTCCATGATGTCAACAACAACCGAACAGACGGAAAGGCGTCCCCTAGTGCTGAGGTCTTTGCTTCGGAGAGACAGCCTTCCTCTTTTTGATGACTGCTTGTACGCCGTAACAACTTCAACGTCATTATTGGAACGTTGTATCGCGCCCGGCATGTAACCTAACGCCGACCGCCTTTCCCGTTGATATTCAATGCGGTTGCTGGTTCGACCTCCGGCGGGCAGCATTTCTCGTGTTTGACTAAGAGCGATGCATCTCATGTCCCCGATTCGGCCACGTTCTTCCTCGAATCTCTTGGTATCTGAGCCTCTGAGCGTCGTGCTCTGATGAGCTGGGCTATGGGTGCATTTCCCAAGCCTCATTCGGGGGCACTGTTCAATCCAACAGCTGCAAGACCACGTCAAAAGTGATCACATATCAAAGCACACCTAAACATACCGGATGGGGCTTTGAACAAAAAGGCTCTGAATGTTCACGAGTTCAGCGTGTGTGCCATTGCGCGCTGCATTGCTTGAGTTGAGTACGACCTGGCTGGCTCGGTCTTCCGCTAGAGCCCATCATTCTCGCTAGTGAGCGGACGCTGAGGTCATGGCGCCCCGAACCACGTTAGGCCCATAGGGGTCCAGAAGCCCAGTAAATGCCCCGAATGACTTGTGGCACGGGCACGCCGGGGGCTGGTATGAAGGGGAATACGAGGGCGGCTACCCCACAAGGGACCTAATGGAAGCGGTGGCAAGGGCCCTGAACAGTCGGGCAGAGCGACCAGGCGATCTGGACCGTGCAAGCCTGTGCCGCAAAGGGGCATAGTCCGGGGAGAAACAGACGGACGGGGAGCTACTGTCGATCGCCTGAGACGCAAATAGATTCTTGCCCTACAGGCCCAAAACTCTCCGCTGCAACACTCGATTCAGCTGCTGCGGCGGCGGCGGCGGCGGGGGGGGGCTGGCTGAGCCTCCGAGCCGTGTCCGGCATCTGCGTCTGGCACTATTCGGGGAATTCGACCTAGCCTCTAGATGTGGAGTGGTTGATTGGCGAAGCTTCAGATGGCAAGCTGCATGTTGTTGTGAGGTTTACGAGGTGCAAAGCGTGAGCATCCGAGTATAAAGATAGCATCGACCCAGCTCAACATGCCTCTCTTGGAACATCATCACACACTCTCATCCACTCAAGCCTTCCAGCCTCAACAACATCTTCCACCTCCAACACTCGCTTTAATCAACCTTTCCACCCTCAAAACCAACAACACCGCAAACATGCAGCTGTCTAGCATCCTCAGCATCTTCACCCTGGCCACCGCCGCCTCGGCAGTCACTGGCGAGTCCTTTCCACGATGACAACATCTCGAACTATCCCACTAACACGCAAGCTCTAGTCTCATACGATACCGGCTACGATAACAAGTCCCGATCCCTCACTGCCGTCTCTTGCTCCGACGGCAGCAACGGCCTCATGACCAAGCACCCCAGCTGGAAGACCCAGGGCGACATCCCCAAGTTCCCCTACATCGGTGGCATTGACGCCATTGCCGGCTGGAACTCTCCCTCTTGCGGAACCTGCTGGAAGCTCGAGTACAACGGCAAGAGCATCAATGTCCTCGCTATCGATCACGCTGCCAGCGGCTTCAACATTGGCCTCGCTGCTATGAACGCCCTCACCCACGGCCAGGCTGGAAAGCTCGGCCGCGTCAACGCCAAGGCCACCAAGGTCAGCGCCAAGAACTGCGGTCTCTAAATGTGATCTTTACGAACTTAATGATGGGATAATTTGGCGGAATATGGGCATTTTCTTTTACTTCTCTCCTTAACTATTTCTAATATGCATTGCATTGGCTGGCGTTTTAGACTACGAACGATCACACTGGATCAACTTAGATATGCTTCAATCTATTAAGATGAGCAAACAATATTCACATTGTTAACACGCAAAGTTTCTAGTGTCTCCCGAATGATCATAGAATAGTGTATGCTCTTACAGTTTTAAATACTCATGGCATATTTATTTGTTTGAAGATTCTGGGAAGCAACTGCTTGCTCTACTTCAGTGTGTAGCAATTGAAATCCGGCTCTAGCAAGCCTCACTGCCAAAAAATGCTTTGGCCTTGCGTCGAAACATGACACTGCTTTCGTCACATATTCCGCCTAATCCCCCACGCCGATGACCCTTGTGTACAAAGCAGAATGTGTTTGTGTGCGGACTGTGCCGGCTTATTTTCTTCCATTTCTTCGTCTTCTATTCCGCGATGGTGGTGTCGGCGATGTAGGCTTTGGGGCAGCCCTGCCTGGCGAAGTCGTATCACTGGCGCTTTCCGACCTCGCCTTCTTTCGAATTGAGTAACGTTTCATGGATGGTGGTGTCGTGATAACTTCCGGGGGAGGAGATAGCGACGAGCTCGAGCCACTGGTTGGGCTGGCATGATTTGGTGGAGTTCGTGCGGGTTGAGATTTGCCGTTCGCAGTGGTTTCATTTTCTGGGATCTCGATGTCGTCGACCGACGTGGGAATTTCCGACAGTGATTGGATGCTCTGGGACATAACAGCAAGCGCAAGAGAGCTTTCATCCGTTTCTTCCTCTTGTAATGGTCAGCATCCATCGTTTATCCCATAGTTCATAACACTTACCGTCCTCCTCCCCAATATCACTGACCCACATCACATATTCCACGACCTCGACTCTCGCGGCGAATTCCTCGTAGCTCAGGCCATCTTTCAACCCCGTGGGTGGAAACCGAATTTCGCTTGGTGCCTTGAAACCCCCAACCGCATCTTTGCCTTTGACCAGGGCCATTGCAAAGTCAATAAAGCGATCAAACAAGCTCGTTTCACCCTTGAAGACGACGCATTTATTCTGGGGACACTAAGCCATGAAGTTAATGGCGTCTGGGTCGGAAGTTTTGTTAATCTGAAGCTCTGTGACCTCGTTGGTCTGTGGGTCGCGACTGGACTTTAAAGTGAGGTCGAAGTGTGAGAGCAGCTCCAAGGAAGGGGGTACGACAGGATCAACTTTGAGAATCCTTCCTTGAAGATACTCGTCGTATGCCAGCTCCAGGGTTTTGTGCCGAGTCCTGTTCACTATGGCGAGCGAATCTGGAGATGACATGGATATTCCTCCGTCATCCCGGGGGCCGTCCTTGCGGGACATGGTGTCAGGTTAAATGGTCTTGAGACGACAATGAGTTGATGGTGGCGAGACCAAGAAAGCGATGGCTTGCAGAAATTTCGCTTGAGTTCGCCTGAGTGATGCAAGAGTTAAGAGGATGTTAGAAATGTGGCAGGGTTTCTCGGCTCCTGAGTCCTCGACCTACCAGGAAATCGTGACAGCTGTCTCGCACTGGCAGGCAGGCGGCAAGTTGCACTCACCCCGCCAAAGCTAACCCCCGAGCCATTGACAACTGTCGAAAGGGAGTCATAAATAGGTGCACTCTCAATATGAACATAAAAGTAAAAAAAAAAGAGACGATTACAATGATGCAATATAGTATGAAGCTTAAGCCTTTCAGGGTGTCCTCCTGTTAGATCTCTCCTGTCCTTTCACATTGAGAGAACACCAGGTGTTGTCCTAAGAATCGGAGAGAATTTGGAGTACGTACACTTTGTGTAAACAACACCACTTGCAAGTTTGCACCCCGGCACGTCACCCTTGTCTGCCGACGGGTGGCGGCAACCACCGAACCGGCAACTTGAAAGATTTTATTTTCATTCGTTTGAAGGCTTCTGCCAGTCTTGATGTGCTGGAGACGAGCTTGAAAGCGGCTTTCTCGTAAAACCTCGTCTAGCCAGCCTCATCTAGTCAACCTGATACTGTTTTCCCGTGTCCAGCGACATTGAGTCGATGCTTGCAAAGTTCGGCACACGATCTCGCGAGTTGATTTTTAGACGACATTGGTTCCCGGTAGTATCCGTCAACACCCTCAGGGTAGCAATGTCCTGATCCACCCGCAAGTCACCGAACATGTTGCCTTGGCGGACAACTAGTTCCGCCGCTGCCAGACTTGGGGGACGCCTTGGGGGACGACTTGGGGTGTCAACCAGACGCAGAACTTCGAGTCCGGAAGGCGTAAACAGGCTAGACCCAACCGCTTGGGCACCGATTTCCCAATGCAACCCTGCGGCGAGTGACTTTCATTGACTGGACCGAGCAGGCTGCCGGCGATGCAAGTGCAGCTCGGGGTTGCATTCCTAGGCCTCTTCATTGCCAAGGCTGACATTGGCTGCAGCAGAGGCGTGCGAGCAGGCGAAGTGGTTGGGCAATGCAAACAACCCGGACCTTGTCACGGCGCGGCCGCATGATGAACCGAGTTCGGAGGCCCCCAATCGCAATGCTGCACGGGTCTGCATTTCATGATTTTTTTTTGGTTAGGAAGCAAAAGCAAACATCGGATCGAGGACGTGATCGAGTGTTTGCATTTCTTGTGATAAGCTTCGCACGAAGTGGCGCCCTCTCCGATCTGCCGAAGCTAGTGTTGCGCATGGGAACAACGCAACGTGGGGCCCTCGTCATCAGCTCTGTTGGTACCGTCTGCATCCTCTAACCCGGATCCTCATGACTCTTCTCCTTAAGCCGGTAGGATCAGGCAACTCGCTCACCGAGTCTCGAGCGGAATACATCCAAAACGCAGCCTGTCGCCAGCGTCTCTCCAAGATGAAGTCCGCTGCCGCGCCAATACGGCCGCCGGCGTCGCCCTTCATCGAGCGCCTCCCCAACGAGCTCCTTGTTCACATCCTCGGATTTCTCGACTCACCTTCAAATATCCAGGAGAATTTGTGTGAGGACCCCACGAAGATCACCCGGCCTGTCGACAGCGGCATTGGCAACGGAATCGACACCCCCATCAAGAACGCCTCCCTGGTTTGCCGCCTCTGGAGACGATCGGGTTTGCAGCTCCTCTTCCGCCATGTCGTCTGGTCCTTCCAGCGCTTCTACAAACCGACCGACGGCGACATCGCCTCCCACATCGAAGTTTTAGACTTCCTACAACGTAACGGTCTATCGAAGGATGTAGAGAGCTTCACCATCCTCATAGACCCTCCAAAGGGGACGGGAAATTCCAGATATGCTGACGGGGAGTTTTGGGGCCTCTTACCTCCAGAAAAGAGCCCTCTGCAACCACCAATGTCTTTTAATCTCCTTTGGTCGGTCCTTTCTCAACCACCGCAGGCTTCATTGACGGACCGTCCCCGCTCAGCAGATGGGCCGGATGCAAGGGAAGCAGATGCAGCGACTCGGCCATACTGGGACAACAACTGGCTCTGGCATACCATCTTTGGGCAGCTCGATCCACTCCGAATCACGTTGATTAGTTCGGCAGATATCCTCTCCTCGCTTCTGAGCCGCAGTGTGGACCTGACAAGTGAGTGGGCTTTCAATAGTCACTGTCATATCGTGTCATTGTCGCGGACATCACGCTTCCTCCCACACCAAGGCGATGGAGCCGCCCTTGCTCCTTTACCTTCAAATAGCCAAGGCCCACCAGGGAGCCCAGTCCCTAGTGATTTATTCAGCATTCGAGATTGGACATCGCTCCTCGTTAACGAAGGATCCTTCATCCCCGTCTACTCAGCTTACGAGTTCTTCCACTACTCGGCCCCAACTCTCCTACCCGTCATCTTGAACCCCGCCGACTCGTCATTCAACCGTCTTCAGAAGACCCTCCGCTCGTTCTCATACATCGGGATCTTTCCGCTCTCTCGCCACATTCGAGACGTCGTCCTTCCTTACTGCCCCCCAGTCGAGCACCTATTTATCCAACTTATGCCCACAGCAATCGACTTTTGGGACAGCGGCCGCTTTTCGCACATTGATATTACTGACTTGTGGCTTGAGTGTGACACCGCATATTCCCTAGTGATGCGCGAGGTCTTTGACCGCGAGGTGGAGTCAGATTGGAAGAAGCTCCGAGTGTTTGAGAGCGGTGATGCGTCCACCGAGGAAGCATGGAATATGGCAATGCAGTATGTCCAAGTGCACGGGCTTAATGGGTGGAGGATGAAAAGGGAAGGATACTTCGTGAGGGAGGCAGGGCGGGCATAAGGCGTTTGGGGCCAGGGTTCAGATATCTCAGCTTAAGAAGCCCCGTTGGCTAAGTGGTATAGCGTGTCACTAGTAATGACAAGATCACTGGTTCGATTCCAGTACGGGGCATTGAGCAGGCCTATGGGCCGATTGACTTTTGCTCTTTTTTGCCCTCTCCTCCTCATGAGGAGAGGAGTATGTATGAATGAATATTATTCGCATTCGCAAAGTGTGCTTTCAGTTTTGAATGGCTCACCGACCCTGCAAATTTCCGCATTAGGCAGTGTAGCGAATTCAACCACCAGATCCACCCACCTCTGTCTCTCTCATCCTCCACCTCCAGAAACTTCAAAACTTCGTTAGCTCATAGACAATGTGATAGGAGCTATTTTATCTGGATACTAATTATTGGCTAGTTTGGATTGATCCCATACTACGTCCGGGCCGTTGTCGTTTGTATGTAGTTGCACCTCCTTCGTAACGGAACCAAGTGATGTTCGTTTAGAGTGCCAGCGAGTATTGCTATTCACATAAACACATACTCATACCTCGCTATTCGCAGCAATGATAATTCTCAACGACACCCTTGGGATATGCTTTCAGAAATGCCATTTTATTAAGACAAGTTCTTCGTGTTTACATCTCCTAAGAATCTTGTTATCTTGCTTATTATATTAGATTCAACCATCAGTGCAAGCCTTTCATTCCAAGAATGTACCATTTTACTGTGCGCATGGTTGGTGTATTGATTTAGCCAAGGCTTGGGTGAAAATTTGTGCCTGTGTGCGAATGCAATGCTTATACTAGTCGTCAATTATGTCATACCAATGACCCCTAAATACCTAAGTATAGAGGTAGCGGACCGTTTTACATCCACGATGGGAGAGATTCCAGAACGAATAAGGTCAAATAATAACGGTGATGAAGGTCATTGAGACTCTATCAGTAATAGCGTTCGTCTTTGAGCGCAGATCTATCCATGGTCCCGTTGCTGTCAAATATTACAGGACCATCGCGAACTCTGCAGCCAGTCCTAGCTGCTTCATTTATCAACACCGTGACAATGATGTATACCCAAACCCATTCACACAAAAATATGCAAACAATGTGTACACCGACACAAACGCGCAATATGCAACCCGGTGTTCTCACCCAACGCACTGTCCCATAGTATAAGTAATTGAAAACAAGGATTGACATCAATTAGAGGACTTAATCCTCATCACTGCTGATATCGCCGTCTTTATCGCTGTCGGAAAGGTCCACGATAGGCTCACGGGCCTCGTGCTCCTGCATTTCACGGTAGGTGCTCCAGGTCAGACCTAGGAAGGCAACGATGATCATAGCGCCGCCAATGATGGCGGCGAAGCTGAGTGGCTCGCCGGTGATGAACCAATCGACGAGGGCGACAATGAAGATGGTCAGGAGGGCGGCGACGGAGGAAAGAACAGGCGAGGTGAGAGAGATGAGGACGAGGAATGAGCCGCTGAAGGTGGCGTTGGCCAGGACGGCGCAGAGAATCAGCCAGCAGGTGGAGGCGACAGGGAGCTCAAACTTTTCGATGCCGAGGAAGTGGATGATGGGCAGAGGAATCCAGAGGACGGTGAGGGTGAAGAGGCCGATACATGAACCAAAGGTATTGGCGAAAATCATGCCGCGACCAGGGGAGACTCCCTCGGGCGGGCACGCGAAGCGCTTGTACAAGACCTCATAGAGGCCATAAAGGACGGAGCCAACGCCGATGACGAGGTTTCCGAAGAAACGGTTGCTGGCCTCAACACTCTTAGCCCCCTCTTTGGTATCTCCATATGCCACTACAAGAACACCAGCGATGGCGATGAGGACTGCCACTGACTTGTCGAGGCGCAGGGGCTCCTTGAGAAGAGGGACAGAAAAGACGTAGGCAAAGAAGGCGGAACAATTGTAAATGGCCGTCAGGTCCGAGGGTGTCGTCAGACTGACGGCGATATACCAGCTCAGCCCCGCAACGGTTAGAGAGCAGGTGATGATGGCCGTGAAGCGTACAAGGTAGCGAACGGGCCGAGCTCGCTGCTGCACGGAGATTCGGAAGACATCGAGCGTCTGCGTCTCGATCATCATGGCTGTGGTGCGCAGCAGCTGCTTGTGACGCTTCCAGAAGACGGGCCAGGGCAGCTCGCGCTTCTGTATGCGCAGGATGGCGAGCTGAATGGGCCAGAGCACGACCCAGGAACCGTGGGTGAAGTACATCATACAGTACGCCTTGTCCCAGCCAAGGTCGTGTTGGATGTAGGCGCTCAGCTCCGTTTGCACGCAGAACGAGACGAGGCTGACGGCGAGGAAGAAAGCGGCGTATGTGTACTTCTTGCGGGTTGTGTTTGTCTCCGAAGCTGTCAGAGGACTACGACTGCGCATTGTTGAGCGCCGACTGAAGGAGGGCCGCTCGACCATCTCACTGTGGTAGGGGCTTCCGTCGCGGCTGGACCCGTGGCTTGATCTTGGGCCATTATCATCGTTCGTACGCGCGAAGCCGGCGCGGCCACGCTCTTCGTCGGATTGCTGTTTGTGTAACAGCGGCGTCCCGGATTTACCATCGGTCGGACGATTGAAGGGTGGACGGCGGGCGCTTTCGGGGTCCATGTTGTCGAGCTCGAACCAGCTGCTATCCTCGTCGTCCTCGTCGTAGTGGTTACCGCCGGGATTGCTCGGTTTGCCTATCGTTCGGGTCTCGCGGGTGCATGTGGTGTCGTCTTTCGCAACGGGAGGTTCGGTCGAGAAGCGCTCGTGGTCTTGCAGAAGATGGACCTCTTGGTCGTGGTTTGGTCGCCGAGGCATAAAGAGAGTGAATACAAGTTAAAGGAGAGGAGAGAAGAGAAGAGAAGAGAAGGAAGGCACCCAGTGTTTCCGGGGATAAGGCTCTTTCGTTGGTCCCGATCAACTGCGCCGTGGTGGTGTTGAAGACCCGTGTACGTCCAGTACTTGTCGTCGGAATCTTGGTCGGGGTGTTCCAGGGGTGCCAGTTGAGTGGTCCAGGGGGCGGGCGGGTCTCAGACCCCATAAGTACAGGGGATTTAGCAGGGGGCTAGTGGCCAAGGGGGTCATCCTGAATGCGCCAGGCGTCAGCCGCGGCTCCTGTGTTAGAGTTGGGGTACCTGCGAAGTTTGGCGTACAGTGGGAACTGCCACTGGGAAGTCTGGCTTTTCGGGGGCGTTAGCGCATGTCGCCAAGGCATGTGGTGGGACGGGTGGAAGAAGCCTACGTCACTCGGCTGCAGCTCTCTCGGATTCCCCGCGGCGGCCAGTTATACAAACTGCAATAGAAACTTTCATACCGCTTTGAATGGCCTATCACTTGATTCCGTCCTTTCTGTTTCGCCCAGAACGGTCATGGGATGACCGCGTGTTAGGATGGACAGTTAGATCGCGTCTTCGTCTGACGTGCTTCACAAGCCCTGTTCGGTGGGGGTCGCGGTGTGGTGGAGGGGACGGGTTCACGAGTGACTGGGTGGTCACCAGGTGACATTATTCAAGACCCGGGATGATCAAGCCCACTGCCACGGTCATCCATTGGATTTAGCAGTTTCTTATCTCGCGTGCCTTGTGCCATGTTACCCTACAAAGATCCGGCCTCTGATGTGGTTGCTCCCAAACCATCCATACCGTGATGCCAAGAGTCATGTGCCCACGGCACCCTCGCAGCAATGCTCTTGTTGCCTATTTCGCTCCCGCACCAAACAGCGACGCCTGAACGTCGTAGGTATAGTCGAGATCTCCGTGCCAGTAGTTGGCTGTGTCCGCTTTGGACAAGAACCACGCCTCGTCCAGTGCCGTCACCACATCCTCCGGTAGCGGTCCCTTCTCCAGGTCGTTCAGATTGCTCTCTAGCTGGGCAAGGCTCGAGGCTCCGATGAGGATACCGTCATTGCCATCCTTCAGGTTCAGCTTAGAGTGGTGCACCATCCATCGAAGGGCGGTCTCGACCATCGTTAGATTGCTCTTCTCCACCGCGGCCTCGATCGTCTGCAAGGCCTTGAAAGTGCTGTCCCGGTAATACCGGTCACGGTATGCCTTGCCTGATGAAGAATCCAGGGAGAAGCGGCCGCTGCTTTCGACCACCATATCCTTCGACTTAATCTTGCCGGAGAGGAGCCCACCAGCAATAGGGTTGTACACAACGACATCCAGTCCATAGCGGCGGCAGGCAACCAATAGCTCTGGCTCAATGCTTCGGGTGATGCAGTTGTACATGCCCTGGTAGACCGAGGGCCTTACCCATTTATTGTATTTGCAGATGGCAATGACCTCCGCCACCTCAAAGGCCGTAAAGTTGCTGATGCCAAACCGCACAAACTTACCTGCCTTGTGCAACTTATCAATCGCCTCAAGGGTCTCAGCGAAGGGAGTACCGCGGTCTGGGCGATGGAGGTAGAGCAACTTGAGATGAAGTCAGTGAATGATTCAAGCTGAGGCCAGACGACCAGCAAGGGGATGAGGGCAACATGGCTTACATCGATACAGTCGGTGCCAAGCTCCTTTAAACTCGTCTCTACCGACTCTAAGACCTTGGCCGCCGTGTTATCGCCAGGCTCCGCAGGATATTTGACCTTGGTGGCCAGAGTGAGACCCCTCTCCTTCCAGCTAGTCTGGGCAGTCCATCCCTCCTGTTGGCCTCCTATGTAGACTCGCGCCGTGTCCACCTCACTGTAGCCCCTGGACTGGAAGAGGTCAAGGCTGTCCTTGAAAGAAGCGATGTCTGTGATGCGGGCGATGGCTCCTCCAGGGGGTCCAAAGGTCATGAGACCTAGGATGATGCGATTGTTCGCCTTCTGTGCGATAAGAGGCATCTTTTTGGCTGGGATTGACGCAACTAATGATATAATTTGGAATCGGGATGGATATGGATCAAGGGATGGCAATACTAATTGTGAAAGCTAATTTATTAACGCAGCATCAAGCCTACTGCCGGGCTACGTCGTACATATACCTGGGAGAGAGGCTCGACGACCCCACCTCCGGCTACGAAACCCGGGCGGGGATAATAGCAACTGGGAAGATGGTGGGTCAGATGGATTGCCGAACTTTGGGATATTGACTATCTCCTTCGGCGTTTTCGTTAAATCCATGACCATAGAGCACATCTATTGTGGTATCCTGCTGTGCCGGCCTTGCTTGCCGATCCGCGGCGCCCTCCCGATGACATAGTTGTCTATCTGGTTCCCCACTGAGCGACCTTGTCGTATTAATGATACATCGGCATCTACAGGTGAATGTTTGATTTCCCTGAAGACATCCAATATACGAGTATTCAAATAACTCGAACCAGTAAAATATTTACGGCTTAAAACCCCGTATCTTTCGATCAAGATAGCAACCCCTCAACTCACACAGCGACTCGCAGTGGGGTGGGGTCCCACGCAGCCTGCAGGAGCGCTTTGTAATCGATTGCAGGCAGACCACTAACAACGAGGTGAGACCCATGGGGTTCACCAAACTAAACAAACATTTGGGTTTATGAGTCACTGCTCGGGTCTATGTTTATGTTAATTCCGGAAGTGAGAGATGGGCAAATAACTAGATGATAAGGGGCATAATAAACACCTGTAGCTGACATTCTTGGGCTTTTTTGGGAGGTGGGGGGAGGGAGGATGATGTCCTGACGCCTCTTGATCCCCGCCCCGTCCCATTTCTGAGCCGGGCCGGCTAAATCTCCGAGGAGGCCAATGGCGGCGGCTTCGATTTTCGAGGTTGAGTGCGGGTTGGTCTAGGAGCTCCAGATTTCATGTCAAGCTTCAGACTCCCGTCGCCTGCAATTCGTGTGATGCGGCGTCTCAAACATGCTTCTGTACGAATTGAATTCGCAACTTCGCGGTATAAATCTTGCTAACTCGCCCAGGCCCGCAATCTCATAGACTGATCCATCATGAGGGCACACCTAGCCCGCCATGCTCGACGGGTCGTTATCCAGCACTCCCGCTCCCCGTCTTGCGCTCTCTACTCAGCTCCTACCCGACGGAGACAATTGTTTCGCCCGATAGCCCACGGTGTCGTCTCGTACCGAACCTTTTTCGATGGCCTGTTCCAGAAGGCACCCCGAGAGGTGCGCCAGCCCGAGTTCGAGCCGGGATGGATGAAGATTATGGTCTGGAGGAGTCGAATGCTCGACAACTTGCGCCCACCACCGACAAATGAACTCATCAAATGCTGGAACATATTTTTCAATGCGAAGCTTTCGAGCCGGGTGCCATTGAACGCGACTCAGGCCCTGCAGTGCCACCGGCTTCTTGATTACCTCCTGCAACAAATATCCGACGCACCCGCAAAGAGCCGGTTGAAGCTGGAACGCAAGGACCTGAACAATGCTCTTACTGCTCTTCGGACACTACGACCTCGTGAGAGGACTGCACAGCACCTAGAACTCGCTAAGAGAATATATTCTGTTCTCGCCTCAGGCACTTTGAGCAAGCAGAACAAGCATCCCGACACTGCCCTGTGGGCGCAATACATTCACACCATCTGTCTCTATGGCGGGTCTAAGGAAGCTCTTGAGCTGCTCCACGCCGACTGGGATAATGCGATCGATCTCACGAAGAATGGCGATAACTTGGTGATCCCTGTGGCACAGGGCCTGGCTAGGGACGGCTGCGAGCAGGAGCTGGTGGAACTGGTTGAATATGCGGAGAAGAATGACATCCCCTTTGACAAGCACGCACAGGCAGCAGTTGTCTCATTTTTTGCTCAGCGAAATAAGGTCCTCGAGACAAAATACTGGTTCGATAAACTTCCCGCATCCGGAAGCCGCACAGCCGAAGTCTATCCCCTGGTTGCAGCCTTTGCAATTCGAAACAACTTGCAAGAATGGGCCGTGCCTCATTTTCTTGAACTCGGTGACACGAAGCCCGAAAAGCCCTACTGGGACAGCTTACTACAGTCTATTCTTGTCATGGGAAAGGGTTTGAAACAAGTGGAGGGCATGATGTCCCACATGGCCGATTCAACTGGTCCTGTGAAGGCAGACACATCCACGATTAATGGTCTTCTCCGCGCTGCGGTAGACCTGAAGGACCCCATGCTGGCAGAGGACATCCTGTCGCTCGCTACAGAGAAGGATCTGAAGTTAGATGGCGAGACATACCTCATTCAGATGGACCTGCGCCTGGAAGCAGGTTACTTGCCGGGTGTGCAGGCTGCGTATAAGAGTGCCAAGAAACTCGAACCCTGGCACTCTAATCCTGATCGGTGGTGGGAGTATTGCCAGTTGCTCAACCAGTACCTGAGTACGCTTTGCGCCCAGAAGAGACCGGATTTCAAGCTTATCGGTGAGCTTGTCAACCTGGCTGAGGAAGATCAAGTGCAACTTGACCCCCAAACAGTCGCAACACTCTGCGTTAGGTTTCTGGAGAACGAACAGCACTACGACGTGATGGACATCCTATCCGTCCACGCTTTCCAGTTCAGTGCTGCAGAGAGAGAGATTGTTCAGGAGGCCTTTGTCAAGTTCTGTCTCGTTGAGACGAGCACCTCCCGTGCGTGGAGCAGCTACCAACTACTCCGACAGTTTTTCCAGGATCTGAGCTTTGAACATCGCGTGAGCTTGATGGAAGCCTTCTTTAACCGAAAGCGACCTGACATGGCATCACACGTTTTTGGACACATGCGACAACACAGGAATAGCGAATATCACCCACAACTCGACACCTACATCAAGTTCTTTGAGGGCCTAGGTCAAAACCCTGATACCGAAGCACTAGAGATGGTCTTCAATATGCTGAAGATGGACACACACGTTCAACTAAACACACGGCTTTACACATCCCTGATTATCGCCCACACTGCTTGTGACCGATCCCTCCAGGCAATGGACTTCTGGTCGGAGATCACATCATCAAGAGAGGGACCCACCTACGCCAGTCTGGAGGCTGTCTTTTGGGCTCTCGAACGTAAGCCAGGAGGATCTAAGGTCGCCCAAAAGGTTTGGAAGAGGATAGAAAACATGGACGTGGATATCCCTCCGACGGTGTACAACGCCTACGTCGGCGCCATTGCGGGAAGTGCGGAAGAGCAGGAAGTTCAAAACATCATTCTGAGGATGGGAAAAGTCACAGGAGTTGAACCGGGTGCAATGACGTGAGTTTCAATCCTTACATCCCCGGCCTGCTGGCACCGTTAACAAGAAATAGATTAGGTGTGGCGTACAATGCCCTTCCTGGGCAGGAACTACAATCTAGGTTCCAGAGCTGGGCGAAAATGCGATACCCCGAGGTTTGGACAGAGTTGGAGAAAAAGGGAAAGCGAATGACGGAGGATTCGCTGTGTAAATTCAAGCTAAACCGAGTCTTCAAGGCTTGAGGTGTACCAAAAAGATGTTTGTTGTAGACATGTATTCTATACATAGTGGAGGTCGAAGCTGTTATACATATGACCAAATAATGACCATGACATCCCCCACAAAAGGCAACAGGCTCAAATACGATATTTTTATCGTTGACGGGACGAGAAGAATTGGTCGCGCAGCATCTCGGGGTGGGCGTGCACCGTGGGATAGAGGCCCATGCCCTGGACGCGGCGAACCATCTTGGCGACCTTGCGCTGGTTGACAGGCCGGAGGCGGGTCAACTTAGAGTGGTTAATCATCCCGGAGGGGGTGGTGAAGTGCTCGATCAGCGAGAAGTTCTGCAACATGCATTAGCCCAAGCTCTTGGCCATCAATTGGGGAGGTTTCCTGATAAAACCGACCTTGTACATGTCCAGAGGGTTGATTCCCAGGGAGTCCACAACATCGCTGTTGGGCAGTGACCTCTTGCGCCACTTCTGCATCTCGATGGGACTCAGATCGTGCGGCGAGTAGACGTCACCGGCCTGCCATCGGCGGGGCATCTGCTTGAGGTAGTCGTTGGACATCTTCTGGCTCTTGAGGAACTCCATCTGGGCCATCTTCTCGCGGACATAGGTAGCCGAGCGAGTCTTGTGGCGCTCGAGCATTCGCATCGCAGCATCTCCACCGCGCGCTGGTGCACTACCTCCCCGGGGAGGGCCGTTGTTGTTGAGGTTGGAGAGGCGGTTGTTGTAGGTGTTGGCGCTCGGAGTCGTGTGGTGGCCTTCGCGGGGGGCAGCGGCGGAGGCGGAGGATGAGAAGGGGCGGAGGAGGGTGTGCGCAATGGCCGAGCCGGAGCACGGCGTGGGGAGTCGGGGAGGCATGGCTGGAAGGCGAATTGGGCGTCGGCGGGCGAGGTCGTGATGTCGTGATGCTGCTGTCGTTGGAGGTTTGGGAGGATTTTCGAGACGCACGGAACATGCCGGCGGAGCAATTCCGCGGTTCGGGAGCGCCCCACTCGGATTTTATCATTTTCACGTCCCCTCGTCCAGCCTCAACTACGGCGGGATACAACTTCAAGACATTTGGCCGGCGACCAACTCTGACCACGACCGCGGTAATCGACTTCTCTTGAGCTTGAGAAATAGAGCTCATTTTGAGAATTTTATATCACGCCCAAGATTTACCACGACACCGTGAGTGCCTTCCACCATGGTCCGAAAACTCAAGCATCACGAGCAGAAGCTCCTGCGAAAAACCGACTTCATCTCATACAAGTCGGACAATGACCACCGCGACAAGGCCGTCATCCGGCGGTACATGATCCAGAAGCCTGAGGACTACCACAAGTACAACCGTCTATGCGGAGTATGTTCCCTCGAGCCCTGTCCGTACTCTACGACTGTTTATCTAACCTGACTTCCCGCGCAGTCCCTCCGACAACTTGCGCACCGCCTTTCCCTCCTCCCTCCTGAGAACCCCACCCGCCGAAAGCACGAAGAACTCTTGCTCAACAAGCTCTACGATATGGGGATTCTCTCGACGACTGCGAAGCTCTCCGCCGTGGAGAACAGCGTCACTGTCAGTGCGTTCGCAAGGCGGAGACTGCCCGTGTTGATGACCCGATTGCGCATGGCCGAGACTGTCCAGGCCGCGACCAAGATGATTGAGCAAGGACACGTGCGAGTCGGCACGGAGACCGTCACGGATCCCGCGTACCTCGTGACGAGAGGCATGGAGGACTTTGTGACATGGACGGTGGGAAGCAAGATCAAGCGAAACATTATGAAGTACCGAGACCAGCTGGACGACTTCGAGCTCCTGTAAGAAGTTTTGGGGCATGGATGAGAGGTCTATGGGCCTGTGGCAATGGCTGTCAACAAACACGCATTGGGATCGAGGAGTTTGCGGCGCAAGACTATTTGGAACGGCTTTCGGACGCATTTTTGCACCTGCAATTACGGATCTGGATTTAAACAAAAGTTCGCAGGGCTGCCAGGGTTGATTTGCTGTGGATGGTGGTCGGCGACTTTGTGCTAGAGCTGCTCTCAACACTTCTGGCAGATCACTAGCCATCGTGGAAGCGCATTGACATCTGGCTTGGAAGAATGGCAGGAGGACGAGTGGACAACAACGATAGCGAAATTCGTGTCGCTTAACGACCAGCTTGAGACTCGCGGCTAGACAGACAGCAATATGTTACACCAGCTCGGCGGGAATAGGTCAACCTACAACCCAGCGAAGCCGAGCTCGATGAGGTTACCGTGGCACAACGAGAGCTAGACCAAGACTCAAATACCTTCCACAGTAATTTTACTCGGCTTGTTTTTGATTGTCAATTTGTTTCGGGTCAACGGGCCTCTTCTGGGGAGCAGAGGTTTCATCGGTGGTTGGGCCTCCCCGCAAACTGTCGCGGAGAAGGTTAACCGACTAGAACTCCAACACATGACCCCTCCGCAACAATCATGCGGAGGCACTCGAATGATTCATCGCCGATACACAGCAAGCCTATACTGATTCAAGTAGACTGCTTTCGACTTACCGCATTCAATCACTTAGAATCTCACTCATTGGCGGGAGCGGCTGATCTGAACCCTCCCCAGGCCCATTCGACATATCCCGTCTCGCCTTGGCAACCAATTCAAGGCGTTCAATGACCCTGCAAGTTGTCTAGGCTAGCGTTTTCCGAAGTGGAAGGGCGAACCAAGGTTACAAATCCCCACAAGATCCAGGTCCCTCTTATTGCCCACGGAGCCGGATGTGGTCCCCAGTATATAGAGCTGTTGCCGGCTCAGCCATGTAGTTCTTCCCCATGCCAGGATATTCTATCCAATTTACTTTACTTACTTCCGTTGAATTTATATCTTTAAATAAAAAGCGCTATATCAAGTCGGACCCCCAAAAACGCAAATATGGTCGTTGCCAAAGACAAGCCCGAGTACGTCGCCTTGGACCCCAACTTCAAGCCCCTCCCCAAGTATGGCCACCTTAGCGAGCTCGACCCAGAGTTCGCCAAACTCAAGGAGGCGACGGACCAGATGGTAAATCAAATATGGGAGCCTTCGCTTTCTCTTGAGGCTTTTCGAAAAATGTGGCTGAACGACTCGGCACCGCCAGAGGGGTGTCCCACGGAGGGAGTAGACGTCATGACGGAGACGCAGCAGATCCCGATGCGCGACGGCGGCAAGGTCGAAATTAAAGTATACAAATCTAAGGATAAGAAACCCGACTCGGCACTGGTGATGCGGTTCCACGGCGGCGGTTGGGTTGTCGGTGGGCATTGTACCGAGCATTCGGAGAATCTACTCATTGCTGGGAGAACGAACTCGGTAGTTGTGAGTGTGGACTACAGAATGTAAGTCTGATAATCAAGGTGTGAAACAGGCAGATGAAGCTAACAATTCAAGGGCCCCCGAGTTCCGATTCCCATACTCGGCGAACGACTGCCTAGATGGTCTAAAATGGGTTTGTCCTGAATATCCATGATCGAATACAATTAGACTGACTCGTATAGTCGAAAGAGAACGCTTCCTCCCTAGGCGTCGACCCCGAAAAGATCATTCTCGCTGGAGGCAGTGCCGGTGGCAACCTTGTCAGTCTTCTTCCTCGTCCAAAACTGACGGTTCATCTAACTCAAGATCATAGGCGGCTGTCGTCGCTCTCATGGCCCGCGATGAAAGCATTTCCGGTATTGTCGCACAGGTTCTCTGTTTCCCCGTCACATGCCACCCCAAGTTTTTGCCCAAGGACAAGTATGAGTTTGGAAGCTATCGACAGAACTATGAAGCCAGTATTGTCACCTCGGCGCGCCTCGAGTGGTTCCTGGACCATTACATGCCTGAGCCCACTCCTGACTGGCGACTTTCATGCTTACTAGCCCCATCACTCAAGGACTTGCCTCCCGCGTGTAAGTTCGCCTGAAAGACAGCACCTTTTTGTGTCACATCAACTGTAAACTAATGAAAAGCGAATAGTGGTGATGATTGCTGGGTACGATGCCTTAAGAGATGAAGGCCTCGCTTATGCAGAGCGGCTAGAGGAAGAGGGCGTGGAGACGGAGGTGCACACGTATCAGGGAATGCCACATTGCTTTTACATGTTCCCGGCACACCCCAAGGCTTTGGATTACTTTGACCAAGTTGTCAAATACGTCGGACGCTTCTCTGGTTGACAGCTCCTGACGAGGGTGTCATGTCATGTCTGTGTCAACCACACTAGAAGAAGTCCGCCACAAAGTGTAGAGACTAGCCTGAATTATGGTGTGAGATATTCGAGGGAATCATCAGACACCGAAGTGCCAAAGAAATTGCTTCGTCTTTATCAGCTCCCTGAACTCCCCGGCTGACCCGATTTCGAGGCTCGCCCAGACTGGCATCTCCTCATGTCTCTTACTCTCTCCCTCACGTCAGCCGGGCTCCAGCAGGTCATACGGGTCTTTCAGTGGTGAAATTTCACACTTTGCAACCACATATTTATGATTGTTTTGAATCAGCGTGGATCGACAGCCGTTAAACATGCTATTGGCGTTGGTCGAGGGCTTCCACGTCTCGATAACCGAGCCACGGAGAGGGAACCGATTTACCCCACCAAGACAAGATCAAGCGCGGGGCACTTATATAAATACCCGGCCGCAGTCGTCATTCTCTCCTTTACACACACACTTACACCAGCGTCTCGCCGACAGATCCGGGCACTCAGTTGACTCTCGGTCATATTTGCAGTTCTAGTTGAATACCGATCCGTAGCAATTCCCTCGGCAGTCTCGCAATCCAAAAAGCCACATCGGTTCGCCGACCAAGATGGTCTCCTTCGCCACGCTCCAGGACCTCGTGAACCACCTGATCGATCCATGGCTCTTCATGCGCATCACCCTCCGCTTCTGGCCCGGCACTGTCAGTCAGCTGCTCTCGAAATCCGATTACCGCACGCTCCTGTCCCCCTCGGAATTCGGCGACGTCTGGTTCGGCAATTTCTGGGCCTTCGTCGGTCCTCAGGTCAAAACCAGCGCTGAGCGGCGCGTCGTGCCCCTCCTCGAGGGTCGAGTTCGCGACGGTGAAGTTTGCAACGAAGTAGTCGGTGAGCCTATCGAGGGTATTGTCCTGGAGATTGGTGCCGGCACTGGTATGTGGGCAGATGTGTTTGCCAAAGTGGGCAAAAGCACAAGTGTCGTGATGGAAGATGTCGATGGAGGCGTGCGACGACGCAAGGGCGCTGGACTAAAGCGTGTGTACGGCATTGAACCGAATCCTCAGTCGGCAGCAATGTTGCGACAGCGAGTTCAAGATATCGGCCTCGATGGCATATACGAAGTCGTCCCCGTGGGCATCGAGGACCTCAACGATCCGACAGCGTGGGCAGGCCGCATCGAGCCTGGCAGCGTCGACTGTATCGTGACGATTTTGTGCCTGTGCAGCATCCCGGAGCCGGAGAAGAACATTCGCCTCCTGTACGATTGCCTCAAGAAGGGTGGTCGATGGTACGCCTACGAGCATGTGCAGGTTGAGCGTGGAGGCGTCCTTCTCTGGATGTATCAGTGTGAGTACAGTTGCTATCCATTTCGTCTTATCTCCGTCACCAGGAAGCTGATCAATTCGGTGAAACAGGGTTCACCAGCCTTGTCTGGTCGAATGTGATGGGCTCATGCCGGATCTGTCGAGCCACCGGCAAATCCCTAAGAAATGCTGGGCCTTGGGAGAAGATTGATCTAGCGCAGCCCCCAGACGAGCCGGCTTACCAGGTACTTCCTCACATTTTCGGAACGTTGACGAAGTGAACTTCGTGGTCCCGAAGGAGTCGACGAGAGCCAGTGCAAGTGTCAACTATCGTAACGCCATTCCACTACCGACTTACACGCTGGAGGGATGAGTTGCCATTCAAGCATCCTAAATGTAGCATGTTTTCGTTAACGTTTTACTTAAATCATGTCAAGTCCGGGGTATCATCCAGTAACGCCGCCGTGCTCCGTCAAAGCTCATCGTCATCGTCATCATCAGACAGGAAAATTGAAGCCCTCTTACTTGACCCTTCAATCTTAACCATCTTTTTGTCGTTGAACTCCTTGACATCCGCAGCTTTCATCTTCATAGACGATACGGTCTTCGTGTCCTCGACTTTGACCTTTTCTTCCTTGAAATATGATTCTTGTTTGAAGCCCTTCTCTTCGATCTCATCTTTGGCCGTAACTTCTACCTTGCCCTTGACATCCGCTTGGTCATCCTCCTTGACGAGAGCCTCACTGATCAGCTTCGCCTCTCTTCTGCTGTAAAATGCGTCCAAGCAGTTTCTCCTTGCCTCTTGTGTCCAATTCTCCACCACGAGCGCAAACTCCGTTGCGTTCACAAACCCAAACTCTCGCGCCATTTCACAGAACTGGCGGACCCTGACTCCGTCTGGGGGATTGTAGCTGCTGTGCAGTCTGTCTCCTCCCGCTGCTTCCTGACTGTTTGCAAAGAGAGCATTTTGTCCCTCAACGTCCCCTTCCGAGTAGGAGGTCATTGCCGCACGCCGTGAGAGCTGCTCTTCGACCTTTGAGGACCCCACAACCTCCGAATTGTCGTGAGTGTATTCAACACCCGCAGAGGTCAGAATAGCTTGGATGGCATCGCTTTTGGGGGGTTTGGTCTTTTTAGACTCCAACATCTGCTTTTGATTCTCAGCTGTCAATAGTGCCGCCAGCTGGCCCATTCCTCCATCCTCGCCGTTTCCTTCTTCTTGCTTTACCATCCCAACAGCCTCCTCATCGTTGGCAGCCGTCTCCATGTTGACATTCACAAGATTCACTCCAGCTTTTGCTTCAGCAATATTGGTCTTGTTGACGATGTCTTGGAGCAGACCGTTGTCATTGTGATAGGTAAAGATATTGCCGAGTCCGAAAATCTCACCCTTTCTGTCTGTGTCCTGCTGGACACCTTTGAAATATCGCCTTTCAGATGAAGCTGTGTAGCCAATGTTTGCTTGCTGTTGCTTGTAGATCTGACGGGCGTAGACAATTTCCTCCACGGTTCCCAATGAAATTAGTCGAAAGACTTCAACATCTCGGGTCTGGCCAATCCGGTATGCTCGGTCTTGTGCCTGCAGATCGTATGCAGGATTCCAATGTGGATCCATAATCACGACCTTATTTGCAGACGTGATATTGAGTCCAACGCCACCGGCTTTCGTCGAGATGAGGAAAACGAATTGCGTCGGGTCGGAGTTGAACGTATCAACAACTTCCTGACGTTGGTCGTAGCTCAGGGATCCATCCAGGTAACTCACTGTATAGCTCGTATTGGTGAAGAGGTGTTGGAGAATTCGGAGTAGTCGCACGCTGTGCGAGAAAACCAGCACCTTGTCTCCATTGCTGTGCCAGAATTTGAGGAGCCTCTTCAGAACTTTCCATTTACCACAGAACTCTGGATTGACCAGATTTTTGATTAGATCCCGGTTCTCGTAGAGTACCTTACATGTATCAGGCATACATGTCCGCAGTGTTTGGAGCTCTGAACTATGCTTGTCTTCCATATCGGTTGTCTGAGGTACCAGGAGAGTAAGGTGATTCGCCAGCTTCTGCAACACCATCATGCTAGGAAACACGGCGTTTTGCCATCTGTTCCCATTAGGAAGCAGGGCACCGCAGCACCATCCTCTTTTCTTTCCCTCGCAGCATGGTTCGGAAATAGAGCGAATGACCCCGACTTCATAACTGGCGAGGAAGTTCTCGTATGCATCACGTTGGAGATCAGTGAGCGGGCAAAAGACTACTCTGTCGACCTTCTTGGGCAATTGATGCGCGATGAGCGTCTTCATTCGTCGAAGAAAGTATTTGGGCAAGAGATTCTCGACAAGCTTTTTGGCTGTCTGCCTGGCAAGGCTCAACTGGGCACCTGTTGCGTCGTGGGACTGTCCAACTGTCAATGGCTTCGTAACAGTTTGCGACCACTCTGCGATGGTTCCGAAATGGCCGGGATTTGTCCAATCAAGCAGTGTCCAAAGCTCCTCGTACTTGTTTTGAATTGCTGTGCCTGTAAGCCCAATGCGGCAAAGAGCATTGATTTCGTTTAGAGCCTTTGTGGTTTCTGAGTATCGGTCTTTGAGACGGTGGCATTCGTCGGCAATGACGGCATCCCACTGAACCATGTTGACGGAGCTTCGACTGTTCTTGTAGGTATCATATGTGGTGATCATGATCTCTAACCGACCGGCTCGAGCTGTTCCAAGGACGTCGTCTTTGTTAGCGCCGTGGAAGACATCGACGTGCCACCAGCCCCATCGATTCAACTCGTTCTTCCAATTCATGATCAGGGATCCGGGGCAAACAACTAAGACTCTCGGGTACCATCGGCCAGTGCATTGGCGCACCTGTCTCATGCGCTTCGCATCTCGCTCATCGCCAGTCTTCCCAAAAGCCGCTGTCAGGAATGCAGCAACTTGCACTGTTTTCCCAAGACCCATGTCATCCCCCAAGATGCCGCCTTCCTGGTACACGAATTTCCGATGGAGGAACGCAACCCCGGCAACCTGGTAATCTCGCAGGTACTGCGCTATGGATGCTGGGATGAGGCCCGCTGATTGACGCAGTTCAATGTCCTTGTACGGTCTCGACGGTTTCACGCCGCTGGCTTCGTCGAATTTAGGGCGTTCCTCAAGCTCCTCAAGTCTGCCATTTTCTTCGAAGTGGATTCCAGAGTAGTCCGGGGGCAGCATGAGAGCGGCGTCATGATGAAGCTTCCTATTGACATCGAACTGGCGCTTCCTGTCCTGGAGATACTCTGGTATCCCGGCAAGCTCGAGGTCATCCTCGGCGTCGGCTTTGTCCTCCTTCCCTGCCTTCCGATCCTTCTTTGTTGTCGACTTTCGCTTCCCTCTGCGCTTTTTTGGCTTTACCGGCAGGTCGTCGTCATCATCTGTCCACTCGACTTTTTCGGAAAAGCCTTCGTCAAGCTTTCTCTTATGTGCACTTTTCTCGGCGACTGGTTCGGGATCCTCGCCAGATTCCGAAGCTGTAGGCTCATCATCGACAATTTCGATGACCTCCCTCGCTCCGCGTGCCATTTTCAGACGTTTGTGAAGGTGATGATGCAGTGGGGTTGGCAAGATCCTACGCGTGTGGACGCGCTCCTAGCACATGCAGTGAAGCGAAAGCACGTGATGCACGACTCGCATCTGCCTAAACATCTTTCAGTGTAGCCACTCCATTGGAAGATCACAAAGATGGTAAGTTAACCTCTCATTATTATGTAATTTAACGATGATCTGGGGTCGGGGAAATCTATAGGTGTCAATCAGATTGCGTAACTTAAGTAGTTTGGCTTTCCCAGCTCAGGTCATCAGCAGCATCCTATCTGTCTCTTATACAAGAATGACATCCTGTGGCAGAGACAATTCGACTTTCGGAAACTTCGCCAGCTCTCCCTCCATCAATCCGTGGAAGAATGATTCTCCAATGAGTACATATCTGTTTTCGCCAACAGGGCGAAGGACATAAAATACGCCTCCACCTCTAATCAACCAGATATCATCTGTCGTCTCCGCTTCTGATGGAACGAGACCAATGAGGCCGTTATTCGTCTGGGCAACTCGCCTCCGATTTATCCGCCCCACGATTCCTCGCTCATTCCTCCATTGACTTTGGGTTAACAGGACAAGGTCTGTCCCGGGGACTTGATCTGGATAATCTCCGTGTCCAGTGGGGTTCACCGTCCTGCGGTATGCGTCTGACATTTTTTCGCCCGTCACAAAGTATTCGCAGTCTGCATCAACAACTGTCATGGAAAATTCCGTCTTGTCCTTCAATTCTTGGGAATACATTGGGTCCCAGACTTGGCTTAGAGTACCAACACGAATTCCATTGAGCTGGAGAGCAGCATCATCTAAGAGAAGGAATTGCGGTGATGACGTTGACGGGAACATGCCTTTGCTAGCAGAGAAAATCGGCTGGCCTGTTCTTACATCTCGAGACAAGACCTTGCGAGGCAACGTTCTCCAGTCGGGCACCCAGGAAGGAAGGTCGGACGCAACACCAAACCTGCAAAGTTCCAGGATACCAAATGGCCATTCAGGGCTCTTCATGCAAGAGACTGCGACGCGTGTGAATATTTTTCTGACTGAGCTGCTGTAGTCGACGGGGATACTCTGAGCCAGTTCATGCTCTTCGAGAGCCATGCAAAGCGGAGCAAACACCTTGTCCAAAGGGTCGGTCGCTCTCAGGTCTCGGAATTTTAGAAGCATGGACATGATTGTAAATCTCTTGATTCCGTCGTTGATCTCGGACTCCGATGCGGCGCGCGCATAGCTCAGCTTGTGGCGTTGGATGACTTTCTCCACCTCCCAGATGGTGACATCGACGAAGAAAGCATTCCTGTTCGGTGCCTTCTCGTACCCGGCTCTCAGCGCTCGAAGAGCTTGTAAATAAGCTTGTAAAGAGGGGGTAAGCTTGCTCTTGTCCATCCAGCTGTTGCCGCACAAGAAGAATCCAAGACGCGGTGATGTGTATTCCTGAACCGTCCAAACACGCATCCAGTATGGGTTGGCAACAATTCTTGCAGCGTCTTTCATCTCCTGGAATCGTTCCTTGACATGTATTTTAAACGAAATCGGCCTTTTCTGGGAGCTTTCGCTTCTAGGTTCGTCGGGTTGACCGTGTACCCAGTCAGCCAGTTCATCCAGATACTTGAGGCCTCTGGCGCCAGCTTCCCCCAGCCAACTGATGACCAGGATCGATTTCTCGTAAATCTGTTTCATCATGGACACTTGGGCATTACGCTCCTCGACATCACTTTGGTTGATGCATATCGCATCAATCCACAGCGGTAGTGTCTCCTCCCCCTGAAGCAACTGTCGAAGATGGTGCAGGCTTGCCACCAAGTTTTTTGTTGCTGCAAATTCGTGCCGATCAACGTAGATAGTGCTCGTTTCCGTCGGGTCACCCCAGACATATGACAGTGCGGCATAATCGCCCTCAGCATCCTCGATCTTGCGGACTTCGGTGGTGAGGCGCAGGTCGGAGGACTGATCCCCAGCGTAAAGGATCACCATCCGGATCTCGTCCGAGGCCAGGCGGGTGTAAGGAAGTGGCCCTGGTAATTTCGGTCCTATATCTGCCCATGCTAATTCGTCCGGGAGGTCGTCACGGCAGACCAGGTCGTTGAATGGACGTTTGCGAACCGCAGTGGTGACCGCATCGCCCGAAACCTTAGCTGAGCCATGAGTACTGGCGGATGAGCCCATCGCACACGACACTTATTGAAGTACGGAGGCCATTATTTGTTAAGGAAGAGGACATCGATCAGAAGTGGCCACAGTAGTGAGGGAGACTCGATTAGGAAAACGCCGATCTCTTGGCGTGAACAAAAAAAAGATACCCCTGCACTTTTGGTCTTGTTACTCCTGTCCTCGATTTCCCATTCCTCGCCGTACCATGCTTTTGAGAGCTACGTAGGCTTTCATTTTAACGCACTGAGGCAAGGCAGTCAATGATCAAATTCCAGGATCAATCCGAGGGGTCGGTGTGAGTCAACGCTTTGGTCCGCTCAGGATTCGGGTTCCACATTAGAACCAACAGGTAGGCTGTACCAACCAACACACGAGGAGGTTTGACCAGTTTCCTCTGGGTTAGGCTCTTCAATTCTGCCAGGTGGTCATTGACATTAAAGGGAGGGAAACATCAAGTTTTAGCTCAAGCATATATGTTCGGTGCACCACTACCATGTAATCAATAGCAAAGCCAGATTCCAAAAATTAAGAGCGGCTTCGAGATCAGAGTAGGAATTAAAGCAGTCCTACAATCAGAACCCACAAAAACAGCGCCACCGACTAATGCAGAGGTATTCACCGTGGTTTCAAGCCTTGATTGCTACCCCCTCATACCTTGGGGCTGAGAAGGGACCATTGAGGCTTGTGCCTTGAAGGATCGAGCTGATACAACCATGAACTTAGGACGGCCGATGTCATTGGTACGCACATCAAGCCATGGACAGGGATTTGTTCCTTATTTCTTCGCTCCCAACCAACCAACAGAATTATTGCGCATATAATATAGCTTGATTCCCCAACATCCAAAAGGTTCGTCTGACAATTCTTATAATACTAAATCCGCTCTTGAACACGAATATAGCAAGGCAAGGACTTCAAGTTCAAATCAAACCACACGCCACCTCGCACTCAGGTCAACTCAAAGTAGGTTTCCTTTTTTGGCTTAGATGTAACCTCTGGCTAACACCGTGCTGCCAGACTCCCCCACCAAAGTGGTCGTTCAAATTTCGCATCAAGCCGTTCACCAAGGACTCCCCAACCACAGCCTACAATCTGCAGCCCACAAAGTCAAGAGCAAAGCTGGCTATTTCCCAATATTTCCTTGCCCTTCAAATTCGAGAAACAAATTTTGGTTCGGACATGTCGGGTCAATTTTCCGCATTCAATATTGTTGCAACGGCGTACATCACGGAGCGAGAGTTGGTAGCCAGGGACGGGTCCACCCACAAGGTAAACCTGGGTGTCGGCATCGGCCTGGTCATTGGCGCGATTGTGTTCACTCTTCTGACTATCTTGGTGGGTTGCATTTTTAGAAAAAGGGCACAGAAGGCTAGGTTGTCAGTAGAAGATGGCGAGCAGGGTGAAGAATTGGAAAACGTAAGGAGATGGCCCGGCGAACAATCGGCCAGACGGGCAAAAGTAGTCTACAACTAGTTCAGGTGAAGAAGGTTTGTTGAATTGATACCCCATGATTGATCCTGTCTAAATGCGGAGCCATCGTCCTTTCTGTGACGCAATCCTCCAGTCGAGAAGATTACCCCATCCCCCTGAGCTATATTTGCGAGGGTCCTTGCCATACGACGCAAAAAGTCAATCCAGATAACATCTTTGTCACAATTGGGAATAACGCAAAGAATATTAACAAAGGAATTATAATCTCTATATAGATTTATCATGGCCGTAGCCTCGATGCTATTGCATCATTCGCTACCAATATACCTCAACGCCTTTCAATGCTATATACAAGTGACTATGTGCATCATCACCACTGGGCATGCCAATGAAGTGTATGGCCATGCAGTCGATGACCTCCATCCATAGTCGGTGTTTATGAGTCTCGCTCGATCGGAATTGAACCGGAAGACTTTCGTGTACGGTGCTCGTCGCTTACAGGTTACCGTCGAAAAGCAGAGGGCAGATGGCGGGCCAGCCGAGGGCGACACCCATGAAGGGGAAGAAGCTGTTGGGACTACCGTTAGCCACTGATGCAGTGTAAATGTGAACTCAATTGGAAGACTTACACAACGGCCTGGCTACCAACGCGCTTGACCATCTTGGCGTAGTCGGGGCTGGCAGGCTTCTGAGTGATGGAAATGCGCTCAAAGGGGTGAGACTCCATAGATCGTCCAACAGTTCGCATGGCACCGAGGAGTGAGAACTGGCGGCGCGAGGCAGCGCGGGTGATGATGCGGGCGGCGAAGGCAGACATGATGATGAGTGGTGTGGTTGGTTTTTGGGGTGTAAGTGGTGATTTGTCGTGAAGACTTTGAATTTTAGAGATGAGTCGATTGAATTATAGTGTGCCGATGAAACCCAGAGACGAATCGAATTGAGTGGTGTTTATGGTTGAGAGTGGAGAGTTGTAGTGGTTGTTTGAATGCTGTGATTGCGATGGTGAGGGAGGAGATGAACCGACGAGGGGAAGATGACAGAGGCTCTTATACAGATGTGACATTGCCGATCTGTTTGTCCCGTGGCCAGGGATTGCGAATTTGCACCGGAAGCCCAACCTGGCGGCTTCTTCCAGCGTCTGTCGAGCCGGAAATGTCCATAATGGGCAGATTCCATGCTCTGTCGAGAGTATCATACCACCTCCTGGATGCCCGAGCCAGTGGCAGCCAATGAGGAAGGCGGATTTGCCAACTGTCAGCACCGTGTCTCCACCGTGCGTTCACCGTGGCCCGGAGGTGGATGGGTCGATTTCGAGGGCGCGGTCCCCGGCCGTGGTGCCATTCTGCTCCGTTCGGCGGGGACCGGCGGGCCTCATCATTGGCCAACGGCGCTCGACTGACAGCGGCCCTGGCCAGATCAAAGGCGGCCAATCAGGGAGCAATCCTGTTTCTCCCGGCCGCTGGAGAGGTCCCAGTTTCAGCGCGTTGCGGGCCTTGCGGCCACTGCGGCATAGGGCCATCGGCTGATGGCATGTTGGCTGATGGTGGGTGACCTCTCGGCCGGCGACGACGAACAGCAAAACACACGCCGGCATTGGCAAACGCCATCATCAGAAGATGGCTGCGGGTTCTGGACCCGATTTGACATCGACCTTACCCCAAGATGCCTGTTCCAAACTCGTCCCAGCCGTGTCCCTTGCCGTTGCATGACTGGGTCATCAGATTGCATGAGATCCGATGCTCGACAAGGTCTTGTCGCTGTCTCCCGAAGGCCAGGGTTTCCGATCCGTCATCGGTTCATCTGTCGCTCGTTTGTATACCCATCGGCTGGTCTGTGACACACTGACACCCAACCAATATTTCCCCAGACAATCAAAATTCCCGGCTGGCTTTCTGGTCTGACTAGTGCGGGCCGTGGCATCGTCCGGAGCCGACCTCTCGGGCCATCGGCTTATCGTTATCGACATGTGACCATCCATCAGCGTGACCACATGTTGAGCCAGCGAGCTTCCAGCTAGCTGTCAATTGGCCCCAGAGCGCATCCGGCGAGATTTCTTTGGAAGAACCGCGACGAGCAGCACGATCTATCCCGCCATCGACGACATCGCTGCCCGCCCGTCGACCCCGTCACCATGTCGACGACCTTGACAAAGGGCGCCTCCGCCCAGCCGCCCGCCCCCAAGGCCGCCGTCCCCGTGGTTCCGCTCCTCAACAGCCCGATCGCCGTCCCTGCCTCCATCGCGCACCCGTTACTACTCGCAGGCCTGTTCGCCTGGCGATTCGAGGCCCTGGTGGCCGACCCCGTGTCCACGCTGCAAACGGCCTTGCCCGTCGTCGCGGTCATCCAGGCGACCTATGCGACGCTATGTCTCCCAGCCGCGGGGTCTTCGGGCGCAAAGGCGTCTAAGAAGCCGCGTCTTGGGGAGAAGAAAAAGACGTTTGCGGCACCAAACCACATTGCTGTAAGCACCCAACGAACTCTCAATTGCCCAATGGCATATCAATAGCTAACTGGTGATCCGCATGCAGAACGCAGTTATTTCCCTCCTCCTCGTCGCGATGTTAACGCCCGCCCTCCACGTCCTCTTCGTTCTCTTTGGCGCTCCGTTCCTTACTCATATCGCCCACACCTTTCTCTGCTGCGCGCACTTCGCCGTCCTCGCCATATTCCCCATCTTCTACGTCCGCGGCTCCGACCCCGTAGCGCTGCAGGCCGTGCTAGGAGCCTCGGCTCCGTTGGACCAGACGTTTGGTGGTTTGGCAGGCGCCACCATCGGTGCGTGGCTGGGCGCCGTACCCATCCCGCTCGACTGGGACCGCGAGTGGCAGAAGTGGCCCGTCACCATCGTGGTCGGCGCCTATTTGGGGTATATCGTCGGGTCCAAGGTTCTGGGCACCGCCTTCTACGGCAAGCGATGGGCGACCTCTGGGCCCAAGGAGGAATAGAGGTGTTCTACAATGGACTGGGCAAAAATTATTTCCGACGGGTCCGGTGGCTGGAGTTGGACCTTTGTCTGTATGCTTAACAATGATACCCGCGTGTAATCATGTCTGTACGCGGACACGCGAGCTCTAGCCAAAAAACAAAACCGCAAACAAAACTGATTGATTCCTGCTGCGTGGTGTCGCCGACACACTTGAATGCTTGGCCCTCCACTTCTCAGTGCCGAAAGAGCCGTCCTTTGCTACCACAGACCGCCTTGGCACTGACGCGGCCCTCAAGTTGTCCACCAAATTCATGTTTGAGTGGTTGCGGCCAAGACCACAAGACCTGGCGGACGCACTACGTACATAGCCCCAAGCATCGCGGTCGAAATCCGCGGGCCCGAGTACAAGGATAGCAAGATGTCGACAGTCTCTGTAGACCCGCTAGACAGGATAATTTACTTCCAACCAAGACGTTTCCTGACTACCTTTCCTTCTGAGCAGGAATTTTTGCCATGGTTCCACTGCTTGGAGCGAATCTGAAACTCTGTTAGGCCGGCTCGGGTCTTTCCTTCGGAAAACCCGGCATCGTAGGAGCCGTAAATTACGACAGAGGACGTCAGGGAATTAAAGTAAAGGTTGGGAGAATCTTGCTTGCGAGGTAGCTTAGGCGCCAGGGAGACAGAGCATAAACCCTGGTGACACCAGCCACAATCTACGCAATGAATGAGGCTGTCTTTGCGCTGATCATGGATCCATCGTCGAAGAATAGAACACCCATGGACGAACCCATCCATCCACATCAAGATTGCCGTCTGATCCTCACGGCTTCGTTCTTGGCGCTCGTCTGTCAATCAATGACGGGGTGCTGCTGCGCCAGGTGTGGCTCAGCAGCCGAGTATCACTGTGCGTTTGCACCTCGAGCGGGGCCATGCGTATTTCCTCTTTCCCAGTCCCTCTTTCCAAGCGAGCAATCGTCACAAATTGTGGCGTCAGCTCCACTCCTCGCCACAACCCGCTCGGCCATGACGTAGAGTACCAACCCATGACATATGCAGCCTCTGTCGCAAGCGCCGCCAAGAGTCCCGGCGCCAGCGAACCTGTTGCTGCAATCGGCCGGACCCATTGGCATCTACCAGGCATTTCCCGTGCTTCGTCGAGTACCGGGCTGCCCCTCCAACCAAGAAGGCGAAAGCAGGACAGCTGAGCTCCGCAATGCCCTTGCACCTGGGGCAAACAGAGGTCCCGTGTGGCTTGCCCTGCGGTCCACCCCTCCTCGCCGCTCCTCGCCGCTCCGTGTATTCCAAGTCGATGACGCAGTGCCCAGGCTCATGCGTGTGGCAGGGCTGGGCAGTCCCAGTCTGACCAGGAGGGGACCTTTGGACCAAGCGGGTTGCTGATGCCCTGGAACGGGACAGCTTGGGAGCTTGTGTTGGGGAAGGATGGTGTGTGTGATGCGGTGATGTGGGTGACTGGCTGACAGAAGATCCGATGCCACCGTATAAAAGTCTTATTGTTTCCCTCAGTCCACAAACTTATCTTTTTTCATCAATCCTACATCCTCTTCAGACTCATCTCTCAAGACCCCGTTTTTACATCAACCGCTTCTACTACACAACACCAAGCTTCTCTTTCCGAGCAGACTCGTTCCCCAAACCGCCAACATGCCTTTCACCACCAGGTAAGCAAGCTTGCCCTCTTCCTCGCTGGGCTGGTGACCATGGAATCCCGGATGTTCCGTGGGTTGGTGTTATTGCACTGTGACGACGCAACTTACACTGTTTCACTCGCACTCGCCGCCCAGTCCCGACACCACAGAATGCTAACCGGATCGTCCTCAACAGCGACATTTGCAAGATCATCCTTGCCGTCATCCTCCCTCCCGTGGGTGTCTTCCTCGAGCGTGGCTGCGGTGCCGACTTCTTCATCAACATCTTGCTCACCATTCTGGGTAAGTCATGTTTCCTCCTCCGATCACCCTCCCGAATGGTCCGGGTCCGGGCTACCCATCACTCCGGATATCCGCGACATTGAACCAAAGGTCCAAAGTTTACTGACACTCGTGCGATAGGCTACATTCCCGGCATCATCCACGCTTTGTACATCATCTTGAAGTATTAAGCAACAACATGCGTGGGCCCACGCTGGCCGGCATGAGCAAGCCACCCAAGACTCCACTCGCCAACACCAGCTGTCAACGCTCGACCGCCACAGCCAACCAAAGTCCCATGCAGGTCTGCGCGCATCGCGCGCATCACAAGGCCAAGCCACCGCACTTGCCGAGTATCCCGGCGATGCGTCGGCAGTCAAGGGCACCAATTTCCCTTTTGTTTTAGCATGACCATGCCCTCGACCTTGGCGACGACTCCCAGTGGACCCCGGGATCCCGAGGCTAGATGGATGACTGATACCTTGACGACCTAAGGAATGCTTTCCGCTTTTTTTTCTACTTTCTTTTGTTAGCATCATTGGAGGCGTGTGTTGGATCGGCTTTTGAAGGCAAACGTCGCGCTGGACTGTTTAGTAATTATCTCGATACCCGTCAATCCAACATTATACCATACCATAACTTTATCTCGGAAAATATCTCGGTGTTGCTTTTCTCTTCCTTGCTTGACCATCAGACAATGAGAAGCGGCCTTTTGAAAGCTGCCATTTCAGTCACTCGTTGAGGTGCCTCGGCACATACGGAGGGGCTGGGGTTTGGACGTTGCCCAAACCCAACCATATTATTGGCGAAGCATTCATAGCAATTCAGGCGGTAAGGTGATATAGCGTTATCTGCCAAATAGGCTAGACGAAATATGGTTCAGCAAGCACGTTTATTCCCATGCCATTTTCCCTGCAATTTCCGCGCTGATTCTTGTGGTCTTGGACGAGAGTGCCGACATGGCAAATGTCCCAATCTCCATATTGGGACATATTATTGATTGCCCGTATGCTGTGGCGGTGCTAGAGGAAGTGGAGACGCAACCCCGGCACCAGTCCCGTTCGCATAACTGCCGTGTCAGGTTGCTTCGGAGCCAGCGATAAGGCAATGGCCTAGCTCCTGGAGGTTGGTTGGATTGGATTTGGATTAGGAATGAATATGTGGGATTTCCATTGCGCCGTCCTCCAGTCCGAGGTATAGAATTTATAATAGTACAGTTTGACGAGTTAACTTGGTCATGGTGCATCCAACAGCACAGCTCGGAGTGTACCTGGGTCACATCCCCATACACGTTAACAAAAAGGCAGCCAAGTAAAACGAAGACCAATGTAATAATAGCATTTATATTTGCACATGGTCGTAAGCCATTTTACCTGAGCCTCAGCTGAATTATTGTGTACTTTGCCCATATGGAAGAACGTGTTCAATGGCTTAATATGTCGGTCTCAATTGCCATATTTTATTAGTTCTTTTGTTCAATTACAGGAACAGAATCTCAAGGCATGCTTTGAATTCAGGCCTCTATATTCAAGTATGTATAGTTTAAAATTTGCCCTGCATAAGGCAGTCTTCAAGATTCCCAAGAGAAAATATCCTTTAACCAGAATGTGCAAGTGCCTACATCTGTCGATCACGAGAGCATTATGGTCCTATAGGGTAGCATAATCACGAGGAATCTGGGACTGCCGCACTACCACACACTGTCACAGTGCATGCCGTAAATGTCATGGGGAATCATTAACTGAAGAAAATAAGCTCGGCAGATTTTTAGCTATAATTTTATCGTTATGTGATTCCAAGACCATCGCCGGATTGTATTTGCCGTCGACGATTCTCTATACGAGTGTTGTAAGCCTCACACATTTACCGCGCTTAGATTTTGATAGCTACAGCAGTTTTAAGTCACGGTGCGGAGTGTAGGTAACATCGCATATCTCAACGTCTATAAGTGCAAATGGGACATTATTACGGAGACCAGATACAACCCAGAGAAATAAGCATTGCATTGGGCCCAAGAACACCACTCCAATCAATACTCTAACAGACAACCGCATAAGTCCTTCCAAACACCATATATAAACACGTATAGTAAACGACCCCACGAACGCCGGATCTATCCAATCCCAGTAGACCCGCAAAGCCTTACATCTCTAAACCTATCAACCCAGCTCTCAACCCCATATCCAGGAACTCTCGTGTCTTGTTAGATCAGCTCTCCCTCCCCTTCTTCAGCTAATTCATCTTCTTCATCCCAGTCAACCTCTCCCGCCATCTCCTCTGCCCTTCTCTGCACCTCAGCAAGGCCCGATAGCTCCAACACATAGTCCTTCTCTTGCAAGGCTTGCTTGACAAAGCCCCAACCGTTCTTCCGAAAGGCATCGATAATCTTCGGGCTACACGCGCTGCAGCTGTCGTAAGACTGTCCTCGAATGACAATGTTCTGGAATGTCGACACATAGCCTCGAACCTGATGTGGGACCAGTCCCAGAGCGTGATCCGGGGGATCTCTCTCGGGAATCACTCCCGAGGTCGGTTGCGGGGCGGGTGCGTCTTTGCCCAGTGGATGCTGTAACAAGCTCGTCAAGAGCTCAACCAGAAGCGCCGAGGCAATGGCTGCAACTCCTGGCCTAGTGACGGTACATTGTTGATCAAGGGTCTGATCCTTCATTGACTATAAGTCGAGTTAGCAGCGGTGGTGGCAAAATTGACAGTGACGGAATGACTCACATCTGCGGGGGCAACGACATCGTTGCAAAAGTAGCAGCCAAGTGACATCTTCCCATCTTCCTTACTTTCACTCCCGTGGCGCATGACGACATACGAGTCGAAACCCAGTGCAGCGTTCATTACAATCTTGCCACCAGCTTTCCCCATTACTGTTGGGAGCCAGCGAGACTCTCGCGAATCCATAAGCAAGAAAATGGCATCATGCTCGTTGATGAGAGCCTCGAGTTTCTCATAATCCGCACGCGTCTTGGATTCGTCCGTGAAGGGGTGGCCGAGCATAGGAACGGACAAGGCATGACCCTCACTTTCCACTCCAGGATAGATCTGCTTGAGCGCCTCGGCAGCTCGGGGTGCCTTTTGCTTACCGCCATCAAGACAGTCGTTGAACTCAAACAGCGGTTGTCTGACAGGGTTCGAGTAGGAAACTCTGCCATAGTCGACAAATGTAATCTTCCGGACACCCCATCCCATCAAGTTTCTCGAAACGTAACTCCCCAGAGTCCCAGCTCCTAGAAGCAGACACTTTGTGTTCTTGATCTTGTCCAAATCCAGGTTCGGTGCGATTCTCCACTTCATGAGTTTCAAGTTCAAATCGACCGAGCTGTCGGCCAGTTTGGTGGGATCCATATATTCGCCCAGATTTACCTGCTGAGCCTGAAGCTTGCCATTCCTCGATCTTTCCCACCCGGTAATCTTGGGCATCTCGGCAATGTCCATGTCCTGTACTGTATCCATTTGGATAGGGAGGACCACGCTTCTTGCCTCATGCCTCCGAGCCCAGGTATCTCGGTAGCACAGAACCTTGACCTTCGTTAAGCGGAACCGTTGTCGAATGAGTACCAAGAAATTCCGCAGGGGCCACCCCGGTCCCTCGGGATAAGTGGAAGGGTCGACGAACGCGACGTACTGATCCTCCTCAGGGATTTGGTTGAAGAATCCCTCTTCAAATTCTCGTAGCGAGCCAACCTCCCACCGGAAAGGTAGGGTTTGGGAAACCTCGGCGTCTTCAATGTTATCTGGGTCTTGTCCCCGTACCTTCTTTGCAAGAAAGAAGCCATGCTCGCGGGAATCCTTCTCATATCTCCATGTTCCCACTCTGTCGACAAGCGCGGTGCTCTCGTCGGGGGAGAAGCGTTCGGCTGGACCTGATCGTTTCCACGCCGGATCGGAGTGGAGGGCTGGGAAGGCAAACCAGTATGTGAACTTGTACTTCTTGAGGTCGGCATACGAAAGGATCACAAAGGATGAGAGCAGCGAAGGGACGGAGTACATGCTACCATCCTTGATCGCATCCCAGATCTAAGGGAGTCAGCGGCGTACCAAACGATCGCGGTTGGGGATATCCAAGTACCTGACGACCTGCAGTCTTTATCATGGCAGCCTTGTCCATATTCTTGAAATCTTCCAGCGTGTTCACATTTCTAATAATACCTTCGGCCCTGATAGTCCCAAGAGGTGGACTGGGCTCATTAGTTCTGCAATCGTCAATGAGAGGAATGCGCAAAACGACAAGGGGGGCATACTTATTGCTCGTCAACGCGTTTCCCAGAATCTGCATGCGACAACTAGCCTCGGGAGTCTCTATGCGAGGTTCATAGAGGCCGAGAACACCACGGGCGGAGTCGTCGAGCTTGTCGTAGTCGAGCTTGGATCCAAAGAGCGCCGAGTAGAAGGGCAGCTCTATCTCGGATGTAAAGGTCGCAAACTGCAGAGGCGCGGCCATCTTGGTCGGGGTCTCGCCGGTCGGGCGCAGATGTCGATATCGCGACGAGGGCACGGGCGCAAGTGGACGCGGGGAGGGGTCGGAAACACGAGGGCACGACGGGGTCGCTTCGGCGGTTCAAGAATGAGGATGCGAGGTGAGAACAAGATGCATAAGGCGAGAGGAGAGCGCAAGGAGGGCAGTTGATGAGGCTACAGGAACAGTGACGGCTGACAAAGAGTGACTGTCATTTGACGAAGGTCATACATCACAAGGTAGGCGCGGATGATGTAGTGTCGGCGAGCAGGTGCCGCCCCGCCGCGGGGTACGTAGACCACCAGGCAGCCAACCCTGCCCCACCAAACGGACCAAAGGCGGAAGACGGAACCGAATATAGGTAGGAGTAGCGGCGAAGAAGGGCACGAGGACCCTTTGACTACAAATTCAACAAAGAAATAAATCACATTTGCGCCTATGGGTCCTTGAGTAACATAGAGGACTCGGTCATTGTATCTTTTAGTGCAGAGTGCTGTCCAACACAGCTCCCGAGGTTACTGTTCTACAGGATGCCGCTAAGCATTCGTCCAGTAAGGTAGGTATCCTTACATCGGGACACTTGGCTGTGATACAGACCCAAGTATGTTGAAAAGGGGTCGTCTTGATAATCAGGTAAACATGTCGGACTATCTTACTCTGAAATTTACCGGGGTCTTATTTGTTTTATTTTCCCACCCATGGATAATCAAAGCGGTGATAGCTCGTCAGTCTAGATACCATCTCTGAACCACGATGGGTCCTCACTACCAGCAACAAAGCTTCTTAGACAGGCCACAAAGGCGGGGAGAAGCTCGATGATTTCGGATGCGGCTGCAAGGTATTTGATTTGCGGTCCCGATTTTTTGGGTTCGTAAGATCGATCCGGCCGTGACCTGGTCGACGTAAGACGGCCGCTTTGTAGACGGCCTACAGTTCCTCCTGCACTTATCCGGCTGCGCTTCCAGAATCCACGGCCGGAAACGCAACCCCACACGTGCAGACGACGACTAAGAACGCGCTTGTCGCTGAGTCGCGTCTCAAAGCGAACGACCTCGCCAAAATCTAGCCAAGATTTACGGCTAAACCAAACATCTCTTCATTTTCCCCTAACCAGCCTCAGAGAACTGCCCGTGCCTATCGTCACAATGCTCATCGGAATCTGCGGTGGTACGTCGTAAGACCTCATCTATTCGCAATTTGCACACACCGCTCACATCTCATTCCACCGATAGGCATCTGCTCCGGCAAAAAGACTGTGGCTCAATATCTGGTCGAGCATCACGGCTTCCGGCATCTCTACTTGCAATCTCCTCCTCCGTCGCTAGGAGACTCGGAGTCTGAGTCGGCCGCTTCTGAGACCGACAAGCAGCCAAAAACGCCATCTGGTCCGGAACTTTTCTCTGGCGCCTCAATCACGACCGGCCTCACCACCAAGAATGACACCAAATCATCATCTGAGACTACACTCGCCCTGCGAGCTCAACCTCACACCTTCTCCACCCCTGAAGAACTTCTCGACTTCGTGACAAAACGTTGGCGAAGCCGCTTCGTGACCACCGACATCCCCACTGAGGCTGCCCTTGATGTCTTCGTCCGACGCCCATTCTTCCTCCTCCTGTCGGTCGATGCCCCACTGACCGTCCGCTGGCATCGCTACCAAGAGCGTGCTATGCAGGTTGGCAAGCCCGAGATGAGTCTCGAGGAATTTGTCGCCCGGAGCGATACACATTTGTACGATCCTCACACGGGCTTGTCACAGCTCATCTCGAGGGCGGCCGTGAGACTGCTCAACACATCGACGTCTCTAGCGCATCTCTACGCTACCCTAGGGAAGCTGGACATCCCTAACCCCGATCGCCTCCGCCCTAGCTGGGATAACTACTTTATGGCACTGGCATCCCTGGCCGCGCACCGCTCCAATTGCATGAAGCGCAGGGTTGGATGCGTCCTTGTGGGGAGGGAGCGCAGGGTTATCAGCACGGGATATAATGGAACACCAAGGGGACTGCAGAATTGCGCTGAGGGAGGGTGCCCAAGATGCAACGAGGGTAACAGCTCGGGTGTCGGACTATCGACTTGTCTGTGCATCCACGCCGAAGAGAACGCCCTCCTCGAGGCTGGGCGAGAGAGGATCCGGGAGGGTTCAGTTCTGTACTGCGACACGTGTCCGTGTCTGACATGCAGTATCAAAATCTGTCAAGTCGGGATTAGTGAGGTTGTTTACGCTCACGGCTACAGCATGGACAGGGAGACAGCACAGGTGTTTAGGGAGGCCGGCGTGAGATTGAGACAGTTCATACCAGTGAGTGTGCTCCCTTCCCTAACCTACACTACGATCGGATCTTATTTAGCCCCTGAAGCCCGGGTACTGACTCAGATCTAGCCGCCCAACGGACTCGTTCATCTCGAGAATATGGAACTTTATTGATCAGACATGTGCCACTTTGTGTGCGGGGAAGTCTGAGAAGTGAATCCGGGCCGCCGAGCATGTGGCTTTGAAATAGTGGGCGCCATAGGGGTCAGGGATGGCATTTTGTAAAATCAATATGAACCCTGATTATCTGATATCGCAGCCCCCGGCAAGGAAGGCATACCATTCATTACTTCACCCTTCGACTACGGGGGCTTTTCTCATCTCCACCGCTCAATAGATTTGTTGTCCATACGTAGAGAGCGGAGCTTGGTTCTGGACTCCAAACCCGAGTCTGACTATCTACAAACATTGGTCGAGTCCATCCAATGAAGACTCCGAATGGCCAAGCCGCTGTACATAGTCTTACCTCCGTGATGCAAGCGCCCATGCGATGCGGGCTGAGTATGTGATATGACCCGCTTGGGTGCGTTTGAGTGCCAGCGTGGCCAACATATGGTGGCCGGCAGATGCCCACGATGATTCGAGTGTAGGGTAACCAAGCCCTCGCCATGTCCACTTGGCCGCAGTTCTGGTCAGACGAGTATCAACCCACCATGCGTCATGTTTCTTTCTTTCGGAGAGCGGCGCGCTTGCGTGCATCCAGCTCGTACGGCCAAATGTAACGGGGCGCATGATGGCGCCTAACAATCTATTGTGGAGGCGTAGTTTTCGGCAGGAGTTGTGAAAAGGAGATCCTGGACAACTCCCGCAAACGAACTCAACACGAGGACTAACAACATCAATGTCTCCCGAGAAAAAGACCTCATGAAAGGGGTCAGGGGAATACTCCTGGAGAACTCTGAACAGACCGCTCGTACGTACAACCCCTTCTAATATTAATACCGTAGGGGTCCATTTCACTGAGCCGCAAAACTTGTGCGGTGTGCTTCAGCAGCCGTGTTAGCTGCAGTGGGCGTCCCATAAAATATGCAACCAGTCAGGCGGTCAACGAGTTCGCTTGTGCAAGGAGGGAGGCCCGGTCGCGCCCGTACATGTACATGCGCCTACGTTAGTGCAAGTCATCGCATGTGCTGATTGTGCTCCCTGACGAGCGGGGAGATTGTGCATTGGACGCTGTTATATTTAGGTGTCAGCGATTTGATCCGTGTAAGTCGTCATCTTCGGACACCATCGACAGAGCACGGGGCAAGACACCAAGATGCGGCGGCAGAACCCAAATGCCGGAGACATCAGCTATTGGTGGCCTGTCGTCCGAAAGACTTGCTGGGGAATCCCATCTTTGGGAGCGATAACTTTGATTTGGACAAAGATGGGCTACGAGGGTAGTGTGAGCGTGGTTCGGATCTGGCGGGGCTACCCCCGGACTCTTCCAGAAGAAGCGAGATGACATGGGCCGGCGAGCATAAAGAGGCATAATCAAATGCCAAATTACCACCGCCAGCTAGTTCGAATAACAGTGGAGTGAAAAGGGGATAATGTATTGTTTGTTTTGATCAAGAGGATTCGCTGCGCGTCATTGCACCCGGCGCATTGTGATGGAGATGGATGATGGATGAGTGATATGGGAGGGGGGATGGATGGGGTTAATGGGGATGCTGATGCCCGATGATGAGTTGGCCAGTGGCGGAGGAGAGGGGCAATCAATTGCTGTACGAAGCACAAGCAAGGGATCGGGGTCGATGTTACGACCAAGTTTAAGTCTGACTGGAGCTGAACAATGCCCGGGATGAGGGGATGAGGCAATGGCGATCATGACGCTGATAAGAAGAATCCTGTGGGTAGCGAACAGGTGGGAATCGTGAGAATCAAGAATGCCGAGACAGGGCCTCTTGCACTGCCAGGCCGCAGTCGCCAGTTGCTTGTCGCCTGTGATCCGGCTAGCGGCTCGAGCGTCTATTCTTTCACGACCACGCGAGAAGCTGCAGGCATCGTGACGAGAGAGCGATGTCTCGTGTCATCCTAGCCCATCCCATCTCGTCCCAATGCCATGCCATGCCATGTCATGGCTGATCGGTCGCAAGCCAGGGCCGGCGCCAGACGACGTGGAACCCTCGTCACTCTCCACCTCTTGCTGGGAGTTGCGACGTTCGCTTCCGAGGCCTTTCCTCCAAAGACTCCCATCCGACCTCCCCTAGCGACACTGACACGTCCCCAGCGCTCTTACACCCCATCTGGCACTCCACAGGGCGCATCTCAGCGCCTGTGCCCAGGGGTCCTCCCGTCCTGAGCCCTGACCAGCTTCCCAGCTTGCCAGCCTCTAGTGATTCCAACGACCTCTTCCAAGGGGTCTTCCAGGGGACTCCCAGGAGTCTGGCTGAGAGGTATGGGGTGAGAGAATGGCATCGGAGGGAGATGCGACTTGCTTGGGTGCGAGTTTCTGGTGCGTTTCGGGCTCAGGCTGTTATCTGGTCCTCGTGCTTGTTTTCGTACCTGAGAGGAAGTCGGTATAAGCATGTAACTTTGCACAAATGGCGCGAACAGCGGCAGCGACCTGGCCGAGAACGTGCGACCTGCGCGGGCTTGGTTGTTTGTTTGGCCGCCGACTGTCGTAGGTCGCAACGGTGGCGGCAAGTAGGTAGGCGAAGACTCACACAGCGGGGGAATGCAATGTCTGTCTCGATGGAACGGGACCATGGCGCCAAGAGTGGAAGGCGTGTGCGGGCCACAGCGGGGCCACGGGGGACCAGCCGCGGCGCCATGGCCCAACAGGGGGGCCCCAACAGCCCCCAGGAGGGGGCAGGAGCGCAGAGGGGGCCGGAAGGACCCAGCGCCCACCCCCCTGTCCAAACAGACGCGCTCTGGACGTGTCACGCTAGACCATATACGGGAACCGTGTAAACAAATGCGTCACCTCTTGGGCGCGCACAATGGCAGGCGCGCACCAATTTGCACTCCCAAGCACCCCCCGTGGCTTCTCCTGGGCCTGTCTCCCGCGTCCCGTGTCCCGTGGCCCGGTGCTCTCCACCGTCCCTGCCCTGTCTCGTCCGTCCACCCGCACCTGCGCCTGCACCTGCACCTGGCGTGCGGCTTGCCTGCTGCCTCCACCGCGTTCTTGCCTTGCCCCAAACTGCCCGCTGCCAATCCTGGAACCCATGGTGCCCACCCCCTGCCCCCTACCAGCACCACCTAGTAGAGCGTCGCACGCGCCGTCCCCAACTCTCGACTCCTACACGACCCAGTTCTGTCCCAGCGCCAGTAGTCGTCGACCAGTCCCCCAATTCCTCCCACACCATCTGCCAACTTTCCAAACAAACCACCTGCATACCAGCCCGATTCGCCACTGCCAGTCGTTTTCCCTTCGACTCGATATCCTGAGTCACCAGACCCGTCCCGGATCCACGTAATGCCCTGAGAAGGGTTACGGTTCCAACTGCCGCCACACGAGGGGTCTCTGGTTTGGTTTCTGGGCTCGCGACGACAAGACAACGAAAGATATTGGGCTACGTTAGGAAGCGTTTGCGCCATGGTCTAATTGCCCCTGTTTCTTTCTCATACTCCCGCCACGACGACAACGAAGACCACGACTACTGCCGCCTCCACCGCCCGACGAGTTTCCAACCTCCCAGTGCCCGTCTTTCAATCCCTCCACCTTCACCTCACCTTTCTTCTCACCTTCGAAGCTGCCTCCTTGCCTGCCTGCCGCCTGCCTGCCTGTCTCCGGTTTGACTGCAGCCTGCACCTCCCAGCATCCTCTGCCTCTCTAGCGTCCGAGCCTGCCTTTTTTGCAAAGTCATGATATGACCTACGGCTTCCCAGTGAGACTGGTTGTGCTTCGGGATTTTGTTGGGTATCGTCTCGAGTCACTACTCTCTCGCCTTGCGACGCGCGTGCACACAATCACCACCTCATATCGACAAAACACTTGAGATCCCGGCTGCGAATCACCACTTCAGCCGGATACCCTGTTCCCCTTTTACCTCTGATCAACTGGTAAAAGATTCCCACGCATATATCTAGCCTTGCTTACGTGGGCATTCCTCGCCCCCGATTACCCGCGATAGCCCCGATCCTCTCGCATTCCACGCCCTCACAATGTCCTTCTCCAACAGTAGTGGCGGCACCCTCGCCCTTCCGTCACCAACGCACGCTCACCAGATCGATGTAACATCGGCCGTACGCACTCTGCGACGCTCCATGTCCAGATCTCCCTCAAAGTTTATCACGCGAACCAACTCACAAAGCTCGGAGGGCTTTGAAGGCTCACAACATACCTCCCCACAGTCGCCCTGCCGGCGTTTCGGCTCAACACCACAACATCAGCAACCTCTCCCATCAAACACCCGGTCGGCCCCGCCTTTCGGATCCTCCAACCACGCATCTGTCCCTCACCAGTCAATATTTGGCACACCTTTCCGCCCCAGTGTCAGGCTTTCGCTCCGCTCCGCAAAGAAGTCTTCACCCTCAAGACCTCTTACACGAGCACGTGCATCGCCCAAGAGTCCCTTGAAGAGAGCGCTTATCAACGCACCGGACAACGGCAATTCCCTGCCATCCACGACACCCTCCTCCACTCCCGGCTCACCAGGACAGGAGAACCTCGCCCTGGTAGCGTCTAGCCCCACCCGGCGCAAGAGTTGCGACATGCGACAGAGTGTTCATCTGGACGTCTCTGGGTCGTCACCGTCCGCTTTTAACGCCCTCGACACCAACGCCAACAACAATAGCGATAACTACATGGTTTCAAATACCGGTTCACTGAAGCGCAGTGATGCGACCATGAATCTGGACCAACCCAGCCAAGGAAGCCCCGTGGCTAAGCGGCGGAGTTTGCACGGAATCACGGGTCTGGTCCAGAATGAGGACCAGAATATTTTTGGATCCAACACCACCTCTTCTCAGAGCTTCTCCATTCATGAAGACTCTGGTTCTGAATATGAACTTTCAGGTGCTGGTGGTGCACCTCTTCGCGACCCACTGCCCTCCCCCACGCCGACCGCCAATGTTCCAAAGCGGTCATCCTCTTTGCGAAAGTCGACCCTCCAGCAAAGATATGGCGAACGGGGATCTTTGGGTCGGCGAACGGGCGAGCGACAGCTGGCTCAAATCAGCGCCGACTTCTCACCAGTCCGCAGTCGACCTCGTCTCTCCATGGACCAATTCGTCCCTCCACACGTTCGGGACAGTCCTTTCTCAACCTCAACCACCCCCGCTTCCAACCCGCCTAGCTACCTGATGGACAACAAAATCCATCAACCCCACCCTCTTTCAAAGACCTTGTCCACCTCCTCATCTGGGGGTAGTATCACTGAGGAGGCGCCATTTTTTGCGCCTGCGCCAAGGGTTTCTGATCGCCCGAGACCCCATCCATTTTCTAGATCTCTGCCGCTCAATGCCACGAGGCCGACACGTTCAAATGATCCTATGAGGTCGATGGCCACCCCTAACAAGTCGCAGCTGTGGGTGGGAGCCTTCAGCTCGACTGGCCTTATATCAAAGGTCAACCGCAACCCTGAGGAGGAGGCCGACAGAAAAATGGCCCCTCCCGACACTCCATGCAAGAAGCATTCAAACCCATTCGCTACTTTCCCACCACCCGCCGGCAGCGCCATGAAGAAGAGGGGTAACAACCGAAACTCTTTTGGCGGCCTCCCTTCCACTCCTTTTAACCCCATATCTGGCCAGGCACCGAACACTTTTGGAAACCCTGGAAAGGGATTGGCCATATTCCAGCGCGGCAACTCTAGAAGCTCACGTCGTGGTAGTGTGCTGAGTCTGGATGGTGAGGAGCCGAGGCTCTTTGGGGAATGCATTGATCTCTCCAATTCCCTAGAGGGTGATGCCCCTCCTACCCCGACGAAGAATTCTATGACTCCCAGCCTGAGCAATCTCAGCAATGTCAGCGAACATTCGCTCGAGAGCCCTAGTGCCAACCGAACCTTGCCTCCTACATCGGCTGTCCGTCCCATCATTTCCCGAGAATCAACCTGTAAGTCGACCCTCGAGAAACCAATCTTGTCAAGCACACCGAATGATACATCATATCGATTGGCTCCCGTCGAATGTGGGAAGTATCCTACAATCGGCATTTCCTGTTCTTCGTTCAGCCGCTCAAGAGCCCGACGAGGCGTTTGTCCTCCGGCGCCTCTAAGCGCGGTTTCTATATCCCGTTCCCTCTCTACACAAGAAGTATATGCTAAGATGAATATTGTTGATTCAGCGAGTCCTGTTGATGGTCGACGAACTCCACAAACACCCCAGGAGAGTTTATTGCCCTTGGACACAAGCCGGTTGTCTATTTCTCAGGCAGGCGACAGCTATTCAGACAACATGCCGCCCCCAGTTACCCCAACAGCTGGGCGAGATTTCCGATCTTCCACAAGCCTCCTCGTCACTCCCATCAACATCCGCACGAGCAATGTTGATATTGACACCAGCCTCTACTCCAGGTTCGACAAGGTTGACCAGATTGGCAAGGGCGAATTTTCAACTGTTTACCGAGTGACGAAGGTAGACCACCGACAGGTGGCCTTTGATACATTGATTTCGACGACTCCTAGTGAGAGATCACGTAGCCCGGTAAAGGGCGAGGTCTTTGCCGTGAAGAAGAGCAAGCAGCCTTATCAGGGCCCGAAAGACCGAGAGACGAAACTCCGAGAAGCCCAGATCTTGAAGGCTCTATGCCACGCCGACCACGTGGTAAAGTACATTGATGAATGGGAACACAACCTTCATCTGTATATCCAGACCGAATTTTGCGAGGAAGGCACTCTTGATAAGTTCTTGGGAAATGTCGGACGGGGAGGGCGATTGGACGATTTCCGCATCTTCAAGGTGCTGCAGGACCTCTCCTTGGTATGTGAATGGTTTGACAATTTGCGACTCGTTGGAAGCTAACATCGATTTAGGGATTGAAGGAAATCCACGAGGCTGGTTTCATGCATCTCGATCTGAAGCCAGCAAACATTCTGGTCACTTTTGAGGGAACTCTAAAGATCGGCGATTTTGGCCTCGCCCAGGCATGCACATCTGCTCATGGAGTCGATGTCGAGGGTGACCGTGAATACATGGCGCCCGAGATGCTGAAAGGCAAGGTCGGGCAATCTGCCGATGTCTTTTCTCTTGGCCTCATCATTCTGGAAACCGCAGCCAACGTCGTGCTGCCGGACAACGGTCCCACATGGATTGCCTTAAGATCGGGTGACCTTTCGGAAGTGCCTAGCCTCACCTGGACTCCGTCGATTGAGGTCCAGCGAGACGCTGCTGGCAACCCTACCGAATCTGTTCATAGCGACGAATTTTCGAGCGGAAAGACACACGACCCCAGCAACCTATTCGGCTCATTTAAGCGATCGGAGATGGAGCATCCTCCCGACTTCATGGTCAACGCATTCGATCCTAGCTCTCTTGACTCCGTCGTTCGATGGATGACGGCACAGGAGCCTGAAGATCGATCCTCTGTGCAACAAGTGCTGGAGCTCGAGGGACTCCGATGGGTAGCCGATCGTCGCGCTGCCCCTGCGACGGTGTACGAAGGATGCTGGGGTCCTGCTGAGCTGTTCCCTGTGTCTATCGCTGTGGACAGTGACACGGAAATGACGGATGTTTGAAGAGATCTAGCACAACGCGACAAGATGCGACGAGCTGGGTGATTACACACCCCTCTGGATATCATGAGCGCCTGATTGGCCTGTATAGGCGTTGGAATTATTGGTTCCTGTGCTGGAATACGTATGAGTGGATACGTGATTCCGGCGGTGGGATTGGCGACTGAAGCGACTTGGAGAAAACATCACATCTTGCTGCACATGGTTAGACTTTCTACCATGACACGATACGACGATACTACGACATCTGGACGACAGCAGGAGGCTGTTGCCTGCTAGGCGTTCTGTTTATTCGGCCGTTCTATGCTTCTGTCGGAAAACGTTTGGTTTCTGGCAGCATAGCTTCGACACGACGACTGGAGCGACCTCCTTTTTCTATTTTTATCCAGCCAGCATAGTTGCATGACCTGATTGAGGTACCCGCACGTTATGACGATGCGTGGTCATTACGGGCTACATTGCTATTTGCATCTCGAGACCGAGATTGCGTGTATGAATTACATTTGAAGGATTAGACATGTTGGAATTACATGGTTACCAGGGGTAATAATCCAGATACGCAGGAGTTTGGGTGATCATCTGCAAGAAGACTGCGGAGAGGAGGACAAGACAAAAAGAAGGCTGAGGCCAGAAAGACGAAAGAGCAAATGAAGGAGAGCACGAGAGACTTTGAGGCCTCGTGGCGGAACCATGTAGATTATATAAATAATGGTGGGAGTGGAGGGTATTGGAAGGGCACTGGAAGGTATTGGGATGACCAGTTGCTAGAGCAGCATCCAGGATCTCGAAGAGCACCTGGAGGCGAGCTGATTTGATTGTTGATGACGATTCTGACGACGAAATGGCATGAATATGATATGACCAGTTCTCAACCATGAAACCTGTTACTAAAAATGATATTGCCCTTTGTGATATGATGGTTGAAATAATTGGATCGTGGAGGATGACAAAGCGGGACAGAGATAAAGGGTGTCGATCAGGCACCGCGTATACCCGAAGATTCGCGCGGGGCTCGCATGACCTTGAGGTAGTTACGGAGTAGTTGGGTAATTGATAAAGAACACAGTATACATCACTTGTTTACCAGGACACCAAGCTCTTTGAGATACAGATTGGACCGATCTCGGCGTTTCCGATAAGAAAGCAACTCGCCTCGCTATAGAGGACGTATTCGTTACGTTTCACCATGACCGTCGCTACACTGCTCGAGCAACAGGCAGACCTGCCCAGTGCGGAGAGCACCAAGTCGTACTGGCACCAAGAGCCATCCCAGACGCTGTTGGGGCACCGAACGACACAGGAGCTCCCGGCGGCTGCGGACATAGTTGTTGTGGGCAGCGGCATCACGGGGGCGTTTGCGGCACGGGAGCTTGTCAATGGCGGCAGGTCGGTGTTGATGCTTGAGGCGAGAGAGGCGTGTTGGGGGGCCACAGGACGGGTGAGTTTTACCTTGTAGATCTGAGGTCTAGAGCCTGAAGTCCGAGGAATTGGAGACTCTCGATGCCATGCCAACATGATTGAGATTGAGATTCAAGAAGAACACTGGCTAATCTCGACAATGACAGAACGGCGGCCATTGTCAACCTCTCATCTACGCCGCCCCACCGCACATCTCCCGCTTCGAGCTGGCCACGTATAGATTCTTACGAGACCTCGTCGCAGAGCACAACATCTCCTGTGACTGGGAAACTGTTGGCGGCGTCCATACGCTCCCAGACCGGGAGACGCTCGATTTGGTCACCAAGCATCTGAACCGCCTCAAGAAGGACTTCCCCGACCTCACCGACGAGGCATCCCTCGTTACTGACCAGGACGAGCTGCAGAAGCTCCGGGTTCCAGAGGCCTTTGCTGCCGTGTACCAGCCCAGTGCTGCAAAGCTGTGGCCCTATAAGCTCGTGGCCTGGGTGCTGGAGCGCCTCCTTGCCGAGCATGGCCCCGAGACTTTCAACCTCCAGACAAAGACGCCCGTGGAGCGTCTTCAGCGTGTCGATGACACCTGGGTCCTCCATACAGCTCGTGGCCAAGTCACTGCAAAGACCGTCGTGCTGGCCACCAATGCCTACACGTCCCGTCTACTCCCCCAGCTTAGCGGCCTGCTTGTTCCCGTCCGCGGCCAGGTCTGCGCGCTGAAGCCCCCCGCTGATAGCCCAGCACTGGAGCATAGCCATGTCTGGGTGGCTCCCGGCGGCGATGACTACCTTGTCCAACGGCCTACCGGCGAGCTGATCCTCGGTGGCGAGCGGCTTAGCGTGGAGGATGGCCAGGTCGGCGTCTCGCGCGATGACGACGTCGACGCCACCGTGGGCCGCCAGCTCCGTGCCGCCATGCAACACGCTGTGAAGCTGAAGACTCCGGGTCAGCCCGAGGACGCGACTCTCGCGGCTGCGTACGAGTGGACGGGTATCATGGGGTACTCGCGGGACGGGCACCCCTGGGTCGGCCGCGTCCCAACCGGGCTGGGTGGCGCCGACGGGCTCTGGATCAGCGCCGGATATACTGGCCACGGCATGCCAGTTACGGCTCGGTGCGGCATCGCTGTGGCTGAGGAGATACTGGGACGTTCAGGTGGCGTAGAGCTTCCTGCTGAGTTCCGCATCGATGCCGGGAGGGCTGAGAGGGCCCAGGGAACCGTCCTGCCAACGACATTACTGGAGGAGATACGGGCGTTGATCGTCGAGTAAAGGAGTCTATGACTGCGGATGCCTTGTTTTCGATACACGAGACTTGATCAATTGTATCAGATAGAAACAGAACGATTATGATAAATGATGGCTGATGATATCCCGTCCTCCTTAAGACCCATTACTATCCATGTATCTCATAATACAACACTGTCATATAAACAAACTCACGAATGCACCACCTGCAGCAAACGCACTCAGAAGAATCACACACACCACCTCCACTTCCGCCCCTCCACCGGATTCCACTTTGTGTGCTACAGTCGAAGTGCAGACGTGTCAAGAGTCACGTCCTGCGGGAAGAAACCACACGGATTAGTAGGCTCGTACAAGGCGCCGCCAACTCACAGCTTGGGCCGCACCTCTCCGCCTTTACAAACCTCCCGCTTCGCTCGTTCGCGAAGCGTCTTGCGCAAGATTTTGCCAGACTGTGGTTTCGGAGTTAGCTGGGCATCTCGGGAGTCAGGATGCAGGAGAGAGAATAGGGAGGAAAGTGAGACGAATGGGAGCGCGGATAGTAGACATACCGGGATCTTGGGGATGGCGTCGATGAAAACCACTCCGCCTGCCAGCCGCTTGTGCCGTGCGACGCGGGCGGCAAGCCAGGAGGCAATATCATCTTCTGTGGTGTCCTTGGCGTTGGGTGTCTTGACGACGTATGCCCGGGGAACTTCCTCGCCATTGATGGTGACACCAATTACAGCCGCATCGGCCACATCATTCCGTTCTAATAGAAGCGCCTCAAGTTCGGCCGGGGCAACCTGGAGTCCCTTGACTTTGATCAGTTCCTTGACTCGATCGACAATGTGGAAGAGTGTCCCCGGTGCGAACTCCTCCACATGGGCAACATCTCCGGTACGAAGCCATTGCGTGCCGTCCTCATCCGTGACGAGTACCTCCTCAGTTGCGGCCGGATTGCGCCAGTACCCACGCATGATGGTCGGGCCTGTGAGCCACAGCTCGCCGGGCGTGTTGGCATTGGTGATCTCGGCACCCGTCTCCAGATGCATTAGCTTAGCTTGGCAATTAGCTACCAGCTCACCGACCGATGCATTGGATGGCCTCGTCGGGTCCCAAGAGAAGGCCATGCATGTGGCTTCCGTCATGCCCCAGCCCTGCTTAGCTATCGAGCCCCCCCTTGGTAACATGCTATTCACCTCGCGTTGAGTATCCTTGGACAGTGGCGCAGCGCCGCATGCAATCATTTCAATGCTGCTGAGGTCGGCGCGGCGGGCGAGGGGATGTTTGGATAGGAGTACGAGGATTGGCGGGGCGGTGAAGAGCTTGGTGATGCGGAATGCTTGGATGTGAGCCAGCATTTTGGGGAAGTTGAAGGAGGGCATGACGTAAACGGGAACGCCTTCGTAGGGAAGGTAGTTGATAAAATACCCCATACTGAAGGCGTGAGACATGGGGAGAAAGCAGAGAGCTGCAGCGCGGCTTGTCTTGTTCTTGTACTCGGGGTCCAGTTGGTTGAAATGGATTGCGCCAACGCCGTTGGCGACGTGGTTGTAATGCGATATCTCGACACCTTTTGGAACACCAGTCTGGATTGGCTGTTAGTAATGTATGGTGGAGAATGAGAAGGGGGATATGTGCCATACCGTTCCTGAACTGTAGTTGAGGCCGCAAGTCACCTTCTTCGAGTCTTCTGGTTCAGCCCAGAAGAACTTATCCCCCAGGGTTTGAGATGCGATCAGTTCTGTCCAATGTCTGCTGCCTTCCCGAGGCTTCGCCTCGACTTCTGAAGAGTCTGGAAGTGTAGAATCGAACATGAATACTCGATCATGGTTCATACCGACTTGGGTTGCTGCTTCTAGCGCAACGTCGAAGTTGCTCTCTGCTGCGATCATCACACAAGCCCCGCTATCATTTAGCTGAAAGGCCAATTCGCGGGCTACGTACCCATGATTTGCTCCCGTGAAGACGGCCCCGGCCATCCAGACGCCCATTGCAATGACGGGGAAGAAGATGCTGTTCCCGGAGTAGAGCAACACGCGGTCGCCCGGCTTGATACCGTCATCTATTAGACCGACCGCAATGCGCTTGGCAAGGAGCCGGCCTTGGGCGTATGTTAAGAAGTGAGTCTCGGGCCGGTCAGCATCAATCCAGGCCTTCTTGTCGGGAAGAGGCCCGGAAGGAGACCCGAAGACCCATTGCTGGATGGAGCAGTTGGGAACCGGCACTGAGAATCGGGATTTGATGGGCATCGTCGGATGGGACTGTCCCCCAATGCTCAGAGAACCGGTCTTGAAGATAGGGTGAAGCGGGGAAGGAGATGATTGCCTTCGGTTGATGCGCTTAGAATTGAAAAGCCCGCGTCGGTTCAGGGAGCCAAACGATGATAAGTAGTATACACGTCGTGCGACGAGCGACGAAACCTCCTCGTCTTCGCGGCGCAAACCTTTCCTGCTGCCCCTGGTGAGCTCGCCTCCCGCCTTGGAAATATTTTGGAAAATAGAGTGCTTACGGTCTCAAGCTCTCAGTCCAGACACGCTACTCAATGGCGAGATCTGATTGCCGCAGGATTCCCCTTCCGTTCTCGGACGTCGGTGTCAAGCCAGACGAGACGACGGTCCAGGTGACAGAATCGATATCTCAATGGGCCACGTTACTCGCCTCACCCCGTCAATGGTCACAATACCGATTCAATAGCTCGATTCCAATATCATGTCCACAGCGAAGAGTCGGAGGTGGCCGAAATGGCACATATAAGTAGCGGTTCAGCTGTGTCTCAATCCCTCATAACTAAAATTAGCCTGGGCGACGCAATAGCACTAACACATGGACCCCGCATGGGCTTGGCTCCGGTCTGGGCCATGTGGCGAGCTGAGGCCCCATGTCTATTGAGAAGCGACAAGGCGCGGGAGATTTGCTGAGTAGCGCTGGTCAATGGCATGATTTGCGTTGTTTGGTGCGAGGCCTGTGAAGGGGTTTGCCTGCGAAGGGCGCGTCCACCATTCTGGCCATCATCACATCTCTCGTGTGTAAGCCGCACGGTACACGGCATGTGCAGCTGTGGTACGCATGTACCCAATTCATTGTATCACGCTGACTGGCGTTCCTAGCAACTTCCCGTAGCCGAAGAGCTCATCTCGGCGCGAGCCGGCGTAGTTCCCTTGAGCCTGAACGTGAGAGTTGGGTTACTTGTCTTTGGTGGGCGGGATGAGACGAAGATCCCGAAACCCCTTTTAAGCTTATATTGACTTGTCTGCACCACCACGAAGTAACCTCCCATGTCGAGCTCTAAATGGCATACTGGTCAAATCGGGTCACATCAATTGATTGAATGAAGGCGAAAATTGGTATTGTCGCCGATGCTAAAACAGGAAGTCCAGGGTCCGTAGCTCGACACGCGTCGAGTTGTGGCTTGTCACTGGAATTCATCTCCGATCCGTTGTACCAGACGCTTGGGCTGCATGTTCAGACCGTCGCAATCGCATGGTTCATTGTGAATTTTGTGACGATTCTGCGCGGTTCAATTTGCATCTAACCCGGCAAAGGTCTGCTGGACGAGCATGAGGAACACGAGACGGCGGAGTTACAGTCCCCATGTACCTGTATCCAGATGTAGCAGTAAGGGGGCGAATGCAGGCCACAGATGGTTCATGCATGAGTAGAGCAAGATGCAGTATCACGGAGACCTTGAAGAACTTTCCGTCGTCTTGAATCTTGGTTGGCCACCATGTGGAAGTCGTGGCCGTATACAGAGGAGGACTGCAGTCGAGAGCCTTGGCTCCTGATTCTCCTTTACCAACCAATCACATTTCTCTCCCACTGCTGGCAACGAGCAGACGTCCTGTTAGGCTCTAGTAAGCGAGCTTACTACAATGTAGATCACGACCGATATCAGGCCAATACGCATTTTGGGTTGACCTAATTGCGAATCTGAGGTGGGGGAGGGTAACAATGTGAACCCGATAGGCTTTGCTTCATTCGATCCGATGAGAAAAATGACGGGGCTAAATGACATGGTTCGTGGAAGAAGGGAAGGAAGGAAAAGAAGATAATATTTGAGGAATGGATGGATGAGTATCCATTCCTCTTTTTTGTTGATTGTGAGAGAGAGAGAGGAGATCGCCTTCAGCGCTGAGAGCCAGGGCGCGGTAGGTACGTACTTTTCTCCCTGATGACCTTCGGATCAATGTCGAGCACCGGCCAAACCCGATATTCAACCGAGCCCGCCAATCACGAGTGCGCATTTTGCAAGCAGCTCCAACTGGAGGCCCGGACAAGCAACGACATTTTGAAAGGTCGACGGCTCACGATCAACTCGCACCACGACCACGACCACGTCCACGCCCTCTCCCACCGACAACCTCTCCCATCCACCACCATGGCGAGCAAACTCACCCACTTCGTCACCCGGTCCGCCCTCCGGTGCGCCTCGCGGGTCGCCCGTCCCCAGTCCCGCGCCTTCTCCCTCACAGCCCGCCGACCGAGCGACGTCCTCATGGTGGTAAGCCTTCACAATCTCCCTCCACGAGGCTTCCGCAGGGCCATTGGCACCTCAATTGCCGCCCCCGCGCCCCGGGCGAGCCCTGGACGGCCTCGGAGCTGTGTTTTTGATGGGTTCGATGACTGACGCTGCTCCCAAAGCACCGAAACACCGCCGACAACAACCCCGAAATCCCCTTCAAGTTCAACGAGCAGAATCAGGCCGTCATTGCCGAGATCCTCAAGCGATACCCCCCCCAGTACAAGAAGGCCGCCGTCATGCCCCTGCTCGACCTCGGCCAGCGCCAGCACGGCTTCACCAGCATCAGCGTCATGAACGAGGTCGCCCGCATGCTCGAGATGCCCCCGATGCGCGTCTACGAGGTTGCGTCCTTTTACACCATGTACAACCGAACCCCCGTGGGCAAGTTCTTTGTCCAGATCTGCACAACGGTATGTGTATCCCTCCATGAGGCTCGACTTTTTTGCGAGAATATGTTGTTGTCGGGTTGCAATTGCTGGTTGAGGGGTGGGAATGGTTTCTCGGATGTGGCCGGATGATGAGGAAGGAGAGCGGATCAAACAATACAAATCGTCAATCTTGGAACTCTTACGGATCGGCTGACACTGGAATGAATAGACCCCCTGCCAACTCGGCGGCTGCGGCTCCGACTCTATCGTCAAGGCCATCAAGGACCACCTCGGCATCAAGCAGGGTGAGACCACCGCCGACGGTCTCTTCACCATCCTCGAGGTCGAATGCCTCGGCGCCTGCGTCAACGCCCCCATGATCCAGATCAACGACGACTACTACGAGGACCTTACCCCCAAGACCGTCGTCGAGCTGCTCACCGCCCTGAAGGAGAGCGCCACCGCCGCCAACCCCTCCTCCGTCAAGGTCCCCGCGCCTGGTCCCCTGAGCGGCAGAGATACGTGCGAGAACAGCGCTGGAAAGACTAACTTGCTGGATGAGCCTTGGGGAGTTGAGAAGACGCGGGCGGACTTGTAGAACAAATTGTTTATTAAACGGGACCTTTCACTTTGATTTCTTGGGTCGCGATGAAAGTGATGGAAAAGGCTTCGGAGAGGGCCGAGGACTGTACATAACACTGCGTTAAATGCTAGCAAATGGTATAGAAACGTGGGTTCTTCCAAACTATGTGAGACATTTGGTTTTTGTTTTGTTTGGTTCTGTCATGCTGCATGTGAAAAATTCGAGACCTCGTAAAAAAAGAACAATTCCTGGGACTTTGTGCACCTTCATACCCAACTTTTCCCAATATCACAATATTCCAAATTTAGGATCCGAGTCTCAAGATCCATCCGTCATCCAGCCGCCGGTTATCCTCTCCCAAGCCACCCCAGATCAGGATGGCATTCTCCTCAAGGTCGCCCATCACGGCGCTCGAGAGCCAGCCTCTGGGCGCAGGCATCTCGATGTCATTGTCATCATCGTAGGGTGCCAAGTCGACCTTGGTCCACTTGCCCTCGCCGGTCGGGCGGCCGACAGCCTGCCACATGGCGGCAGTGACGCTCGCGGCAGTCATGCCCAGCGGCGGCACCTGGAACATCCAAACATCGTCGCTGAACTTGCCTGCGCCGGCGTGGCCCTCGGAGCTGGGGCTCTGCTCGCCCATGATCAGGACCAGGTACTCGTAGCCACCACCAAGGGTAAGCGCCTCAAGTGATGCGACACTGCGAGGCCCTGGCCACGTCTGCGAAGGCTGAGCAGTAATTTCCGTTGGAGAGGACTCGGTGTTCTTCTCAAAGATGGTTTGCCAGCCACCGCGGGCACGGAGGGCGACTTCGCCCTTGGTACCTTGATCATCAAAGGTCTCTACTTCGAGATGGATGAAGTCGAGTTGCCCGCCAATCTCCACCTTACCGTCGAAGCCACCGAAGCGGAACAATCGACTCTTGCTGATACAAATGGCCGTACCACCTCTGGCAGGTCCTGGAGCGGCGGGGAGCTCGCTCCAGGTGCGCTCCCGAACATTGAAAGCCCAGATATCATTGACTCGATCTCCGCTGGCGACGCATCCGGCGTGGATGAAGACGGTGCCATAGCCATCTGATTCCTCATCCACAGCGTCCTCGGCGAATTTGCCGATAATGGGATCCTGAGGGATGCCCGTCTTGGAGGTGTCACCGAGGGCCCACTGCTGCCAGGTCTCGGGCTTTTTGGGGCGTGCGACGGCGAAGTCTCTCGGGCGGTCGGTGGCCGTGGCGCAGTGATAGCTTCGGGGCGCAGGATGAGGGATAATGGCACCGCCCTTGATGGCGGGGGCAGGGTCGAGATATGACCAGGTATGGGAGCGGGTGTCGAATACCCAGACACGGCCGGCCTCCTCGAGAGGTTTCATATCAGGGCCACCACGGCCGCCGAAGAGGAAGATGCGGCTTCCAATGACAGCGGTGGCGTGACCGACTCGCGGCCCGGGGACATCGCCGAGAACGGGGGGCTCGGGGCCGGCGGGCCCTTTACCCTTGGATTCGCGTTGTGTCTCTTCGGCTGGCGCGGGAGAAGCTAGCGAAACGTTCTCGAGGGCCTTTTCGGTCGTCTCATCGTCGGAATCATCCTCATCCTCGTCCTCCTCGGATTCTTCCTCCTCTTCGGATTCGTCCTCCTCGTCGGAGTCTTCCTCCTCCTCAGATTCCTCATCAGACTCAGGTTTCTCAGCCGCCTTGGGTTTTTCAGTCTCCTTGGGTTTCTCAACCTCCTTAGGTTTCTCAGGCTCCTTGGATTTTTCGAGCTCCTTGGGTTTCTCGAGCTCCTTGGGCGTGGGTACTACGGGCACCTCGGGCTCTGCAGGCGGCAGCTCATCTTGCTTGGCAGCAGCAGCTTTGATCTTGTAGTAGTCGGCACCGGCACTGCTCCAGGGAAGGGTGATGACATGCATGTCATTGTCGACAGGTTCGCGGGGGTTGATTTCGCCGCCAAAAACGTAGGCATTGCCGGAGATGATGTCGAGGGAGTGGGAGGAGCGTGGGAGCGGTGGGATGGAAATGCGCTCCCAAGTGCCGTTGATGCCGGGCTCCTTGCGCGGTCCAGAGGGCATTGAGGGGAGGTTGTCCTGGACATTTTGGAAGAGGTCGGTGGTGCGACGTTTGAGCATTGAGAAGGACTCCATGGTGATGGTTTAGGCGGGGGGGCCTCGCAAGGCCTGGTATGAATGAAGCTTTGGGGGAGAGACAAATTGAGACGTAAAGGGAAGTTGGTCGCAGATGTGGAGGAGGAAAAGGAACAGGCGGATTGAAGGAGAATGAAGAATTGAGGTGCAGGAGAATAAGCACGAGCTGAGGGCTGAAGCTTGTCAGCGGGGAACAAACACGGAGGACGGACTGGGATCAAGGTGAGGGTGTGGAAGAGATGACGTATGTTAGTGGACGGGACTGGGGAGTTGTAGGGGAGTAGGGGACCCAGCAGGGCCTGGTACTTGGTGAAGGACAGGCGACCTCGGGAGATACAGTGGGCTTCAGCGACGGACAGAGGACAAGAGGACAGGAGGGCACAGGCACACGGTAGATGGGCAGCGGGAAGGGAATGGGCGAACTCGAGCTTGTCAGCAGAGGCGCAACTAGGTCGAGGATAATAAGCACGGATGAGGGAGATGGGCGGGAGACGGAAGACGGGTGGATGAGGTGAGGGCAGATGGATCATGGATCATGGATCGCGGAGGGGCATTGGCTTGCCGATGGTTACATACTTTGCCTTTTGCGACTAGCACCTGATACGAAGCTGACCCTACGCCTTACAGAGCGGCCTTTACTATATTCGTAAAAGGCTGAAAGGCCGACGCAAAAGGTCACAGTTGAGCAGGCCTGGAACTCTTCCCCCGCCGAGCGGACAGCGCCTCGAAATGCGGGCCAGGGGACTCATAATGGCGGAGCGAAGGCCAGCTGAGAGAGCTTGAGAGCGAGGAGGGGAAAGCGTCCGTCACCTTTTAGCTAGCGGGGGTGGGTGTGGTGGCTTTTAGCGGTGTTGCAAGGTTCTCGGCGATTGTAGTAGCAGCGCCAGAGTAGATTTAGCTCTTATGGGACTCCGTACTTGGCCGGGGAACTGGCTCTACGAGCTTTGAGTGGTGGTCAGTGAATTGGTGGTGGTGGCGGCGGTTGGTTGTGATACTGGTGGTTGCTTGCGGGCTTCGTTCGTACGACTCGCATCTACGTAGTACTATCCAGTTGGTCTTATGATTAGCCTGGCCGCCCGGTATTCCCGTAGGCTGGAGCCCGGGATGAGGCCATGTTTCAAACAACCACGCGGCTGTGTTTGTGTCCCCGTATCCCGTACACTCGTACCCCGTACACTCGTACCCCCGTACGTACTCCGGATGCGTTGTCAGGTCGTGTGCTCTAAGTACTTGGTCCCGCGGTATTTACAGCGGCCGGGAATAAAGGGCCGCGCTTCGCTCCCTGTATTACACTCGCTCTCGCTCTCGCACCGGCCGGGATAGTGACATGATACAGACCTGGCCTCGCTGTGAATAACTTAAACAGATGCCGGAGGCTCTACAAAGTGCGGAGTACAGCCGCTGCAGATAGCGATCAAATACCTATACCGGTTGGTCTGCCCGCTCGTTGCATCGCATCCGCCCACTGCAGCTAGCTGAGATGCCGCAACCCAATCACCACGGGCTGCGCAACGCCGACCAGGGCCAATCAAGACTGCATCCCGCGGTTGCGGTGGACTGGCGGCTTGAAGCATCATTCCGCCGGCCGCGCGACTCTGGCCGTCAACACGAACCTGGCTCCTCAAACGTCACACGCCCGCGCTGAGCTCAAGCCCTCTAAGACAGATATTCGCAACCCACCGCAGACCCTGTAGCCGGTAGACATGGACCCCGCGGAGAGGGACGGCGGTGCTGACTGCGGGACCGTCTTGGAGCCGGAGGTGGAGCCGAGCATGTCGCTGGAGACTGCTGTGGAGGATCTTGAACCGCTGAGCGTGGTCGACCCGGCAGCCGTTGAGCCTGACGTCAAACATGAGGATGCAGACGAAAACCAGGACGAGGTCAGTTGCTGTGACATGAGACGTGCTACCCCAAGCTCAAGTTGCTGAGTGCCCATGAACAGGACACGCTCAGGCAAGACTCGGACACAGTACAATGGCCTCACATATCAGACCCACAAGACGAGCCATCACTACCCATGCCCCAAGAAGAGCCCGCAGACGAGCAACATGATCCCCAGCAGCGCAGCAAGGGCAAGGAGCCTCAGCGGCTCAACTACACTCCGGAATTGAGCGAGTCAGACGCCGGGTCCTCCCAAACAGCTCCGGCCCCGCCTCCGGCCCCGGACGCCTCGACGGCGGGCCTGATGCACGGCCAGCCGATACCGTGGGAACTCGACCCCGAACGGCCCGCGCAGAAGTTGCCTCTGCGGTTCAAAGACGCCCTGGGACGCACCATGCTCATCCCATGGCGGAGGGCAAAGACGTGGGAGGTAAGACATCATCCTGGATATGCCATGGGGGATGTCGGTTTGCTAAAGCGTGTGTAAACCACAGGGGATGAAGATGACTATCGATTCCCAGTTCATGGGCCTTGAGGGTGAGGGGATGGAGACGATGCTGGGGAATTCAGTAGCCAACGGCCGATACAGCCTCCACGTCTCGCTGCCATTATCACTAGAACCACCGAAACGCAAAAGCCCCGGCAAAAACGGTGGTAACAACAACGGCAATAATAACCGTGGCAGTAACAATCATGACGGCGGTGGGAGCAGCAGCAACAGTAACAGCAACAATAACAACAATAATAATAACAGCAACAACAGCGGCAACGGCAACGGCAATAACGACAACAGCAGCAGCAGCTCTCCCCAGACTGATATCCCGTTTGCGTCACCTATGCGACCCATGGTTTTGCTACCAGAGTTCTGGGACGACTTCATCCAACCCGGCTCGTATGTCAGCATGACCATGTGGCCCCGTCTGCCACGGGCGTCCTACGATATAGGCCCTCCGGCCGGTGTCCCTGGGATGCAACCTCACCATGGGATCGGCGGGTTGAACCCGGGCCTCATGCCCCCTATGGCGCCGCCGCCGCCACAACCACACTTCATCAGGATAGTTGGCGTGCCGGGGAAGTCGAGGCCAAAGACGAGAGCGAGTTCGGGGAGGCCGAAGAAAAGACCGTAAACAAGGGAAGGTAAGATGGATGGAGGAAGATACTTGGGACTCTAAGCTATAAGAGCTGGGTTATGGTGTTTTGTGCTGGCAATCCTCTGAAAGGGCCGTCGGGTTTTGTTTGGGGCATGCACCTTGAGAGGTAGCGATATATTTCAGGTTCACTCCTTGATCATCTATTAGCTACCTCATAGTCGTCTTACCCGATCTCACGGAGTAACGATTGTATGAATGATGAAAATTATCTATCCGTTAAATTTGGCAGAGCACGCCCCGCCTCGCTTGAACCTGGAAACATATTATATGTGGCTAGCCATAGGTCGGTCAACTTTCATACCGCCAGACAACTGCCGCAATTAAGTAGTTTACCAATTACTTTATGCTATAGTCAATTGCCCCTTTCTAAATACTTGGCGTATTCGCAAGATATGACACCCCGTGTAACGGGGACAGCCACCGGAGTTGCGTAGCCGCCCCCAACTTCTCTCGTATTCACTCGCATAGCCCCCAATGTTAGGCAGCGTGGCGATTCTGGTCCTATCCGAGCATCCGGCAAGGCAACCGACAAAAACAAAACAAAAATGCAGTAGGGGCGTAGTGGGAAAGGGGCGGCGCTAGGAAAAGTAGGCGATTGAATGGTTTTCAGTAGAGGGAGCTTTATAGTTGATTTCTGACTGGTTGCCTAGGATTGATGTGACCCTTGAGGGGCTAAGAAATTTAATACATTAAGCAGAGGTTGATTAAGCAGAGGTTTCTTCTACTACCGACCCTTGTTTCCTCCTTGCAATTGACACGCTGCCTCCGCTCTCGACACAGGCTCCAACGACCAAGTCGTCGGGTTTATGACCCTCCACACTCCCAAATCGGACTTTTACATGCCTTATTAGCCTCCCTCTTGTTTCGTCAGGAAGACCGCCGCCACCAGGTGGCAGGCCGAAGTTTGGATTTCCCCTCGTCATTGTTGTAATATTCATGAGCATCTTAGGCACTCTAAGTTTCAAATCCACTGCCATCGTGACCATTGCTGCAGCCCACATCAGGAGTGTGGAGAGAATGAGCGGAACAAGCCAACCAAAGTCGCAGTGTATTTTTGTGACAGGACTGAAAATGGTTGCATTCGATTTCCCGAAATACATAAGATCCACAGATCCAGCAGCTACGGATGCTCGTAGCGCCTTGTAGTCCGATGGATGACCGAGGTATACAGCGTTCGACGCTGCCATTGCCAGCCAGAAAGTGTTCATCATCTGACCTAGGCGGAGAGAGAAGACTGATGGGTCCACCGTAAAAATTCCTCTCTGGTTATATAGTGCTGTGGAGTTGAGCGCGGTTTCTGGGTCATACAGATATCCTTGTAGGATAGACTGATCGAACGACCTGCTGCTTTTCATCTTGGAAACCCAATTCAGTAGGGTTGCAAAATAATCGAATGTGTGAGGCGATCTGTCGCAATAATTATCGAAGACGGTACGATTTGGACTTGGGTTTGTGGCCAAAAGAGACGGACGCATCGCGGTTGAAACGCAATCCCACCCAACGCATTCGACTTGAAGTTCAACGTATGACGTGTTGAGAGAACAGCTTGCGTATGACCCATCAGACGCACCACCCCAGTCAAGGTAGAGCATTTCTCGAATGCCTGGATTGTTATCACTGCAACGTGGCTCGGAGGCATTTGTCCATCCATTAGGAAAGGGTATGGTAGCGAGATATCCCCAAGACATGATCGTGCTGCACGTCGAGTTGGTGGTTTCCCAGCATTCAACCGAGTCCGCCTCTATTTCCCTCCACTTGGCTGTCACATTCTTGATCGCTTGCAGGTTGACGCAGTCGAAATTTGTGTATGATGTCTCGATGGTGAATGTCGAATTTTTCGTCGAAGGAACGCCAGCTATGGGGATTCCAACAAGACTGGAGTACGCGATAGGATCCGACTCATCTCCAGTCCTATTAATAGAGATCCAATCCTTTGAGGTGCTTCCTTTATAACCGGGGAGCTGTTCGAGGACTGGGACTTTGACATTACCCCACGTGTCTAAGCTGGACAATTTCGTGCTGTTAGGGGCGCTGATGGAAGATATGAACGAGGCGATGACGGGAGCGCTGTAGGATCCGTAACTGCCGGCTTCGAACGTGCTAGGAAATGGCGTACTCAGGTTGAAATACGACACGGTGTTGAAAGAAGCCTCATTGCCGGCGCGGAATGACAACACTCGGAGTGCCGACTGAGCTCCCAGTGGCGAGAGGATCCATGCCACAATAAGAAGTGCTCCGAGAAGACTAAATTCGCCATAATCGAAAATTGTTGTCATGGTGCTAATGACAGTAGTCGATCCGTACAAGAGATCAAGCATGCCGACGCGCTCCCCGTGATGCAACCTCCAATGAGCGAAGGTTTTGATGGCGCGGCCGACGATAAATGCGAACAGAATCGGCACGGCTGTAGGGCTCTGTACACTGTCAAATTTGGCTCAACGATAACCTGTTTATACCGCGGAGGACTCACCACGGTGGAAAACTGGCGAAGGAACGATGCTATGCCTGGCACATCCTTGGTGGCCCGGCCATTGAACGAGAACAAGAAGAAGATATAGACAATAATCACTATAACGAGTAGAATCGAAACTGTGTTTAAGAAGATATCGTAAGGATTCGACAATGGCCCGGTGCGGACTTTTTGTTCAGGCCATTGTAAAAGACTTTGATGAGCGCCATTCGTCTCTGCTGGCAGCGACTTGCTTCTCGTCTTGGGGGCGGCCATGGCTGATATGTACCACAGAACCATGCCATTTTGACACGAGGAGCGAATGGCCATAGTTATAGAGATGCAAGTAATGGCCTGTTCTTGGCCGCATATTTTATCCTGCATGTTGGTTGATGGTTCAACATGCTGTGACATACGGCCGTCTCAAATTAGCAACCGAACCCGCACTGCCAAGCGCAAAGGGCCGGTGGGCGGTTACAGAAGGATTTTTAGTGCACAAGGCCCCTGGAATCATCTGCTCCAGCCCCACTATCTTGGCCAAGTTGGAAAGCTTGAAACGAAGCAAATATGGAAGACCTGGAAGCGCAATCGGTCGGACAAGCTTTCTCCAGGTTTTATCGGCCGCGGGCGGACCCGGTCACCCGTAGTCTGCCGCTTCCTTTGATTAACGCCGAGGGCTATGCCTAAACGACACATCTTTCTCTTTGCGATTAATTGGCGGCAAACTGTCGAACGACTGCGATCCGTGGGGGCTAAGCACTGAACAGGGTTGGGACACCGCAACAACCAAGACGACTCCTTGGCGGCAGAAGGAGACGTTTCACTCTCTGCGCCCGTCCTCACGAGGCTCTTGAAAAAAAAACAAAAAAAAAACAGACGTAATCATCGTGTTCAACACAGAGAATGGAGAAGAAAATGTTGTTCGTCTGTGGAGTAAGCGCACGGCTTCGATTGATTGCCGCAAGGAACTGGTGGATATCTCCAGAGCCCTCGGCGCTTACAGAGTGCAGCAGCCACAGCTGGGATCAGAACCCCTGGTCGTTCGCGAACCACCAGCTGAAAGTCGTCGGTACTCAATCAGGCTGAGCAGATGTCTCATCTTTCAACCCTCGGGCTTCGCCACTCGTAATCACTCGCCTCGTGGTCTCGCTGCGACTGTTCCGCCTTGGAATCTGCCTTGACCATATAATTGCACTCGGCCCACTCTCTCGAACGCTGGTCCTTCTTGTTCCACCCTAACTAGCTCACTCGTGCGCCATCTCTCGATTGCGCTTGCGCCAGCATGGACGAAATATACCAGAAGATTGCAGACTTCAACCCTAGTCGGTTCTCCGACTCCCCCGATGTCCTCAGCTTCGATGTCACTGAGCTATGGCGCAGCGACACTACCGGCGTCGTTAGGGCAGTTGACACCCTCGTCAAGGTCCCCGGTGTGGTTACCTGGCTCGCCGAGGAGACCCGGGACACCAGCATTGGCACCGAGTCGCTCGTATTGCGCCTCGTCTGGACCAATCTTGACTTTGGGAAGAAGACCATAGGTCTACCTAAGCATGCTCTAGAAGCCATCCTGGCCAAGTTCGGCCTTGAGCTCGCCCACGGCTACTTCTTGAGCTGCATCACAGGCATTAATGCCTTCCCCAAGACTGTCGAGCCAAACGTCGAGAAACAAGCGCATGCGTTCTGTTACGCGCCCAAGATCGCCTCTATCTGGTCGCATGCCAAATTTAAGGACCCTTCCTCTCCCCGTCAGTCTGCGACGTGTGGCATTGTCTTGGCCGGGGACAAGCAAAAAGCTGTCCTGAAGAAGCTACTACATAGCAAGTGGCAACCGAATCTCTCGGTTCATGCCATGTTCCCTGCCTTTTTGTACACTTTCATGCTGAGCGCTGAAATTGAGATGACTCTGGCCGGCATGAAATCTCGGATCCAGGAGGTCGAGACACGCACGGGATACTCGAGTTTTGAGACGAAGCGGAAAGGTGCTGCGTCAGGCCTTTTGGGCGAGCTGTCAGCGGAGATGAGTGGCTTCGCAGCCAGGCTCGCCAGTGCTGAGAGGAAGAGTATGACGCTCGAGAAGCTGATGGCATTTATCCTGAACCAGTTAGGGACATCTGGGCAGGCAGCAACACCAGCGACCCCGGACCCAGCTCCTGATGGTGACAGCCTCATAAGGAACCATACTTCTGTGCTTCAACAACGCCTCACTATGCAGGTCTTGGACAAGACCTATACGCTGAAGCGGGTGCAGATTCAGATCGAAGCTGTAAGTCAACCCTGATGAGTGGTCGTCCTCAAATCTATACACTGACAAACTGCCCTAGCTTGTCAATCTTATCGGCCAGCACGACAGTATCAACAACACTGATATTGCACTGTCTAGCCACCGAGACGCCTCATCAATGAAGACTCTGGCAGTCGTCACCATGTTTTTCCTGCCAGGAAGCTTCATCTCGGCGCTCTTCTCGACGCCATGCTTTGACTGGGCCAAGGTCAACACGGACGATGACTCCATTGGCGTGCCCTCGACGCCACAGTTCAACCTATATTGGGCCATTACGATCCCCATGACTCTCCTGACATTTCTGCTGTACTTTGCATGGCTGCAATTCCAGGCCTACCAGCGGAGGAAAATGCACGCACATCCGGGAAAGGACCAGCCTGGTGCTGATATTATAAACGAGCAGGAGGTGGTAGAGGCAAAGTTGGTCGCCAAAAGGAGGTTTACCATGTTTTGATAGCATAGTGATGTTGCCGGTTTGCCTTGATTCCCTTGGAACGGGATAGAGCACTATATAAAATGATACTCTGTATTATGGTAGAAATGGGTCGGGTTACTGGGTGGTCTTTGGAGCTTGTTAATAGGTATGCGACGGATGGATGGATTATGACCTTTACTCACTGAGAGCTTGGAATAATGATGCTGCATGGGCGTAAGGAACTGATGTAGGAGACCGATATACCACGGAAAATTCAACTTGGGTCAGCATTAAACACAGGCATTTAAGCGGTAATGATATTTGTGGTTGTTTTCAATCGTGGGTTTAAGGTTCTCGACCCTCATCCGGCCTGTCGCCAGTGTTTAGATCATCACCATCACACCATTACGTGGATACTGATCAAAGTGCCTCCAACCAAGCGGGGTGTAGTTCGATGAAACAACGATTGTTTCTAAATTTCGATCCAATTCGATTGGATCTTCCGTCTGAAGCCAGGATTTCCAGGCCAAGAATCAGCCCCTCCCACCCACTGAGTAGCTCCCCATATGACGCAATAACTCATTAGACGCCGTCCACTCGGGCACGCGCATCGTCGCCTCCGGGCCTCTTCCTCCGACCACAAACCCGCCCTTGGCTGGCGTTGTTGCTTCTTTTCACTGTGTCGATCTAGCCCTGCCTTCATTTCTTTTGTGACCGTTGTCGTTGTTGTCGTTATCTATTGGCCGTGCTACGACAGGACCATTTAAGGCCCCGAGGCTCCAAGGCTCCAAGGCCCAAAGGGACGCTGGCCGCCGCCTTTTCAACCCCAGTCCATCGGCGTCTTTCCACTTCGATTGAACCACGATACCCTCCCTCTGCCAATACAACGTCCGAGTGGAGGGGCGACAAGCTGCCAGCGCCATGGCCGCTCGATTGACATCGAAATCGGCACCATCGCCAGCTTCGTCTGGCGCCATCGTCCCTGCGCAGCTCGGCTTCCTCGCTATCTTCAACCCCTCACTCGGCAACACGGACGAGACCATCGACGACCAGATTGTCTACTACGCCTCCGTTAGCACTCAGTCCTCTTCCCACAGGCGCCGACGCACTCGAGGACTGCCGACCCAACACATATCCCCCGAAGAACGTAATGAACGCCTGCGTCAGATCGGCCTTGCCCAGGGCATGGCCAGCTTCAGTAGAGGCTTCGCGGGTGGCGCGAATCTGGATACCATCGACACCGAGAAGGCCAGGGTAGTTCTCCACGAGCTGGAGCCTGGATGGTGGATATTGGCTGTGAGCCCAAGCTGACTCCAATACCCGAACCTGATAGCTGACCGCAGGCTCTAGAGCATCGACCTAACGAAAGTGCCCCTCCCTCCTAGACTTCCTACCAAGAACAGCGAGTTGGCCGAGGACCGATATGAATATTCAAGTCGCGAGATGAAGCCGTCAAACCTCCTTATGAGAGATCTTTTACGAGCCCACAGTACTTTCCTTATGCACCACGATTCGTCCTTGAGTGCCTTGTTTGTCCGAACCAAGCGCACCAAGTTCGTCGCAGTTCTGAGCCGCTACTGGGACTTGTTTCTCTCGACATGGAACGTCATGCTACATGGGAACCCGGCACGAGACGTCTTTGGGGGTATAAATATTGCAGCATCAGGCGAGCTTGGCGTTGGTGTCGGCGAGGAAGATCGGGGAAGTGGCGAGAGAGAGGTCTTAGAGGGGCTGGTCGGCAGAATAGAGGGTCTCGTTGACTTGGTCGTATCAAAGTTTGGCGACGATGACCCCGAGGCATCATCCGAATCGAAGAACGGCGAATCGAAGCCGTGGTTAGGGACCGGCCAAGAACCCGGGTCGGAAGATGGAGCTATATTTCTGGGAACAGGCGCTCTCTCCAGGAAGTCTCTGAGGGATGTGACGCACTGGATGGAGGATCTCTATACCTGGGGGGAACAGGCTTACGGCGTCATTGAGAGCCCGACATCCGTTCGTCGGGCTAAAAAGAGACGAGCAAGCAAAGCAACGATCCAAAAGCCTGCCAAAGATTCCATCCCACCACCTGTTATTGTTGAGCCAAGAAAGCCCGCAACAGACGAGGTGCAACAGTCCGACCCGCAAAAGTCCGATCCTGATGCCCTAGCTGTGGACAAGCCACAAGCCCGAGAAGGGGAAGATGGGAAACTAGACAAGATGGTCAGTTACCTGAAGTTAGGCTACGGAACATACTGGTCTCTGCCTGGTGGCTCAGATTCCTCCAAGGGATCACCAGGCCCTGAGACGCCGGAATCTAGCAAGCATGTTGGCGATTCCCCTACGCATACCCGGTCGTCACTGGCTGGTCGCTCGCCGTCTTATGACGCCGCGGGCCAGTACCTCATCGGTCTTAAGGGAGACATTGAGGAGGACTACAAAAGCGACGGGGACACAAGTCGACACAGCTCTGACGGCTCGGACCTAGAGCATAACTCGCGCACCGTCCTACGAACTGTCCATATCGAACTTGAGAGTGAGGCAGCAGACAGACCAGAAGCCACCATCATCCGCGACTTTGAGCATCCGGCCAGCCCTCTCACACAGTCACAGGTCGTTGGCAACATGCTCCCCGGCTATGACTCTCACGACCTCAACAAAGCTATCAAGTTGCGCGTCGTCGTTTACGTCAACCGTCCGTTTGTCTTCGTCTTTCTCTTCCACCTGCGCACCGACTCACTGGCCTGGGACTCACTCTATCGCTCGTTGCATCACCAACTCGCCCCCCTCCGGAAGCCCCTCATATCCTCCACGCGATACCGCCCTGAACGGCCAGGAGCCGACGTGGCGGGTACTGGCAATAATAGCATATATGACCTCATCTGGGACCCGGACGCCCTCACCGTCCACTCTTCCATCCCCAACATCCCCGATCACTACATGACTCCAGAGCTCTGGTCCCGCTCTGACGCTTTAAACACTCACACACACCTCCTGAACATCCACGCGGCCTCCCGCTCTCGCACGACAGCCCTTGAACGCACACAGAAAACCAACCGCGGCTGGTGGATCGTCTGGACACGCCTCCTCGATCGCCACGACGAAGCTATTAGCACCTCGAACACAAACACCAATAACCTCTCTACTATCCACGAGGCAGGTTCTGACACGAGCTCCGTGGGAGACCCCGACCCGGATGACACCCCGCCCCCGGACAACCGATCCCTCACCCCCGTCATCGCCAAGGAAATCTTCCTCATCCGTCGCGCAAGCGACCATGTCGGCTTCCGCAGCGCATATGCCGACTCATCCACCGGCGGTGGTGACGGTGCTAGTCGCCTGGCACAGGGCATTGGCGTTGACACCCGTCGCTACGTCGATGAGCTCTTGAGCTTGCTGTAGCGATTAATTGTGCTCTGTAGTTCCACGCCCATCATGGGAGTAGTTAGGTTGACTCCAGGTGCCATAGGCTGGGGCTGATTTATGTTTGCATGGACGAATGTACATTCATATCCACCTGCGCATCTCAGGCTGAAAGACTACAGAGACGGGGGAAATGACGTTAAAGCGCTTCAAGCTCAGCATTTTCAGCTGGGGTGCTTCTAGATTGACATGGGGCTTGGCTTGGCTAATTCGGAGTCGTATTTAGGCCGCTTCGTCATTTAGTCTAGTCGCGGGGCAATTATAATCAGCCCGCTAGTTAATTTCAAACGGGCAGGACACCATTTTCACATTTTACTTGGAATGACGCCATGAGGGGGCTTGGTTAAGAAGCTGCAGCAAGACACTATTCTATTCCGTAGGCGCAAATGTCTCTGAACAGGTCTTAAGGTTATGTACATAGTGAAGTGAAGTAATGTGAAACGAGCCAAAAATGTCTATCAGCCGGGGGAATCCAAAACACCCGTATCCAAAATGAAGGCATGGGCGATTTCCGCGATCCCAAGGCCATTCTCTGCGTTCTCTACTCCCAGCGCCTCCGAGGGGGTATGCAGCATCCTGAATCATAAAAATAAAAGTCATATCCAAAAGAAGTCGTTTTGTTGCATCGATTTCCAAGAGACCCAAAGAAATGATCGTCGTACGGGATCCGATACATATGTTGCCTCGACATTCATCTGTCGTCTTCTTCTCTCCAGAGCTATGACAATTCGAACTCCATCAATGTCGTGGACGAGTATTCTAGTTGAACGACCATTCGACAGGGCCACGGCCCTTACCAAGGCCACCCCAGAGCTCCGCGAACAGCTTTTCGGTGACATCAATGTTGTCATAATCACATCCCATGCACTTATCACGGACGGTGGCAGTGGCGGTCTTGCCGTTCGCCTTGACGGTGATGGTCTGGCCACACATGGGGTTGCCGTTGGACTGGGTACCCATGACAAGGTGGGAGAGAGCAACGATGTTTTCAGTCAGGTCCTTGCCGGTGTCATCGAAACCACAAGCACCTAGGCCCACGGTGTAGTAAGTGATTTCGCCGGAGTAGGTAGCGCCAGTGCCAGAGCCGCTGCTAGAGTCGCTCTCCTCGGACGCGGAGGAGGTAGCCGCGGCCTTCTCCTCGGCAGTGGTGGGAGCGACGTACTCCTCAGTGGTAGGCGCAACGTAGACCGAGGTGGTGGTTGGCTCAGGCGCAACATACTCCGAGGTGGTGGACTCCGGCACGTAAATAGAGGTGGAAGTCTCCACTGGTGCAACGTAGACGGAGGTGGAGGTGGTCGAGGTGGACAAGGTGGTCGAGGTGGTGGGAGGGACATAGACCGATGTAGTGGTGGGCTCAGGCTCGACGTACTCCGATGTGGTGGTCTGCTTCTGCTTCTTGTGGTTGGGCGAGGCAGAGGTCTCGATGAACTTGGCCTGCTCGGTGGTAGAAGTCTCCTCTTGACCGGGGGTGACCCAGACGGTGGTGGTGCTGTCGATGAGCTTGGTGACGTACTGGGTCTCTGTCACCCACTCAATCTCAGTATACATGGCGCGCTTTTCGTGTTGCTCATGATGGCGGCGGTGTTGGTGGTGGCTTCCATGGGGTTGGGCGACGGCGGCGGCGGCAAAGAAGGCCGAGGCAATGGCAAACGACTTCATTGTGAGTGTTGGTTGGCGCTTGTTTCGAGTTGTTGGTGGTATTGTGGGTATCTTTGTTGGTTCTACAAGTTCAAAAGGAGGGTATGTTGGCAAGGATCTGTTCAACAGCAATGACCTCGCAATGTAATGGATGTATAAGAAAAGGAATGGACGATGCCGTCACGAATCTTGAGAGAGTGTGTGGGTTTGAAAGAGAGAGGAGTCCGGCTCGGGAGGGATGGAATGATGGTTGAACTTGTATGGCTCTGGGGAGGAAACGAAACAAGCGAGACGGGGGGCAGCTAGAGGGAGGAAGCGAGTCTTCTAATACGCCTCGCCGCAACCTTACGTATTGCCCTCCTGCTAGCCCTCAAAGTCGTCGTGTGGCCAGGGAGCCAGCGGGGCCAGGGCTTGGCCAGCTTTGTGCGTCGTCCGCTGGCGATCCCGTTGGCGTGAGGGATGCGCGATGTACAAAGTGCTCCATAAACAGATTCTCCTCCCCAATCCCGGCACCTTCATCCCGGCCCCTGACAGGTACGTACTGGGTAAGACGGGGCTGCGCGTGGTTTTTCAGCCAGCTAGGGTGCCCAGCCCGATATTTTCATTTAGGCCGTCCGAGGTTGGAGCGTGGAAAGCGGAGGGGACAGCAACCCGTAGCACGGGTGTGGCAATATTCCATGGCTATTCGTCCAAGCCCTTCATCAGGCTCCATACACCATTAGGATCTACCGTGCACTTAAGCCAAGCAGACAAATGGGTGTCTAGCGGAAGGGGGCGGCTGGGGGACCATGGCGACAGAGGTGTGAGTCCAGGGGCTCTAGTCTCATCCACCAGGACTTCCTGCTGAACGTGCTGCTGGAGTACTCCGACTTGCTGGTCTCAGCTTCGGTCGTTTCGTCATGAAGCAGCAGCGCGTGGCCAAAGAGTTTGTCTGCGAGCCATCGAGCGAACCAGAGGTGCCTCTTCAGGGGTAAACCTCCTGATGACTGTTTTCTCCTCGTCCCAAGCGCGTCCGCGAAGCACAGGAAAAGCCAGTGACATCCACGGAGGCAGCCCAAGTGGTCCGACCAAAGCCATCTTTTCTCATCTCATCTGGTCGTGATTGGACGCACTGCAAGGAACGGCCTTGTCACCAGCTCTGACTTTGTGCTCTCGGCCATGCAAGGTACCGGATGGCGGTCCGCCAGGGGGCGACCAATCGGTGGCCTCACGTCCCTGGGTCATCGCGGGATTTCTGAGGTACTTGGGGCCAATGGGAAGCAAGATGCCGACCCTGCAGGCTGGTTGTCGGGTGGCGGGTGGTGAGCTGGTAAACTCCGCCGTGGATGAGTGGAGAGTGGACAGTCGCACAAGCCTGTGAAACGGAGCCTGGCCACTAGCTGCTCCATTCACCGTTCGCCATTTACTGCCATGCCACGGTGCCACCTCACAGGCCCTACAGCTAGCGTTGGATGGCTTGCAGTGGCCTGTACCAGGACTGAGAAGAAAAAGTCTTCTTTTCTCGTTGGGCTTCTAGCCCTCTGAGTCGCGGTGTGTGAGCCGTCACCAACGCGTAAGCCGTGTCAGAGATGCAGGACCGGCGTCTTGGCCTGGTGGTTCAGGCATCCTCACTCTCGAGCCTTCCATCGGCATGCATTGCTACGCAAGTGCAGGGTGCAGATCCCCCCAGCCCTCCCGTCTCCTCCCGTCCATTCCAGCGCTCTCTGAGGTGACGGCCCCCCTGCCAACGGGCCCCGGGAGAGTGAGCGAGATGGAGAGCATCCCTATTCTTATTACTCCGTATAGCATGTGAGCTCGGGGAATACGGGGTTCGCCTGGTTGCACAGCCTCTCCCCTTTAGATCTTCAGGCCTCCCCCTGTCAATTGCCAAGCGGGGAGACTGAGAATAGTAAACTGTGATGAAGTACCTCGATGGCGGCGGGCGAGACGGGCAAGGGCTGCGGTGAAGGCTGGCTCCCTCAGCTGCTGACCGAACAGGTCGCTTTCGCCTGCATATCCAGCTCCTCTTCCGGCGCCACCGGCCATGTGGATTATCCCGACTGACACTCCGTGGTAGCCTTCGTTGGTCGGGTATGTGCGGCCGGATGGATCGATCGGGGATCAATATGGCAGACGGGGGGGAGGGGAACCACGTTGCATCCTCCTGTTGGTTCATCTAGCATCCAGCGCCTGCCGGGACTTATGTTGTTGGGAGAAAGTGCAGATGTATGAGTAGTGCATCTCCAAGGTAGTAATTCAGACGGTGGGGTAAGATGGCGTTAAGACGAAACACTCTGTATTCTACTTTCGCCATTTATCGCCAATCGGGTGGCACCATTTATGTCGTCAGACTTCTGTTGACCTGTGCGGCTGGCGAAGGAGAAGAGGAAGAGGCCCTGGCGCTGGAACACCGGCCGGTCCTCATCGAATATTTCTTCCACAAGAAACGCCTTCTTAGCCATCCTGACAAAGTGCATGTCTGCCCGTCTCCTCTTCTTGAAACAAAAGAACACAGTCGCTGCCGGGTTAAGTTCCAGTAGCGTCTTGAGCGTTGCCATCAACAGCGGGAATGCCGGCTCAAAGTAAACGCACTCTCCTGCCAGAATGACATCGGGCTTCTGCTCCAACACGGCTGTTGGCAATGACTCGCCCCTAGAAAATGGATAGGGCAATATTAGTCAACCAGTGTCGGTTCCCGAACACGTCAACAAGGCGTCATGCGCTGGGTGCGGAGTTGGGATTACATGGGGGTGCGAACGTACCAATTCAGTACCATGGCATGGGCCTTGGCTTCGAGACCATTCAACTTGATGTTGTGCTGCATTAACTCGAGCATTTCATTTTGATCCGTCACCAACATCGGGCTCTGAAGTTCGCACTCGAGCGCTACGGCAAGCCCTACAAGGCCGCCACCCGCCCCGAGTTCCAGTCTGAGACTCGATGTCAGCAAGTCAGTTTCGGATCCGCTTCCCACTTATTTTGTCGGCCAAAAAAAATTGCCATGCACGAACCAAACCAAGGGCTATGTTTTTAAGTGCAAGGGGGGGTTGAAACTAACATTCGCGCACTCTTGAGACGATCTCGATGGTACCGTAGCATGTGCTTGGCGAGAAGCATGCCGGCTGGCCATGTCTGTCCACCACAACCCGACCTCACATCCTCGAGTAGCTGAAGCGGCTGTGATAGGGCGCCATCGAAGTCGACGTGCGCCACGCCGATGGACTTGAAGGTGGGCAGAGGGGTAAGATCCTCGCTGACGGTGACTGGGTCCAACAGAGGCGACAGAGGCGGGCTGCTCATTGTTGGCAAGTGTCACAGGAGTGGTCTCTGGTGGGGTTGGGCGGTAATGGACTGGCTGCCGATGGCGGAAGCGAAGACGGAGAGACTGGTCCGTACGGGCGAGTAGTAATGTCGAGGGCGAGTGACAAGGGTGAGTACTGAGGATGAGTGCTGAGGGTGAGTGTCTAGGGAACAGGAAAGTGGGCAGGGAGACTGCGGTGACGCGAGGTATGGAAGAACGAAGGGTTCTGGTAAACGCAGTTTGTGGATGAAGTTGCGGAAGGGATGGCTTCGCTCCTTCCCGCTATCGCTCCCGTCTCGACATTCAGAACACGGCCAACCAGGGAAGGTTCAGGCATCGCTGAACGAACTGCCTGCCTCACTAGTCAGGCGTCGTCACTATCGCCTCATCCTGATCGGCTTCTTGTTACACTCGTGCTACTTGTGCTACTCGTGCTGCTGAATACTCCTCTTTCCTCTGCTGCGGATGCGATCCAGACTCTAATAGACCGCGTTTTTAGGGTCTTCGCCCTTTATGTCCTCTTTAGCTTCAAAGGTGCGAACCCTCCATTGGTCGGCTCCCCCTAAGAAAGTAATGGCGAGGACGTAAAAAACCAGGTCGCACCGTGGCGATAAGGGTTATGGCCGCACTCGGCCACGGCGGGAGGAGTTTATCAGCCGTGACGATACGGAGTAGGCAGGGCCCAGTTGTGCGGAGGAGCAAAGGCCGGTGGGCCTGAGGAACCACGACTTCCAATATTCAACCCTTGGCCCAGTTGGGAATGGCGCCCGTTTCCCTTCCATCACTACCTACCTACCCAACGACTCCATCAAACCATCGACGACTTCTGCCCTTGACGACACTATTTCACGGATACTGTCAATCCTATCGCTACTGCTCTCCCATATTGCTCCCTCTCATATTGCGACGGGGCTGCTCTACCCCTCAAGACTCATAATGGCCTGCTAATCTAGCCGAGGGGCATCCAAACCCAGTTGTCTCACCCTCTTCTTCGCCCATCCCAAGACGGCGGGCCTTATTCAGGAATGCACTTACGGTGATGCCAGCCTCTGGCGAGCGCTCTTGTGCCCTCCCCCGCCACATCTCTACTACCGGTGCCCTCGGTGCTGCCGTGGCTGAGACAGAATGCCTCTGGTCGCTATGAAGATATGAGCCTGCCCACCAATCGCCCTGCGGGCTGGGCACTATCCCGTCATCCAACAATAGCCTGGTGGAGCAATTGTACGGAATGAAGGGCGCAGTATTCCTGCGGTGGGAAGCCGTCATCCCGCCAGCCATCTAGATGTCCGTGACGATATGTCCTCGTGCGCCTTCGCACAATACCGTAGTCTTTCGCCGTCTTGAACTTTCCCTTGTTCTTCCACTCTTACTCTTACACTGCGACTCTTTTCTGCTTCCCGTTGGATGGCGACTTGAATCCCTTCCAGCTTCACGATCAAGCGTTCGACGGCGCGATTTCGTGCTATGATGGCTCCTCTTGCGATACTCTTTGCCGCTCTCCACCTCTTCCACCTGGTGTGCTGTGAGCCCACAGTTAATTTTCCACTCAACTCCCAGCTACCGCCTGTGGCCCGGGTAGACAAGCCTTTCTCATACACTTTCTCGCCATACACTTTCAAATCTGACTCGTCAATCTCATACTCACTCGGCGACGCTCCCAAATGGCTGTCCATTAGCAGCAAGGATGGTCGCCTCTACGGTACACCCACTGATAGCGCCATTCCTTCGGGCGATGTAGTCGGCCAAACCATTGAGATCATTGCCAATGATGATACCGGCTCATCGACTCTCAACGCAACCCTCGTCATCTCAAGAAACGAGTCTCCTTCGATCAACATACCTCTCGCAGACCAGATCGAAAACCTGGGCGATTACTCAGCTCCCTCATCCTTGCTACTCTACCCGTCCAAGGAATTCTCCTTTTCGTTTGATCCCGATACATTCCACCACCAACCTCAAATGATCAACTATTACGCCAGCTCCGATGACAACAGCCCTCTCCCCTCATGGGTGAAGTTCAGTCCTGACACTCTGACCTTCAGCGGCAAAACACCACCTTTCGAGTCTCTCGTCCAACCTCCACAGACATTTGGTTTCAAGTTGATTGCCTCCGATATCGTGGGCTTCTCGGCCGCCTATATCCCCTTCTACATCGTGGTAGGAAGTCACAAGCTCAGCTCGGATAGCCCCATCATTATGCTAAATGGCACCCGGGGGAAGAAGCTCCGTTATGATGGACTCCTGGGTGAGATCAAGCTCGATAACGAGACGGCTCGGCCAAGTGAGGTCGAAGTGTCGACCGACGACATGCCCGATTGGCTATCCCTGAACAACAAAACCTGGGTAATCGAGGGGACCCCGAAGCAGAAGGGGGATCACTCAACCAACTTTACCATCAACTTTCGCGACTCCCACTCAGACACTCTTAGTGTTGTTGCCATTGTCAATGTTGCGACGCGGCTATTTAGCTCGACCATTGATGACATGAGCATACGGGCCGGAGAGCATGTTAATATCGACCTCGAACCATACTTTTGGGACCCAAGCGACATCAATCTGAAGATGGCCGTAACTCCCCGGGAGGATTGGCTCGAGCTTGATGGCTTCAATATCACTGGGAAAGTCCCAAAGTCGGCACCGAGTAAGCTCAAGATCTCTCTCACGGCATCCTCCAAGGCATATGACGTGGAGGAAACTGCGACTCTCAACGTGAAGGTCCTGGCCTCCACTCAGACGACTTCTTCGGCATCAAAAACTTCAACTTCTGCGACTTCGACCTCCGCTAAATCCACCGGCTCCAGTGAACCTACGTCAACAGCTGATGAAGGTATTGCAGATGAACACAGTGGTTTATCTACAACTGCAATCCTTCTTGCCACCATCTTACCTATTCTCGTCGTCGCTCTTCTTGTTATGCTGCTCGTCTGGTGCCTTGTCCGCCGCCGCCGTAGATCCGAGACCACCTATTTGTCGGCCAAGTTCCGTGACAAGATCTCAGGCCCGGTATTAGAAAGCCTGCGCGTCAACGGGACCAATCCTAATATTCGCGGGTCTGAAAGGCAAAGAGATGGTGCGACAATGGAATCGCGTCTTTATCATCCAACAAGAGATGACTTTTCAGGGAGCGATTCGATGAGCTCTCCTGGGTCGTCCTCGATCTTGGACTTTTTGGCAACTCCCGAGGTTCCGGCGCGATTCATGGCGGAGGATCCAATGCACCAAATCACACGGACTGCCAGTATGCCTATGACAGGGACGACAACAGAAGGACGACAATCGTGGTACACTGTGGCGACAGCAACAGCGACAGCGACAGCGACGGCTCGGCGGAGTGAAATCTCATTAAGGAGCCATACATCAGATACGACGTTCCCAGAGTCGACTCATCAATTACTCCCACCACCAGCCTTCCTATCAGAGTCAGGAAGTTCGTCGTTCCGGAGCGGCCTTGACCTAACAATCCCATCGCTCGAGGACTTGCCCAACATGAGACAGAGTGATATTGGGGCAATGCGGGCGGAGCTCGCACGAACACGGGACCCATCCGCTTTTTACTCATCCGCCCCAGAAAGTTCATTGGCCTTCTCATCCTCGCACCAATCCAGCCCACGGCTGATGACCGGGGGTTTCAGCAGGAGGCCTTCAGATACTAGTCTGGGCAAACGGCCAGCAACTTCGGATGGGACAACAGCAGATGGGACAACACTCCTAGAGGAGGCTGCAGCGACGGTACCAGAGATGAGACAGCCAAGCCTAGCAAGACTGGCAAGTCAACAACGAATAACCCGACAACACAGCCGCGGAGCGTGGTATGATACGGACGGATCCAGTATGGGTCGAAGCTTCCGGACGGATCCATCGTTTGGATCGATGGAGAACTGGCGAGTAGTCCCTAAGCGACGTGAAAATTCGGGGGTTGCCTACCAAAAGCTTGTAGAAGCAGCACCATTCCACCCGTCGCGGCCCTTGCGACCTACATCACGGCCCACATCGCGGCCTACATCACGGCCTACATCACGGCCCAGCACAGCAATGAGCGGGCGGGAGGGAGCACGGCCGGGGGAGAGGTCGGCGAGCGCTGAGCTGATGTCCCCAAGCCAGTGGGGAGACGCCAAGACGAGCATTCGAGGCTCGGTGGCATCGCAACGATCGGGGTTAGGCCAGTCGGCCAGTCGACAATCACGGTCGGACGAAGAGCCGCTCGGAAACGCAGCCAGCAGGTATTCACGGCTGAGCGAAGCGCCGCCCAGAAAGTCGGTCAGTCGGTATTCGCGGTTGGGTGAAGCGCCGATGGGTAAGTCGGTCAGCCGATACTCGCGAGTGAATGAGGAGCCACTGGGAAAAGCGACGAGCCGGGTGTCGAAGCTAAATGAGGTGACATCCTCAACATGGAAACGGGAGGACTCGGGAGGGAAATCAGAAACGGGTAGCTTCAAGGCCTTCTTGTGAAGAAAAGGATGGAATAGGAGGAGTTAATTATGGGGTCACGCCTTGCTTGGGTCGAAGGTGATATTTACTAACTGACAGACTTCTCTTGTATACCTTTGACGACACGCGATGATACCAGTGCATTTTCATTATTTTGAGCACGTTTTGGCTTTATTTATGTTGAGGGAATGAGATAGAAACAAGAGACTTGGATAGTAATTTGATGAATGATGGTCTTGTTCTTTTTCAAGTCTACCTAGGTAGTTTGGAGCAGTCAACTCTACGTAACCAGCAACCAAAACGTGTCGTCAGTTCCCACCACCCTAACCAAAGATGCTTCAGCATGAAGACTCACTATTTCTAGCCCCTATGAATGACGCGAACCACACTCCAACGTCAGGAAACAAAGACCGAAGTAAAGTGTAACAAGTGAAGTTGAAACCATAGTGCTGTCAGCACTCGCCTTCTTTAGATGGGTAGCTCGACAACCACTGTTGTTCCCATTTTACGGCTTGTCGGCTCTGATAAAAACGTCTAGCAACACTAATACTGGCGCCGATAAAATGAAGGATTTTGGGGAGCGGGTGGTTGTAGAGTCTGACTAGTTCAGTGGTGTCTGCCGCTCCCCTGGGCTCTCGCAATCCACGCCGCCAGAGCTATCTCCTTGAATATCAGACTGGGTAGGCTGGGAGAGGACCGCCTCCGTGAAGCACTAGAAAAGATGGATGCTTTTCCTTCTGTAAGCGAGGTGCTGTGGTTTGGGTTTGGGTCAAGCACATCCTCAGATGCATGCTGGAATCCACGGAAGGGCCTCTGTGCATAGGTATTTGTGCTTGTCTCGCCGGGGAAGTCAAGATTGCAATGCGACATAGGCCAATTTCACCTAGAAGTCTCAACAATATACCTATGAGTAAGTTAAACCTAAGAAAATTAAATAAATTTTATTCTAAGTATTTATCCTCTAAGTTTTACTATTTAAATTTTATCTTTTAATTTATTTTAGGGGAGAAACTGGATAATCTTCAGAATAAGATACTTTGAGGCGGGCGTACAGTCCAGGTACATTACCTTGCACTAAGTTTAGGTGTAAAAGGTCGTACTTGTGTGCGATTAGCATTTTGAACGTGTGCGAATAGCAATACTCATATTTATTTTTCTCGGCAAATTTCGTTTCGTTACATTTCAAGGAACAATCCTCTTGGGCAATAATATCCCTATCATGCTTCATATGTTTATTCCTTGCTATATTATAATGGATTGATCGAAATAGGGGTCAGCATCTGCCCTTCCTAAAGTGAAGGTCCGGCCACGTCCAAAAACTACAAGCAAGAACTTTGGCGCATCAATTAAACCCTAAGTTAGCCGGTTGCCAAAATAGTGCCAATAAACCTCCCTTTCCAGGGTGTGCGACCCCAAGAATGGGCCCGGGATTGTTCTAAAACGAAACAAGATGCGCGCGAATGCAAAAGCAACAGGGGGGATGAGCACAGCAAGGCCCCTGGTCTGGCCTGATGAGAACGGGGCTCGTGGTCCGTCGATAGAAGGGCACGAGGGAGCACAGCACGTATTCGGCTCGGCCTATCTGCAACGTCCAGGACGCGTTTGCGGGGAACACGCAGTACCCTTTCCAACATGGGACGAACGACATGACGAACCCCAGACCAGCTCACTTGCTGCGTGTTATTTTTTTTTATGTCAGGGGGCTGGCTACCTGTTTTTTCTCTTTCTTCTTATTATCCTTCTGTGCATGCCCGCTGATGATGTGTGGTTCACGCAGCGGTTCACGATGCAACGTGGAGGTCAACTGTGATTGAGCGCTGGTCCTGAGGTAGAGCCGGGCCGGTCGCCGAGATGACGGGCACGCGACCAGGTCTAGATCCGGCCCCGCGTGAATGAGAGCGGGCACCCTGTAACTGCCTAGGTCAGTGAGAGTGGGATTCACTCTGTCGCGTCGAGTAGGTAGGTAGCTAGCAACAGGTAGTTAGGCAGCGGTCCTCGAGTTGGTGGCGACAACTGTTGCTGGTGATTGAATGACCTCGGGGATTTTCCAGTTTTTCACTCGGAAAGTGGTGCCAAATCCAGCCCGCAGGAGACGAGATGCAGACCCAAGACGCAAGAGGAATCGTTAGGCGCCAGCAGCAAGGAGGTGCAATTTTGCGCCCCCTCCTTTATTGCTCTCCTCTCATTTCTTGAGTCTCTCTCCGTCTGTCTTGTGCATGCGTGCGTACTAGGTCGGTCCGCACACCACCCTCGGTGCCTAGTCGAGGCTAGGTATGACGGCCAGGCGCCCGGGGCTCCCTATCGTACCAGAGATTCAGTGATGGACTGGGGTTAGGGGCAGCAGTCTCGGCGGAGGCGATGTACTGTAGCGGCGTGGATGAGGTGGTCCGCGGCATGCATTGAAGCGCCGCCCGCCAGGCTAGCGACTCACTCAGTGCGTCACGGTGCTAAAAACTGCCGACCTAGCGCCTATTGACGCAGGCGATCCCTCTCGCCTCACTGAAGGAAGCAAGCAGCACTCTGTCCTCTCTGCAGCAGCAGACATGGCATAGACAGAATGGCACAGGGCTAGACAGGGCTTGCACACAGGGCAGACAGGACCCCGCTTCCTGCTGATTTCGTTTTGCGGGCATTCTTTGAATGTTTCTCGCGGATTCCAAACAATCACCAGCCCAGTTCAGCCCAGCCCAGCCCACCAGATCCCACGTCCCACACCTAATAAGTTACATCCCACATTCACATCCCACCTCGCACATCCACACGCCGCAACATCCACACGCACCCACAGCACGCACCACACATACTCCCGCAGAGCCTTAATCCTCCCTCCACCAACCTACCTACACCTCCAAACACCGAGCACCGAGCACCAAGCATTTCCTTCGCCGGGCCTCTTTGTCCGTGTCTTGGTTTTTCCCTCCTCTCGTCCAGTTTTTTCCCCTCGCCATCTCGTCGCCCGCCCCTCCCCCTCCGATCCGCATCCCGCCAGCCCCTCCGCCGGCGCAACCCTCTCCCTCCTCCCAGCAACCCTTCTCCTACTCATACTCCTCCTCCTCCTCCACAACGCGGTAGCTAAGCTGCCCGCCAACCGACCGATCACCGAACTCCAACCATGGGTCAAACACTCTCGGAGCCCGTCGTCGAAAAGGTGCGTTACTGCCGCTGCGTCGTCTCCTGCCCGTGTCTCCATGCCTGTGACTGAATGCCTGTTGCGCTGCCCATCGCCTGGCCTTTGTGTGTACTGCTGCGAGGGGCATCGCCCTTTCGCAACCCCCCTCACTCTCTCCACGCCCACGCCGAGCCACCACGACTCGGCTTCGGGCTTTTTGCCAGTCGCGCACCGTGTCTCCAGGGCCCATAGAGATTCCCGTGGAGGTCCTCGCAGCTCGTCGCGTCTCTCGTTTGCGCTCCTCGACGTCATTCTCGCCCTCGATCCTTGATGCACTTCTGCTCAACTTCCCCGCTCCGCCTTCACGCTTGCTCCCTCCTCCCCCCACCCGCTCACGCTCCGATGCTTCCGCCAAACCTCACCTCCTCAGACCTTCCCGCGCTGACTTTCACTCTCAATAGGCTTCGGAAAAGGGCGAGGATGAGCGACTCATTTACGGAGTCTCTGCCATGCAGGGCTGGCGCATTAGTATGGAAGACGCCCACACGAACGTCCTCGATCTCGACCCCACCAAGACTCACCCCGCGAAGATGAGCTTCTTCGGTGTCTTCGACGGACACGGCGGCGACAAAGTAGCATTGTTCGCCGGCGAAAATATCCACAACATCATCTTCAAGCAGGACACCTTCAAGGCCGGTGACTACACCCAGGGCTTGAAGGACGGCTTCCTCGCGACCGACCGCGCCATTCTCAGCGGTACGCGCCAACTCCTCACCTCACCTGACCCTCCCCCACTCCCCGGCTCTGTTGACGCTTGACACTTGACGCTTTGCGCTGCCACCCTTGCGAGTTCCAGGCGCTGACGCTGAATTTTTTTACTGCTTAGACCCCAAGTATGAGGAAGAGGTCTCGGGTTGCACTGCCTGCGTCAGCCTGATCGCTGGTAACAAGATCTATGTCGTCAGTTGCCGCCTTGTCCCTCCCCCACGTCCGCCCCACCATGCGGTCGAGACGAGGGGTGCCGTAACCCGCACCCACCATGCTAACCCAAGATATCCAGGCCAACGCCGGAGATTCAAGAGGTGTACTGGGCATCAAGGGACGGGCCAAACCCATGTCTCACGACCACAAGCCCCAAAACGAAAGTCTGTCGAATCCCTTGATCCATGCCTCGTCTCTAGGCGCGCGCTTGTGTTGTAAAAAAAAAAAATGACAATGCTGACCCGGTCATTTTGCCCACCGTTTAGTCGAGAAGAACCGAATCACAGCTGCTGGTGGTTTTGTCGACTTTGGCCGAGTTAACGGAAACCTAGCTCTCTCGCGCGCCATTGGCGACTTCGAGTTCAAGAAGAGCGCCGAGCTCTCTCCCGAGAACCAGATTGTCACCGCCTACCCCGATGTCGAGCAACACGACCTCACCGACGAGGATGAGTTCCTGGTCCTTGCCTGCGACGGTAAGTGGAGGGGGAGATCCTCGTTCCGGTAATGTGCAGCACTCATTGGAGCAGGTATCTGGGATTGCCAGTCTTCGCAAGCCGTCGTCGAGTTTGTTCGTCGTGGTATTGCCGCCAAGCAGGAGCTTGAGAAGATCTGCGAGAACATGATGGACAACTGCCTAGCGTCCAACTCGGAGACGGGCGGCGTTGGCTGCGACAACATGACCATGACCATCATCGGTTTCCTCAACGGCAAGACCAAGGAAGAGTGGTACGACGAGATTGCCCGCCGGGTTGCCAACGGAGACGGACCCTGTGCTCCCCCCGAATACGGTACGACCCCTCCTACCACTCTGGTTCATGGGCAAAAGGCATCCCCTGCCGAAGCCCAACCTCTACGCCGAGAGGGCTTGGTCCAATCCCCTGAACCGACGCAAGGCTAACCCCATATGCGTCGTGTAGCCGAGTTCCGTGGTCCCGGAGTCCATCACAACTTTGAAGACAGCGATAGCGGCTACGAGATGGATGCGGATAACAAAGGCCGGGCCTTCGGTGTTGGTGGGTACAAGGGTCGAATCATTTTCCTCGGCGATGGCACTGAGGTTCTCACGGAATCAGATGACACAGAAATGTTCGACAACGACGACGAAGACAAGGATCTTGCGAGCCAAGTCTCCAAGACCGTGACGTCCCCCGACGCGACCGAGAAGCCCGCCGCCGCGGCCGAGACGAAACCCGATCCCGCGAAGGAGACCGAGAAGCCCAAGGCTGTGGACGAGAAGAAAGAAGCGGCCCCCCAGGAGACTAAGAAGGATTAGGTGGTCCTTTCTGCAAGCGGTGGTCCGGATTGAGCGTCATTTACTGCTGGCCATGTTCCCCAGACCCCATGGGGCGCTGGGTTTTCAAGGATTTGGAGGGTGATGTCAGATATTCTCATACTAGGTCTTGCGTCTCAGAACTGTCGATGGAACGGTGTCAAATCGGGATCGTGTATGCGCACACGCACTCGCGCCCCCCCGACGAAGAGATCGAGGATGAGTGGAGGCGGAGGAGAGAGAAACCTCTTTGATATTTCACACTGGATCCCCTACCTGCGCACGCCCCCCGAGACCTTTTTTTCTCTCTTGTTCACTCACGCGAATGTCGAATATACCCGTTCTTTGCCTCACTCACACACCCACAGCCTAACACGTTTCTTTTCTCCTCCATCACCTTGTTCGGTCCGAGGAGCTACAGAATACGACAGCATGGAGCAGAATCATGGTCAGCGTCACATCGTCCACAGGTCATATCAAGAGGCTCTAATTGAGCAAGAGCCCATATAAAGAGCGCAGCAACGTCTTTGGTTTTTGTCTTTACTACGGAGCGCTAAAGACGGGCGAGGGAGGCATGTGCATATTTGATTCCTGCGTTATGATTCTTTTCGTTTACCCTTTTCGCCTTTTATACCAACTCCTCCTATTACAAAGAACCAGTCTCGACGGCGTGAGAGGGACGTGAGCTCTGCAACTACGGCGCGGTTGCAAGAGATAAACCGTCACGGGATCGAGATGGGGCGGACGCATCATGGCACCATATATACCTCCACAGGAAGCAGGAATTACACGACTTTTTTCTTGGCCAATTACGATTTGTGTCCCGTCATGTCTTGCTCATTGTAAAATGCTTCGTCTATCATATGTGGTATTTGCTTTCCTTTCCATGTTCCCAATTCTAGGGCCTGCTAGTATACATGAGTTTGTGAGGATGATGGTGGCGTGTGATGTGAATCTGAGGTAAGATGTGACAGAGATGGTTAGGCGGGTATGTATCCTGGCGATGAGGGTTTGATATACATGATGTGATACATGGTGCGTGATACATGGAGGGAGATTTGTGTGTGGTGAGCAAGAGTAGATGGATAGTACAAAGTCAGGCAGTGTCTTCGCCCAAGTGCGTAGGAGGAGGCCTCCGTCTTCAAATTGGGCTGTCTGTCGAGCCCTGTAGGTCGAGAGAAAGCCTTGTCAGACATTTTGTGTGCCGACGTGGCGCATCATGACCCCGCTGGTGAAGACGGCTCTGGTGCTATTGACTTGATTGGTGTTGAGTCCTGCGCCGGTGCCGACGACTCCCCCACCACTGGAGTTCTCCGAGCTCGAAATCTTCTGGTTACCCGAGATGGAAGCGATGTGCTTTCTCCAGCTTGACGTACCCTTGTCCTCCATGGCAAGGGGCGGTCATGGCGCCTACCGGCGTTGGGAGCTTTAATTTGCTCCTCTACCGACCCTCGCATGCCAGTATTCCTGCTGCGCTGCACAACACGCTCTAGTTGTTGTTGGGCCGCCAGCTGCTGCTCTTCTTCTGTCGGCGGCACCTCCTTGTCAGCCCAGCCCTCAACCATCGATTTCGGATCGAAGCGGCCCTTTAGTCGCACGTTGATGTTGCCAGGCTCGCCGTCCACACGACGGAGCTTAATGGCTAAGTCCTTGACCCGGATAGGCTGACGGGCACCATCGCTGCTCAACTTGGGTGACTTGTCTTGTCGGTGCAACGACATGTCATTGGAGCGGTAGGCAAGCTCAAGGGATCGAGCAAGAGACTTGATCGGGATATACCCTTCCCACTTATCAAGAATGACCCGCTCAATACGGGACATAACAGTCCTCGGCGTGGCAATCTTGTGGTTCTCCAGGGTCGCGATGACGTCTTTGGGGAAGATGGTCGGTTGGCACTCCCAACGCCGCCAGAAAGGGTCGCGGTGATGGCGAAGAAGGACCTGGGAGAGCATTTGGCGAGATACTTTCTTAAGCTTGCGGTGGAGCACGCCGTAGAAGTAGACGGTCCCGAGAGCATGAGGTGACCGCGAGTTGATGGCCAGGGTCATGAGGAAAATATACGTGTCCTGGTTGGGCTGGCAGCCAGCCGGTTGGAATAGTGACACGGCCCACAGTGCCGTGTTCCAGTCTTTCGTTGCTGCGGCGTGCTTGAGGAAGATATTGACCGCCTGGGTCTCAATCGGGTGTCCAGCCTCGATCTGTATGTCGATGAGACGTTTGCAGTCATCGATCCGCGGGTCTTCGGGGCGGTGGAAGCGGAGAAGTTCGGTGATGATGCCATTGACGGCACCGGGAGTGAGCCAATCCTTGCCATAACGATCCTTCTGGTCGGCGAGGAAGTCCTCCAGAGACCGACCCGCCTTGAAGGCACTGTAGGAATCAAGGGATGCCATCACATCGGCGATGCCCCGACGGGTAGTAGTATGGTTGAGCATTCCCAGCTCATACATGGTCACGACAATCTGTCGTCTCTCGCTATCTCCTCTGATGAGCTGAAGAAAGAGCAGCCAGGTACGGATGTTAGGGTGAAAGTACTGCGCCTCCATCTTGCGGAGGAATCCGTAGAAGAAGCCGAGGTCTCGTTTGTGGGCGTATCCCTCCAGCATGAGGTTATAAGTATCTGTGTCCATGGGTGTGCCCAGCTCCTCACCTAGTTGAATGAGTTTATTGGCCGATGCGCGATGTCCACCCTTGAAAGCCATCATGGAAACGGCCATCTTCAGGACCGGCGCCGTGATGAACGGGTGGGCGGTTGGATCTTCAAATGCATCGGTAATCAGGCGGATGCGGATGCCGTCCGTATCAATATGTCTTCCATTTATTCGACGCTCTCCGTAGAGTTTAATGGCGAGGTGAGCAGGAATTCGTCCATAACAGAGGCTCGCAATATAAGTCTCGAAGCTTTCTTGTGTCCACATCTCGGGTCTGGAAATCTTCTCGTATGGCTCCATGATCTCGTATGGCTGGTACTCCTTATGCACCCAAATGCTTCCGTCTTGGTCTTCTGGCAACGAAGCGCCACCATTGGGTGCATCCTCAATGGTAGGCCACAGCTGCTTGGTCCTGTAGTCGGATGTAGCAACCTCTCCAAGCTCGTAGACCTCGGCCTCCTTACAGAACCGCACGATATCGTCAACCGCTTGGGCGAGAATAGAGCTCTTCCCGCGAAGCACAATGGCCGATGGGTTCTTGTCCACAGATGCGCGCAATTTTTGGAGCACACCCGTAACGGAGTCGACGTACTCGAGATTCAGGTTGTTGACTTCGATGGTCCACGTCTTCGGCAAGACGATCCTCACAGCAGACATCTCGGCCCGTTCGCTCCACTTCGGCGTCAAACGCCTCATAAGCTTGAAACAACCCTTCCAGTCCGGCACCTTCCTGTTGAAGTGGCCCCAAACAATGCCATGTCCAACCTGGCGTCTCATATCTTGCAGGTGCTCGTCGAGGCTTTCCTTTGTAGCCGAAGAGTTCGGATACGTTCGTGGTAGGCCGGTTACGGGATGGTGAGTTCTCTTGGCTTGCTCGTCAACCAGGTCCGCCTTGATTTTGAAAGCATGTCTGAATAGTCGATTCTTGGACTCGGGTTTTTCGTCGATCACGGGCTTAGACGCCACGCTCGGCGGTTTGCTTGATACATCGCCCACATGGAGGCCCAGCTCTTTATTAATCGATAGCGTTATTGAGGTGCTTGGAGGGGTAGCGAGGTCCAATGGCGTCGGCGTCGGCGTCGGCGTCGGAGAAGACTCAAAGTGGAGGGTCGTGAGGCATTGATTCGGGACCCTGGAGGGCAACGGGTCCCTGGAAATCAGCAAAGGCCCAGCGATGGAGGAGCATCGCGCCCGAGCCCTCCATATTGACTTGATTCCCAGGGACATTGGTCATAAGCCAGGCATCGTCGGGGGGGTGGAATATATTGCTGCCCGCGTCGTCGTCAATTCTGGGGCCGGAGCTGGCTGGTCGCAATGCGGAAAAAAGACTGGCTCGGCGTTATCGCGATAACGGGTCCCACGCGAAGTCGGCGGCAGGCGTCACGTGGCACCCCAGGGAATCCTCGAAGACATCATCCCTCACCCCGGAATCTAATCGAGGCTAGATTGACATGTTATATTAAATAAAAATTCTTTTATACTCATGGACATATGTGGCTGCATAAGGAACAAACCAAACTATGATGAGGGACTCAATGAGACTCCGTGACAAGCCCCCCAACCCAACATTCGCCTAACAGCCCAAATCACACTGTCCACTGTCCAACAGTAGCCCATCCTCTAATATCAACAGGGATTGTCCATCCAGTCCTATTCCCATAGTGCGAACATAGCCTTGCCATAACCCAAGTCCCATGTATAATACAGCCAGAAAGAAACGCTGATATGTTGACGACCCTGTCACTGTTTTCGAGACTCGCCTTCCTTCGGGTGAGCTCCTCCACTCTGATCCAGGCCTTGCCACTCATTGCTCCATCCTTTGTCACTATCAACGGCGTTCTTGGTCTCGCCGTTCTCAGCCATCTGCTTGACATCGCTCCAGTAGGCCAACTTGCGGACCTCTTCGTCGGCGTGCTTAGCAGCGTCCTTAATCGCCTCGTTGCGGGCCTTCAACTCCGGAGTCTCCTCTTTCTTTAGCTGCGCCGTAGATTCGTCATACATATGCATCAAGCGGCTCAGCAGTATTCGTCTCGATGCCTGGAAAACGAAAATTGACATGATCTCATGCATTTCATTCTGCAGCTGCGAGAGATCCACCGCGTGCTCGAGGTAATTTTCGGCAGCCTCGAGCTTCTCTCTATCAATTCTCGACTGACGGAGGATTCGCATTAGGTCTTCGATGTTCTCAATATCTGGCAATTCCTCTTCATCGTCAACGACCGAGGATTGGCTTACACTCCTGGTGTGCCGACTGCTGGCCACGCTGTCGCGGGAGCGGTGATTCCGAGCCGATGTAGAGCAGACTGTGAAATAATCGGCATTCAGCATGTGCGGGTCAGTTGAAACTTCATCGGTCTGCCTCTTGGCCCTCTTGCGCGTCCAGGCACGCCTTCGCACAAAGGAGTTCCACCATCTAGCGCGGTGCCAGGAGCACTTTTTTGAGAAGGCAAACGCATACTCCCAGCCATCTTCATCCACACCTTCCTGGTGATTGATGCGCCATTCAGGCCAGGTCCATACCCATGAAGGGTCGGGAAGCTGCGCAGTGTGAATGTTGGTAGGGGATGTATTATGGTAGGCATTGGCTATTTTGGTGGATCAACACTCGTTCAGGGGTAGACCACTCAGTATGATTCAACTTACTCCAAGGTGCAGGATCAAGACCACCAAGCGCTTGGCCAGAGAAGAGGGCAATTCCGCAGAGAAATCCACCTCTCTCATTTTCGTAGAGAATATCAATTGTCGACTCTCGTTCTTCACGGCGTTTCTTGGGCTTGATCTGGGAATCGTTTCCACGCGAGACATTGGGAGTAGGCACTGTGAGAAGTTTAGAAACATGAAGAGGAAAATCCAAGCATGCAATCGGAGAGCCATACCCTGAACTTCAATCGACGGCCGCGGCACAGGACTCGACTGGCCTTCGCCGTTCTGCGCCTGGGTCTTTGTTGGTTGGGCTCTGTCCCCATCTTGAACCTGTGTGTCGTCCGAGTTCGGCGATGTCTCGTCTTCCTGCTCCTGGTCTTCTTCATCTAGATCAAGCAATCGCGTGGTGGTCGTGCTCCTCACCATTTGGGTGGGCTCTGGAGTCGGGGGCCCGAGGGGCGGTGTCCTGGCGGCATCGTGATCGACGAGTGAGATCTCATGGTCGTAGTCGGTAGGCTTGAGCCCCGCGGCCCGACGAGAGCTCGAGACTCTCAGCATGGCTGCTGGGCCCTCGGCGTAGGAGACGCCTCGGTTAGCCGAGCTCTATCAATCCATCCACAGCTATTGCGAGGTTCGTGCGAGGTCGGTGGGTGCCACAGGCTCAAAGGGGCATCGTCAAGAGAAGAGGCAGCCTGGAGGTCCGTCTGTACAGCGAAGCAAGTTCGGAGTGCGCTCTCGAGGGAATCGACCGGGGAAACAACGAATGAATTTGGATTTGGGATGGTCGAACCGAGCGTTGGATTGGAATGGAGGACGAGTTGAGAAATTCGACGTCGCCAAACAAGCAAGAAAGTTGGCGACGGCTGGGGGAGGCGCCACTGCCCTTGACCAGGTACCTTCGTCTACAGCTTTTCGTGACGGCGCAAGGACTGTTTTCAGCCCGGCGGCTTAGTTTAGGTGTTTCGCTGTGGGGTCCCGGGTTGGGAGCAGGGGGGCATCGCCTGTAGTCCACTATATCGAGGCCACTGTGGCCCCCTGCAGCCCGCTATGCCCTACTGAGCACTGCTTTTACACAGGTAGGTAGGGCCGCTGGGACGACTGAGCTCACAGCGCCAGTCACAATGGCCACGGCAAACGAGTTCGCCGAGAGGATGATGGTCTCTTGTGTCATTAGCGTCCACATTCACGTCAATGACGCCGTGTCTGTTGCGACGAGGCATGTGGCTGTGGCTTTGGACGATGGAGTTTGGTTCGAGCAAGTACAGATCGATGATGTAATACCGTCCCTGCTGCGCAGCTTTGTTCCATCTTGGGCCGAGGACAGTGGGGCCAAGTTGTTTGGACATGGTCTCTGGGAGGCCAAGCAGGGAGAATTCACTAGCGGCGGATGGCAGCGATCTTCTCTCCACTGCTAGTTCGCTGGAGGTATTGTATTAAAGCCCTGGTCCGGAGAGACCTTAGACCTGAAATAGCTCGACTTTTAGCGACCTCCAAGGTCTAAGGTCTAAGGTCTAAGGTCTCTGTGGATCAGGGCCCAGAGTGCGTTCTATCATTAAATCTGTGCGGTAGTTGGGTAGGTAGGTACCTAGGTATGTGGTAGGTAGGTAGCTTCTATGTACCCCTACCTGTGTGTGATCAAACCATCGAGGGAATCACATCTGTCGAGTCCCAGATCAAGGTCACCTGGACACTGCAGATAGACAACCAGGTCATCCGACAGATCTGGCCATCAGAACCAGACAACTCCCATGACCTATTCCGTGCCCATTCCAAGACAACCGTCACTCATCGGCCAGCTCTCTCTCTCTCTCTGCGTCTCCGCTTTCAGTCCGCTTCTACTAGTAGCGTTGAGTTGACAATTGCAACTTGGAGGGCCCACTCCCCGCCTGAAGACGCCGCACTACGTCATGTACTTCCGCGTCATGTACTTGCACCACCATCATGAGCATTAGACCAGACGCAACCCAAAGAGCCAGCCGGCCAAGGGCACCTCTTCATCACCCCATGTCACTCTCACCACTTGTAGTCCACTCATGTGGGCAGGCTGGCACTGGTAGGTCTCAAGTATTGCATGGCTCAAGGCTACCCGACCTCCGGCGCCAACCCTGTAGCCGGTACAACCCATTCGTGCCTTAAGTTAAATACCTGCTGGTACTCCTCTGCTCTTGCCTTCCATTGTTACATCCGGCTCTCTCCCACTGCTCTTCCCCTCCATTGCCCGCCTCCTCTCGCATCTTCATCCCCTCACTTCAAAACGCTCTAGCAGCTCAGCCCAGCTCGACTCTCCAATTCACCTTCTTCACCGTCTTCACCTCCGTCATCATGTCCAAGTCCCGTCTTCCAATCCTCCTCGGTGTCGGTGCCGCTTCCGGTGTCGGTTACTACCTTTTCCAGGCCGGTGGCGATCCCAGAGCTGCCGAGAACAAGTTTGAGAGTGAGTCTCGTCGCCAGCCTCCATCCGATCAATCCGCACCTCCCAACATGAGAGTGCTAACAATGTTCCTTCAGGCGACGCCCACCGAGCAGCCGCCAATGTCAAGAGCCACTTGCCCGGCAGCACACAAACCAACGCCGAGAAGGACCTCAAGGGCTATGGCGCGCAGGCTGGAGCCAAGATTGACAATGCTGTGCGTATTGACCCCTCCAACCCCCAATCCTTGTCGCCCTGTGTAAGACTCAGCACTTGCTAACACCTCTCTCCGCCAGATCGCCGAGGCCGACAGACAGGCGTCTATAGCCAAGAGCAACGCCGAGGCCTTCGCCAAAGATGCCAAAGCCGATGCCCTGAAGGCTGTTGACAAGTTTGACCAAAAGGTCGAGGAGGGCGCCGCCAAGGCCAAGGGCGGCATCTCGAGCTGGTGGGGTGGTAGCAAGTAGACGACTTTGGGCAATACGAAGAATCAGTTTCAAAGCATCTGGGCGAAAGGGATGGACTGCCGTAGGCAATTTGCCCCAAGAGCACCAGAATGACTCCCTATAGTGTTCTCTGGCTTGCGTTATGTGCATCCAGCTGAGGATGAGGAGTAGTTAATAGTATCAGACACAATCAAACCTCACTAACAAGAAATTTACACCATGCTGTGAAATGATGGTTTGAGAAAGAGCATAAATTTGAGTCTATGTCTTGTGTTGTTCGCATTTCGCGTTTCTAAAGCAGCTTCGAAAGTAGCTGGCGCAAACTCTTAAACTCCATCGTCTCCCAATGACTTGTAATCCTCCGCCTAAACGATACACAGGATGCATGGCATCAACTTACAATCACCATTACTGCTGCTCCAACTCCGACGCCACCATCTTCAGAATCTCCTCGCAGTCCTTCCTCGAGTTCTCGGGCTTCTTGGCCACGGCCTGCCACACCTCGCCGTGCCGCGGCTCGTTGAGCACACACTTGGTCACAACATCGGCGCGTTTCTCCTCAGTGCCGTGTTGGCACAGGAATCGGTAGTACCACGCCCAGCTGTCGCCGCAGTCGCTGTCCAGCACGAGCGCCTTCTCGAACCAGTTCTGCGCCTTGTCCAGCTTGCGGTCGGCCCAGAAGATGCGAGCAACAGCCACGAACAAAATGGGGTCGTTGTCCACCTTCTTGATGGCCTCCAGACTGCGCGGCTTGCGCTGTGTCCGCGCCTCCAGGTGCCAAATTTGCTCCACCCACAGCAACCCGCTCTTAGGCACCTCCTGCTGTGCCTTGGCCATCATCGACTTGGCCTGGGATATGTTGCCTGCTCGTCGCTCAAGCCGCACCGACTCGCACCAGAGCTCTGCGTTCTTAGGCACAGCTAAACGAGCTCGGTCGAGCACAGATCGAGCCTTGACTACCAGGCCACCCCTTTCCTCTAGCCGAGAGTACAACAGCCACAGTGGCACCGACTTCGGGACAGCCTTGACACCTGTGCCGAAAGCTTCCCTTGCCTGGCCAATCTTGCCCATGTCCTCGTAGATCTGACCCTTCAGCATCCACAGCTTCGCCGCCGCGGGGAAGAGCTGCAAAGCCTGGAGCGTAAGGTCGAGAGCTGCTTCAGTATTGCCCAGGACTCTCTCGAAGACCACACTCTTCATCCAGACGCGATCTGTGGGCGCTTGTTCACGCGCAATTTCCAGCAGCTTCCGCGCCTGGTCGACGTTCCCATTCTCTGACTCCAGCTTGACAGCCGCAAGCCAAATATCCTCGTTGTTTGGGTTCTGGTTGAAGGCGCGCTTGAGGACCAGTCGGGCGTTGTCCACCTCTCCGGCCTGCCACTTCTCCTTGGCAAGCATCATCCACAGGTCCTCGCTCTTGGGGCACGCCTCAACAGCTTTCTCAAGGACTTGCCAAAGAGACTCTCGTGTGCCGTGATTCCTTTCCAGGTCTGCTGCGGCCATCCACATCGTCTTGCTGTTGACAAACACCCGTAGAGCATAGGCGTAGATAGCTCTGGCCGTCTCGTAATTGCCCTTGTTGATGCTGGACCTTGCGTCCTCCATCCAGGTGTCCTTGCGGTCGTCATCTTCATCCAAGCTCCATCCAAGAGTCTCCCGAATGATGTTCTCACCGGTGATAATGGCGCCCTCCTCTTCGCATCGCTCTGCCTCCGCAATCCACTCCTCGCGCTTGGGCATGGCAGACTCCTTGGCAAGAACCTGGACAGCACGCTTGATGACATTGACCTTGGCACCTTGCCCAAGCTGCTCTTGCAACCGCGCGGCAGCAATCCAAATTTCGTGTGACGTCGGAACGGCCTTTCGTGCCCTGTTGAGCACCTTTTGTGCGTTTTCAGGTGTCTCCAGTCGTGCCAGGGCCAGCCACAGGTCAACAGACAGGGGAATCAGCTCCGTCGCCTTAGCCAGGAGGAGCTTTGCGTCATCGGGGTTCTCCTCCAGGTTGACGGCCTCTTTCCAAAGCGCCTCAGATTCGGGGAGGTTGTCGAGCGCCTGTCGGATAACTCGCTTCTTGTTGCTGGGCAGCGTTTCTAGCCTCATGGCCTCCACCCAGAGTCTAACTGATCGGCCGTTGGCCTCAATGGCTCTTCGCGCAATGACCTTTGCGTTATGGGAGTCGTGGTTGAGCCGGATATTCTCCAGCCAGGCGTCTTCGCTCTTGGGACACCTTGTGCAGCCCTGGTCGATAGTCTTCCGTGCCGACACAATCTTGCCAGCCAACTCCTCGAGTCGAGCGGCGGCAATCCATCCTAGGGCGTTGTTGGGGTTGGTCTTGACGACTGACTGCAACAGCTCGCGCACTCGGTTGATGTCTCCGACCTGAGCCTGAGCCTCGCTCATCTGCACCTTGTTGAGGTTGGTGAGATAGCCCTGAGCGTCGATGCTTGTCGAGCTGCCGACCACCGACTCGGTTCCCTGAGATGCCTGCTCCAACCTGGACTTGAGGACCTTGTCTCGCGCCGCACCGATCTTGGCGAAATTTGTCATGGTTCCGTCTGCCGTGTCTCCGCCGGCGCTCGAGGCTGCCCCATCGTCCGCAACAGTCGTGCCCAGCTCAGTAGAATCCCTCGCCGCCGCCAGCACGCTGTCCGGCACGGCATAGAATCGCTGGCGCAGGGCCTGCTTGCTACGGCGGTTCTTGCCCGTCAGATCTCCCACCTCGGGTAGGTTCGCCCACTCGTCGTCCGTGACGCTGGCCAGCGCGCGCTTCAGGTCTGAGAACTGTTGCTGAATCTTGGGGTTGTTGCGCTCGTACTCTTCGCGCTCGGCGTTCTCTCGCGCCTCGCGTTGCCTTTTTCGTCGGTCCATCCGTTCGTCGACCCATTCCCAGATTTTGTCCGCCTCTTCATCGTCCTTGTCGTAGACGCCGCCGGCGAAAAGTCCAACCTCGTTGTCGGGGTCCTGGTAGCGTTCTCGGTCGTCATTGTCGTCGCCGCCTTCTTCCTTCTCCTTGCCCTTCTTGCCGTCGGGTGCGATGCCGAGCTGGGCGGCGCGCTTCGCGAGCGCTTCTTTGATCTGATCCTCGCTGGGCCCGTCCCTAGCAGGACCAAGATCAGATCGTGTCGTGAAACCAGTGGCACCTCGTCCCAGACCAGCGACGTAGTTCTCCGGCGCCGGCTGGTTCAGGAAATCGCGTCGGGTCGTCATTGTTGCAATGGGCCCGTTGGCGCTAACCGCGAGAGCTGGATGGGGAGCGTCGTTGGTTTATAAGGTCGAGTCGTGATGTGAAGCTTGTGTCGCGCAAGGCTCTCCCCAGACAGCCCCAGGCAACGCCAGGCAGGTGTTCAAAACCAGCAAGGTGGGTGCGAATTTACAATCCCTGTCGCCAAGGGTGCAGGTTATTTACACCGGGGGTCACATTATTCACACGTACCGTTCCGCCTATCGATAAGATGCTGGTCAAAAAAAGTTTCCCACCACCGCCCCTCCCCACCACGCCCACGCCCACGCCCACGCCCACCATCTTTGGAGATCCGCCATCCCAAGTCCACCATCACGACAATCCGCCATGGCCAAAACGAAGCACGGAAAGCGCAGCAGCGCCCCCGGTTCGCCATACGAGCGTCCCAGCGGAGGAGGAGGAGGAAGCAGCGGCGGCTCCAACTCGAATAAGAACAACGTCTTCAAGTTCAACACAAACTTCGGCCAGCATATTCTCAAGAACCCCGGTGTCTCGGATGCCATCGTGGAAAAGGCTTTCCTCAAGCCCACCGACACCGTCCTCGAAGTCGGCCCCGGTACCGGTAACTTGACGGTGCGCATTCTGGAGCGCGCTAAGAAATGCATTTGCGTCGAAGTCGATCCCAGAATGGCCGCCGAGGTCACCAAGCGTGTGCAAGGCACGCCTGAGCAGAGGAAACTCGAGGTCTTGTTGGGCGATGTGATCAAGACTGAGCTCCCAGCCTTTGATGTTTGCATTTCCAACACCCCCTACCAGGTATTTCAATCCGAATTCAAACCAGCATGCCGCAGAGTGGCTGATAGCGCAATACACAGATCTCCAGTCCCCTCGTCTTCAAGCTCCTCTCGCTTCCCAATCCTCCTCGCACATCCGTCCTCATGTTCCAGCGCGAGTTCGCCCTCCGACTGACGGCCCGTCCCGGAGACGCCCTCTACTGCCGTCTCTCCGTCAATGCGCAATTCTGGGCCAAGATCACGCATATCATGAAGGTTGGCAAGAACAACTTCCGCCCCCCGCCGCAGGTCGAGTCGTCCGTTGTGCGCATCGAGCCCAAGACCGGCAAGGACCGCCCCAACGTCAGCTGGGATGAGTGGGACGGCCTATTGCGTGTCTGCTTCGTCCGCAAGAACAAGACCCTGCGAGCTAGTTGGCTCGGCACCAAGGAGGTTCTTGCCATGGTCGAGCGCAACTACCGCACGTGGTGCGCCATGAATGGCGTTGCTGTCGACGACTCTCTCGTCGAGGACGGCGCCGAAGGCGCGGAGGATATGGATGTCGAGGATGCTGCCGCGGATGGCGAGGAGTGGGGTGGCATGGACGTCGACGACGAGGATGCCCCGGACTTCTTCAAGGAGATGCAAAATAGCGCCGCCACTACCACCAAGACCAAGAGCAAACGCAAGAAGACCAAGGTCGCCGAGCTCGTCCGGGAGAAGATCCGCAAGGTGCTCGAGGACGTCACCGAACTGGCTGATATGCGTTCCGGTAAGTGCGATGAGAACGATTTCCTGCGTCTCTTGTTTGCCTTTAATGAAGAGGGCATCCACTTCTCGTAACCGTGTGTATCACGATGTCGAGGTCATGAATGAGCAATACGCAAAGGACGGGTGCTACGGGAACCACAAAAGGGACGGCGTTTCGGGGTTTTGTCAATTGAAGATCAGCAGAGCTTAGAGTAGATGTCGCGAGGATACCTTTGTTATGACATGTCCAACATGAAGTTCACAACACAATTCAAATGTTTAGCAAAAGATGCACCTGGTATTCCCATCCTAATTCGTATATACACCAAGCCGACTGTGCCACTATTCCACCTTCTCGTCTCTCTCTTTCTGGCTTTGGATATTTTTTTCTCTTCTGTTTGGGGGTCGTCATAAGCCGTTACAATTACAACGTGTAGTCGCCACTTTTCCATCTATGGGGGTTTTGAGAAACAAAAAAAAAAGCATCATAACTCCACCTCTGCGTGCCCTCCCATTGCCAGCCCAGGCAAGCATTAGCGTCTCTGCTTGCTCTCTGCGGGTTTGGCCCATCCCTGTCGAACACACATCCCGATTGGGGAAGGGTGCTCGCCGAGAGGGATGATGGTAGACAGGTGGAGGCACGAAAACAAAGCGCACACAAAAAACACCCAAGAAACACCTGACAGGAAGTAACTGTGTACGCCTGTCTATAACCAAAGAAACATAACCTTTGCATCTCCATGTCCCTTCAATGTTCAGCCATGATTGTGGTTGGAAATTTGCATCCAACGCCGCTGCTCCCTGAGATGCCATGCCATGCGCGCTCAAGATACACAAGACAAAAGTGTGTTGACATAAGAAAGACCAGATAAACATCTGCAGCAAAAGCAGACGCCCATCTAGTGATATGAATCCAGTGTTGTGCTGTTCGGCTTGAGGTTCGGATCGTTGGCTGAATTCGGCTTGACCGTCTTTCTCCCTGACACGGTGGCACTGCGGACGCGAGCACTCATTGGCAGGGTGTACTTAACAACACCCTTGACAATGAGATCAAACTCGTTTTGGTAGATTCGCTCCCACCGCTTCGAGCCACCGGATGTCGCGTTACCGGGATATTCGAGCTGCATTTCGCCAGTTGAGGATGAGGTCCCCTGGTGGAAGAGGGAACCCTCAAACGTCAGAGGGCTGTCAAATACCGTGATCCGTCCCAACAGAACATTCGGTTTAGAGTCGTCATCGTCGTCTGGGTCATCAAGCGGTGGGTCATTAACCGGGTCGTCCAACGGGCCTAACTCTTCGGGGCCGCGCGGATGTTCCCACCAGTCCGAGTCTGTCCCCGCATGTTCCGATTTCGCAAAAATTTCCAGGTTGGCGTGGTCGATTGTTACGACAACGATATTAGGGTTGTGCGCCTTGACGGTCAGGTCAAACATCAAGACTTGTTCGCTGGTCACGACGTTGTGTATAGCCGTGATTTCAATTCCAGTCATTGGCTGCGATGTTGCGAACATGAAGCCAATTGCCCCAGTAATGACCAGCATAAACATCATAGTGAGGACAAGGCATGCCGCGAATCGGTTCAGGTATGACGACCGCCTCGTAAAAGTCTGGGACTCGGCTTGTCGCAGGTTGTGCGGGCCACGCCGGCTCCGACCAGACCGGGCAGATCGAATCGATCCAATCAAGGGAGTGCGCTCGTCATCGGCACCTGTTGTGTCATCCATATCGTAGCTTGATGACATTTGCATTGTGGTGCGCTTTCCGAAGGCTCCACGAGCAGCGTGATTATTCCGAGGGCTGGGGGGGCCGGACGAATTATTTCGAACGTTCGTACCAGTGAGTTTCGTCCGTGCCGCATTCGGGAACGGCGACTCGTTGTCGAATAGGGATGGGTGGCTATTGTTGGGTTGTCTACCCCAACGGCCAATGTGGTGGTGATGCCTGGAGGTGCCTCTCGCGGAACCACCTGCGCTGCGGCCGCTTCCCTTGCCATCTTCGTCTCCCGGGGTCAGGCTGTCGTTTCCGTTGCTGGTAAACGTGTTGACAAATTTCATTGTCTTCTTAGGCCCATGCGCTGGACCACCGCCTTCCATGACGCCGTAAATAGATCGCAGGTTTTGGCGATCCGCTTGGCTGACCATAGAGGTCGCGCTTGGAGTTCGTGAATGGAATCTTCGCCCAGCACGGTCGTTGTTATCTGGGGGGTTAGAGTCGTAGACAAAGGTTTCTTCCGAGTCAGAAGTATTCGCCTCGTCAACGGCACTCGCAATTGATGCCTCGAAAACATCTGCTTTTGAGGATGCTAGAAATGTCAGTTAGCAAGATGAGCAGAAGAATCGCAATGATCTCTCACCTGTCCCAGAATTCACGGCAGGCTGTTTCCGGGTCGTTTTCTTCTTTTCTTTCTTGGGCCTGATCGTCTCCGAGCTCTGCTTTGTCTTGAGAGTCCCATTGACTCCTTCGATCTTGGGGCCCGTCGCGAGTGCGACTTGGGGAACACTTGGGACTGTTTCGGTCTCGACGGTCATGCTCTGAGTCGAGCCATCCTGCTTTGACTTGACCTGCTTCGTAGAAACGGTGCTGGATTGCCTTGAAACCAACGGGGGCGGGACGGATGGTGTCCTCCGTTGATCAGCCCTGTTATGGCTGCTATCGCTGCCACTCTCATGGTTGGCCAGAATTGGTCTCGCACGCAGGGTACGAACATCACCCAGTACACTCTCAGAGTGGTTCACTGAGTTTGACAGCTTCTCTTTGACCTTTTCTAGTAAAGCTGCGTCGTGGGTTGGATTGGGGGAGTTGGGGAGGCTGACTTCCTGGACGGTTTCCAGGGCTCCACGGACGGGAGTGCGCATTCCTGACTGGAACAGCGGATCCTCCGCCTCGCTCTCGGAGGGAGTTTGCAGAGGCTCTGAGGGATGAGGCGACGGAGTCGGCCTCTGGACGTTGATAAATGGCAGTTCCTGGTCGCTTCGGCGCGCGGGTATACCAGGACGGCTAAACTGGGGGGGAGGTGATCGCAAGCGGGGCGAGACGGGCCATCGCAGGTTGTCGGATGAGAGGGGTTTCTGGGGAGTAGGCGCCTGTATTTGTTGTTGAGTTTGAGAGGCGGGGAGGAGCGTGGGGGTGGTTGTCGAGGACAATGAGCGCGTCGAGATGTTGGAGCTGGTGATGCCCGGTCTCGTCTGGCGAGAGGGACTCGGTTCGGTTTGGCTATTCTTGCGAGGCCTAGCACCTGAGATGCGGTTGGCGGAAGCTGTTCTCCTGGGTTGGCGGGCGGGAGAAGAGTCTCGAGATGCAAAAGGCGACGGGACAATGGAGTTGTTGGCCGACGACTGCTTCGAGGTCTGGCTACTACTGGTCGCCGACGACGGGGTAGCGGATGGGTCTGGGGTATTGGAGCGGCGCCTGCTGGCCATGTTGGCGGAATGGGCTACGCCAGGGGCGCCGTCTCCGACGACAGAGGATTTGTCCATGGTGATGGAAGCGGGTGCAGGCAGTGGAGTGAGAGTCGAGCAATCATGCCAGCAGAGCAGGCCTTAGCAGGAACGGTGGATGGTGATGCAGGCGGCAGGCTGGCTCATCGTGGTTGGCTCGTCATCGAGGCAGGATGGGGGTGGCCTATGGCCCGAGCCGTGAGGGCGGAAGAGGCGTGATACCCAACCTATTCCGGACGGCTGCTGCGTCTTGTCTGTCGAGGGTGATGGCAGACAGGACACGAGCGGACGGGCGGGACGGTTGGGTCGATGACGGGAGGTGGACGCAGAGGGAAAGGCCAGCAGTTGGACAGAGCAGAAGTCGGCGTATATTGGGCTGTTCTGTGCAGGTTTGGTTCGGGGGGTGATGGAGGATGGAGGAGGTGAATGTACGAGGAAGTGGTGGTGGTGGTGGTGGCAGCGGATGGAGTATTGGACGGAGTGCTGAGCAGACGAGAGTGGTGACGCTGAGACGTACCCGGCCGTACCTATATCCGCCCACGCCCATGCCCACGCCCACCTACACAACGCACAGGGCGGTTTGCAGACTTGCAGAGCTGCAGAGCTGTAGCGCTAGGAGAGACACTGGAAGTACCCAGAGTACGTACCTTACGACCTCCACTGCCAGCCCAGCGAAGCTGCCAGCGTGTGCCAGTGGGCGCCAGTGTGCCACACACCACGCACACCACGCCCAGGACCTAGAAAAAGGAACCTGGCGTTCTGGCCAGGGAGCCTAGCAGGGAAACCTGGAAGGGGAAGATTTGGACCTGGGGAAGCGGACGCGGATTGGACGGCCGCTGCTAGTGCGCCAGCATGACACAATCTGTCGGGTCGGCTTGGGCTGGTGGGATGTGGATGTGAAGCTGGCCCGGCGCGGGACTTGGGGCTGGAGGCGGGCTAGCGTCCTTTTTTTTTTCCACCATGGAAGCAGGAAAAACAAAACGAGAGCCGGCCGACGGTTGAGCAGGGCCCTGGTTTTCGCTGGTGGACATATTGTTATTTGGTGCCGGCGCTGCCCTGATGCCCTGCTACCCGGGCTGCCCTCATGCCCTGGTTCTGTCTGGAGGGTTTCCTTGGTGCGAGCAAAAGGAACGTGAGCCAGTGGTGTCGTAATGGCCGCCGTTAGGACGCACACAATAGACCGCAACATCTGCACGCTCGCATTCGCCGCTCACTGCTTATTGCCCTCACGCCTGGGTGTGTGATGGGTTCTCGCACACGCAGCCGGGAACAGACTTTTCCTTGCTGCTCGTTGCCCATACCCAAGAAATGAGAGAGAGAGAGAGAGAGGGATTGAATGGGCTGACGATACACCGGCTGATGGACCATCCACATCGCATCAGGGAGCACACACACAAGCACTGACTGACTGAGTGACTGACAAAGACAAAGACAAAGACAGCAGGCGCTGAGATGCGCTGTCAAACCGGATGGGTCGCTGAGCCCGGGCCACGCACACAGCCCAAAGCCATCCGTCGCCGAGACCAAACGGGAGCCGGAACCTGGACCCAGGACGAGGCGAGCGAAATTGGCCCGCCTGGACGGGACCGCTGACTCTGTTCCGGTGGTGGGCGGGGACGGACGAGGAAGAGAAGAGGAGCCTGCTGCGTGGTAGGGATGGAAGGGGAGGGAGTTTCCGGCCCTGCACCGCCCTCCCGACGGCACTTCCAGCGCTGGGCATAAGCCCGCACCCGCTGTAAAACCCCTCCCAACACAGACACGCACTGGCACACACACGGCACCCGAGCCCAACACACAGGCGGGTGGCCTTGGGCTCACCACCACTCTCGCCCGTGTCGAGCCCCTGTAACCACAGGCCGGTACCTGGCCCGGGTGGCGACTTAGTGGGCTCGGGGGTCTCGGAAGAGCTCTCCAACACTGGTCGGCCCCTGGTGCCGGTACCTGAGTCTCTCTTGGCTTCTCACGCGGAGGGTGCCTTGGTGCCTCTGTACCATAGGTTATTAGCCCGCTAATTACTTAAGGTATGTACCAGACTACACACTTTGTTGGGTCGAAGCCAGTCCGTTCCTCACATTTATTAGTACTCTCATCATCTCGAAATAGCGGTTCTCGGGTTGCTTGGCCACTCTCCTGTCGTTCAACATCACCATGTTGCTCTTCGGCGAAGTCAGGAATCTCTTCCAGTCAGCAAGGCCAAAGTCCGTGTCTCGGTTTTCAACTGCGGCCCTCCAAGGATCCGCCGCAGCGTAAAAAGGCGCAGTACAAGGCACCCACCCCCTCCTCCGTCCATCCATATGCTTCCATCCTTCCATCCATCCTTACGAGGAGGAGTTTTGGTTCCCGGCGAGTGGTGGCCGATGCCGATGCCGATGCCGTCCCCCTCGGCAGTGGATTAGTAAAGCAAGACATCTCGTAATCGCCCGATTAACCCCGTCCATTCCGTTGCCATTTTTGACAAGTTCTCGCGAGGCTTTGACTTTGGGCTTTGGCTTTGGGCGGGTGCAGTGTTTGTGACTGTGGCCTAGACAAGCGGAGTTGTGTTTGGCGAATATCTGGTCGACGCCCGAAGCCTACCTACTACGCTGTAGATAGCGACCTCCACTTGCCTGCCTCCTTGCGAGTCTAGACAATAGTCAGATACGTAGAACCTTTGCCAGATTGTGCTGGAACGTCCCACCGCCCCCGTCCGAGCCACCATGTGCCAAGGTATGGAACGAGACGCCTCACGGTCCATAGTCATGTTGCTTGTCTACAGTGGTACAATCTCGACTCTTTTCCGCGCCCAACGCCAAAGAGAATGAAACCCACTTGCCTCAACACCCGCTGCCAGCCCTTCTTTCCAGGCCCCAAGTATTTGTGGAGGACCGGCTCTCCTCTCAGTGGAAGCCTGATTGCGCCGGTCCTTCCGGGGAACCGTATCCCTTGACGCCGACGAGGGCGCTACGACTGGCCCCAGCCTGGAGAGTCAAGGCGCCCGTGCCAGCAGACTTTCAAGCAAACAAGACCCAGCCAGGAACAATTAAAACCGGCCCAAGCGACTGTACGGAAAAAACGGTTGTACAGATCAGGTATGGCAGGCCGCCGCGATACCTAGGAGCTACGGGCGCTGGCGCACCAGGCCGGCACTGGCCCATGTACTCGCGTGGTAGCCCTGCCTGATCTTGTGACTCCCTTCTGACCGCATCTTACGGATACGCAGGGAGGTAGTCAGTGTCTGGTAGATGCCTGGGTCCACTGGCACATTTGAGATAATAGCCCTGCTGGGTTTGTACTTGTTCAATACCTAGACGTGGAGGTCCGCGGCCGTTAATAAGGATCTGTTGGACTCCCTGTGCCTTGCTAGCCCAGTCTGATAATCGCCGGCCCAGCACATGTTCACGCTCCCCAGAAGCCGTTCCATGCAAGATATAGTGCTGCCCGTTCAGAGGAGCCACATCTTGATTGCATGGACCCAAGGGACCGAACCGTCCCATCGGCCATGGCGGCGGCGCCATGTATCCGCTTGAGGCGGTCAACAAAGGGGGGGCATGAGTACAAATATCAATGCTGTTAGTGATAACTAAGTATCTTCTCCCTCATGCTACATAATGGAGAAGACGTGTCCATCTCTGTCTTGCCAAAAGCAAGACCAGTCACGGGTGAGGTACCTCAACCTCGAAATTGGATGGATCTTGACCCAAAGCCAAGTACCATGGCGCCCTCACATGGTCAACCAGGGGTTTGTTGGGGGCCGGGAACAGCCTTGCCCTCCGGCGATGACGATTTCATTAATTCATGATTCATCATCAAAGGTGGACAACGGTCGTCAATTTCTTTAGTTCCTCGCCAATGACACATCCACATCTCAGCACTGCGAAACAGTTGGTAGCCTGCCTCGGTATCATCCTCGCATCATCTCGGGGTGCCACCTGTCACACCCCTCCCGTGCTTCAGTCATGATCCCATGTTCGTTTTCCCTTGTCGACGACCCGATCCATCCCCCCTTCTTTTCCTTCCCGCCCGTCCTTCTCGAAATATTATAAAAAGGGGAGGGGAAGGGGGGGGAGGGGCAGCCGATCCATGTTCATCCATGTTTACCCATGCTCGCCCATGTTCATCCCGTCCCACGGGGCCGCAGCTAATCACAGTGCCACCTGAATGCCACCGACTGCGTGACCTCCGCGCCCACCGGGAGCCCTCTGGATGAAGTCGCACAACTGCTCTGTCGCTCTGTATTTGCTATGTGACTGCCTCTGTGTCTGGGAAAATGTGCGTGTGTGACGAGCCCCCCTGCTCCGCGGTGCCTAAACACCGCCGCCCCCAAGTCATAACCCTTCCTGTCTGTAACCATCCGCCTCTCACAGCCCGACACGATATCCCCCACTGCCCACACCCCTCATGTCGCCGCGTATGTGGCACATGTTAACCCAGACCCGACGGGGAACGGGTCCATCAGGAAATTGAAGCGTCTCTGCCTGCGAGGCTTTGCGCGGAGAGACCGCCGAGGACATCCATTTTCGAGCCCGGTGTGTAGGGTAGGTCAGCGCGGATGGAACCGAACGTGAGGAGGGACACCACGGATTGCACCGTCAACCCTCCCTCTTCTCAGTGACCGAGACATGGACCCTGGTTTCATGTCCATCTGAGATGTTGCTCAGGTGTTCGGATTGCAACGGGCACCAAGAAACCCCCTCGCAAATGATACCGGCTTTTTTTCGAGTATGTGATAATTCCAGCTCGACATCCCGAGCCATTGGCTGGGTGACTTCAATCTCCTGGTCTCGTCTCACCAACAAATACCGAGAGACAATATTACAAGTCGTCTGTCACGTAACCTGCGAGATCCCCCTGACTAAGATGTCTATCAGATCTCCAGACTGCTCATTCTCCACGGCGCCGCGGCCAAACCCCACGCGCCATTTCCAAGACCAGTCGTCCCAACTTCACCCAGCACGTTTTGCCGCCGCCGCCCGCGCGTCCGCCCTACGGCCCGGCCTATCGACTGCTCGGGTTCCTGCGCAGATGATCATCCCGCCCGCGCCCGCTGTGAGCTGTCACGCCCTGTCACTTTCAGCCTACTGCTGGCTGCTGCGCCATCCGTGGTGATGCGGCGCCATGTCCTGCCTGATTCGGCCACATGTTCAACGGTGCTTGGGGAGCGCAGTAGAGCACTGGCGAGTTGAGCTAGGTCTCGCGCGAATCGGCGTCCAACACATCACCAAGGCGAATCGCGCGTTCGCCCGGCGTGGCCCTCATGTCTCGCTATCCTGCGGACAAAGTCGGCACAAATGACTAAGTATCGTAGCACCACCGCTGAGACTATTGATTTGTGCTGGTCCGAACTGTAATTTCCGAATGCGGAACAGCTGTAGAGTGAGCATATGCGAGAGTGTGCACAATGGGCCTGTCTCTACGTGGGTTTTTATCCTCGGTATCTCTTCGCTTGGATGATACCATGAGTAATTGGTAGCAGTTCATAGGACACACGGTACTCAAACACGTGAGTCGAGTTGCCCGGTACGCTTCAATAGTCTTCCAGTCACAAGTGGGAAGTTGAGTCCTGCTCAAGGTTATCGTAGAATGGAACCATTTATTCAAAGTTTGCTTCTCAAACCGAGCTGCCACTTGCACCACTCAGTTGTCTTGGAAGCCTCTGTTAATCCTCATCGCTCATCATGGACCAGAATAAGCTCATTATCTTTTATCTTAGATCAACCGACATGTATATCTATGTAAGTGGATGACCTGAATAGCTACATCAAATAATCGTTATCAATCGTTCATGTTCTTTCATACCCAGCCTCCTCGGCAACCGCATCGTTGACTATCCGTGACAACTCCACAAAACCTCTCCTCGAGGACAACAGTGCACGCCATGTATGACGGGCTCTGTTTCATATAATCTCGGAAAATAAATGTACGGATGCAGGTTGATGGAGCCATGAATAACCCAGAAGCCAAACTCCGCAATATCTAATGACGTAAATCGTACATGACCGGCCATCAGACCCATATGCCTCATGAATAAAAGTTATATCCAACCGTCACGCCCTAAACAAGACCACACCGCGCGACTCCTCGACTCCCCTCTTGACATATGCAGGCCCAAAGATATAGCATTCAATCATCTATTCCGGAATTGGGTCACTGGACTGGGGCTGTCCATCTTCCTTCTTACCCCAGCTCCAGCCCGAGTACCAAGTCGCCCGCTTGTTGTCCTTGACGGCATCAGGGTTCTCTTGGACCAACCGGAGTGGTCGAGGCTTGCCGCCCGTGAAGGAGGTCGGTTGCTTGTCGGTGTGAGACCGGGGCGGCGATTGCGAAGGCGGCGTCGACAGCGACAGGGACAGCTCGCCCGATTCGCCGCTTAGGCTCGACGTCTCGCTTCTCATGCCTGGGAAGTTTCCAGATGTAGGAACCTGGCTACCACTTGGGACGCGGGCTGCTGCGTTGGGGTTACCTGACATGCCTGCCGGTGCGAAGAAGGTCTGCGAGTGTCGCGGGGTGCCCAGGGGCGGGGAGACGGGGCCGTCAGGTCCCCTATACATCTGGCTCACGAGGCTCGCCGCGCCTGTGTACTGGTCGCTCTGTGGTCGCGTTCGGCGGGTGCTTTGCGACCGGGTCAGGTTGCCAATAGGGATGCTGGGAGCTTTGTCCGGGTCGGTATGGTTGGAGGTTGTCGAGGGCAGCATCACGGAGATGGGTCTCGGCCTCTGCTTGGTAGGCCCAACAACCATGGACTTGGTTCGCTGAAGGAAATTCGGGAGATTCTTGTCGGTTGGCGGCGGGGGGAGGTCCTTGTTGGTATCTGGCAACGACTTGACGTCTCCGGACTGATCCAGGATGGACTCAAAGTCCTGATGTTGGAGAAGGCGCTCGATAATCTTGTTGATGTATAGCGTGAGGGCTTTGTTCTGCTCCTTCATGGATTTGAGTTCGGACTCGACTCGGCGGTCGCCTTCGGACTCGCCCTCGGTTGCCTCTGAGAGCTCATCGGCGAGACTGGAGCCTCCCGTATTGCCCTCGAGAGCATTGAGAGCGTCTTGGTTGGAGTTGGAACCCATGTAGCTGAAGTCGTTTTGACCGAAGTCTCCCTTGAGAGTTTTCTCCTGCAAAAGCAACTGGTAACTTTCATTGTCTTCCATCAGCCGGGCGTTGGCCATGCGGGCCTCCATGAGTTGCCGTTCGACCTCATGCAACCTGCCGCCACCCTGGTTCTCCGACTCGACCAATTTGATCTGAGCCTCGGCGAGTTCCAGTCGTAGGGACTCGATTAACTTATCCTTCTGGAGAATGAGTTTTGAGCTGTTGCGAGAGTCACTGCGCTGCATGGAAGATGGGGGTGCGAAGCCGCCGTTTTCAAGGGACGGTGATGAATTGGCAGACACGGACGAGACTGACGAGTTAGCAAATCAAAGAAGTAAAAGGAGATGGATGGAATGGAGGTACATACCCTGTCTTGAGGGACGGATCTCGTCATCGGTATTGTTCCGCTGAGCCAGGCTGTCCTTGAGTCGCTGTATGACGGTCGCCATTTCCTCCTCTCTGTTGGCCATTTCTTCCTTCTCCTTGAGGATAGAACTTCGCTCCGCCTCGTAGATGGACTCCATCTCTCTCATCTGGCGGGTGACCTCTCGTTTCTCATTGTTCAGAGTCTCAATCTGCTCTTCGTGTTCGTGGGCCTTTTCCTCGAGCTTCGCCGACTCCTTGACGGCTTCGTCTAGCTTGGACTGGAGGACATCGGCCTGGCGCTTATTTTGCTGGGACAGCTTTTCTTCTTTCTCGAGGCGTTGCTGAAGGTCCTCCACCGCTGAAGCAGTCTCGGCTCGGGCGTCAGACTCTACAGAGCTGAGGCCGGTGTCACGGCGTGCGGCGGCGGCACGGGCAGACACAGGAGTGCCGGTGCGAAGCGATCGTGTGCGCGCATGGCCACCGGTGGGAGTGGATGATCGGGAAGAAGAGCGCGCCGGAGAGGGGCTGGGCGAGGTAGTCGTCTCAGCGTTGGACACTCGACCGACACCGCCAGCCGGGGGCTTCTTGGAGACGGCAGACATTTCGCGGTAACGGGCGGATTGGACTGGACAACAACTGAGGCCAGATGGGCCGAGAGAATCGGTGAGGGTCGGTGCAGTGAGGGTCGGTCAACGGGAGTCGGAACAGCGATAGTCGGTGGTGTTGGGACGAGATTGAGCGCCTGTAGCGGTCGATCGATGGGGTAATTATGCTGAAACTGTCGTTGAATGCAGGTCGCCCAGTGACGGTGTGACCTGGAACACAAATACCTTCCTGGTAGGTAGGTCTGGGTATTATGGGGTTGGTCCTCGAGGGCGGATATGGAATAGGAGTGCCACTTGGGTGGAGGGCCGCGGCCTGCGCCTCAGGGCCGAAACGGGCCAAGAGGGATCAGGTACGTAGCGTGTGGCGGCGTGGCAGAATCCGTAGGAGGAGCTTGCAGAGGGCAAGCCTGGAAAGCCTGGAAGGCCTGGAAAGCCTCTGTAGTTGTAGCGCGTCTGGATGCGCCTCTAGCAGAGACGAAATATGGAGGCTAAAAAAAGGAATCTGCAATCGCCAAAGGGAGGGATTGCGAGGCGCCAATGCAGATTTGGTGCATAAGCAGAAGCAAGAACGGGAGCAGCGTGCAGATGGCAGATGGCTTATGGCTGCCGTGAGGCTGATGCGGCTGATGCTGCTGATGACGACGATGCGCAGCACGACGGAGCAGAGCAGATCCGTAACAGCACCGACTTCGTGAATGTCGTTGCACCGTTGAACTGCAGTATAGCCCCTCGGGAAATGCAGGTAATGCGCCCACTTATTGCCGCTCGCTGCAAGCAAGCAAGTGTGATGCGATGCGGTCCAGGGCAGCCAGAGTGAGTGATGCGGTACGCGGCGATTCAGTTGGTGATGCAGACGCCAGAAGCCACGGCACAGAAGAGTGGGCGTCGGGCCCTTGATGAGGAAGCTGGTAAAGTTGTCTATCGGCAACGATCCGTATCCGTCTGAGTGCCCATGCCCGAGCGACTCATGTACGAGCGATAAACCTGGTGCCTACGAAGCGTGCGATATGGATGATTTCCCCATCATTATGCTCTCGGGGGACTGTAGCACGAAGTAGTCCGTCTCCGCTATAGAGTCTGGCACTATAATCGATGCCTGTACGGAGTACCTGCTGTGGCATGCTGTGAAAGGCAATGGCGGGCATTGTGGAAGGAGCTGTACGGAGCCGAGCTGCTGCCATCATGAAACGGCCCTTTACATGAGAATCCTGGCTCTGCCTTTGCCCCCTGGACCTCCGTGGTGGACTCGTTTATCGGCTTAGCTCCCCCTTTGATCCCCTCGTTGCCGAGTCATTGGTTCATGGTGGTCGCTCCCCTCCAGACGTTATGGCCATGCCCTGATCCATGCGGCGTCTGCATGACCTTTGTTTGTTTCCTCGCTATCCGCTGATGCGTCTCGAAATTGCAATGTAGGATCGCCATGCCTGTGACGCCCGGCCGCCCCCGCGCTGCCTGGGTACGGGACCTAATTTCAAATCTGTTCTGCTCTGCCGTGGATCTAAGACGCTCTCGATTCCTTTGGAATGTACGAAGTGCGAAGTAGCCTTCTGAGATGCAGGGAATGACATCAACGGCTGAGTAGCTGCGTTCCTTAAACTCGGGAGTCGGAACCATTGTACCCTCTGTCATCTGGTTCTGACGCATCGGGACAATACTGTGATCATCTCCTGCAGTCACTATATCCTCACATAAATAAATGCCTTGTAAATATTCGTATCGTCATGAGATATCGCCGCCACCGCCAGAGGGGCAGTAGTACCCAACACAACAAAAGACATCCAGATATTATTTTGTCAGCAACTTTAAAATGCTCAATTGGGATCGCCTTGTCATGAGACATTCCGCCGCTGCCGTGCCAAGTGCACCATTGAAGGTTACTTACTCGGGCGGAGCGGTGCGATAACCACCCGCACGTTGATAAACGACCATCTGGAGGCTCGCCATAGACCAGACGCAGAGAGACCTAGAGATAAGCTAAAAGTGGTAAAACCACAAGACCAGGATAAAGCTGGTGTCAAGAGACATTCAAGGGAGGAATTGACCGAAGGTACCGTCTCAAGGATTACAATCCTGAATTGATGCAGATCTTCGTAGTATCGCAAGGGTAACATAGCCCCCGTTCGGAGTTGAAAGTACATGAGTTGGTAGGTCAGACGAACTGGACGGCGCTATCTGAAAGAATAGGTTGGCGCTTCTCGACCGTGGTGTTGTCGATGCAGTAAATTCCCGTCCCCAAGTCCAGGATGGCGATGCCGGGAGATTTTAAATAAAGCAGGTGTCTAGTCGAATCTTGACTGGGTGTGCTCTAAGTACTGGTCATTAATGAGACGGTTAGTCCCCAGCGTTAAACTGGCATGTGCTCTGAGACATTATTGTATACTTGTCCTTCATAGATCGCCATTCCACGTCGTCAATAACAGCGGTTACTTAGAACACCTGGCCTACAACTTCTTGCCAACAAAAACTAGTTGGTGTCTCAAAGCACATGCCAGCCCAACACTGGAGACTAACCTTCCCATTTCTGGCCAGTGTAGACCTGGTGCTGGGATTCGACTCGACGCAGGATCATGTGGCTAACCAATATGTTGGCTCCCCAGCATGCCAATGCCCTGGGGAGAAGACATAAGTTGAATGCGGTCAACAGTAATGGGAAACAGCATCTTATAGACCGAAATGTAATTACTTGCTTGTGATGTTTTAACTCCACGACATTTGCAATCCTTGAAGGGGTTTCTGGCGCTGACTGAACAAGATCCTGAGATCTAATACCCCGACAGCCAACATGACGAACCTGGCCTGCTCAAATTCTCTGTTATGAAGCCCTCAGCAACACCTAAAAAGCGACTGGAAGACTTTACTGGCTTCGCAGTGGATCATGAGTGGATGGATGGCTGCATTGTGATCTGGAACACCAGCATTCCTAACTTGTAAAACCCTGCCAATGAATACACGCAGATACCCACTCAGAGACCCAACGTCGCAACTCGTCTCTGGCTCCGAGGTATTGATTGTCTCGGCTTGGCTCGCATGATGTTTCATCTGGATTTTCATAAATAAACATGGCCGTAAAATTCTTCTTAAATGGCTTCTGACGGTAGCACCCAAGCTGGTCTCCTGAGTGACCACTGTCCAACATCCCCTTGATCCACTATGAGGTTCACACATTCGATTCAACAAGCCATCGCGCCAATTATGCTTAGCTCACACCTTTGGATAGTGACAGAGGCACACCCTGTCGATGAGCAGATCGTTTTCTCACTGGAACCCGCTGCAGCAAGTTCCTGCCCGGATTCCGTGTTGAAGTGTGGCGCGAATGACTGTCGACTGAAACTATCGCTCCATGATACTTCCAAGCCCGTTTGTACGGTATGTGCAGGAATAATATCTCTGCCATGTAATTGAAGTTAACACGAGGGATAGGGAAAATATGAAGGATGTGAATGTCTGACCGAGGAAGACGTCGGTTCCGGGATGCGAAAACAGAATCCCGTAACAAACGCCGTAACCGACAATTTCTCTCCGGCAGTGAAGGCGACACATCCAACATACCCTCTTTTAGAATGCTCGCAGGAGTTTGAGAGCGTCAACGTCTTGGATTTCTGGCAAAAGTAAGTACTCGGCGTTTATCCAGATAGCCCGCCAACTAACTACATATAGCTTGGGTATTAAATTCGGATGGGATCTCGAAACGAGTGATCATAAGTGGGATTTGTATGTTGCCAAAGAGCACACATACGGAGAAAAATACGGCGAAATGTCTGTCGAATTCGAGTGGAGGAGCTATCTAGATGTTGCTTGCACAACTGAAAGCTCGGATATGATCTGGGACGGCCTTGCTAACCCGCCTTGTGAGTCCATTAATTTGTATGTCCCTGTGGACATCTCTGAACACAAAGTTCTTACCTTCCCCCTAGGTCGCCCCGACGATTACACAGTTGCCCGCTCAGCCTCGTTGAAGTTCGATTGCGGCGAAGTCAAGTACAGAATCCACCGTAATAAGCCGGCCTCCCGTGGGCCAGTGCGCGAACCCCCGTTGGATACTGTTGAGAATGCCGAGTGGGAACACAAAGGCGGTAACTTGTACAGTGGATTCTGCGCGAAGATCAAGCGTGAGCAGCCGCTCAAGATGACCGTCTATCTGCAAGAACAAGGACTACTTCCCCACCAGGACTTTTACCTCCAATCTAACATTGAACTGTCTTGGAAACCCGGCTCTCATGAGGAGTTGGAGGCCGGCTGTGGCCAGACATGCGAGGAGGCGATGCACATTTTCCGAGCGAGTTCCTTGGGTCGTTTGGGGGGTGAGTTCGCCAGGTTGCAACCCACCTGAGTGTGACCTTGCTAATAACCCCACAGATGACAAGTCTTTGATGGCACGAGCAGCCTCTTACGATGTAGGCTGTGGGACATACTCTTATGTTTTCCGAGATGGTACAGAGTCTCTATAACTTAAAAACGCAGTGTGTTCCAGCCTGTCTCACGACACTTGTTACAATGCGAACTAGTCACTACCTGAGAGCGTCTGCCTGCCTGCGAAGACACAAATGGAAAGCTCCTCGGACTGGGGAAGGGGATCAGTCTCTTCACGCGTAGGCGTCTTGCCCACCCTCCCATGCCTGTCACTCCATAGTTCGGCGGGGCGAGAATTGCAAGCAGCACGGCAATCAAGCATTCGTGGTCCTGGAGAAGCTTCTCGGCATCTTATACACGGCAACATGCCAATCAAGCTTTAAGAATATACTCTGCCGGCGTACTCACGTTGTGGGAGTTCTATCTAGGCCGCTTGTAAGGTGTTTGAGGCCAAAGCAGAGCGACGACCCGTGTTTGGCTTATAGGAGTTCCCGAGCAGGGGATGGTTGACTTGGGCATCAATGCTGAGGACAATATGACTACCCAGAACAATACCTACTAGGAGTGGATCGATAGATCTATTGACCTTCTAAGTGATGCGGAGCATAGTCCTCGCAAGGATAGTAATATGAGTGCATGAATGGGGATGGTTTCAGAAGTGACACAAGCGACTTGAGTTCACAAGTTTGTAGGCTATGGGATACAGAAATAGATATGCCCAACAGGTGCAAAACCACAACGCTCAGACTTGGTTCCGTAGCAGTGGCCTGCCTAACTCATAACCACGAGCATACGCACGTCACTTGCGTTCTGACATGCTCATCTGCTGGAGTATGGTACGAGAAATAATACGGTGCGAGAGGTGGAGGCCGAAACATGTTTTGAAGAAGAAATCATAGCGGGGAACAATGGTCATGAGCTTTTATTGTTTCATTGACTTTGACTGATACCCTCCTGTGGGGATACCAAGTCGTAGCTAAAGCCCACGACACATAGGTCGAGGGGAGCACTTGCACACGACTCGCGTGAGCACATCCTCTCAAAGTCGTCACTTTTCGCATCACATTGATTGGTATATCCTCAATTGCCCTGACCCGTTTTACCCCGAACGCCATGAAATGCACTCCAGACTGGCTATTTAAGCCTGCTGGTCGCTAAGGATGTCGGAGTCACCAGCGTCGAGGATGGCCATGGTGGAGCATCGGAAGAGCTTACCGCAAGCGGTACCGAGCTCAATCTGCAAAGGGGAAACAAGTAAGCAAATGAACCCTCCAAAGTCTGGCGAGACTTTTTCTCTGGGCAAGCTTCAAGAATTGCTTCTTGGGCTAGAGAAGTGCTTTCAAGTAGGAAGCACTCCTGAGAAATAAGAACCATCTTGCAGGCAGCCCGCAAGATGGGGAACAGTGTAGGAGACATGAGCGCGTCGACTTACGTTGTTGCCGGAGAAGTGGTGGATGGGAGCCTTGGACAGCATGCTGTAGTACTCGAGCTCACTCTTGCGGAGAGGAGGAGTGTTGCCAGCGATGATGATCAGCTTGGCCTTGCCGGATCGGAGGCTCTTGAGGGTGGACTTGTAGCCAAGAGTGACTGGAAAAAAAATCGTCAGCGATTGATTCCAATGCGAGCGAGGAAACGGCATCACGTACCCTTTCCGGACTTCATCACCAGCGCCAACTTGGAGTTGATGCTGTTGGCATCCTTCTTGCTCTTCTTAACGGGGGCCATTTTGACGGATTGGTGCTCGTGGACTGGCGATTTGTCGTTGGGTGATGGAGGGCTGAGATTCAACCTCGAAAAGTTCGTGGAATTCGGGAGTTTTGGATATGCGAGGTGGGCTGCGTGGCGGGGCAGGGCAGCAACCCGCCTAGCCAATGAGGCCGCCCACACCTCTGACGCGAGCCCTAAAGGGCCGAAGTTTAGGCGGAGGCACCACGCCGAAGAACCGAAGTCCTGCTTTGAAATCAAACTGGTGGGTTAATCAGAAAGAGGCAGACCGGATCTTCCTCGTCGGACTCAACTTTCACCAAACACACCACCCACCTACGGAAAGATCATCTACAATCCGACAAGATGGCTCGTCGTCCCGCCCGTTGCTACCGGTACTGCAAGAACAAGGTGAGTTATTGCGCTCCATGTCTCGCGAGATTTCTGCGAGTTGCTTCGGATGTTGCATCCCAAGACGACTGTCGCGAAGCTGCATCGCAGGCTTCCTTTGAGGCCATCGATGATGACGGCTCACAAAGCTGAGAACACCCTACTGACTCTCTTCCCCCTCTAGCCGTACCCCAAGTCTCGGTTCAACCGTGGTGTCCCCGACCCCAAGATCCGCATCTTTGATCTGGGCCGAAAGAAGGCGAACGTCGATGACTTCCCTCTCTGCATCCACCTCGTCTCCAACGAGTATGAGCAGCTGAGCTCCGAGGCCCTCGAGGCTGCCCGTATTTGCGCCAACAAGTACTTCGTCAAGAACGGTGGTAAGGAGGGTTTCCACCTGCGCGTCCGCGCCCACCCCTTCCACGTCGTTCGTATCAACAAGATGTTGTCTTGCGCCGGTGCCGATAGACTGCAGACCGGTATGCGTGGTGCCTGGGGCAAGCCCAACGGCTCTGTCGCTCGTGTCAACATTGGCCAGATCCTCATGAGCGTCCGCACTCGTGACAACAGTATGTCGAATTCCCTCCTTTTTTTGCCACCTTGGGGGCAACATTACTAATACACTCTAGACCGCGCTGTCGCTCTCGAGGCTCTCCGACGATCCCAGTACAAGTTCCCTGGTCGCCAAAAGATCATTGTCTCCAAGAACTGGGGCTTCACCCCTCTCCGCCGCGAGGAGTACCTCGACAAGAAGGCTGCTGGTCGCGTCAAGGTCGACGGTGCTTACGTCCAGTTCCTTGCCAACCACGGCAACCTGGAGAAGAACGTTCGCCGCTTCCCCGACGCTTTCAAGACTGAGGCTTAGATAATGGTTGCGGTGGCATCTGGGTTTTAGGCTGGCGTCAAAATGGCATGTCAAATAAGGACCTCTCGCTCTCGAGTTGAAGGGTATCGATTCGGCAAAATCAATGTTGCATTCGGAATCTTCTGGTTCTCTTGTTCTCGTATACCTAGTCTCTTTTACCTACCCGTGTCCTGACTGTGAAGAACCACCACAGAACCAGGAAGCTAGTTAAACGCGACAAGTCTACAGTTCATTTTATCCGGTTCCCCCGCTTCTTACAAATATGAATACATGTATGCAGGTGACCCTTGCACGATGAGATTCTGCGCGTCGACGTTTTTTGAACTGAGGAGGCATTTTGCTGCATACCTAGTATGTCAAGACATGCGTTAGAGATTGGCATTATGCTCCAATGTTTGTTTTGGTCAATATGCTGGACCAATATAGGCTATGGCTGCGTGGGCGATTTGCGGAGGCACGCCCGTTGGTCAGTCCCACGCCACAGACCACATGACTTCACTTGGGCGTTGTGACGCCATTCTTGGTCACAGGCGACTGGCGTTGTCGTTGGCATGTATGTAAATGACAGCGAAGGTACTTGCGACCTTTTGGACCTGGTTCATGTACATAAATAGTGCATGCGGACAGCATGGGAGGGCAGACGTGATACTGCTGCCAGCGAGGCGGTGCCCAGGTTCCTGTCCGTGCTTATGTAAAATGCTGAGTGAGATACTTTTGTGTGACTGAAAGACGCCGAAGCCGCTCACGTCAACCTGCCTACCAAGGAGCACGGAGCACGGAGCGAGCGAGCGAGTGGAATCCTGCGGTAAGTGGTGAGCAACAAGCAGTTTAGCGGCGAGTGGCCTAACGCCGAGTTGCAGGAGCGCGTCGCTTATCTCGGCGCTATCTACTTCGTACTGATCTGATAGAGCACCATGGCGAGTCGCCAAGAGAGACAAGCGGTCGCGGTGGCAGGGCGGGCAAACAGGCGGGTAAGATGGGCTGTGGACTGTTCCTTTCGTATTCTGCGGTGATTCGGACCGTATGACACTTTGGAATCAAGTCATGGTTGCAGCTGAGTGCCGGTGAGAGGCCCGGCAGGGCGATGCTTTGACTGTCGTGCCCAAACCAGGTCCAGGTCAGGCCAGCCATGTCGCCATCCATGGACCCGTAGGAGGATCCATAGGGGGGGGGTTTGTCACTGTCAACAACCAGGGGCTGACAAAAGGGAGAGGGGACCTTTTAGCTAGCTAAGCAGACGGTGTGCTGTGTTGTCTTGGGCTGGGCTGGGCTGGGCTGGATCATCCTGGATCATGGGAGATGGAAGGGCTATTGGCTGATACAGCGGGAGTACTTTGGCAGTACCGGCTGTAATTTGTTGATTGTTGGGCCCAGCCCGCCGCGGTGACGGGTCGAAGTCAACCTCCTTAGATGTGGATGGCTGGCAGCTGGAGGGCTGGAGAGATGGAGGGATGGATTGGTGGACTGGTGGATGGATGGCGTTTTGGGAGGGCGGCCACAGCGCGCACAGTGTCTTGTCCAGCAGACACGCGAGCCCCCCACCCGCCGATCGCTCCCGACTGCAGCGTTTAGATGACGCTTTCGCCCTGTAGAGGATGGATAGACCACTTCTGCCGCTGGTCGCCCAGATCTCCCGTGCCGTTCCTCCTTGCCTCTCGCATGTAGCATCGGGGCTCCCTTTCCCATCATCTTTCTCGGGAGTACCTATATCGTTGTCGTCCCTCCCGTTTTTATCTGCGACGGACATCATCTCCATTCTGGCAGTGCGCTCTGCCTGTCACAATCCCACAGTGCTACTGCGTTCGCATATTACCTCTGCAGGCGTCGACACAGGGGTCCACACGCCCGAGTACCGCCACCTATCTACGCCTACACCGACACCATCTTATCATATCCCCTCCTTATCCGATCAACCTCACGACGCCCGACTGACGCATTCAACGAACTTCCATTATGGCTTTCCATCAGCCGACCCGTCAGTCCATCCAGCGCGTCGTACAACCGACGGTCGAAGAGCGGGAGGCTGCGCGGCTGGACACATCCGCTGGCCAAGAACAGCGGCAGGAGGAGTCGCAAACATGGGTTCTCTTCGCGCCCACTGACGTGACGACCACGTCGTACCTCACAGAGACCGAGCAATCACTGGAGACGCCCGGACAGGAGCGAGCGAGCATCTTGGGCGGCGTAAGAGCAGCTGCGACATCGGAGGTTGGTGCCAACTCTCGACAATCCACTTCTCTCTCCGCCGTGGACGATGAATCCGCCGACGACGACGCCGAGCTTGACAGCCTCGACAGCCACTTACCTGAGTTCCGCTCTTTGCCCGGAATTTTCTCCCAATCACATAATGAACCCCAGGAGGCTTTGCCTGTGTTTCCCAGCCACGATGGACTGGGGTCTTTCCGGCTAGATCAGCCGGCTTTGGGAGTGGATGCACAGGACCAGATATATCAGTTTGAGCGGTTCAACCCGCGGCGCCTACGACGGCGCAGAGAGAGCCTTGATCTGGCCCAGCTGGATCTAGAACACGACCAGGTTCAGGAGACTGAGAAACGGCAGAGGATCGAGGCGTGGCGATTAGAACACAGCCGCGTGCTCCTGAGTGAAATCCAACGGGAAACGCGCCGGAGGCGGCATTCTCAAGCATCACTTCACAGACGCTCATCGTCAACACCTATGCCGATTGTCTCGAAACCAGCTCAAGATGCCGAGTCAGACAATATGACCTGGCATGACGAGGATGCCGTCCAGCCTCACTCAGAGTCTGAGGGCTTCCTCACTCGAATCACCCGCAAGGTCATGCGAGACTTGGGCATCGACGACAGATTGTTATCGATTTTGCTGGGAGATGCTACCCCCGATACCGATGAGGAGTTGGCAGCAACACCCCGCGCTTCCCAGTTGGGTGTGCACCCCCCGCAACCATCGAATCCTGAGTCTTGGCAACTTGATATGCTCGAACGGATGTCGAGAGAATTGGGCATGCTTGTGAGCCATCTCTCTCATCACCCGGGAGCCTTTTCCACATACAACATGGTGCAGCAAATGTCTCTGCCCTACGCCGGCCTTCCCATCATCCCAGAGTCCAATATGTCACATTCCGCCGCAGACAACATCCCTCCTAACACCGACCCTGAACACTCATCATTCCCTCAGTTCCAGCCAACCATGAAGACGGCCTCTCGACCGATCAACATCCCTGGCCGACTAGCCGAACCATCCGCCGACCCGGTGCAGGCACCGCGACAGGATGTCCCTATGGGCAACGCCTTCACCCAAGAGGAGTGGGAGAAAGACCTGGACATGAAGCTCGTGTTCCGATATCTCCGGTCCCGGTTCATGTCGTCCCGGACCCCCAACCCCCCTGCGCCGCCCGGAACAGCGCACCTGGCAACGCCGAGCGCACAGGAACTCGCAGCCAAACTGGCCCGTGTGCGGCAACACCACCCGCTCGTATCACGGATGCGCCCAGTGGAGCGGAGGACGTTCAAGGCGACGACACCCACCAGCCCTGTCGCATTGCGGCACCAGAGCAGTTGCGCGAGTCAGAGCACGAGGCGATCGGCTCGGCGGAGCAGCGTCTCGTCCCGACATTACTGGGATATTGGGGGCTCGTTGGGAACTGGCTCCGTGATCGCTTCGAACGGCCCGATGGGTAGTTGGGGCGAAGTGTAAGGTGTGTACTCCTGTAGAGTCACATCTGGCGGACGTTCCGGTCATGCACATACTCTTGCCACCCGACGAGGAGGAACATAGACGTCATACATACGGGTCATTTATTCTCATGTATTACTTCACATCGCCGCTGAATTTATTTTTGGACATACAGGAATTGGAGCATCTAGGAGCATTATTAGAATTGGTATTGGGATATCCATAATTTGTCTTCACATTTTATCTTTGGACAAGTCGAAGTGACCAGTGCCCTCTGCCCGAAGCATGCCACGCAAACCATAGCCTCATTGAAGCTAGCGTGGATGGAACCTTTGAACATCGACTTTGAGAAGACGCAATATCTGGCCCTCGTGAGCAAGAGAAAGTGACGGCTAATTCGGATTGGGGTTTAGTGATCGCCTGAGTCGTTGAACCTGGTGGTGATGCGAATGGAACATTGCCGATTGCAGACAGCTGCGGCTGGTGCCAATGCCAATGCCACTGACATTCGGCATTGTTAAAGTTGGAACCCCGAAATATGACCGTGAAGACCTAGCAGAGTGCGTCGATGAATTATTCACACCCGTCTTGTCCCGACCGCAGAGCCAGCCGTTGTTCGAGGCGATAGGCCCTGGGTGCCGCCTCACTGTATGAGTCGAGGCCAAGTCGTGTGTGCAATCCCGACGGGGGTGATGATCACGTCAAGTTTCAGTCGAGGTCAGAGCGCTGGATTGCAGCCAATGGCCCGTCTCGCCCCATGTAGTCCTCGCACTATCGCTCATTCACGCACCGTAGCTGTCCGTCTTGTGCGCCCAACACTGTTCACGATGGCGTCTTATATGCCCAAATATGGCCTGCATGACACCTCGTTCCTGTTCTGGGCGCCCTTACAGCGTCGTTGGCGGCCGTTGACTCAGATATGGGAGAAGCCAGCCAAGCAAAGGCGCGCCCCACGCACGCGCTCAAGGGTCGGGGCAAAGCTCAGGAGTGGGACGGGGTCAGGCGGAAGCACCCTATTGGGCGAGATCCTGGCCTGGTGCGCTGTGCTGGGGCTTGTACCTCCCGGAGAGCGTGCACCGCGTTAAGCACTCAATTTGGCGGGGTAAGGAGGAGAGGCAGCTCGCAGAGTGACTTGCAGAGGAACGCGTTGTGAGACAGGAGGATCGCTGCTTTAACAGGTCGGGACAGGGCAATTGGCTTGTTGATTTGCTGGGCGGATTCGCAGGACGGAAAGAGCAGTGACCCTCTGAAGCTGGAGGGGGGAAGGTGCGTGCCCGGTTTTTGGTGGCTTCCGTCCTCGGGTCGGTCTTCAAGCTTCGAGGCAACTCTATTGTCTGGCCACGGTCGGATGTAGGCAGGTACTAGGCAGGCGGGTTACATCAACGATGGATGAAGAGCTTCCACACAGCTGGGCCTCAACACCATCCAATGGCCTCTTTGCAACCCAACCACAAGCGACCACGACAACTCGTACGCTTCTCTGGGATTCCATTTCCCGATTCTGAAGACGAGGTCTGAATCCCCCTAAGGCAGCCATGCGACATGCCGCATGAGGCATTGGATCTGGGGCAGGGCGATGGGCGGCGCGTTAACAGGCATAGGCGTCGTCGTGTTGTGGAAAAGGCATCCGTCCATCCATGCTCCCTCCCACCACACCACTGCCACTTCTCTCGCCGCCCTGTCGTTCGCTGCCGCCCCGTCTGCTGTCCACCCCGGTCCTAGGTCCCCAGGCAAGGCACGGCGAACGCTGCGCAACACGCTCTCCTCCACCACTTTTCTTCTCGTCCACTCCATCTGGTTCGCCTGCGCTTCGTTGCTATCTTGTGCAGCAACCCGGCCTCGCCCCGCGCCCGTATAAAGACCCGTCGCGTCGCCTCCCGTTGCTCTGCCGTCCGCCTCCTCTGTTATCCGCTCTGGTTAGTCCGTTCTTGCCTCAGGATCCCCCAGTTTCTCCTCGACTCGGCGCGCCCGCATGGCTGCCTCTTCGGCCATAACTAACTCTCCCGCAGTGCGATGAACTGAATTAGGCGGCCTTCTGCCTGCGACCCAGCTGGGCCTGGTTGGGCTCGTGATAACTTCGCGGCCTCGATCCTCCCATCCATCCAGCTTGCGAACCTCCTCTCGGTCCTAGCCCGCCGTCATATCCTCCATCCGTCTCGAGGCGCCTCTTCCCTTTCCTATCGAGTCCGCCGGCGCGACATGGGCGCTCGCGGCTTCCAATGGCAGCACCTCCCTTCGACCCGTCCCATCTTGCCGCCAACCCCTTCGACATCTACAATGATGCGCCCATTATCAGGACTCCCAACCCCGTCCTTCCCGGAGGCAGCTGCAACTTTGTGGACCTAACTCCAGGTGCCAATGGAGCCAAGTGTGGATGCCGTCGCTTCTGGAGTCGTGGCAATGGAAACAACCTGGCGCCGGACCAGGCCCATTGGTGCATGTGTAACCACCATGCTTGCTACCATGAGGAAGGGGACCGAGATGGCACGTTTCTCGACGTCCATTCTATACATATCCTCGGCCAGGAGAATGAGAAGCCCAGGACTGGTCGAGAACCATTGAGCCCCGTTATGGACCTGACCCTTAAGACCCCGCCGGCCGTACCTGGAATGGATTTCCCAAGCTTCAATGGTGGAGGAACCCTGTCCTTTGTCAACAGGACTCCCGAGGACGTTGGCCCATACCCGAGGATCCCTGCGAGTCCAAACACTGGTGCTTCCATGCCTGATACGTTGAGTTGGGGTGGCCTAATACAGTCCCAACCGCAAGCCACCCTAATGCCCCCAATTCCATCACAGTGTATGATGCTCTCTCAGACCGCCTCCACGACATCTTCGGCCCAGGCCAAATACTTGCGACCCTTTGCGGGAAGAGGTCTCCAGACACTAAGTGGCGTCGTTGCACCGAAACCACCACAGACACATATACAGGATAAACCCCAAGTCTTAAACTCGGCCGTGGCAGCTGATGGACCTGCCGCACAAGCCGACTCCTTTGTGTTTGTTACCCAGGATCAATGCGGCCCGGATACTCCACAGGCGGACACCCCCACGCAGGCTGAACCCCGAGTCGCTGGGTTCAATGCCGTCTCCCGTCGTGCCTTTCAGAATCTATCCGAGACTGTCAGTGGCCATGACCAGCGCCTGGATAGGCTGGAGACCGTATCATTCGCAGCACCGGGCCATGAGGAATGTCATGACAAGCATGATCATGCGGATATCCGCATTACAGACCTTGAGTGCAGGATTGATGAGGTTGAGAAGCTCGCCAACGAAGCCAATAGCGTCGGTTCTCGCCGCGGTGATGATGCCAGCCTGGTATCAGTCTCAACCAATACGACGAGTCGACCAACTCACTCCCAAGAACTCTACAGTCAGGTTCAGTCACTGCAAGCTCAGGTTGTTCACCTTCAGTCACTGATGCCGTCGCCGAACCACCCGTGGGAAGTCGAGGTCGTTTTCTTACCTTTCCCTCTTAAGAAGGTTTGGCAGGAAGGTCATGAATTCAAAACCGAGCCTCTAATCACCAGCGACGACTGGACTCAGCTTCCTATGACGCACAGCACCACGACGCTGCGGTCTCAGTCGCCGCTCTACGCTGATTGGACCAACTCCAACCATGATGCGAAGTGGTTGTTGCCCAAGGCTTACAGCGACAAGAGCATTGTTGACCAGCGGCTGCGAAGCCGGGGGCTAATCAAGACTGTCACTGTCAGGGGATCAGACGCTATGAGCGTCACAATGGCCATGAATAGTGCGTTTGGTAGCGTTTTTCGCGAGATGGAGATGTTCTCGCGCCCGCAAGCCCCTGACCCGCGCATCACATCGTTCCTGGGCCTCCAGTCGGCTTGGGTCCCCTTGCGTAAGGTTCATAAGGATTCGCGACTGCGGTTCCTCAGTCCTGCCGAGATGACGACGCACGCCCTCTGGGATGTTCAGTTCCTGAACTCTGTTATGATGAGGTCGTCTGAACCTAGATTGTTCATCACCCATCCAGACGCCTACCTCCAGGACTTCCAGGCATACGAAACTGGGTGGACATGGCAAAGGCTCAAGGAAATGAACCAAGTATATCCTGACACCGATGAATCGCAGAGCGCAGCTGAGAAGGATGCTTTCGAAAGTGTGTGGTCGTGGAATGAACAACTGGATGAACCGCCCAGCACACATACCTCAATTAGCTTGCGCAATGAGCGGCAGCAAACATCGTCCTCACCCTCTCAACAATACTTTCCGGCGGTCCAGACATTCCGATCCTCGAGCCCCATGGTCACCCGTGACCATTCGCCCATGTTGGCAAGCAGAAGGGGATCCCGACCACCTCATATTAGAACCACTTCCACGCCCATGCCTGCACCGTCACGAAACTCACCGGCCACAAGCGCGCGTCGAGTCGCTTCGTACGGACAGAGTCGACGACCTTCTCCAGCCGTGCACGCCACATCCCAGGCAGCCATAACGAAGCGTCGGCGAAACACACGGTCACCAAGCTATCATCGATTCACTCCGAGATGGACAGCCTCGCCAAGTCCAATGCCTTTTGGACTTGCTGATCGCCAGCCCGCGAGAGGGACCACACCATTTGCTTACGCCACCCCGTTCAGCAACGCTCCCCTCCAAGAAGTTCGGGGTGTCCAGGGCAGCAGTGTGGCACGGGTCGCTCCGGAGTATGCCTCTGACGAGGATCCAGACTTCAATATTGAGATTTATGAAAGCGGATCGGAAGGTTTATATGAAGACAACGAGAGTATCGCAAGTATCGACGATATGGCCCAAGTTGAGGTTAATGCGAGCAGCGGTTCTCTACGCCGACAACTGCCGGAAGACGAGCCTTGGCCAGGGATCGAGGACCAGGATCAGCTTTCAGATGGGGAGAATATCGACCCCCGGGAAGCAGACCACGACAGCAATGCTAGCAGTCAGCCGTCCGAATATCCCAGCACCCAGACCGCATGGCCCGCAGATGATGCTGCTGGGTTTCATATTCACGAAGATGATGAGCAGAGACGATGAGGATGGTCCAAGACGGCCCCTTCACAACTCATGATGATACGTCGCACGATAAGCCGACGATGTCGATGAAACGACCTTCATTGATATGCTATAATACGATACTATCATTGAATTTTTCGGGGAGGGTGTCTGTATATGTATACCCCGGTTTTCTTACACACTGCGTTTGGCGTTTTTTTATGGATCAGTTTATAAGGCGATGATCTACAGGGGAAGCAAGGCGTACGATGACTATAGGTACAACAGAGATACATGGTACGCTCGGGAGCACTGGAGAACGGATTGTCGCGGATATGACGGGAACTGTAGATCCAACCGGAGTCGGTCGATATGATACGCACAGTATTGGGTTTGGAAATCTCTCAGCTTCTTGTTACTCTGTACTAGATGCAGATATACCATTGCCACCGCTCTTCTGGTCGTTTCTTGTTCGCAATCCACGCACATGCGCTCTTGAGCCGACTCTTCTCGGTCTGCTTTTAGCCGTGTATCGGCGGATTATAAATCCCATTGTTAGGGGTGATGAATGACGAGAAAGCACCGGAGCGACGGGATCTGCAGCCATGACACACCTGGGTCCCACATGGCAGCTCATGCCCCAACCGCCTGGATGAGTCGACCCCCAGTTGTTCATGCCGACTCCGCTCTGCAAGGTGAAGCTGAGACTCACCAACCCAACCTCTTCGAATGGCAGGTCACTCGAACAAGTTTTGATTGATTGAAACGTAAATTCGTCAAGCTGCTATTCCCCCCGGGGTACTCAAAAAGTCTTTCTAACGCGCCAAAGTGGTATCAGGTATCAAGCCCATCATATCCGTAGTCGCATCCTCTTCCAGAAGACGACAAAAATCAAGGAGCGGCTTCTAGACCCAGGACACCCGCAATCCTCAACCTAAACCCCGTAAAACCTGACCAAGGAAGAAGGCCAACAAATACAAAAGCAAATCCCAGGTCGTAAAGGAGCTAACACCGTAAACCCATGCCTGTCTAATGCCGTCCAGCCCATTTTCCCGGCACACACAACCTCCCCCGTCCAATACGAGTACGACTTCCCCACCAGCGCCAAGCGGGTGCTCCGGCGCTCCGAGAAGGGAGTAACCGTGACTCGCTCTTTGTGTCCGAACTGCGCCCTGAGGTATATGTAAATCAAGAAATGTGCAAAATAAATAGGAAGAAGAAGTAACGAGGTCGCATCAACCAGTCGCAAATTCATATGCAGATGTCGAGAATTCTTCTAGTACCATGTTCCATGGGGATCGAGGTTGTATGAGATCTTGCACTTCCGAGTCTGGCACATCTTTTCGCGGTCAAGAGTCTTGAACTTGGGGCCATCGGGGCCAGTGACGTAGTGGTACTGGCCGAAGAAGCGCCACTGTCGGGGGTCGGCGAGGGAGTAAACCTCGTCGCCCCAGTGGCCGCGGAAGTGAAACCAGGACGTCGGAGCGTGTGGGTTGGAGGCGGCGGGGACGAGACTCTGGGGCTCTCGGAGCTCGTCGGTGTCCTCACCGTACTCTTTGGTATAGTCGTAGTGGTAAGCGTAGTTGTTCAGGGCGGGGTCCCACAGGGGGCCCTTGTCGGTTAGGTCCTTGAGGAGATCGAAGGGGAGGATGTAGGAGTGGGTGTCAGGCATCGCGTACATCGCATGGGAGCCGACAGCCGAGTAGATGACAGGGCGGTGGCCACGCTTCTCGACAGCCTCGAAAGCATAGGCCTGTCCACCCTCGTGCTCTGAGAAGAATATGCCCCTCGGAACACCATTCTCGAAGCGGACCATACAGTGCTCCCAATCGCCAACATGATTGCCAAAGCGAATATCGAAGACGGTTTGACCAAGGTTGTAGGAGTAGAAGAAGAACCAGAAGGCGTCAACGATGCCGGAGCCCTTGTCGACGATGACGAGAACAGCAGGAGCGCTTGAGTGGCCATTGGCATCCGGCTTGTGGCCGCGGATGGCAAGGCGCTCGGACTTGTCGTTGGTGTGTTGGAACTTGCGGTTCCGGGGGTCGTCAATTCTGTTAAGCGGGCGCTTCTTGTCGACATCGTACCAGGTGGTGGGCTCTCTGAGCTCGGGGACGTTTGGGCGCTTGTCAATGGGATCTGCAGGGACGGGCTCCTCCTGCTCCTCGTCGGGGAACGGAACGGGAATATTGTGATGACTATGCAACCAGCTGGGGCGGTCCTCGACGTTATCATTGCTGTGCATCATGACCTTGCCGGTATGCTTGTTCAGCTGGTGTAAGTTGTGCAGGGTCCATTTGGTGGTCGAGTTGAGTGGTTCTTCGTCAACGTATACGGTCATGTGCTCGACATGCTCACGAATGTCTGAGGGCCAGAATTCCTCGCCCGAGTATAGATGGACCAAGGGTGCGTACTTGGTGACATATTCGGGAACCTCGCGGAGAATTCTCCGTCGCTGGGGGATGTTTCGCTTGTGGTCTTCGCGGGGGAGCTCATCGGGCTCCCAGCGCGGGTGGACATGGTTCAAAGCACGACGCCTCAGCTCGCCCCAATCGTCCTCCTCACTCTCACCGCGTGTAGCAGGATCACTCCTCAAGTGGTGGAGGCCACAGATCCCGATCCAACGACATGCCTGGCGGTCCCACCAATACGGACTGCTGTCAACCCAGCGGCGGTCCCGGGCTCTCTTCTCGGGGCCTCGCTTGGTAGGATCGAGGACGCGGGGAGCCAGCCAGGCGCCGAAGGAGATGACCAGCAGGAAAGCCAGCAAAATAGTGAACCGGCGGATCCAAAACATAGTGTCGATGTCGACGGGCAACGGCCCCAAAGTACGGCTGGCGCAACAAATTTGACGGAGCGAAGGTCGGAGGAGGAAGTGGGGGGAGGGGAGGGAAGGAGAGAGGAGGATATATCGTCCGGATATATCGACGGGACGGCCGGTTCGTGGAAGCAGAAAAGTACCAGAAGGGGAGGGGAGGGAAGGGGAAGGGAAGAGGGGAGAGAAGAGAGGAGAGAAATAGGCCAGCTATATGAGCATCACGAAAGAACGAGGGGATTTACGACGCCGCTGGCGGCAAGTCGCACGGGCTGGGCCTGGCCTAAGAAAATGGGGTGCGATGTAAGAAGAAAGTGAGAGAGTGAGAGAGTCTGGGATGGCCGGGATGGGCCAGGATTTCCAGGGTTGTGGATGCTCGACTTGACGGGAAGGGAATGGATTGGTGGATCACGACGGGTCTTAGCTCAAGGCTTCCCTTTTTCCAGGGCGGCTGTCCAGGGCCGTCAGGGCAGGTACGGGGGAGTACTGTTGACGCAGCAGGTAGCGACGGATCAAGAGGTACCTGCCTTCATTGCCTGGCCTCGCCGAGGGAGACCGTCACGGCGGGGGAGGATCGAGACAAAGGCACAGGCAGGTACGAATACGTAGTAGCGTGCGGCAGGCGCTTTAGACTGCGAGGGTCAGCAAAACACCACCCCGGACCCCGGTGCCTTCAGGGTCTTGGATGTACCACGCGGTACATGCATGGGATTAGTGAATCGCCCGGGAAGGCCTTCTGGCATGCTTTGCTTTAGACTCTGGCGGCTGAGGGCCAGAACCAGTTGGAAGGAAGTCAAGACAGATTCTTGCATATTTGCACACGCGGCCACACATGCAAACCGTCCGGATACGAAAGAGCTAAGGCGGGACGAGAAAGACAGAGGATGACGGACACGAGGGCAAAGAATAGAGGAAGAAACGCCTGCCTGCGCCTGCGCCTCCGCCGTGGCCATGGTGTAGTTGGCTGGATGCCGCAATGCCCGCCTCCCCGCCCGCTTCGCTCCAGATCGATGCGATTGTAGGGGTGTGTGTGACCGGGGCTCCCGTGGTAGGATGCGATACACTGGGTTGGTGCGTGGATTGTTTTAGTGTCACGGGCACCGAGAGAGAGACCCAGAGTCGATGGCTGGCAGGGCAGGGTAGGGCCAGGTACTGACTGAACTGGACACTGGATTTGGTCGTATTATGGACCCTGAACGGGTCACAGATGGATCAGATTGGATCAGATGAAGGGATTGGCATGATCGCAAACAGCAGGTACAGCAGGTACAGCAGGTACAGCACAATACATAAAGTACGAACCCACTTTCTCGTCGGAACTCAGGTCTACCGCCTCTCTTCTGTCACTTCTCCCATGCTCAATCCCCCACATCATGCAGCCAGCCAACCTGACCCTGGCCCCCAAAGGCAGGCAAAGTACCGGATACCGGCCTCTTGCCCCGTTGAAACCGCAGCTCTTCTTGTACCGGATACCCGGCTTTACGGGCCACGATCCACGCTCCGCCTCCCGCCTCCCGACTTGTGTCTTCGCCTCAGGTGTGCTGGCGCTGGCGCTGGGGCGGGCTGACTGGCCTGGCCTGGCCGAGGTCCCGTTGTCGCTCTGGGGCTGTGGTGTAAGCACACCGATATCCTCGCCGCTTCTTACTCGCTCGAGTCACCAACACACCATGGCCAATACCGCCGTCACCACTGTCCTGCCATCCAATGCAATAGCCCATGGCCCAATAGGCCAGCTACCCTGTCCCCTAAAAAAAAACCCAAGACACGGCAATTGCCGAGAATTCGTGTTTGAGGTTAACGCCCCCCAGCGAAGCAACGCGTTACTGTAGATACGTCAGCGCGTCGTCGCCTCAATATGCTCTGCCGCAGAAGCACTTGGCGGTCTATCGTCCAAACAAGTAAACAACGGCCCATACCCACGGATAATGGGCTGCAGTCCAACAGAGAAGTGGAGGGCCGGCGGCTGGTTGCATCCGCAGCATATAACCCAATACGAATACAGCACCCAAGTTCCATGGCCTACCCGATCGAGCAGTAGGCGACAGCCAGCCTGGGTTCCGGAGTACAGACAACTCTGAGACTCTGCCCTCGGCTGGGCCAAGACTCTCCAACGTCTCCATTTCTCGACAGAGGTTCGGAGGTCGGTCTGCAATTAGCGGCAGGGTGACCAAGCCAGGCGGCTCCCGTGACTGAGGGATTGACGGTCTGGCTTGCGGCATCGGTCAGTCACTGGACTCACGGGGTCGGCCCACGAGTCGGAGCCACTGGTCACGGAGTGTCCACCAGAGACGGGGGACGTGATGGAAAGAAAAAAAGACGTGCCCTAAGCTACAAGCCTAAGAAATGGCGGGATGGGAGATGGAGGGGAAATCCCACCACGAGCCATGCGCGCAAGTGAGACAAGGGCACGAAGATGGGGCCAGGTACCGGAACAACTGGTACAAACGAGGACTTGCTGGACTCGGTCCCGCCCAAGTACCGATTGTACTTGCGTTTCCGAGCGAGTAATGCACCCCAAAGTCCGCCATCTATCCACGCTCTAAAGTGGTCCCGGCCGAATCGAAGAGCGTTGTGGTGGCCGCATTCAACACATTCACACCTTGAACTCCAACATCGGAGCAATGGCCGACAGTTCGGTCCAGGTCCATTGGCGTTCTAGAGCCCTTGTCCCCTTGTCCCCTTGTCCCCTTGTCCGCCAACGCAAGAGTCGGATGCTCTCGTCTGGAGGGTCTGGAGGGGAAAATCACATTGCCGGGGCCCAACCAACACAGACCAACACAGCGACCTGGGCCACCAGATGCAGCATTATTGGCACCACATGGATACAGACATGGCTGCACCGCATCTGTCGAGTCGGGGATTAGGCACTTACATCCCGAAACAGGAGGGCGGAAATCAAGACCATTGATTACGCATCCTGGTCGTTGTCAACCAAAGATCCAACCAGACAGGGCCATGCGAGGCATTGAGTCAGCGAAGCAGCATCCTCCCCACCAGCTCTCCACTCCCGATCAATCGCCTTGTCTATCGTACATAGCAGCTAAGACGGCTGTGACGGGAGTGCGGTAAATGGCAGTAGGGTCCATCTTTGCTGTAACTACGATAGTCATCTTGGAGACGAACCATGACTTGGACGGTACCCCGTAGACAGGCTTCAACCGGTTACGATGAGGCAGTCAAACGAACCATCTTCACCAGCACTTCACCAGCACTGCCACATGGTCCAACGTCCGCATCCGCACCCACAAGGCCGGCCCACCATTCGGAGCCCCTCCCACCGGCCCTCCCCCGGCGTTCGGACACACTCGTCGACGGGTCGTACTCGGGGTCAGGGACTTCACTCTCCACTGCCGCTTCGCCTGACTTAGTGCTCGTTGGCGTGGTTTGGCAATCGCGCCCGCGAGTGAGTCTCACCCTACTCCCCACCATCGGCGCACATGCCCATGGATGCTCTACACCCCTAGATGGCTCTTTGTCTCGGAGCCTTTCGAGCAGCCCCTCGTCCATCATGGCCCGTCCACCAATAGTGGTCTCATCATTCGACGCGTGGGTGGCGACAGACGCTGGCCTTGGCTCTTGCTCAGCCGTTACTCAACGCCGACCTCCCAACTATTGTAGCATCGCGGACATCGTGTCGAGCATTGTCGGGACATTGTGGACATCGTGATCCTCATGTGTAGATGCAATGTGGCAACGTGATCTCGTCGTCGACCATCAACTCTGACTATCAAACAGAGTCATCTGTCCCAGACTGCCCACCCTTCCTAGTCCACTTCCTATGCACCTTTCACCCTTGAATCAAGTTATCTGCATCGTCAATCGCGATAAGTCCGAAAACTCATCGTTTCCATTGCTGGCGCCGTTTCGTGCCACGGGTATCATATCTGTCGTGCCAATGGCCAAGCTGGCCGCGCCCTGAGCAACTATCTCCAGACATGGCTTTCCCTGCGGGGATTTGCGTTTCTAACATACTTCTTCAACTGAGTTGGGCGTCTGAATGTGTTAGGATGGGACTGCGGTGTGGGCGTGCTAGCTTTGTACGGGCGTCGTGCTCGGATGGTGTGCAAGTACATGTCGCGCTTTGCTTGCCCAACTTTAATCCATCATCGACATGTTCTCGACCTCGTCCGAGTCGCTGCCATCGTCCATCTCCTCATCCCCCTCTTCATCATCGTCCTCGTCATCGTCGTCGTCCTCTCTCTCGTCGAGTTCGTCCCATCTTCCCGGAGTCGGTGTCGACAGGACACCAGTTCCAGTGGCTGTGCTGCTAACATCTGTCGTTGGTGTCGCTGCTACGCCTCCACGACCGCGTCCTCGACCGCGAGGTCGGCCGATTCGTCGTCCTCCCCGCCGACGCTCTCGCAGTGGTATGACCTCCTCTCCATCCTCATTGAAGATCCTCCTCCTTCGGCGAGGCTTGTAGTCGGGGTCTCGAGTATCTTTAAAGTCCTTGCCCTCTCCATCTTTTGCGTACACTGTCACTTGGTCCGTCTCTCCCTTTTTCTTTTTTAGCGCAATGAGATTCTCCAGGAAGCGTGTTTGTTGAGCACGCTCTCCCGTTCGATCCTTGCCAACAGGAATTCGAATGTTCCACTCCTCTCGTATTGCTGCTAGGGGATCCTCTGTTCGGATCTTGGGTTTCAGTACCTTCTCCGTCGTCAGGATACGAGAGGCACTGGCTCCGAGCAAGTCCAAGTTCTTCTCTAGGTGGCGCAGCGCAGGCAGGGGGGTCCCGTTGTCGTGGTTCGCAAAGATGGCCTCTGTTCCTATGACTTCCGCCCATTCACCCTCAAACACACGGCCCTTGTACGAGATGACGGGGTTTTTAGAGTGCAGTTCCAGAATTTGAATATCCTCGGTCCGCTCGTCGTCGTCCTGGGCTTTGTCGTTTTCGTGCCCCCCATCTCCCTCTCCCCGGTCCACCCCCTTTCCCTTGTTCAGAAGCTCGGGGTCGATTTCGGGCTCGTCATCATCGGCCTCCGGCTCCGGAAGAGGCTCATCATTATCGTTGTCGCCCTCGATCTCGAGGCCACCTGTGGTCTTGGCGAGGTTCTGGTCCAGCCAGTTTTTATAGTATCCGCCTCTGCTATGGTGGACAACTCTGGATTGGCGGTCCTTGAATTCGGGGTAGGATAGCTCGATGGTGAGGTAGTAGGTCTGTCGGTGAGGATTAGAACGGGGGGTCGGGGCGGGTGGGCGAAATAAGAAAGGCGAATGACGGGGTGCGCACCTCGGTTTCGGTAGTCGAGTACTCATACTCCCACTCCTCTTGCTCGTCCTTCTCCATCTGCTCTTCGATTCTGAGCAACTCGGACTCCTCTGCGAGCATCAGCTCCTCTATCAGGGAGGTCTCCATGCTGTCTAGGTTCGGCGGGGCGACGCGAAGGGAGCGTTGGTGTTGAAGCAGCAATGAGATCCGGGCATCGAGTCTCGTCGGTGCACCGTTCGTGTGGCAGAGTCCCGACCCCCCGGGCGGGGTTGTTGGTACTGTTAAAGCAGAGGGAAGCGGCCCAAAGCCAGATTAATAAAGAGGAAAAACGGTGCGTTCGCAACTTGTAGTTCAACACGACGGCATCCCGAGGCTTCCGAGTCGAAAAGTGAGAGCCGCAGGACAATTGCCAATCCGGGGTCAGTCAGTGCTCCGTCCAGGTCGGTCAGAGGCGGCACTACAGGGATTAGGCGGGGCAACACCAGGACTGCCCCGCTATCGGTCTTGAATTTCGAGCCGCAACCAACTTAATTGGACTCATCCTCACAACCCGCCGCTGTCGCAAAATCCCACTGCAGGTTGACTCACGTCGCGCGTCTGCAGCACCTGTATCAATTGTCTCGTCTGCAATATCGCTCGCTCGCAGTGGCTCGACCCAGATCCAAGATTCCCACGCTACAACGCCTCCGCGCCGTCGATCCCTCCATCCAACTCCAACTCCAGCTCCAACAACCCCACCTTCTCGATACCCCTCCATCATAACGCGGGCCAAGATGCCCACCGTTCACCTGTTGGACTATGTCGCCGGCAACATCAGGAGCCTGGTAAACGCCATTGAGAGCCAGGGCTATGATGTCGAATGGGTTCGGTCACCGGAAGACGTCCCCAATGCCGAGGTCCGCACGCTCGCTTGACTTCCGTCCTCATTCCGTCGCCATGACTGACACGGTCCCTCCGATAGAAACTCATCCTCCCCGGCGTCGGCCACTTCGGCCACTGCCTCTCCCAGCTCTCCCACGCCGGCTACCTCGAGCCTGTTCGAAAACACATCAATGCCGGCAAGCCCTTCATGGCCATCTGCGTCGGCCTGCAGGCACTCTTCGAGGGCTCTGTCGAGGACGCCGATGTCCCTGGCTTCGGCATCATCAAGGGTTCGCTCGACCGCTTTGACGACTCAAACAAGGCTGTCCCGCACATCGGCTGGAACAGCGCAAATACTTCTGGTGCTTCCATGTACGACCTTCGCCCAGACTCCAAGTACTACTATGTCCACTCGTACAAGCTGCCCTATAAGCAGGGTGAACTAGAGGCCCAGGGATGGACCGTCGCGACTGGCACATACGGTACAGAGACCTTTGTCGGTGCTGTCGCCAAGGGTAACATCTACGCAACCCAGTTCCACCCCGAAAAGTCTGGTGTTGCTGGTCTGCGCACCCTCCGTGCCTTCTTGACTGGCGATGGTGCCAAGGCTCTCACTGCTGCGTCCCTTGATGGCGGTGCTGTTGAGTTCAAGGACAGTCTCACCCGCCGTGTCATCGCCTGTCTCGACGTCCGAACCAACGACCAGGGCGACCTCGTCGTCACCAAGGGCGACCAGTACGACGTGCGCGAGAAGGGAGACGACCGTAACGTTCGCAACCTCGGCAAGCCTGTCGAGATGGCCAAGAAGTACTACGAGGAGGGCGCCGACGAGATCACTTTCCTCAACATTACGTCGTTCCGCGACTGCCCCGTCGCCGATCTGCCCATGCTCGAGATCCTTCGCCAGACATCCCGTACCGTCTTTGTGCCCCTGACCATCGGCGGCGGCATCCGCGACACGGTCGACACGGACGGCACCAAGGTGTCCGCCCTCGAGATTGCCACCATGTACTTCAAGTCCGGTGCCGACAAGGTCTCCATCGGCTCCGACGCCGTCCTAGCCGCTGAGGAGTACTACTCACTCGGCCGCAAGCTCTTCGGCAACACCGCCATTGAGCAGATCTCGCGAGCCTACGGCAACCAGGCTGTCGTCGTCAGCGTCGACCCCAAGCGCGTCTACGTCCCCAAGCCCGATGCTACTCGCCACAACATCCTACGCACCAGCTTCCCTGGACCCAAGGGTGAAGAGTACTGCTGGTACGCCTGCACCATCAAGGGCGGCCGCGAGACCCGCGACATGGACGTTGTCGAGCTCGTCCAAGCCGTCGAGGCCATGGGTACTGGTGAGATCCTCCTCAACTGCATCGACAAGGACGGCACCAACAGCGGTTTCGACCTGGAGCTCATCAACCAGGTCAAGAGCTCCATCAGGATCCCTGTCATCGCCTCCAGCGGCGCCGGCAACCCAGGCCACTTCCAGGAGGTTTTTGAGAAGACACCAACAGACGCCGCTCTCGGTGCTGGCATGTTCCACCGAGGCGAGTACACAGTCAAACAGGTTAAGGATTATTTGGAAGAGAAGGGACTCGATGTGCGGAAATTCGACGCCGATCTTTAGAGGCAAGGGAAATAGACATGAAATTCAACAAAAGTTATAGACTATCATGGCCAGATTGAATTGCTTGGGATTGTCCTAACTAGCAAGCGTGCGGTTGATATGCGACCCGGAAAGAAACAACAAAAAAAACAAGTAACACACAGTCCCCCAAACGCATTGATGTCTCAAATGTCATGAAGATATGCGTGGGATTTCCTGGGGCTTTTGTAACTCGACGCCTGAATGATACCAGAAGGTGTCCAAGATGAAAATGGAGATCAAATACGATCAAATCACATGCGTGAAGGATCCGAAACGAAGCGAGAAAGCAAGTGAACGGAAGGACAAAAGGGACCAAAGAAACCAGGGAGACCAGAGAAAACATCTTCTCCCTTAACTCCAATGAATCATGGAACCTACATCTCCATACCCATAAACATCCATCGCTTGCTCGTGACATCGAGGTCATGAGCCCAGTGGTCCAGAGTGACCATATCGAAACCGACCCACTGAAGGCTCTTAGACAAAGACTGCACCTCATCCTTTGGGATGCGTCTATCGATACACGTAACAACGTGTGAGCAATCCAGAGGACCGTCGGCAAGTTCGATGAGGGCCATGAGACTGTAGACACATGTTAACAAACAAGTTCAGGAAATGGGGGGGTATAAGAGTCACATACGCCTTTTTCAGGTCTCGGCCCATCACGCCTTGGAAGTCGAAAAAGACGAAAAGAGACTTCTCCTCTCCATCATTCGCGACAAAGGCGCGGAAACTCGCCCCGCCGGCATAGTCCCACACTTCCAGCCAAGCTTCAACTTCGAAGCCAGGTAGCTTTTCGTCGTTGAAATGCTGCTGGAAATGGTCGGGAAGCCGGTTATCGGGTGGCGGCGTTTGCAAATAAGCACTAGACAGGCCGGAGCCATTCATCGACGGGTTCCTCTCACCGTGGAACACCGTCTTCATGGACTCGCAGAAGAATCTCTCACATTCTTCCCTGATCGAGAGTGCTGCCCCCCCTCGTCGGCCCAGGCGCCGGCCTGGGATCTCGCGCTTCTTGCTCTTGGGCAGAAAGGCGAGCTCGTTCGACGAGGTTAGTGCGGCGAGGGGGGGGCTTGTTGGTGGGGAGGGTAGACCTGAGGAAGGGACCTCAGGAATACCACTCGGCCCCTATTAAGAGAGCGAGTCAGCATGGTTGAACGTCGTGACGTGGACATCTTCGAGTCGTCTCTCGAAGGAGGGTAACATACCGGCAACCCCGGTAGTGCAGTAGTGGAGGCCCTTGAGGCTGACAGTGGAATCGACAATGTAGCACGAGGCAAGGACGTTGACCTGCTGGAGAACGACCTCGCCGTAGTTACTACTACAATTATTACTTTCGTTCATTGGCGCCATTGTTGACAAGATTCCCCGGTTATTGGTCTGGGTGTGTCGCGGAGACGGAGTGACTGTAGTTGGGAGGAGGGACGGCGGAGACGGAGACGGAGACGGAAGACGGAGACGGGGAGTCGATGATCAGATTTGACGTTGAATTGCGAGTGGCAGTGGTCTGGAGGGAGAGCTGTTGATGTAGCGGGTCGAAGGTGTGGTCCTTAAAGATCGGTTGCAAGCGGCGAGATGCGAGTTGACTTTGGTCAGCGGAGGAGGAGGCGAGTTTTGGGCAGCGGTGAGCCGGAAGTGGGAAGTGGATGTGTCAGGCTTGAAAAGGGCGAGGGAAGGCAGGGACGCTCGGAGCACTCGGGGGCAACAACTGCCAAGGAGGAGCGGAGGACGCTCAGGACAGTGGGAAAGACAGTGGGAAAAAGTGACTTTTTTCGGTGCGCCGGGGTGCAAACTTGATAAGTGGGGCCATCCCCTCTCCGGTATCTGCACTGTGTCTCCCCGCCGCCGTTGAGAGATCGACCGCCAATCAGGGGCAAACGCGGTGCACTGTGCAGCGCTTTCGACGCCACTGTGCCCTTTATTGTGGCTCGCACTACACAGACTCTCTACCGTGGCTGATCCTTTTTACACCTCACTGCGAGCTTATGCCAGACTACTGGTACTCCGTAGGTATGCTTTGGCGGACATGCTTTGGACAAACAAGTGCTTTAGCGAGCTAACCCCCGCAACAAACATGATGCATTCCGCATTCCTCATGAGATAAAGCAAAGATCAGGATTGACAATGACGTATTACTCATTTATGGCAAGCGCCACTTGCTCCGGCGAAAACCAGAATTCGAGACTGACTCTCATCTCGGAACAGGTCTATCCATCTCCATCATGACTGTACTCCCACTTGTCTGTCCACTCGACTCTGGCTGTCTTGAATCGCGTTGCGTCACTCAATGGATCGTACGTGGTGCGGAAGATTCAGATCCTGACTGGTTTGATATATGTAATTTGGCCGGGGCGACGCCGAGTCGGCATTCTCCAAGTGCTCGCTCAGGCCCAGTTTCGTACTTCAACACAATGTCTCTGCAAAGCCCACTGGTTCTGCTGTAGAAGATTTGGGTGATGGCAACATTCTCCAAAGGAACCGACGAGAGACACGCCCTCAAAAATGGAGATGGCTTTAACGTAGGTAGACTAGGCGTTGTTAGGGTGTCTCCTCGCTCTTCCTCGGAGTAGGCCCCAATGACAGAGATAGAGGATCCAGGTGTAGGCATACTGTAGATAAGTGCCATAGGCTCTCCTTTGAAGCGGGAGGCCTTCTGTGCACCTGGCTGGTAATCGGGAATGGCAATCTCGCCAGCAAGTCTCCTGTGGAACTAACTATCTTAGACTTCTTCGAGTCCTTGTCACTGAATGGACTTACTAGAAAGCAACGCTTGTTCCAATGTCCGTCACGTTGCCAGTATAGCAATGCGTTCAAGTTGACTCTCCGACAACTTGGCATGTGGTCAACGCACCCGTAATCAGACTTACCACTACAGAGGGCTCTTTCAAAAGTCTTGTCCAAGCGCTAGTAATATTATATCCATTTATCCCTGTCGGTTACCTGAGATACATGAAGCTGTCACAGTCTCGTTAAACGGCCGCTGTAACTTCAGGAGTAGTACGCTGCTGATCAGGATATAGCGGTTGCTGTGTGCTGTAGCCTGCTATCCTTTAGGGCCTATAGAAATCAGGAAGTACTTAGTGTACTTATTATCTAACCTAATGATTAGGACTTACTTCTTATGGACAAGACTTTTGAAAGGGCCCTCCGTAAGACTAAGGCGAACGACTCCGCAGGTGAGCCCCGCTCCGCGAAGTCAGCACATGGCTTCTCGAGTGGATGGCGGTTGTCGATCCCTCGTGGGCAAGGAAACCAGCGGCCAATAATACGTCCTACAATCCTGACATTTTATGCGGGGAATGGTGAGCTTCCAAGACACCTCTCCTGATATGTCAGTCGCCTCCGCACATTCTGCATCCACGACTTGGATTGGAGCGAATGCCGTCTGCTGTTGCTGTCGCCACAGCGCATTGTACCGCTGCTAATGCGGTGACAGTGCCGGCCGCAGGATCACACGGTGTTGGTCAGGTGCACCCAAGTCCCCCGGCGACAAGCCCACCTCTGTGCGTACCGCGGACAACGTTTAGCGGTCGGTAGGTAAGGGCAGCCCATGTCCAACGGGGTTCAACAGCGTCCTGCGTATCACACTAATTACTATCTAGAATTAGAGCTGCCACGGCGCTCACAGTGACACTGATGGTTTCGCACTGATGGTTTCGCACTGCCTCTTATGGAGGGCCACGCATCGTCGCTTAGCCTCGGTAAGTGGCATAACCACCAATGTGGGGTCCAAGAAGAACCCAGGAGCTGTCATCCAGAGGCTCAATTGCATCTGGTATATTCTGAATTATGCATCCTACGCCCTCGTCAGTGTCGTTAACGCACAATATTATGATTCTCAGTCCATCGGTCGCGTGAATCCAACACCAACCTCTCTTCCCCGCTGGCAATTAGCGGCCCGTCGCCGGCTACGAAGGTACAATCAGGCAATTGAGTGCAGACCGCAGCCATGTAAGTTGATTGGTGGAGTGTCACATTCCTGCCACACCTCCTCCCCAACCCCGCAACCACCTTTGCTCAACCCGGAAATGGTCCGCTCCCAAGACGGCTCTGACTTACGCGTCGTGGCTTGACGACAAATGCAATCCCCATGCTCGGCGTCTTGTCTCAAATTTCTGGGGTATGTGCATGATCGACATGATTGGACTTTTCCGTCTTGACTTGTATTTACGTGAACAGCCCTATGTTGAGCGGGCAACTACATCAGCTCCGCGATCGTACCCATCGCCAATACAAATCACCTGCAAATGACTCGTTTAACGTCCGGCTGGTCACGATGTGAAACAACGGTGGTGTGGGGAGGCGACTCTGGCCGCCGCAGGAGCTCACTAACTCATGCATGATGCTGCCAGCGCGCATGTACAACAGTATAGTGAAAGGAAACTGCCACATCCCAAGCAAAGCCATGCACATTCTGGACTCTGACAGGACCAGCATACAACCACACGGACAGCACTGGGTACAGAACTCAATACTAGTTCTGTGAGCCGTGCGAAAGCGTCTACCTCCCCAGTTAGCTAACGCAGCACTAACGCGAAAGAAGAAGAATGGAGCTCTGCCGCCAGAAACCTACCTATGTAATTAATCGAGTGCTTGTATCAGGGTCAGAGTGAAGCCATCTAGATCAAGGGAAATGTGATTGAAGTCGAACTCGGTCGTGGTTGAGGAGTCAACTGCAGAGCAGGATGATCATAAACACATACACAGTAAATCATTTAGCAGGAATAAGATGCCACTGTTGTTCCACCATATACAGCCGTTAACCAACATTACGATTATTATCATACAATACACCTGCCTTATCTCGTATATACTATCCTAGACACTTTCCAATGCTCGCTTGACTCGTCTCTTCATACATGCCGTGCGCTAAGGCTCGCAAACGCATCAGGGCTGTGCCGGCCATTCGTCCATGCAAGATCCATGCCCAGGTTCATGCTCTCCCTGCTCCTAGCAGCGAAGGGGTCTGGGGCAGTGGTAGTAGTAGTCGGTGTGACATTATTCATAAAAGGATTATTTGTAGGAGAGAGTGGCTGCGACACATTTTGAGACTGGGCGACAGGCGCCCCCATCGCGGCTGGTATCTGCATCGGTTGGTTCTCGGGAATCGTCGGGGGCAAAACGGTTTGCTGAACCGTTTGAGGAGCGACAGGCTGTTGAGGGGCTATTTGACTGTAGAGGGCCATGATGGAGGCCTTGTCGGGTCGTTGAGGTTGGTAGAATTGCTGCTGCGCCTGCATTTGCTGTTGCTGCTGCTGCTGCTGCTGCTGCTGCTGCTGTAGCTGTAGTTGCTGTTGCTGCTGTAGTTGCATCTGAGTCTGCTGCGGTTGCTGCCCGAATAGCTGTTGTCCAAACGATTGTTGGCCGAACTGCTGCTGGGCGGCCTGCTGCTGGGGAGCCTGTTGTTGCGCTACTTGCTGCTGACCATATGCTTGTTGGCCTATCTGGGCAGCAGGCTGATTGACGCTGGCGTTGGCAAAAAACGGGTTTGTCGCTGTTTCCGGGTGCTGCAGTGGCGCTGGGCTCTGGAATACCATGTTGTTCTGGAAAACAGAAGGACTCTGGTACGAGGTCTGCGACTGCTCTGGGATTTGGCCAAGGCTCGGCGAGGCGATCCGGGTCGGGGAGCGCGCAAAGGGGTTGTATGAGGCCTGCGATTGTGCCGTATTCACCGAGAGTGGCATTTGAGGGGCCTGAGGGGGCTGCTGCTGGACTGGACTGGAGGGACTAGAGAAGAAGGGGTTGTATCCGGTTGGCTGTGGTTGCACAGGCTGAGGGTAAGTCATGTTGTTGAAGGCCATGGGCAGGTAGCCATTGGGGCTGATGGGTGCGGAGGGACCCATCGATTGCTGATACATCGCCTGCTGTGGTATCTGTTGCTGTGGGACAGGTTGCGCGGCTGCCCCTCCGGTGTGATGCGGGAACAGAGGTTGCACTGGGGAGAGAGACATGCTCTGGAAAGCTTGGCCGAAGGGATCAGCCTGCTGCTGCTGGGTCGGAGCCCCAAATGGATTCGTCGGGCCATATGGGTTCTTGTTCTGAAGGCTGCCTGTGGATTGCGCCGTCTGTGGTGGTGCCGGACCTAGGTTGTCAAAAGGGTTCGTCGAGGCACTCGAGGGGGTCGCAGGTCGGTCCGTGGCTGAACGGGTGGGAACACTCAGACCTGCGCCGAGACCAAGCCCCAGTCCTCCAGAGTTGGGCGTGAGTGGCGTCAACGATCTCGACGTGCGCAATCCAGGCTCTCGCGGCGATGGGGTCGGGAGAGGGGAGGGACGGCCGCTGCCTTCGCCCAGTCGCACCAGCGCCTCGATTGCTCGCTCGAGGTTTCCGTTTACGCCTTTGAGGATCAGCGCATTTCGCTTGGTGTCCTGGAAACCCATGTCCCGCAGCCTCACAAGTTTCTGATCCGTGTCGTCGGGTTGGTCCAGGTCAAATGTCGCACCAAACACCTGGGATGGCTTGTTGGTCAGCCTCGGGGACGGGCTTCGTATCGTCTGGGCGGTCACCGTCAACTTGGGGTCCTTCTTCGACTTGGATGACAGTGGAAATATAGAAGAGGCCGATCGAAAGCCAAACTTGGAGTTCTTGGGGGGCAATGGCGGTGGTGTGTCATCGTCTATTCTTGGGGACCGCGGCTTTCCGGAGCCATTGACGACATTGTTCATGTACTTCTGGCGGATGAATCGCTCCATTGCCGAGTCGGCTTCATCGGCGTCGACGGGGACAGGAGGCCTTCGATGTTCAGGATTGTAAAGATTGTTCGAGGTCATGTTGCCAACCTTGCGCATATTCTACCAGCATGTGTAAGTTTCCAGGCGCTCCTTGTCAAGGGTGATGGCAGTATGGGATCTCACGTCGACTTGCTCGTTGGACCAGCTGTCCATGCTCAGGGACTTGACCTTGGAAATGTGCGTGCCCAACTTTCGATGGATCGCAGCACATCTCATGCAGAGGAAGACACCCAACTGTCGGCGCTGTTAGTATGAGTTGGAAGGGGACGGGGTGGGTGCCGCATCGCAGCGGGAAAGCGTACACTCCATGATGCCCAAGCTATGACAAGCTCTGTCAGCCAAAATCCGGAACCAATGTCGCAAGCAGTCTTAGAGGGGGCATACCTGGGTTGCGCGCGTGACAATCAGCGCACAGTTGATTGCCCGGAACATTGTGGACAAGCTCCTGGAGGAGCTTCTCGTTCCGGGCCTGCTGGCGCTTGCTCAGAGCTCCCGACATGGCGCGGGGTCTACACACTTAGGGCAGCCTGTGGTCGCAAGATGAAGCACAGCCAACACTCCTCGTGTGAGGGTGTAACCGTTGCCCGGGTCGGATCGATCGTGGGGGCGTTTCCCAAGACAGGCGCGCGCTCGCACACGCACGGGACGACAGGCGGGACGACAGGCGGGAGTGACGCTGAGGACGGGCGCCGACGGGGCTGACTGACGTCGGTCGAGGCTTGAGGATGAAATTCAACCGGGTCGCCAGTGGCTAGATTAAGTAAAAAGCAATGTTTACGGGAAACGAAGCAAAAGGAGAGACAAAGAAAAGAGCCGGGGACCGTGAGCCACGAAGGGAGCAGCCGCTGTCAATGCGCAGCGGAGAGAATGGAATCACGGGGTGGCAAGAGCAGAAGAAGCGGGAGAGGGGAAAAGAGGGAAAGAAGGAAGAGGGAAAGGGAGGGATGGGAAGCATTCGCAGGAGGGTGTCGCGTTGTGCGATTCAGGTCAGAATGGAGAGCGTGGACGGACGGCCAGTGGACGGCCAGTGGTGAGTCGTGAGTCGTGAGTGGTGCGTGGAGCGGGTGCGATGCATGCGCGGGTGCAGTCCACGGGTGCGTGTGGGCTGCACTTGCCCAGCAGGCCAGGTCGTCTGGGTGGGAGGGGCGCTGTTTGTCCTGGCCCGAGCGGGAAAAGGAGGCTGCTTCTCCCCCTAAAGCGCCCAAAAGAGGCCGCAAAGAGGCCCGGTAGCCCCCAGTAACCCCCAGCCAGCCCGCTAACGTCCCCAGAAGGTCCCCAAAGTCCACCAGCGGCCCCTACAACGCAGAGGGGCCACCAAGCCACAGTGGGGTTTTTACTGGCCGGTGGCCCTGGAGGCCCACCAGTCCCCTAGTGGCAGGCCCCGCTGGGCCTAGTCCGCCCGCTGGCTGGAGCGTCTCGAAGTCTTGGCCCGACGATGGTGCCAGGGGGATCGCATGGGGCAGCCATGTTGCTCCATGTCGCTCCGGCTCGAGGCGAGCGGCACAGCGTCTAAAGTGGGAAAGCGTCGGATGAGGTTGAATGATGGATAAGATGGCGAGAGACCAGAATGAGTGAACGCGTTGGGCGACACAGCCCTGTCAATGTAAGTTGTCGCAAGGCTTAAAGCAAAGTTGGGAACCTGAGCGAGCGAGGGTTGGGGAAAACGCGAGCCCGAAGTTCTAGCAGTAGTCCACGGGCTTCTTCAACTCTAACCCAGTAAAGAAAGGCCCATGGCAAACGTTACCCCTGGAGAAATTCGTTATTGAGCGGCTTCGGCCGTAACGCACTTACTTTGACATGCCAGCAGTTCACGAGGGTGTGGGGGCGGGAAATTCTGCAGCACGGCCATGTGGAATTCAGCAGGGAATTGCACCTGCGCCCGATTGACTAATTATTGGCTCAGCTTTTCCTAGTTAGCAGATTGCTAGATTGCTAGATTGCGATTGCTCCTCTGGGCTGGATGTGCTCCATATCCGAAAGGAGATGACGGGCACCCGGTAGCCTGCTCTTGGAGGCTGCAGGTACAAGGTCCGGGGCACAAAGGGCAACACTTGAGCACGTTGGTTGGACATTGTTGACATTGTCGAGGCGTTCCAGTGCTCGGCGGAGTTTTAATGATTAGCAACGTCGGCGAGCCAGCCGGCTGTCCCGTAACCCGGAGAGACAACCCTCAGACCTTGTCGCAGCATCAAATCCATTGTCCCAGGTCAGTCTCATGACCTTTTCTTCCGGAAGCCGAGGCCACCGGCAGTGGCAAGAAGCAAGTATGATAATGGCGCATGTAATTTCTTAACGCTCTGTGTCTCGAGACAATGGAAGAAAATGCTACTGAGAAATATCTACATCTCGGAGGGCGGCGAACCACCGGCCGCCAGTGTACGCGGATCACCCGGTGATCGACATCCCGCCTTGGTCCGTGGTCCTCCGTGAGCCGTCAGCACTCAACCTCAGGCCTCGTTTGTCAACAAGGTCGGGACCTCCGGCGACGTTCGCCTTACCGTCCGTCCCGGCTGCGCGCGGGATGATGCGATAACCCGACCGGCGCCGTTGGAGCACGAGGGTCAAACTATCCTGGAAATTCCGGGGCGCACAACTGGGACACACGCTTGGAAATCCAAGCTCTCTGCGCCTGTGGTTTATTTTGGTCGTTCGTGGAATCCCGGGGGGTTAGCAGGTAGGTGACAGCCGTCTCGACGTCATTGAGTGTGTACAATACGTATCAAGGAGCATCCCGAACGGTCCGAGGATACCAACAGAATTCACCTGAAACCCAGGAGAGACGGGAGAGGCGGCGAAGTCTAATTGCAAATAGACTATTTGGACGAGACGCATTTTGTTCCATCGAGCCAAGACTCCAGGGTAGGTGAAGAGCATGGCCACACCAAGCTTCTCCCCATAACAATCCACAGCCACTATCCGTATATTAATAGAGATAGAAATAGAAATAGTCAGTAAGTGCCGCATAAGGTTCTTCGGCTAGTCGACGTAGAAGTCAGCCGTCAGACCGTCATCGTTTGGTATTTTACTCCATATTGGGTAGGTGGCTGTGCAGTCTGGACCGTAACGGTGCGCCCGTCCTGTGCGACGTACGAATTACGAGGTACGACGACGAAGACGACGACGACGAGTCTTGGCGACGGACTGTTGACGTAGTTGTGCAGGGCAGGGCACAATCACGCATCTGCCGGGTCTCGCCATCTTCCCATCTCCCACCAGAAGGAAAATGGGAAAGAATTAAAAAAGGGGCAAACGCGGCAATGGAAAAGGGAATGCCGTCAGCGTGCAGGCATCCGTCCAGCCACCGAACACACCGTTTGCTTACACCAGTCTCCAGCCTCCAGCCTCCAGCCTCCAACAATACGTACTTCCAGCCTTCTTGGGCGAACGCCTGCAACGGGTACCTAGAAGAGGGCTGGGGCGCGGGGCTGCTGGGGCTGTACGAATAGCCATTGCGTACTCTTTCCGTCAGCAAAACGCAACCAAACAGCGCATCCGCTGCTGGGTAACTTGGGTATTGCGCAGGCTGCAGGACCAATCCCCTGTTCCAGCCAAGGAAGCCTCCCGCTTCATACGCTGCTGACGGCCTCCCTCACCTCCTGGCGCCCCGTAGTCCATGCCTCCCGCGCTGAACGGACGCACCCGTTGGCCGTTTTCTACAGCAGTTAGTAGGTGGCCGTCACCCCTAGTTTCAACCTAGTCGCCTCGGGGGCTGCCTCGTCTGTTGATCTGTCCACGTAAAGCTCCCTCTGCCCTCGAGCTGACCTCTTGGCTTGTGGTTCAGCTCGCATTTACACAAGATTACCGAGGCACCTAAGCAAGCCCGGAGCATGAGAAAGACACCAAAACACCAGCAAAACTCCGACTGACAAATTAATCTCCACGCTCCAGAAGATTCGCGACCCTCGGCCCTGCTTTTCTTCGCGATCCAGCCGCGGACCCCGAGCATCACCCTCTTTTAGCCTCTTTTTTCGCCTTCTCGAGACCGAGCGACCCGGATCATGGACCATTGCTAAAAGCCGCAACAAAGCTTACCTACCGTCCCCCCCCTCCTCCGCAATCCTTCCCCTCCGGAGCTTCAATTCAGTGACCTGCCCTACCTCATTACGTAGGGCGAGGTAGCTTCCCGCCTGCCGCTTCTCCCACCCGACCCGTCCAACCCCGACCGTTCGCCTCCCGCGCCTCAAACCGCGCCTGGCATACGTCACAAAATGGCGGGCATCGAGCAGCTCGAGGTTCACAGCAAGGCACGTCACCTGGCCTTTCACCCGCCACCAATCGAGGTCGAAATCCCCAGCTAACCCGCTCCAGTCATACGTCCTCCGCTGGGTCAAGGTCGACGATGGAAATACCCTGTCATGGAGTGTCCAGCCTCACAAGAAGTCCATGTACGGATCATCCCCCTTTCCCATCTCTCGCGCGCGCGACAGAGTCAATCCACCCTTTTCGACACCCCGCGCTGACACGCCAGCAGCAACTTTGGTATAGTTAAACATCCCGGAAGCGGTGCCACGACCTTTGCTGCCTCGACGGGCGACTCTCTCGATGCCGGCACCGACGAGACACGTGGCGCATCTGACGGCAAGTCGAGCCGCTTCTCCAAGAAAGAAATCACAGCCCAGGACCTCCTGAAGAGCAAGGGCTTCATCCCCATCAAATGGACTGGAAAATGCGAGGCGGACAAGGTGTCCATGGGTACCCACGAGGTCCTCCAGGGACAGAGCGGCATGTACGGCCTTGTCTTTGATAATACCTTCTCCAAGCAGACTTCCAAGACCGCAACCTTCGTCGTCCTCACCTACCCGACCGGCTCCGCGCCCCATGCCTCGTCCCACCTACCGAATCTCCAGGCGTCCAAGGCTGGCAGCAGCCAGATCAGTCTTGGCCGACACAGCGCTGCGAATCTCGAGGGCATCGCGTCTGCCTCTGTCGACAGTCTCCACAGCCATAAAGCCGGAGGAAAGGCGATATCTGTGTCCGGCCGAAGCGACGGAGGGGGCAATTCGAGTAACTACCACGTTGGAAGCCTCCACAAGCGGCGACGTAAGAAGGGACAAGGTTATGCACGTCGCTTCTTCTCCCTCGACTACTCTACCTGCACGCTGTCGTACTACTACAACCGAAACTCCTCGGCCCTGCGAGGCGCCATCCCTTTGAGTCTCGCTGCCGTCGCCGCCGACGAACGACGGAGAGAAATCAGCATCGACTCTGGTGCAGAGGTCTGGCACCTCAAAGCCCCCAATGACAAGGAGTTTCAGGAATGGGCTCGCGCGTTGGAACGGGCCAGCCGTGTTGCAAGGGGACTGGAGGTGCAGGATCTACCTTTGCGGTCCGACATCAAAGTCAACACTCACATGCAACCCATGCAACAATCATCCCCTCAAGAGGATCGAGAATGGCAACAAGTGGAGGCTTTGGTCAGTCGCGTTGTCGGAACTCGTGATGCGCTCCGTCGCCTAACACGGGAGGTTACAACGCATTCGAAGTCAACAACCTCACCGAAGTTTCTTTCCCCCAGCCCCGGCGGTGCCATCGAAGAGGAGGATACATATTTCAGTACGGCACCGGAGAGAAAGTCATTTTGGAGGCGGAAATCAGGCACACCGGCAGCAATGACGCCGACAAATGCTGTTCATGCTTCTACCGCCGCTGCCCTTGCTGTACCGTCTCCGGGGAGCGTCACCACAACGATATCCGCGAGCGGGCCCAATGCGGCGAACAGAAGGTCAAGAGGAAATTCGATCCAGGAGGAAAACTCTCTCCAGGACCACTGTCAGGCACTCCTGGCTGACCTCGACTCCGTGGTGGCCGAGTTTACGACAGTTATCAACAATAGTAAAAGGCGCCGTATACCAAATTCCGCGTCCGCTGGCGGAGGTCCGAGAAAGAGCATGGAGTCCGTTTCGACAGCTGATGAGTTCTTCGATGCCGAGGATGCCACCTCTGGTGTTCTCAAGATTGACAAGATTGACGCAAGTGAAGAGGAGACTCCTGGTTCCGACGGAGACGAGCCTTCTTTCCAGGACAACTCTTCCATCTCGTCAATAGGGGAAGACGAGAAGGTCGATACTGATGATGTCAATCAACTCTTCCCTTCGAAGCCTAAGAACCTTGCTCCGTTACCTTTCGATAAACCGGTCGCGAGACGAACAACCATTGCACCCGCAACCGTTCTACCACCAAGTCTAATCGCTTTCGTAAGGAAGAATGTGGGAAAGGACCTAAGCACCATCAGCATGCCTGTCTCATCAAATGAGCCCCTTTCGCTCCTACAAAAAGTGGCTGAACAGCTGGAGTACGGTCAGTTGCTAAACCAAGCCGCCAAGCAGTCGTCTCCAACGGATCGGCTCCTGTTTGTGGCCTCCTTTGCTATCTCACAATTTAGCAATGGCCGAGCAAAGGAGCGAGCGATCCGAAAGCCATTCAACCCCTTGCTGGGCGAAACCTTCGAACTCGTCCGATCTGAGAAGGAGGTTCCCGGAGGATTTAGGCTCATTGTTGAGAAGGTACAACATCGTCCGGTGGTACTGGCTATGCAGGCGGACTCAACCAATTGGTCGTTCTCTCAGTCGCCTGCCCCCGGCCAGAAGTTCTGGGGTAAGAGTGCCGAAATTACTACCGAGGGTCGTGTGCGTATAGTCCTGCGCCTGTCGAACGGACAAGAGGAACGTTATTCATGGAATATCGCTACCATGTTCTTGCGCAACGTTGTGATGGGCGAGAAGTATGTTGAACCCGTCGGGACGATGCATGTCGTCAATGATAGCAGTGGTCACAAGGCAGCAGTCGAGTTTAAGAGCAAGGGAATGTTTGGTGGACGAGCCGAGGACGTCGTCGTCGAAATCTTCAGCCCCGAAGGAGTCAATACTGGTAGCGGTCTGGTCGGTACATGGACTACCGGGCTGAAGACGTCAGGCAAGGGAGGGGGCCAAGAAATCTGGCGGGTCGGAACGTTGGTGGAAAACGCGGCGCAGACGTACGGATTGACGTCGTTTGCTGCAACGTTAAATGAGATCACCGATATCGACCAGGGCAAACTGCCACCAACGGATTGTCGACTGCGTCCTGACCAGCGTCTAGCGGAGCAGGGCAAGTTGGATGACGCCGAGGAGTGGAAGCACGGATTGGAAGAGGCACAACGTGCACGACGACGAGATTTGGAAGAGCGAGGCGAGATGTACAAACCGCGGTGGTTCGTAAAGGCCGAGAACTGCCCAGAAGGCGAGGAGGTCTGGAAGTTGAAGAGCGGGAAAGAAGGATATTGGGAGGAGCGTGCGCGGGGCGCCTGGCAAGGCGTTGAGGACATTTTTGTTCTCCCCGAAGACCAATAGAGGCGTTGGTAATTCGAATTTCCATGACTGTAATGTTTGATACCCATGCATCTGGCATTGACCGACCGTTGCTCAATTGTGCATGTTGTTTGTGGAGTCCATGACGTGTGAATTCGGTAGAGAAGTGAGCTGCATCCTGTCTCGTGGATATTAAAAGTTGGATTCGGCCGGAGTGCCAGCGCAATAAACCCACAGCCTGTTGCATAATGAAATGTAAATTAGATTGGACGATTGATGCAGCGTTGGCAGTCAAGTCCCTGCTGCTTGTCCCGCTGGCAGAGTAGAGATGGCAATCCTTCGAGCAGTCTGAGGGAAGGTTGATCCGCAAGGAATGATGCTGTCTCTATAGTTCGGGAAACGAGAATGGTCCTAGGCTACGTAGGTGTTACCCTGACTAACACCGTAGATCCTGATATCTTGAGATGAATGTCGACGGCTCTGTCGGATCTGACGTCAGTTCAAGTTGGTTGTCATTTGTGAAACCGGTGACAGGGACCAGTGACGATCGCTTGGCATTCAGATTGAGTGCTCACCCAAATAATGAGAGGCTGAAAAGGCGTCTAAGCGGTGGAAAACCCCGCCTTTTCTAGATGATGAATGTGACGATAGCAATCTCAATTACTGGTAGTCGACACTGGCGCATGAGGCCCTGTGGGCAGGCTTGTTTCATCAGTGCTAATTCCTTGGCTAACTCGCTGGCAGATCTTAGTCCGGGGCCAAGCATTGCCAGCGCCAGGGAGGTGATGCAAGTTACAGGGGTGGGTGCTGATCATCGCGGCAATTGAAATTTCGCAGGCCAGGCTTTCTTTCGCCAGTGTCTCAGAAGCGATGGAGTGATGGCATTGTTCTGATGCTGATGGGTTTATCCCGAATCCATGTCTAGAGTCGGTGAACCATCAAGGACGCATAGTGAGTGTGATTGACAATGGTCCGAGGAGGCTGCTGGGGCACATGTGGCAAACCCCTGAATATCAAACCGTCCTAGTTGCTGAAGATCAGCTTGTTCGCCCTGTATGTGCAGCAGGACTTGTGGGCGAGCGTCGTGAGATGTCGCCTGTAACTCAAACATCGGTTGGGGCGCGGGATGCGACACTGTAAAGCTTGTTTACCACAGCTTCTCGGGGGTCGGAAGGTATTGTGTCGCCATCCTTGAACTACCTTAGGTAGGTAGCTGGTGATGACTGCTAGGGAATCTTGGCGGAGGCCGGCCCGCCAATCGCGGAACACTCGGTTTCGGTGTTTTAGGGAGTGCCCCCAGCTGGAACACCAAAGCCAAAGGCATTCATTGGCAAGGCATTGGCATTGGCAGCAGCGATAGCGACAGCGACAGCGGCAGCAGCATTAGTTATGGAGGGCGTGTGTCTGTGAATGGATGGTCCCAAGGGGTGACGACGCGCGGTGGGGCACACCTGTTCCAGAATCGAGCATCAATGGACGTCCCAATTTTGGATCCTTGGCGGGAGAGCGTTTGGATACGGGAGCTGGGCGTTGGTTCGTCCGCTGTGGTTCGGCGCGATTGCAATGCGCTTGGCGACTAGATTGGGGCTGAGCAGTCTGAGAAACAGTTGAAGTCTGTGATCCGCTCGCGTTTGAGGGAACGAGCGGCCGATTTGGATACGAGAAGGGGCGACGCGGAAATGTACCTTCTCGTCAAAGACGCATGGCGCTGGAACGGGGACGCACCGAATTACGAGGTACTCCGTACTTCGTGCCAACTGACGCAGGTACCGCAGGCCTCGGAATCCGACGGCGCACCAAAAGCGTGGGCTTGGAAAAGTTTTGGGTGGGAGTTACGAGAGGAGATGAGTGGGCTATGATGAGAGAGAGCTAGAATGAAGCAAACAAATGATCAGATATGGATGAGGACTCACTGTAACAAACTCACTGTAACAATCACGGGCAAAACGGTGGGTGCATCCTCACGCCCTCACATCCTGCGTCATCCAGCATTTGATGCTTTTTTTTTTCTTGGCCTTGTTGAATTTCAACCTGCCAAGCCTGCCATGATCTGTGTAGCCAAGACCTGGAAGCACGTAGCATCGTACTTGGACCCCGGTATCCTTCCTGTACCCTTGCTGGCTTGTGGGTGTGTGGGTGCATACCCCTGGCGGACAGCACCACCACGGTCCCCATTAGGACCCAGATGGTTGCATGATAGGCACGTCTACGGTCAGGTCTCTATCTGCCGTTCATCATGTCTTCTCCTGGAATAGGGCAGTACAGTACCGCACATCACATCACAGCATCTGCTCCGGAAATGCAGTGCATCCCGTCGTCATCTCGCCGGGCTATCTTGTGTTGTGTGGAGGAGGGGACGAGTGATGAGCGACGAGTGGCGGGTCGCGGTCCATTGCAGATGTCTCACACACATACACACAGACATACGAGGTTGGTCCGGGCGAGATGCGTGGCAGGCCGGTAGCCGGCTGACTGGATATGCTCCCATCCAAGCTGAGGCAGCGCCAGCGCGCGAATCGTCTCTCCACCAGGCACGGCTAAGATGAATGGACCGAACTCGCCCCACGCTTAATCACGGTTCCCCATTCATTTGTCTCCATCGTGTGCCTCCCCCGGAAGCCCAAGCCGCCTCTAACTGCTTGACAGCGATCATGGTTGTCTGTCGGCTCTCGTCTCGCTCTCCCGATTTAGTACATGGGCACCCACCGTGACGTGAGCCGAGAAACTGCTCGCGCCAGAACTTCCGGGACCCAGACAATAGACGTGGACGTAGCAGCATCCGGATTCCGTGTAGAAGACGAAAACAAGGATCCCGGTGTTCTTAATCCATCCCTTGGTCCTTGGTCCTTGGTCGGCCCTGGCGCCCTGGCTGCACCTCCATGCAAGAGTGCTCCAGTGATGGCTCCATGCACTGGAACCACCGTTGCCACCACTCTCCCTCGCCTTCAATATGTACCTACCTGCTGGCGGGTAGGTAGCTCCCTCCCTGACACACGCCCGTAGACACCACCACACACACACCACCCACACACTCTCTCCTGTCCCTTTTTAAAAAGCCATTCCAGTTCCACTCGTTCCCTCCTCTCCCATCACTCCCTCCCTCCCTTCCTCCCCATTCTTGTCTCATTCCACCCGTTGGCTCGGTGCGTCCTTCTTGCCCGGCAACTTCTTTCTTCGTTGCACCTATCCAACTCTCTCGTTGTTGGATTTTCTTTTTAAGTCGACTGTAATTCGCCTTCCTCACAGAATCCTCTCGTTACTCGGCCCACTCGGATCGCGTCTTTCTCAACGACACGACCACCACAACACCAACTGTATCACACTTCTTGGACCCATTGACTCAATCCACTCTCTGTGAAGCAAGCTCAACAAATTGATTCACCATGAAGACCGCTGTCCTCCTCTCCGTCCTTGCGGCTCTGGCCTCCGCTACCCCCACTGTCAAGCAACCCCCCAGCAAGCGCAGCGACCTCACAGCTGTCACAGTCTCGGGCAATGGTGAGCTCTCTATGCGAATCGCATGGTCAAGTCTCTCCCCAAGGTGCTAACATACCCAAGCTTTCTGGCAGGGTAAAACACGCTTTTACCTCCGTGGTATCGACTACCAGCCTGGCGGTGCTGCGGCCAACACTGACCCTCTGGCCGACACTACCGTCTGCGAGCGCGATATTGCCAAGTTCAAGGATCTTGGCGTCAATGTCATCCGTGTCTATGCCGTCGACAATAGTGCTAACCACGACAAGTGCATGTCTGCGCTCAACGATGCCGGCATCTACCTGGTTCTCGACGTCAACAACCCAGCCTACTCCATTAACCGAGCCGATCCTGGCCCTTCATACAACACTGCCTATCTCCAAAGCGTCTTCGCCACCGTCGAGATGTTCGCACAGTACAAGAACACTCTTGCCTTCTTCTCGGGCAATGAGGTCATCAACGACGAGGCAGATACCGACAAGTCCGCTCCTTATGTCAAGGCCGTCACCCGTGACATGAAGAACTACATGAAGGAGCGTGGTCTTCGCGCCGTTCCCGTTGGCTACTCGGCTGCGGATGTTTCGTCCAACCGAAAGCAGACCGCTGACTACATGAACTGTGGTTCTGATGATCTGCGATCTGACTTCTTTGCCTTTAACGACTACTCGTGGTGCAACAGTGACTTCCAGACCTCCGGCTGGGATGCCAAGGTCAAGAACTTCACGGACTATGGCCTCCCCATCTTGTGAGTCTTTCGACATGTCTTTGTATCATAGGTATGCAGGTTGCTAACCAACTCATAGCCTCTCTGAATATGGCTGTATCAAGAACCGCCCTCGCAAGTTCGACGAGGTTAGCGCCATGATGAGCACCGACATGAGCGGCGTCTACTCTGGTGGCTTGCTCTACGAGTACTCCATCGAGGAGAACGACTACGGCATCGTCAGCATTGGTAAAGACGACAAGGTGACCACCATCTCGGAGTACAACCTCTTCAAGACCGCCCTCTCCGAGAACGCTGCTCCCACTGGTGATGGTGGTGCCGCCTCCACCACTCACAGCCAGGCTTGCCCCACCTCCGCTTCTGACTGGCAGGTCAATCCAAGCTTGGTCCCTGAGATGCCCTCCGCGGCCCAGAAGTACATGACAAAGGGCGCTGGCGACGGCCCCGGTCTCAAGGGTGATGGCTCCCAGGACAAGGCCGACAGCGGCACCGCCACTGCTAGTGTTGATGCCGGAACCACTGGCGGTTCCTCGTCGTCCTCGGAAACCAGTGACAGTGCTGCTCCTACCATGATGGCCCCCATGGATCTGGCTCCCATCTGCGTTACTGGCGCCGCCATCATCTTCACCCTGTTTGGCGCCCTCCTCCTCTAAAAAGAACGATTCCGTATTATGGGGTGTCGGAGGGCCGCTGCCACTGTGATAGCTAGCCTCTTTAATGACAAGCAAAACAAGCTGATGGATGTACTCGCTGGATTTGATGCGCTGGACACGTCTGATTCGTCTTTTTTCATGGGAACAATTGGCGTCCAGCCTAGGAAGGGCGGACTGCTCGGAATGATTATAATTTAGTCTAGGCGGAGAACCGCCTCTGTTTTATATGCGTCGTCGCTTGAGAGTACAAATAGACTTTCTTCTTCTGTTATTAAAACATGGCCTCGTCACACGTGAATCGGGGTTTTTGCACATTACGTTGGTGACTCAGCGATTCCCTACCGTCGACGAGAGTGTGAGATTTGTTAAGACAACCGATTTGCATTTATTTCTTGGTGTTGGAAACGACCCGAGGCGAGTTGACACGACATGACTGCTAACAACCTAACACGTGTGGGGGGCTAAACTCCGAGTCAACCAGGGTTCTTTTTGAATTGACGAACCGAACCTCGGCATCTCCAACATTGCTGACTTACATCCCCGCGTCGCGAGAGCGCCTCCCTTCTACATACAACCACCCCATTCACATTACTTCACAACCTGGATTTATTTACCGTCGTCGTAGTACCCCGACTTCTCAACAAGACCTTTTATAGAGTAATTTTCTTCGTGCGCGTACCACTCGCCTCCCATCATGTCAACAGCCACCCCACTGCCGGCCTACGCCGCATACGAGCACTTCGTCATCAGCTCGCCCGCGCCGTTCGTCGCGCACGTCGAGATCAACCGCCCACACAAGCTCAACGCCTTCTCGCGGCCAATGTGGCTTGAGTTTGGACGCATCTTTACGCAGCTGAGCGCCGATGAAGATGTGCGCGTTGTGGTGCTGAGCGGTGCGGGCGACAGGGCATTTACCTCGGGACTGGACGTGCAGGCTGCGGCAGAGGACGGTGCGCTCACGCCTGCAGAGGGGGAGGATGTGGCAAAGAAGGCAAAGAGCATGAGAAGCCATATCGAAGAGTTTCAAGATTGCATTGGTGCGGCCGAGAAGTGTGAGAAGCGTAAGTTACACGTCAACTAAACGACGAAAAATGATGGCTTGCTAATCTGTCTTTTCTTACGTCTACAGCTGTCATCTGCGTCCTTCATGGCATCGCTATTGGCCTTGCCATAGATATTTCCTGCTGCGCCGACATCCGTATTTGCGCATCCAACACCCGCTTCGCTGTCAAGGAGGTAGACATCGGCTTGGCGGCTGACATTGGCACCCTCGCAAGACTGCCCAAGATTGTCGGGTCGATGTCGTGGGTCAAGGACGTGTGTCTCAGTGCGCGAGACTTCTCGGCCCAAGAAGCGGTGGCGGTTGGTTTCGTGAGCCAGGTGCATGGGACCAAGGAGCAGGCTGTGCAGGCGGCCGTGGCTATGGCGGCCGCCTTGGGCGAGAAAAGCCCCGTTGCGGTGCAAGGAACCAAGGAACTGCTCAACTACGGGCGGGATCATGATGTGCCGGAGAGCTTGAAGTACACGAGGGTGTGGAATGCGGCGGCCTTGCAGGGCAAGGACTTTCCACAGGCCATCATGAGTGGCCTTAAGAAGACTAAGCCACGATTTGAGAAGCTGTAGGGGGCGAAAGTCGAGCATTGGACTGGTCGTCTTGGCAAACTTGGGAGAGAGCTTGGCGCGCGGATGTTGGTTGGCAACATGATCTGTCTACTCGGACCCAGACTCTTCCTCTGGGGGCAGGTTTTCCTTGAGGCGCTGTGGATTTGTAAGAACAAGGCAAAGACAAGGTAGAGAACACAATACAAAGGGAGACCTTTATGTGAAAATGGAGAATTATGGTGAATAATTGATCAAGGAGCGGGATTGGTATCCGGGATGATAATTTTGTGGGCATACGTACATCCTCGAGCTTCGACTTCAGTAAGGCAACCATGTTCTCTTTGACGACGACCCGTTCATCGTCGAGGTCTTCAATGATGAAGTCGTGGCTGGTACTGTCGATGTTGACGATGATGGACTTGATCGAGGGATCGCATTCGATCAGAACGCCTATGAACGGTGAGTTGGAGGGCTGCCAAGGCGAATTGGTTGGGGCAACAAACCTCGGATTGCGCGAGGCATGGCGGGTGGCTGTTTGCGTGCGTTTAAAGATGTTGGGGGAGTTGCGAGCCTGTGCCAGGAGAAGCTTTGGTCTAAGGTCGGCAGCCCTATGACGGCGAGAAGTTTCGCTCGCGTGCCTGGAGAGACGATTTGCTGGGGAGAGTTCAATCTGGAACTCGGTGCAGTGAAGCTCCGATAAGTTCGCCGTGGGACCCGGCCAAAGCTCGGGCCCACTCACCCCAAGAAAGCATGTGGAATCACATTCCGGAAGGGTGAGGCTGGTAAGGCGCTTGAGACCCCAGCGAGCGCCTGCGCCTCAGGCCAAGCCACTACATTTTGACCATTGGATTGTCATCCGTCCCTGATCCGCTCCAAGGCATCGTTGTACGAGATCGTCCATCAGCAGTGCTCTGTTTACGCGTGTCAAATTGCTTGTCCCAAACCTAAAGATGCGCAGTGGAGAAGATCGACGGGAACTCGAAGAAACATGTTCAACACGAGCACCACATCAACTACCTAGGTCCAGATGCATCCGCTGGATCACGAGAGCATAGAATGATTGCAAGACGTAACCACCACACCACTCTACCACTGCTCGCTCGCACTGCTCGCTCGCTCACTCGTTCAACTCAAAAACACAACCCCGCTAAATAGGTAGCTGCCGGACACCCGGGTTGTATTTCAAATAGTCTAGGTCCATTTGCGGGCTGTCAACCGCCAACGTCGTCACACACCTAACCAAGCCACAGGCGATGAAGTCACCGACGGCTAGCCCGGGATTCGGGAGGCAGTACATTGCAAGAGTACAAAGGCCTCCCCGCCCGCCCAGTTGACGTAGATGACGCAGACCAAAGAAACTCTTTTGCCATTTACTTGCCCATTCTTCAAGGACATCGCTCCTTGTGTAGTGCAGTAACAAGGGCTCAGATAAAGCCGGTGCTGCTCGATAACTGCTCATCCTGAACTTGCAATTTTCACATCACGAGCCTATTTATTATCTACGACCAAACTGCCTAGTACACCAACTTCCCCTCCAGTGTCTACTCTTGGCACCGTTGAGAACACCAATTGACTTGGCACCGAGATCTGCGTGCCCATCACCCACGCTCCCAACTTACCAAGATGTCGACACTTCCGTCAGAAACCAGCACTTCCGACAATAATAATGACTTCGGATCCCTTAGCAACCAGCCTTTTGCCTGGGTGCTTATCCCGCTTGTCATTTTCGTATTAATCGGCATCGTCACCACCATCTATCAGGTCCGTCGGCGGCGTCGCCGCCGCGCTCTCCAGCAATGGCCTGGTGGAAGTACCCTGACGGCGGGTGGGCGTGTTGACGCCGCCAGGCCGCGAGAGAACCGGCGTAGATTGGGGTTTGGCACAACTCGCTCGGAGGAAGGCTTGAATGAGCTGGGTGAAGCGCCGCCGCCGTATGCTGGAAAGAAGGACGGCCAACAGGACGACGGGACGGAGCTGCGGGACTTGGAAGCCGGGGAGGCTAGCCCGCCGGAATATCCTGCGGAGCCTGTACCGGCGGTGACGACGGAGACCCGGAGATCTGTCTGACTCCGGCCGCACAATTGAGAGATGGAAATACCCGTTCTGCAGATGGAGTCTATGGGTAGCCTTTTCTACAGCTTTCTTGCGAGGCGTTGGGATGGGGATTGCTACTAATTTGGCAATGGAAAGTTCGGCGGTTCGGGTCCTGCCTGATAAGCTGTGTAGGAACATGTGTAAGATGGGTTGGCCCGGAAATACAGGACTCGGCCGGTAACGATTACGAAGACTTTCATTTAATATCACTATACTATTACCTTGACTTGAGTCCGTTCTGTCGACATGTGTGAGTGGCTGCTGCCCCGTTATTCACAGTTCAGCGTGAGCGAGCAGCCGTGCTGCCGATACGTTGTGGTTTCAGTTGAGCGTCACATACACACCACCGCGCAGCATAGTGATAGGCGTGATTGGGGCAGGCTCCCCCGACAATCGACTGTTGCTCCTCACGAGGACATCGGTGCGAGGAGTTGTACAGTTGACTCGTACGTCCGGGTACTGCAGAAACACGTCGGGCAGCTGCATTAGGCCGACATGGTGTCACTTCAGCCGACTCAGTTGCGTCCCGTGGATCTTGAGAATGACAAATGTTTCAAGAACATTGATGATGGCGCAGACATATTGGACAAGAACATAGGCGGTCAACCGGATCGCCCCGGTGACAAACACTAGTCGTGGGTCGCTTCACAGGCTGCGGCGGTTCCTAGCCAGAGAGCAGGGACGCGAATGTACGTTCATCCTTCACAAGGATTCTGGGGGCGGATGCGGTCCATATTTGCATGTGTGAGAATGTGTTGGTTGCAGGACTCGCAGCAGCAGCGCAACCCAGGGGAGCGGTGTGTTTCAAAGCAGCCAGGTTTGCGTGAGACACGGCCTGGACTGACGCCCACATTGCCTCCTCCTGCTCCAAGCCTTAGTCTCGGAGCAGACGTGGGAACAGGCTCAGCAGAGTTGCTGGACATTTTCGCGAGCTCACGGCCACTACCTAGGGTGGCCCATGTCATCCTGTGTGTCTTGCATGATGCGATGGAGTCTCGGTCTAGAGGAGGATCCATCTGGAGGCGTTGCGCTCTGTGCGTGGATGCTGGGCGTCGTCCCGCATTGGCTCAATGAGCTGCTGCAAAGGCAATCATTGGGGCGATGCAGCAGTCAGGAGGCCTGGAATTTTCGAATGGAAGACCAATTAATTAAGCAGTGGCGATAAGCGGGGATGAGATGGGGAATGGGGGAATTAATGAGAGGTTGGCAGACGACAGTTTCAATAGTGGGATAATATGTGGCTTCCATTATGGATAATTGAGACTCCATAAACTACCTCGGTTTATCCTTTCAAGAATGCGAAAAAAAAAAAATTGGATTAATTGAAATTAAAATGGAAGCGGAGCAGCACAGATTGCGTTGCTAAACTCCCGAGGACCGGCGCGGCCGGAGACGGGAAACGGGAAACGGGAGAGGCATTTGTGTTTTGTTAGTTTCTGTTAGTGAGGTGGTGATTAGGAGGGAATGCGAGACTAGGGTCTACGCCGAGTGCTGGGTTCTGTTTTTGGGCATTGGAAAGTCGAGTGTTTGCGAGGACTGGGTACGGATAATGGGACTTTGGTGGGAGAGAAAGACATCTGGCATGCGGATGCTCCTCAACTTGTCTTTGCTTCACCGTGGACGTAGCGGATTCAGCCCTACCGTTCGGTCAGGTTCAGTCTGAGACTGGAGTGTCTCGAACCGGGGGGAGGGGCCTCGAGGTTATGCCTCGCTGCATCTCATCATCTCATGGCACGGAATCGTCTTGTATCACATCGCGATCGGCGACAGAGCAAGGACCCAGGGGGTTGCTGTACCACTTAGATCACCTAACATTGCTTCTGTCATAGATTGCGAGCGCAATCACGCTGAGGCTGTATATTACTTTTTCCCTTGCCGAGCAGGCCAAGCCAGAGTGACGTGAGCTGATATCGTCTCGTCTCCCAACCCGGCATGCCAACCACGGCATGCGAGAGGCCGCCATCACGTTCTGAGCCAATCCGGGGCCGTGGCGTGGGCTACGGCGGTCGGTAACTCGAGTTACTGACAGCTCCTCTCTCGTGGGAGAACGTGAGTGAGTCGGGGAGGTTGGGGGCGTCATGGCGAACCTGGGGGAACCCTGGAAGGACGAAGGCGGAATAGAGAGCCTGGCACGGAGCATGACAGCCGCTCTTGGGTCCATGGCCCTGACCGTACCTGAAGTTCCTGAAGGGGTGCCCCGTCAACCAGCCCGACGCCGCCGTGGGACGACGGGGCACGACAGGCCCGGAGGCACGGAGCTGAGGACCAGAGATCGAGCCATGGCTCAATATCCACGGCCTGTTCATTTTTCGTCTAGCAGCGCGACGCGCCCGCTCAAACCCCGGTGTGATTGAGATTGAGCCCTGCTTGACGAAATGCTTGGTAGCCGGCTCGCCAGCAGAGCAGAGCAGAGCACGGCTAGACAGCGTGGGAAGCGCCAGGGGTGCAGCTGTGCAGATGTGCAGATGTGCACAATGGCAAAATAGAGAGGAGGTTGGCTCTAATGACTATCGCCGTCACCGTCATCACCACCATGGCAACGGCGACGGGCTGACTCGCTCGCTCACTCGCTGGAGAAGTTGAAATTCTGTCGAATGGGGCGCGACAGAATGCAGCAGCCCACCAAGCGCTCCGTAAGTAGGTACCTAGACAGCTCTGAGCTCTCAGCGTGCACTCACCCACTCACCCACTCACCTACTCACCTCCTCCTTCACTCTCCTCACTCACTCACTCACTGCTTGCATCGCATCGCATCGCTTCTCATCGTGCATGTTTCTCGTGTCTTTCGTCTCTCCCCACGCGCACCCATTGGCAACGCTGGCCAGCGAGTGGGACCCTAGTGCCCTTGTGCCCTGGAGCCCTGGTCCGTCTTAGCACACCCGCCCAGCGGACCCCGGCCCCCGGGCGCTATTGGGCCACCTGCCGGCAGCGCCAACTCATCACCCCCAGAGCCCAAGCAAATCCCAGCCGCTTCTGTGGACAATAACAAAGCGTCTTAAGCCGATTGTCGTCCGGCCGGCGCTGCGTGCTCCACCACCAGCCTCTGGCCTTCCCGTCCCCATCTTTTTTTGCTCGCCTCATCCTCGTCGCCTCCTCGGTTTGGGGATAGCACGAAGTAGAGTTGGAAAAAATCGAGCGAGTGGGTGGTAAAGAGCCGGACAAGAAAAAAGAAGAAGGCCGGGTTCATCCTACGTCCCACGTTGGGACAGGCCAAGAACCGACAATCCTCGCCGGCTACCGCTGCCTTGTACGTGCAGTGCATCGTGCGTACATGACAGTACGGCCACTTTTTCATTAAAACCACGCACATCCATTCTGCAGGTGTTCCCAGTTCCTCGTCCCCCCTCCCCGTCCTCGGTCTCGGCGCCGTTCGTTCGTTGCGCTGTGCTGCGCTGTTCTTTTCGGGCTTGCGCTGGTGATTGGCATTGGGCTGTTTGGGCTTGCACTGGCTTGCTTGGGTGTGTGCGTGGACTTGTTGCGGCTCGCTCCCGTCTCTCCACCATCTGGGCTTGGGCTGGTTGCTGCGGTTGCGCTGTTGGCCCGCCCGCTCCCCCCGGTCAAATCGGTACTGACAGCTGAGCGCACCACCACCACAAACCACCACGCCGCTTCTCCCCTCCTCCCAATTCTGCATCTCTCCGGGCTCCAACGGTAAGGCCAATGTGTTTGTCAACCCGCCGGGCAAACTAGATTTTGCACGCTTTTTTGGTTCTTCCGCTGCTTGTATTGTGTAAGTTGTTCTCCTTGCGGCAGTTCGATCCTTTGGCCTGGCGCCATTGGCCTGGCTCGTTGGGTCTTCCCGTCGGCGTCCTCGTTCTCGTTGGTGCGTGGCCCAGCAGGTAACGCTGACTATTCTTGTCCCAGGCTTTTATTCTGCGTGCGCATGCTCTTGCTTCCTCGATCCCGCATGTCTTGACATCACGCCTTAATAAATCTCCCTCTTTCTCTCCAACACCACACCGTCTTCGTGGTTCGACAACATCGCCATCTCCACAGGTCGCACGCCGGGGAAGAAGCGAAGAAGAGGGCTTTCTCCGAATTTTCCACCTACCTCGCCCATCCTTCCCGACGGCTCATCACACCACAATGGGCATCGACTCCAGGAAAGCACCCCCTCTTCCCGCCCCAACCGAAACCGAAACAAACAACACCACCCCGACCGAACTGACGGCGGATGTGTTCAAGCCCAGTGACGAGAAATCGTCCTACTCCATCCCCGAAGACGGAACTCCCGTCACCATCGCCACCCGCGGCCACAAGGCCAACAAGTCCCAGACCTCGCTGCTCATCGAGTACTTCGAAGGCGGCAAGCAGTCCTCCAGCTCTACTGGCGAGCGTCGACCCAGCGTACGGGTCCGCCTAACGCCATCCAAGAAGAGCAGAGGAGATCATATCCAACTCACAGAGACCAAGGGATCCCGCCAGGCATCTCTAACTCGCCGGATACCCCTGACTCTGGCCACCGAGCTCGAGTATCTCGACGGCGAGGACGGAAACAGCATCTCATCGTACGCCTCGGCTACTGAAGAATCGAATGTTTCTAGAAATCCCATCGACATTGAGATTGACCACAGCCACCGGAGACGCCGACCTGCTAGTCCTCTGATCCCCTCGGAGTCCTACCAAGTAAACGCCTCAGAAATCTCTGCCATACCAACCGACAGCTTTCTCGACGGCACTGGCGGTGGTTCTACTGAGCTCAAGAACAGCTTCAACCAGTCCAAAGGAGAAGATCTAGCCGTCGCTGCTGGCACCGGTGCACTGGCAGCCGTCGCCATGGACGAAACGAGGAGCCACAAGAGTCGAAATCGGGAGCGAGTAAAAATCGCCGAAAAATCAAAGGAAAAGTCTGACCGAAAACGTCGACCAAAGAGTAGAACGAGCAGTGTCAGCGAGCGGACGGCCGATGATCTTAAATCCCCACGGGCTCGTCGTTCCAGTCGAAGTCATCAGGAATCCACTGTGTCAGCCGCTGACTCAAGTGTGATATCTAATATGACCCCGAGCCATCGCTCCGTCGACACGCATTCCACACGCTCAGGTGTCTCCAAGTCATCCATCAACAACCCCAAACTGCTTGAGACAGTTGAAGACGCCATCCGAAGATTAATCCTACCAGAGCTTAGTGCCCTGAAGCGGGAACAGAGCAAGCGCGAAACCCGACGGGGCTCCTTTACCTCCACGGCAACCTCCCTATCAAGGGAGGAAGCGACCCCAGACCGCCGGCGGTCCTCAGGTCAACGCAGTGATCAGAAGGATAGACGCAACAGGGAGGCTCGTCACGACTATGGCGACAGCTCACTGCATAGCATCAGCCGCGAGTCGCTTGATGATGGCTATCAATATGACAACGACATTGTCACACCTAAACGCAGTGGCGATTTGCTCAAGGCTGCTACTGCTACTGCGGCTACGAGCAAGGGCCTATCACTTCTCGACGATAAATCCCAGTCTGAGGACCGCAAGCATAGAGAGCGACGACGTCGCAGGGCTGAATCTTCCCGGAGCCGAAGTGTTGGACGAGACCGGTACGCAGAAGAATACGACGACGACCACCTGGTAGTTCCTGCGCCGCCGATGCCCTTGCAGAGCGAAATCAACGCATCCGAATTGACACGAACATCTATCCTCTCCGCCAACACCGACAGACCACACTCTGCTACCGAGGAGCTTACCCCCGTTCACAATGTCGCCCGCGGTCCGGTCTCCGCTACCTCCACACCCACACCCTCCAATGAGCTCGACAACACACTACTCACGCAGCATGCCAATGTCTCACATGGCGACCTCACAGCGCTACCTCGTGGCCAAAGGGAATACGAAGAGTATGAGACTGATGAATTTGGACACAAAGTTGAGGACATCCATTATGACGACGAGGATCCCCACGACGTTTCTGACAATGGCGACTATCCTGAGAATGGATACGACAATTCTTACTTTGCCACTCAGGATGTGCCTCCTCCCCTAAAGTATGTTCCGTACCAGGCGGGTGCCCGTGGATTGAGTCCTATTCCTAGTGTGTCCGGCTACACAGACGGCGCAAGTGAACATCAACCACGCAACTCTCGCAGCATGCACTCTACAAGCGACGCGTACTCTGCACTAGAGAGGAGGTCTCCAGAGCACCCTCGTAACAGCCGATCAATAAACTCGCTCAACTCTCTGCGAGCTAGGGAACTCGATCAGATGTCCCCCAGGAGTTCCGGTGTCGATTACCGGAACACAACTTACACCGATGATAGTGAACTTGATCGAGTCACATCTGGACAGGCTGTGCGAGGCATTGGTGCCAACCCTAATATCATCCATCCCCCTCTGGGAGTTGAATCTGCCGTGGCATCTCTAATCGACGGCTCAATGCTTGAGCAGTCCGTTCTCACCACTGGCTCCGGCTATGATTATGGCGGTGCTAGGGACTCGAACCTATCTTACGATGATCAATCGAGGACTTATAGCAGCCGCGGCATGAGCCCCGAGAAGCAATTCACGGATGCCAGCCGCGGGGTCGAGACTGAGAGACATGCCACCCCTAACTCCAGATCTCACAAGCCATCACAAGAATTCACCGAATACGAGATTGATGAGCATGGACGAAAAGTGCCTCGTACCAAGTCTCCCACCGCTTCAGAAGTGGCCATCACTGCTGGTGCCGTTGGCGCCGCCGCCGCCGCCTTGAAGGCTGCACAGGGCAAGAAGCAGGCTCCTGTTGAAGAGGAGATGATCGATGAGGATTACCAGCCTGTCGGTGTCTTCCGAAACAAGTCGTTCAAGGAGCGCACGCTGGAGGGCCACGAGCCTCGCAACACCCCAACACACAGCATCGACCGACTTGATTACGACGAACCACCGAAGATGAGCGCGAGTTTCATGCCGGGCTTCCATGACCCCATGCCAGAGATCGGATATGTCGATGATGATGCCCAGACCAACCCTTCCATCATCGATCACCGCCTTGACGGCGAGCCTGGCGACGAGGAGATGTCCGGCCGAGCAACCCCCACTCAGCAATCTGTTCGAGGATATCAGCACGACGAGGTCCACAGCCAGGCTAGTGGAGCCGGTGGCCGAGGCCTCAACCCAGCTGAAGTGGGTGCCTTGGGTGCTGCTGCTGGCTTGGCTGCCGCTCACACCCATAGCCGTGAGCCCAGTCACGACGCTGATGAGTGGCAGCGGTCGTCTGACGACCAAAAGAGAGACACCCTGGTTACTAACCCCTTCGAGGATGCCAGCCCTATCGCCAACCCGGCTCTAAACGAGGGCCTTCTCGGAGCTCGTGGACTCAACTCTTCCTACGGTGCTCCGTATCACTCAGGAAGTCCTGGCTTCACCCAGAAATACGACGAGGGTTACATGTCTAACGGCCCCAACCGTACGCCGGATGCTGACCCAAAGAATGACACCCTCGACCTTGGTGCTACTCTTGTCGCACCCGCTGGCGATGATCCCTTCTATGTCCCCAAGGACCATGTTCGCCACCTGAGCGGCATGTCCCAAGGCATGGCTTCGCCCTTCTACGATGCAGCTACTGGCCAAGGCATTGAGCGTATCGAAAATAGGGACATCGTCGCTCTCATGCAGCATGTGAGTACTAAATGGCTGTTCGCAAAATACACTGACTAACAAATTATAGCTTATGGTTCGCGATGCCCAACGTAGTGCCCGTGATACTGAGATCGTCGCCCTCCTCATGAATGCTGCCCTTGAGATGCGCAACTCTTTCCGGGAGATGAAGGACCTCATCCAGGACACAGGGGACGACGTCATTTTCTCCAACGCTGAGAACACCGAGAAGCTTCAGAAGGCTATCAACGGCCCGCGTCCTTACCCTGGCACTGGAGCTCGGTCGATCCAGAGTGCATCCCAGGTGGATACTTTGAACGACGCCGCTGCCAAGAAGAAGAACCTTTGGAAGCGAGCGTTGCAAGGCCTTAGCGCTAAGGGAACGAGTGATCTCAGCCGCATCGAGGATATGCTCATGCAGCTCCTCGGTGAGGTTGATGTTCTGAAGACCCAGACTGCCCCCCCGCCGGTCTCGACAAGTGGAGGCAGGGCCTCATCTTTCGAAAACCTCCAGCCCGAGGGCCAATATGAAAATGACCGTGGTTACGAGCCTGAGGGTACCTCGACTATTAGCCATGGCAGCCAATCAGGCCACCTGTCTCTCTCGCAGTCGCGATCGAAACTGCGAGATGAGCGCAAGTTCTCTGACCACCGTATCAGCACTGTTCAGGAGCATGCGGAGGAGTACCAATACGACCATCCGAGCCCCGTCACTGAACGAGCAGACCCCAACTTGTTGACCCCTACCCGGTCAGTAGGTAACCTTCAGCGCGGCAACTCTGTTCCCCTGGACACCCCTCCTCAACCTTCCGCATCAAACCAACATCCCATGAGCGCAGAGAACACGCCACGAACAGGCAAGAAGCACAAGGCAAGTGGCTCTTCCGGCTGGCTCCCCAAGATCTCTAGGTGGTCGGGGACCACTGCCTCCAGCGTTGGCAAGGCTTTCCGCGGAAGTGGCAAGAAGGAGTCCAAGTACGAAGATTACGCTCCTTCTCGCTCTGGTTCTAGCCTGGCCTCGTATAACGAGGAGGACGATTACCATCATGAGCAGCACAACCAGCGTAACCAGCATCACCAACAGAACCCCTATGACGAGGACAAATTACATACGGGATTCTCTGAGCAGGAGCTCGCAGGTACCGCTGCCGAGTCCAACCTGGACGCGACTGTTGCCCAGCGAGATAGCAACTTTACTCCTGATGAGGCACCTAAGTACAAGGTTCATCGCAATTCATTGAACCTTCAGCACCCCCAGCCCCGACCAGGCCAGACAGAGCGATTCCGAAATGCCCTGGAGTACTCGGCACAGGAGTACGACATTCCCATGACGCCTAGGTCGGCTGATTGGGCAGGATCTGCAACCAGCGTGAACAGACTCCCCCCAAACACCAACCGATACAGCACCGCGTCATCGGCTGGAGCGCGTGAGCCAGAGTACTGGGGCTCATCCCCAACGGGCCCTCCACGACCCCCCAAGGAGCCCGTGGACAATTCCGGTACGCGAACGCCGCCCAGGAGCCGCATCTCGAAGCTCGCCAAGGGCAGCCCGCTTCAACACCAGAGCGATGAGAGTGGCTATCCCACCCATCAAAGCGCCAGCCCCAAGCCAGAAAACCGTAACCTGAACGCTGCTCTGGGCATGCCTACCCGACGACCCAGTGGCCCAAGGGCAATGACCCCAAAGAGCCCTGACGAAGAGACTGCAAGGGAAGAGCGAAGACGCAAGAGAGGTATGTGATGTTGGTGTCTCCCACTACGCACACTCACTAACTTGAACAGATACATTTGGCACCATCGCCAGCGCCCAAACGGACGACACGGACACTTTTTAGGGACGGGTCCGCGACGCTTAAGGATGCTTACGAGTGTATCGTGGCCTGACGTAGGACGCAACAAGATCCTCGGGCCTTTTTGGAACTCGGCCTATCCATTGATGGGATGGCCGGGTATAATATGCGTGTGATCTTGGGAGGACGGAAGACCTATTGGACGAACGGCTTTTCCAACATTGAAAAACGAGCCTATAGACTGCAACAACACTACAACGAAGTTGGCCAGGCCAGTGGCGAGGCAACTTGCTAAAGAAAAATAATAAAAAGATCGGAATGGGGGACAGGGGATGATGGATACCCCAACAAAAATAGGAAGATATCATTGTGGAGGACCGCTTGCACATGAAGGGTTTGTTTCATTTCTTGACGACGACATGACATGGCTATCTGGTTTCAGAGCGGTGCGTCACATTGGACAGGTATTTGGTTGGATTCATGAACGGGGGAGTGGGAAACAAAGGCCCACACTGGAGAGCGTCGTGGAGTTTATCGCTCAGGGAATCCCCTTTCGTTAGGTAACATTAGGATAGTTGTAGTTATGTGAGATACCATATCGGTTGTAATTGGGGGACAGCATCAAGGGGAATGAATTGAAGAGCATTGACGACGGGGAAAAGATTTGTCTGTGTGATGTAAAGTTGTGAAGTTATGAAGTTGTGAGGTCTCGAATATTACGTTATTGAGTACGGACGTAGTGGGAAGGCGGCGGCTAAACTCCGACGTCGGTGACGAGTTTACGTGAGGTAGGTATCCTAGTGCGTAGTGCGGCGGCGGAAGTGGACTCGTCAACGAATAGCAACCATTCCAAAAGGAAATTGTCTGACGGCTTCACCACCTGCCATGAGTCTTCTAATCTGATTGAGCAAGGAATAGCTTCCATCCTTGTCATCCTGCATTCCGCAAAGCCCTCGAACCAAATCAATCGTCGGCCGGCGAGCTTCTCCTCTCGTGTCCATCCTTTCTCAGCTCATGGAGCTTGGAGAGTGACCTGACGGCATCGGCTCTCTACTAGGTGTCTGTCTGTCTGCTTCTCTGAACCTCGGGCTGTGAGAGTTGTGGAGAGAAAAAAACAAGGAGCCACTGAGCTATGGCGACGGAAGTGAGAGGGCAGGCGAATCCGAACATGGACCAGACGCCGAAGCAGATTAAGAAGCCGGGGGGTAGCCATGACTACAAGGGCTTCGTGGCGGGAGTCTTCAGCGGCATCGCAAAACTCACCGGTATGGAAGCTTTCGCCCGGATATCACCAGTCCTGAATGGCTTGCTAACACGCTCGTCCAGTTGGCCACCCCTTCGATACCGTCAAGGTCCGCCTGCAGACTACTGACGCATCGCGCTTCAGCGGCCCTCTGCAATGCCTCACGCAGACGGTCCGCAATGAGGGCTTCGTCGGCCTCTACAAGGGCGCAACGCCGCCGCTCGTCGGCTGGATGTTCATGGACTCGGTCATGCTGGGCTCGCTCAACGTCTACCGCCGCTTGCTCTCGGAGAATGTCTTCCACGTCCAGCCCACGGCCGCTCCGGCTCCCGGCGTGAGGACGTCCCTGCCGTCGTACGGCCACGGCATCGCGGGCATCATGGCCGGCTGCACCGTCAGCTTCATCGCGGCGCCCGTCGAGCACGTCAAGGCGCGGCTGCAGATCCAGTACGCCGCGCAGAAGGCCGACCGGCTGTACGCAGGCCCCATCGACGCCCTGCGCAAGATCTACACGCACCACGGCATCCGCGGCATCTACCACGGCCTGTCGGCGACGCTGCTCTTCCGCGGCTTCTTCTTCTGCTGGTGGGGTAGCTACGACGTCCTATCGCGCTACTTCCGCAAGAACACCAACCTCAGCGCCCCGGCCGTCAACTTCTGGGCCGGCGGGCTGAGTGCCCAGGTGTTCTGGCTGACCAGCTACCCGAGCGATGTCGTCAAGCAGCGCATCATGACGGATCCCCTGGGTGGGGGACTGCGTGACGGCGTGAGGAAATTCCCCCGCTGGAAAGATGCCGCCGTGGCCGTGTATCGGGAGAGTGGATGGAAGGGATACTGGAGGGGGTTCGTGCCATGCTTCTTGAGGGCGTTCCCCGCGAACGCCATGGCTCTGGTGGCCTTCGAGGGCGTGATGCGGTCATTACCATGATGACGAGGGCAAGCCCGTTCTCATGACAATACCCCTTATAGATTGGATAGGTAGGAGGAACCCCGCGGAGCACATTGGTTACACCAGCGTTTCAGTGGCAGCAGTCACGATAGATTCTTCACATCTCAACACACAAGACACAATAATAGCTTGTCTCCAATGGAGCAAACACCAAGTGGTGCCACACAAATGGCTGGATCTATTGGCCAAGTCCTAAACTTTTCCTGTCCCAATTCACCAACCCATTCCTGCGCCTTTCCGATGCAATGCGACAATTTACTCGTCGTCCTCCTCAGCCTCGTCGTTGACGACGTTAAAGAACTTGAGCTCGTAGACACCTCGGGAGGTAGAGACAACACGGAGCCAGTCACGGAGCTGCTGCTTCTTGAGGAACTTCTTGGTCCTGCGAGCACGACAGTCAGTACCATTGCGTTTCTCTCTCTTTCTCTCTCTTCAACTCCAAGCAGTATAACGTACAGGTACTTGAGGTAGCGGCCAGACAGGTCGTTGTGGGCAATAATCTCGATCTTGCCCTCGCCCTGCTGCTGGATAACAACGTTGTCGCCAAGGTTGTTGGTGCGGCCCTCGACCTTGATGCGGTCCTGGAGGAACTTCTCGAAGGCAGCGACGTCGAAGATCTTGTCGCTCGCGGGCTGCGAAGCGTTGATGATGAACTGTCGAACTGAGGTTAGCCCTTTTGTTCTTCTCGTTACCCAATTCCCACAGCGCATCGATCGCCTTCGGTGTTGGCGTCGTCGTCATAGTGGAAAGGACATTGGTTCATACCTTCTTGGTCTGCTTCTGGACCTTGCCGCCCGCCTTCTTCTGTAGAAATGACATTTAGCCTACTGCATTTTCAAGGCACCTCGCTGCGACCATTGTCGCAGGGGGCCGACAGCAAAGCGGTCATGTACGTACAGTCTGAGGAGCCATTGTGAATGTGTGTGTGGTTGATTGTGAAGATCGCAAAGAGGTCTAATCCTGCGCCTGAAAGGGAATGAAGAAAAGTACTTGGTGTGGTGGGTTGGTGATGCGTCCTGCGAGATTTCGGCCACAATTCTCGTGGGGGTAGCAAAAATGGCCGAAAATTAGGGTTGCGCCGGATTAACTGCGGGCCCTACCGGATTGTGGGCGACGTGACTGTCACGTGTATATTCACGTGACAGTAATCGCCATCTACCTCTTCAAGTGTGTTGCGGTGGAGATTGATTGATGGGCATGAATTACTCGCCTGTGGCCCGGAATATTTTACTAATACGTACACTCACGGTCTTCGAGTAGAAATTAGCTGATTTACATCCTTCATCTTTAGAATTGAGGAATCTTGTAGGCAGACACGGAAATCTTGCTGCAGGGACGCTACCCGTATAAAAGGGATTGATAAGACTACCTCATCTGCTCACTTGTCTACCAACTCACCAGGAATCTTCTGAGAACGACTCGTAAGTTTGAACTGAAAGCCAATCTTTTCCCCACCATGGTGTAGCTGTCCCATCTTTGCCTTAGCCTCGAGGCACAGTTCTCAACCCCTGTGGCAGCTGTAAAAGGTCATGTGAATCTTGTGGCTGCTTGGAAGGCATCGCTCACTTGACGATTCGTTTTTGTTTGTATTACATGGTGGCTGTATGAACAGATTTACATCCGCCATCGTACACGCGGCTCTATGGCTGATGGCTAAGCGGGCTAATCGAGTCGTGTTGACACTAGATCATCTAGATGGCGAGAATATCCCGTTAGTGAGGGCATAGGTAGTCCGGTGGCCACTGCACAATCCCCGTTAGCTTCAATTCAAGCGCCGAGTTAAGAGGACGTCCAACACCATTCAAATAAATAGTAGTAGAAAACCACTCCGCTATTTGCTGTCTTGAGACCTCGTCCTGAACTTCTCTCCCCTCCGACCTCCAACCCAATCAAGCTGCCGACTCCATCGCCTCAACAAACTTGACAAATCCTTCACCATCGTCCTCCTCGGGACTGTATTCGTCGACTTTGGCTTCTTTGGACTGTTTCTTCTTGGCTTGTTCCTCCTGTGGCTTTGTTTCTTTCGCATTGGTTTTGTGACCCATGAACTTGGGATTGAAAGGCTTCAGCTCTTCCTTAAGCTGTTCGTGGTTGGCGTGTTTCTTATTGGACTTGTTCCCCTTGATATTTAGGTTCTTCAGCTTGGTCTGGTGCTTCTTGATCTTGATATCTTTGATCTTCTGCTCCTCCTGGAGAAGCGTGGTAACATCATCAGGTCTCTCCAGACGCTTATGCTTTGACGAGATTTCGATAATGACGAAAGACTTGACCTTCTTAGCCTTTTGAACGTCCTTCTTGCATTCGGTCTTCATCTCCGCCTTGGTTCCCTTTCCAACTGGGTTGGGTCGAGCTTGGTCCTTTTTATTCTCGTTTGGTTTCTGCTCATTCTTGACCTCATCCCCATCGTTCTTCTTGCCTTCAAGCTTCTTAGTGCGGATGTCCTGAGCCTCGGCCTTCTCATCATCAGTCTTCTTGGTCTTGGTCACCCTCCCCTTGGATTGTTCGGTGTCGGTGTCCTCCTTCACAGGGGGCACTCGGGGTTCGTCATCTCCAGCCGCATGTTTCTTTTTGTCTTCGGGACCCAAAGGCTTGGGCTCAACGGGTTCGTCCCTGTCCAATTCATCATAGATATATGATAAGTGCTTTCTCGAGGTGTCGATATTCTTTTCGTCTTCCCTCTCTTTGTTCCCGTTGTCGATTCCATCGTGTTTTTCATTGCCCGGAACCCTATAGAGGCCGCTACCGACTTGGGCGTTCTTGAGCTGTAGGGCCGGGTCTGTTGATTGGATGGGGGCAGCGAGGGCCCCAACAAAGAGGGTGGACAGTAGAGCGAGAGAGCCACGCATTTTGAAATGTCGGAAGTGAAGTAGATAAATGGCTTGTTGTGACAGGGGAAGCCACGGCCAACAAGCCCTTATATGGAGGGAGAGGCGATTAATCACACGTGTATCAGAGGTAAAATCTGCATGAACAAATCCAATACGATGGTGACTTTGCCCTAAAGTACAATGTTGACTTGGTGGAGAACGGAGTCTGCAGGCTGCAAAATCTGCTCCTATATAAACTGTCAATGTAGAGTTCCAACACTGTTTATTATCCACTGCCAAGCTGGGTGGCCTCAAGCTTACATGGAGACCCTGCAGATTCATAGGCTCTCAGGGTGAATCAAGGTGAAGGCTGAACCAGGTTTCGATTCGAGCTTCAACATCAAACTTCCCTATTTCCCAATGATGGCGCATGGCCGACGGAACGATCATCAAGGCCAAGGGGCAATTTTGGATCAAGTTTTTTACATTGCATGGATCAAGGGTAATTAGTCGTCACAGCCGGCCGATGGGGAATATCCATGGCATCACCACGTTCAAGTCTATACGAAACCATAACATCCAAATTGCATTTAAACCAAAGTATTAAAAAGCTTGTCTGATCCCGAACATCGCAAATCGTCCCAAAATATCGTCCCTATCGTTACACATGATAACACATATCTCATCAATACATAGCTCGAATCGAAGAAACATCTTCCTCCTCTCAACTGAACAATTTCTTGAATGCAGCCTTGATCCCACCCGGCTTCTTCTCATCCTCCTTATCTCTGGCTTTCCGTCGCTCCTGGTGTCGTGCCTTGCGAGCAGCATCCTCGGGGGGTGACTTGGAGGATACCTCTTCGTTAGTAGCGGGTCTGGATGACCTTGACAGCCTTGAGGGCCTTGGTGGCTCGTCAACGGGGTCGCTACGAGTCCTGTGAGGCCTGGTTCGAGGTTCATCCATGGACTGTCGAGTGTGTCTGGTCTTGGGGCGCATTGTCGACGCGCGCTTGAGGGGTTCAGGGGCAGGGGCTTCCCTCACGCTCTTGATACTCTCAACAGGGGTCGCTTCTCGCGCTGGCGGCGGGGTGCCGACGATCCCTTCGGAGTTCCTCACATCAAAGAACTTCTTCTCGGGCAATGCAGGCTCCTCTCGGTCCACTGGTGGCCGGTCTTGGACGTCGTCAGGCCGAGAGCGGGTAGAATGGCTGTGACGACGAGAGCGACGGTGCCGTCGCTCAGGTTCAGGTGCGAACTCCGGCTCTTTACCCTTGCTCTCCTTGACACTAGAGGGTTCACGTCTGCGTTCCGAGTCCCTTTCTCTTGGTCGGCGGGTTGATCGCTCGCGCTCTGCTCGTTCACGCTCTGCTCGATCACGTTCTGCTCGCTCACGCGCTGCTCGCTCACGCTCAGCCCGATCACGCTCGGCCTGCTCACGCTCAGCCTGCTCACGCTGAGCCTGCTCATACTCGGCCCGCTCGCGCTCAGCCTTTCGCTTGTCATGGGCGACTTGCTCCTCCGCTGTTCGACGCCGTCTCCCAGAGCTGCCGGAGTCGGCAGAGAATCCGCTGTCTCTCCGCTTTGGGGTTCTTGGAGGCGTGCCCGAGCCCGAGCTGTCAGGCCGATGACGGCGGTGCGAGTGAGTGCCATGGGACGATCGTCTAGTAGAATCTCTACCTTCCTCATCACCACGTAGGCTTCGAGACTTGGGCTCCTCATCACCACGCAAGCTCCGAGATTTTGGCTCCTCCCCACGTACACCTCGAGATCTGGGTTCTTCCTCGCCACGTTGGCGACGAGGCCGAAGCTCGTCCTCGGTGCGAGTCCTGTGGCGCCTTCTCTCATCCTCGCCCCGTGATCTGTGAGATCTGTTCTCGTCATCGCCACGAGGCCGGCGTTCTCTCCCTTCGTCCTCCTCGCGGCTTCTGCCCGAGTTGTGGGATTGAGAATGGCGGCGCCTGCGACGTCTCTCTGGGTCTCTGGAGGAGCCAGATTCTCTGCTTTTGTCGTCTGTAAACAAGTCAGCAACGGACTTGTGAAGTTCCTCATGCTCGTCGTCCTCGAAGCTCCGTCGTGAAGTAGAAGCAACTGGGGAGTAATAGTCCTCCGAATCCAACATCATCTGGTGTCCCAAATTAGGTAGACGCTGTTGCTGTTCACGTTGGCTTAGAAGAGGCGGGCTGCTAGGGGGGCTCAGAGCCTCCGCTGCCGCATATATGACTACAGCAGCAGCAACCGTATCCTCGGCGCGCTGGATAGACATCTTGCGCTTTCGCCGGAGGGTATGAGCTCGCTGCATCCTTATCATTTCTGTATCAGGTATCACGATGCCAGGGGTTGGAGGTCGAGGTGCTGCCTCGGTTGGTGAGGATGGGGCCGGCAGAGGAACCTCTCTCTGCCGGAGCCCTTCCTTCGTGGAGGTACCTGGATTTCTAAGATCCAAGCGAGCCGGTGCCTTCGATCGAAGCCCTTCTTCAACCGTCGTGGTTGCGTGCTTGAGGCCTGGGTAGACAGGGGCCTTGGACGACTCGCCTTCGGTTGAAAAAGCACGATGTCTCAGGACGGGTCTGCTTTCAGCCGCTCGACTTGTCACAGGCATGAAGATGGGTTCCTTGATATACACCTCCGTTCCTGGCCGTGGTCTTACAGGGCGCAAGGGTCCACGTCGTTGAGTATCCAAGGAACGAGGAGGGTAGTCGTGGTGAGAAGAATCCCTGGGGGCCCATTCTCCATGCATAGCTTGCTTATCGGCAACTCTAGAGACTATTGCTGCACCAACGGCACCAGCGGCGCCCGCTGCCAAGCCCTCCCGCGCAAGAGACGGACCATTAGAGGTGCGGTATGATGATGACCTCGCGGGCCTCGGAGGACTTTCCATCCTTAGGGGGCTGTCGACAGCGGGTGGGCTTTCAACCTTTGGGGGCCTTTCAACCACGGGGGGCCTTACAGCAACCGGAGGATCGTCCATCGAATCATCAGATTCTATGTCTGTATCTTCGTTCACAGGAAGCTGCTCGATGACAAGTTCGCGAGCGGAAGGCTTGACGGGTTCTTCGAAAGGAGTTTTATCTGCGATACTCTTGGGCATTGGCACTTGGCTGGTGGAGACATCAAGCCGAGCCGCTGGTGGAGGCAGGGACCGCTCATCTGAGCGTACAGGTGTAACCTGTTCAGGAGCCGCTGCAACCGAGAGACCTCGGTAGTCAACCTCAGCATCCGAATCAGAGTCAGATTCAGCTTCAGGTGTCTTGGTAGCACGCTCTGGTGAGGCCAGAGACCTCTCACCCTGTGGAGAGACAGTTGTGACGTGCTCGTGGGCCGCTACAACCAGGAGACCTTGACGATCAGACTCACGATCAGACTCCGAATCGGATTCGACCGAGGAAACACGCTCTGGGGTTGGTGCATTGTCTCTATTGACAGTGTCGCGTTGTTCTGCGTGCGACTCAAGCTCCTCAGCCACATCCTTATCGACAACTTGAGGGATTGCCCTGGGTGAACTAGGCTCAGCTGGTCGTATAATTTCGGCAGCTTCATCCAAATCTGTGTCCGTATCGTCTGAGAAGGTGGGTTCCTCGTGAGGTTGCAGCTCAGTAGCTTCATCAGCGACTTCCTCAACATCCAAGGCAACCTTGCGAGCAGCTGGGGACAGAGCTCGACTCCCATTATTCCCTGCAGCATCCAATAAAAACTTTTGTTCAACATCTGAATCGTCGTCTTCGAGGTCACTGGGAGGAAGTACAGGGCTCTCAATGGGGTTTCCGGCCTCTGTTGGAACTTCTTGGGATTCCAAGGCAGTCGCTAAAGAGCTCTCGCCCACGTCGTCAACATCTAAAGCAATATCAGATGGCCGAAGCACCACATCGTCAGATTCGCCACCTCGAGGCTTCTGAGTTTCAGTCGAGTTGGAGATGTGAGTGTGATCTCCCTCAATAATTTGTCTCGCTCGAATCTCGTGGGTCGATGTATCTTCCTCGAGTTGAGGAGACACCAGAGCGGTAGCAGGGAGATTCTTAACTCTGTCTTGATCATTCTCATCGACATCGCTAAAATCGTCTGACTCGTCCATCTCAGACTCGACTAGCTCACTGGCCAGATTGACTTTGGTTGGCTGCTCCTGGGGCTCATCCTCTTCATCGGTCTCTGGATGGACGGAGGTGATGGCAGGCTCAGTTGGGTGCTCCAGAACGCGTTGGCCAGGCGCAGGGATGGCTACAGCAGCAGTTTCGCCCTGCACGTCTTCCTCTTCATCTATTTCTGAGATATAGTCGTGAATTTCCTTGTGGACGATGTTTGGTGGCGCTGGCCTTGAGAAATGGTTCGATTCCACGGGCTCTGAAGTAGCTTCGTCCTCGGTGAGATGCATCTGATCTGCAGTAGCCAGTTCAGATGTAGTCTCGAGGTGGTAACTTGGAGGCAATGAAGCGGATGGTTCTTCGGTTGTGAGAGGTTTCTCTTCAGCCTCCCCAGTTACTAGAATTGGAGAGGGTGGCTCAGGGAAAACGCCCAGTTCCTCAAGTTCTGAAGCAACGTTGTCCGAGTGAACAGATTCTTCTGTTACATCCTTCTCAGAAGATGAGTCTTGGAGATCAATCCGGGCCATACGGGAGGCTAGGTCCTTGTCCATAATAGACTTGTCTTGGACCTCTTGAGGTAAGATCTCGCGTGAAGCAGGCGTCGAGATGGCAGTTGATTGCTCGGGCGTCGGCGTCACGCCTTCTTCATCGCCAACCAGCTCTTCTACAAGAGCTCTCTCCAAGGGTAGCTCTTGGAAATTATTCGAGGATGTCTCCTCATCAGCATGAGACACTTCGTCGACAGGCCTAGCCTCGACTTTTGAAGATGGGCTGGAGGCGGTAGGCAGCTGATCAGATCCCGAGACCCCAAAATCCCCGAGGTCTTCAACCGCGGGTTTATCGGAAACCGCTTCTAGAGGGCCAGCATCGGACAACTCTTCTGGGGAAGCATTATCCTCAGCAAGAAGCTCGCTTTCGACATCTTGAAGAGGGACATCTGGGAGGAAAGACTTGAGAGTGGTG